CCCTTCCCTCCCTATTCTGCTGGGCTGAGAAACGGACCCACTTACAAACGGTAAGGTTTAGTCGGTTAAGGTAGGTAGTTTTAGTACCGGCCACCCCGTAACAACACCATAGGTAGGTAGTCAGACTGTCTATTGTATCTGTAGCAATTAATATTTAATCTGTCAAGTGGAGACACGCTTCGGAGACACGAGACAAGAGTGGAAATCAATTACCTGAACAAAGACTTCTTCTCCTCTCCGCCCTACAAACCTAAAAAGTCTCCCTACGCCGTCATAGTGTCGGCCCAAAAAGTCACTGCCAACCGTTCTTCGCAAAGGAAATGAGAGAAGAAAGGACAAAATCTCGGCATTCGGAACAATGACACAATGACTGTTGTCACTGACTAGTGTAACTTGGTGATCTAGTATAATCGAGAAAAAGGGTCTGGCTTTGTCAAAGGCTTCCTCCTCGTTCCATTCTCTGACCCAGAGAATCTGAAACGCATGTTTGCAACATCTTTGAACAAGCAATCCTCGCCTCAGCCACGTGTGAGGCGATGACCACTTGAAACGAGCTTTAGACAGGAGAGCTTGGCTGGGTGCACAAATGGTTCCACTGCGGTAGTTGATCTCCCTACCTGTGAGAAACCCACAACAGCCGCCGCTTTGGCGCGCTCTAGATTGGTGTCTTTTCACCTCAACGTTTTTTGACTGTAACCTTTGCTTTTTTCCGTTGACTCTCGGATGGAACCTTCCACGACGACTTTGCCAGGGATTCATCCTCCGGACAATTTCATTCAGAACTGACCCGCAACCAAAGCCATTGCCCATTCTCCCAGAGTGAGAAGGAAATAATCAAGCAGCCGGTCTCGCCCAATTTTTACTTCATATGGAACCAAGATCGCATGATATATATGCCTCAAAGGCCCATCTGTTCTCTGCATTTCTGCTGGGCGAATTGACTCTGTTCATCTCGAGTTGCCAGGGTCTGCTTCACTTGGCGGTTGGGCTTCGAACACCACCAACCAACACCAACATGTGGTTTTCCCCGAGCAGGTTAGTACTCATAGAAGGAGAGAAAGGACGGTGGAATTGTATGTTGGCTCTAGAGAGCGCTTACGCGCTTGCCGCAGCAATCATCGTAATGCGTGAGCGCTAATACTCATGTTCTGCCCCCGGTAAAGTACCTTTGTACTGCGTTGCGGTCTTGACTGCTTGTTTGAGCGAATTGACCCGAGATAAGTTATTTTTATGCATTCTGAAAATGGTTGCTATTATTTGCATCCCGGATTCGAGGATTTGTTCCTTATCTGACGCCCAACCTCTACACGAGCGCCCTTTGATTGACGGCGACTGCGGGATGATGATGGTTGGCGTTGCTACGTAACCGCCGAACCTTTTTTTGATACTATTCTTGCACCTGGGGACTGCCGCTTACCCCAGACACCCTCCCTAACCCTGGTCACTTACTTCCAACACCATGTGCTCTAGCTCCTAGTCTGCCACCATATTTATCAACATCTAACACCGAAGCCTGGTATATCCTCTTTACGCGCCTCCGTAATTGTAGTTGTGCTTTGAAAAGGTCTCAAAAGAACTTGAGATCATGAATGAATCTGCAAGAGAACGAAATGCCTGCGAAGCAAATAGCCGTTTTTACCTTAAATGGACTCCAAAAGGTGCACGGCTCGTCTTGGGCTCAAACTTTTGCGAGGTAACGCAAACCTTAGATTGAAAGACCAGTTTGGTGGCCTTGAGGGAAGAACTAATCTTTCTGGGCCGCGGCCGCCGTTTCATCCGTGCCTCTTGTTCTCCCTCAAGCCAGCATGCTCGGCGTCAACTGTCCTCTCCTGGTGTGCAGGTCATGTTGCTGTTTTAAGCTGGACGATGTGCATAAGAATAGATTAATAAAAGATTGGCCATCATCATCCCGGCCCATGTGTGCTCTCGGTGATGCCCTTCTTCCTGACGTTACCCCTCTTCCACGCCCATATCTGGAATCCCTTATGACTTTGTGATGTTGCTGCTGCTGTATAATCATCATCATCATCATCGTCATCACCTCACTATCATCTTCACTGCAGTCAATCACTAAACGCTGCCACAAAGTCACAAATTAACACCATCGTCGTCAAAATCTGCCCGAATGCTTTTCTCAGTGACCCCGTCGTTACCCTCTCCACCTGACTACATGCCGAAAGCTCCTCCAAAGCAGGTGGCTGACCATCGCTTCACGCCACTGTCTCGAGGAAGCATGCAGCCGCAGCCTGGCCGGCGACCTTCGGCCGGAGCCTGGAATCCTCAGGAAGATGAAGTCCTGGTCTCGGCTAGGGCACAAGGAATGAACTGGGCGCCAATCCAACAAACACATTTTCCAACCAAAACTCCAAATGCCTGCAGAAAACGACACGAGAGGTTGATGGAGAGAAGAAACGCCGAGGACTGGGATACAGTGAAGCTGGAAACATTGTGCAAGGAATACATGAATGTTCGTAAAGAGATGTGGAGTATTCTATCTGCTAGACTAGGAGAGAAATGGCAGACAGTCGAGGCAAAGGTGGGTGCTCTATGAAACGCAAAAAGAATATGTGATCTCATCATTGACCGCGCCAGTGTATGGAAAAGGGCCTTAAAAACCTCCAATCCGGTGTCCGAAGCGCCATGCGCCGAGAAAGATTGATGACAGGCATTGCAGATGCCGGTATGGCTGATGTGAGCTCGGAAATTGATATTGAGGCGGACGACGACGAGTCTAGTAGACCACCGAGGCTGCCGGAGAGATGCGAACCGGACACAAGCGCACGGCGAACCATGCCCGGCCAAAGCATAGCATCACTTCTTCAAACCTCATAAGCGAGTTCAGTACGATTAACGACGTCACGCTGAAGTCTTCAGGAAACTCCAATCTTGTACTATATCCGAACGAGGGATGACCGGTTTGCTGCGCGCTGAGATTTCTCTTCTTCCTTTTTTTTTTGATTTTCATGCACTATTCATGCACAGTCGGAACTGGATTTCCGTCGAGCCTCTAGGCACCTCTTTGTTTCCATCCTGAGATGCCAAGAATTCCGCCGTCGTCGGCCGCGGGATCCATTGACCATTTTCTTAAAGGCCTGCAACTTAAGTCGCTTTCCCACCCGTTTTCAAACATTTCCATTCCGGTCCAAGCAATCATAGCAGCATTGTCTGTACACAGTGATGGCGGCGGGAATGATAAACCTATATGAGAATAGTCTCGAATATCCAAGAAAGCCCGTAGACTTAATAAAATCAATCAGTCGAATGCAGACCCAACAGCAAAGGAATGGCCTACATTGTTTTCAGATATTGGTTTGACGCAACACCGCCACTGACTACCAATGTATCTAAAGCTTGGGCAGTGGAGCGATCGCCTTGACGTAAATGGTGCAATGCCATGACGACCCTTGAAGCAAGATGCTCAAAGGCGACACGCATTGCCTCACGGCCAAGGTCGACCCGTTCTTCAATACTCATATCGTGAGCCGAATTAGCTACGAACCTCTCTGCTGCACTAGCAAGGCCAGAGAAGCTGTACTCCATCGCTTTTGATCTTGATCCTGATTTCGTCTCTGCCAGCGGCGGCCCAAATGACCAGCCCCATTTTGTTGGGTTCCTTGCAAGTTCCTTCTCGCGAGAAGCGGGCGCAGTGTACTCATGTTCATTGATACCTCCAGGAAACGCAAAGTGCTCGAGGACACGCCCATACATGCTATCACCGGATTCCTTCAAGACAGCCTCCGGAAGGACTGAGCGAGCGACCTTGTCTATACAGTCACCAATTGCTATGTCAGAGGTAGAGGCGAGGATTTGGTGATCTGTTAATGAGGCAGAAAGCAGAAGCAGCGTGTGCCCACCGGATACCAGCAACGACAAGAAGGGAAATTTTGGGTTGTCGACTTCGTCTTGGTTTCGGCTCAGAGCCGATACGAGTCTCGGGGTCAACGCGTGAGCTTGCATATGATTGACTGCAACAAGTGGTATTTGCCAAGCTACAGCTAACCCTTTTGCCGTATCAAGACCAACGGAAAGGCTCGACCTCATACCTGGACCTCTGGTGACAGTAACGAAGTCAGGTTTGCGCCTTTCACCTGCTGATCCTGTACGGTCGAGACCATCGTCTTGATTCGCCCCAGAGAAAGGCAAGCTGGATAACGCCTTTTGGACAAGCTTAGCAACGTTTTCCTGGTGTGAGTCCAACGCAGCGATTGGATGTATTCCGCGGTATGCACTGTTGTCGGCGGTGACTTTTTCGTGAAAATGTAAAATAGCTTTTCGGCTGTCGTTCGATGAGCCAAGTTTGGTCCTAGACTTGCTGCATTTTTCAAGAATTGCTACAGAGGAGTCGTCACTTATAAGTCAGCAATGAACTCAAAACATTTTGGTCAATGTTCCTACCATGAAGACTCTATAGCTAGGGTGAGTAGGCCTCTACGGAATCTGCATAGCTCCCGGGGTATTCCAAAGCCTCGGCGAGCATTTGTGCTGCGACGTACGAGTATGCTCATTCGAAGGCCCGCGCAGCACTGAAATCGAGATTCCGTGTAGATGTTCTATATAATTATCTTGAAGTTTAGAAGGATCAACAACTAATTGTTGTGAAAGCCGGAGAGACCGGCATGTTCCGTGTATGATTGGAGATAGCGCGTAGAGCCAACACGCGACAATGTTGCTGAAGTAATTGTTTTGTTTTCTATTTCACATCCTCACTTTGCTTAACCATGCGGAAATGACATTATTTTACAAGGCAAAGAAGTTTGCTCAAAGTGTTCCAATGCATAGGAGTAGCCCTGCCTTAAACGCCGCCAATGCTAAAGCTGCAATGCCAATACTCCAAAACGAAGAGCTCTGAACAAGCATCATCCGCCTGCAACAGGGCCACCTTGCTGCAAAGATGCCAATTGCTTACGAAGCTGCAGCAAAAAGTCCTGCCCACCTGCCATAGTGTTCGCTGCAAATATATCAGCGGATATGCCCAGAATGATTATATTAAAGGGAAAACATACGCTTAGATCCCCACGGACCCCCACTCTTCGTACTGGCGGCGTCCTTTCCCGCCGATTTATATGCTTGAGCTCCTGGTTAATAAGAATAAGACTTCTGTTGGATCCTGTGCGGGATGCTAATATATTCACGGGTTCTCATACCAGCATTCATGGAATCAAAGTAGCCTAAAGCAGAGGTTCCGTGTCAGCAGAGAAACCAATAATTAGGCAGTTTATATGAAGGATAGAAAGCTTTCTGGCCAGCTTATAATCTTTCTGCTTGTGTCCAGATTCAATCTATTTCTCTAGCCGATAACAAGACAGTCCATACCTCGTTTGAGCATCTCTCTGGCGTCTCTTGCGTTGAAGCCGTTTACAGGCACGTGTTCTTCCTCCATGGGACTCATTGGAGGTCTGCCGCGATTTTCGCGATTGGAATTTCCCCAAGCATTATTGCCTCCAACGGACGTGGAGTTTTGACCAGCTGATGGGTTGGGGGAGTTGTTCGCCGACCTCTCGCGGGCGGGATTCGGACGTTGCCCAGAACGGTTCTGGTAGTTGGAGGATCGCTGGGCGCGCCAACCACTGTTCAAACTAGTGTCAGCATGATTAGGAGGCCTTCTGCAAAGACATAGGTTTAATACATACCGCTCCTCGGTGTGGGCACTCATCCCTGCATTCCAGAGCTTTCAAAGCTATCTCAAAAACCGATGACTGTTTGGGTGCTTGGAGATCTCACATGAAGCGGCGCGCTTGGCCAGCGGGCTTTAACGATTCCAGCTACAGTAGCGAGACCGACGCAGCTATCGATAAGCGCACCAACTGACGTCTCGTGGCACTGAGGAAAGCGTGAGGAGAACGAGCTTGACTTGGACTAACAACATTCGCATATATCCCCTTTTTTCTCTTCTTAACACCGTGAAAAACGTATTTTAAGATTTCGAATTGGCCTCTATATAAAAGCCGAATGCCGGCCACCGACTCTCCAGCCGTTCTGGTGGCTCGCTTCCTTAATGCAAATAATTATGATGAAGTCAGTTCTCCGTTAAATATCCAATATTTGGGCGAGTTTCATTTCCCAAGTGGCTAAATAATTTGTACACCTAGACACTAGACGCATTTATAAAAGAGGCGGGTCTGCCTCAGGATGCTGGAACACAGCAGCCAGGCGACTTGACTATTGAGAAGGTCCTCCAAGAAAAGAAAGTATTCGATCTTAGTGTAAACTTTGAAAAGGTTGGCCTAGACAGCAGCAATGATAAGTGGACTGTCAAAGGCAAGTATATTGATAGTTCTGTTTTACATGAAATACCTTTGTCACTCAGATTTTGGTCAATGTGCTTTGATTGCTGTTTTTATATTTTTCAATTGCATCTAACATTCTGTTAAAATTATCCCGCGTTATACTTAAGCATCAATTTTTTTTCATCCTAGGTCGAAATTATACGTTTTCACTAACCGCATTACAGCGCCCTCAATCCCAATTGCCCTGACTACATTACCAACATCCTCGAATCTTCTCTATGTATCTCTCGAAGATATTCGGCTTTCCGGAAATGCCCTTGCCCAATATATCCTCGCAACATCCGCAGACCGTCGACTATCCATGATCAAGCCACAATTGGGAGACTTCAGTCTCGTAAATACGAGCAATCAGATCCACGACTCTCCCATATTATTCTGTGTCGTTGTCCGAAACCGATGGCTTATCAGCACAAGCATGTCTGGCCAGGTGGCGCTCTTCGACTGCCTTACTCAAACAGTACTAGAAACCCGAAGAGATCACAGCAAATATGTCGTGAAAGCAACGACATGGGAAGATGAGCATGGCGCCTGGGTGCTTACTGCCGGTTGGGATTCGAAAGTGTTCCTATACCGGATGAAATGGTCTGCACCTCACAGCAACAACGACCACGATAATAGCATAAACGATTCCAATCCGCCAGTCTCACTAGGTGCGCCGGTGGCCTTCACGAGTCTACAGTCCAATCCGGAGCATGTGCAATTCATACATCACCATGATTCGCCAGATCCAATATTGCTTGTTTCCCGCAGAGACTCCACTTTCTTGTACTATTATGCCATTCCGTCCGAGGGCATGACCGCGGAACCAGCAGAGCTAGTTCTCCTCGGAAAGCAGAACCTTGCACCTCATTCCAATGCCTGGGTAGCGTTTACGCCGTCCAGTGTGGCCGTATGCCCAACGGACAGTGCACTTGTTGCTGTGGGCACTTCTTCCGTGCCGCACATGAAGCTCATCATTGCTCGGCTTCTGTTGCCTCAATTCCCAGAGGCATCAACTGCTGCCACGGACGCCGATCAGCCTGCACAGTATCAGTCACATGCCGCTCAAGCCATGGCAGAACTGGCAGTCCAAGAGCGTGAAGACGCTGCTATCCTGACGCATGTAAGCACACTGGCGCCACAGACGCCTTATTCGACGCCACAAGTCTGTTGGCGGCCTGATGGCTCCGGCGTGTGGGTAAATGGTGATGATGGGGTGATTAGAGGTGTAGAGGCAAAGACTGGAAAGATTGTGTCGACCCTCAAGAGCGGGCATGAGCCAGGCACGAAAGTAAGGAGCATTTGGGCAGGATGGGTTGACGTCAATGGGCAGAAAGAAGAATGGTTGATGAGTGGTGGATTCGATCGCAAGCTGGTTGTATGGAGGAGTTCTGAGGCCGTGGACAATGGGAGTTCATGACGTAAAATCGTACTGATTTCTGGGAAATCTGGGTAGACTTAATGGTGCAAACCGTTATCAGGAATAGGTAAGTCATTTTGAAAGGGCAAGTAAAGAGCATATAGAATTTAGTGATATATTAACGAGGATGAATCCAATTCAGAATTTATTATTTCTTCATTTCCATTGAATACGCAGTGCTTGCAATCTGTTGTGGCAATAGGCCAAGGGCAGAGTAACAATATCATTAGAGGTCTGTGCCCCCTTCTCCATCCGCCCTCCATCATGTGAAGTCAGGAGGGTTTTGGTAATCAAGGGGACTGGCAAATTCAATCTCGGCACGAGAAATAATCCTTCAGCATCCGAGCATGGAAAGAGCAAGCGGAGCTGTACACACAAATGCCGTGGAACGAGTCCATTTGAGACTTTCGAGTTCACATTGATCACAAAACAAAACTGATCCCACTGTTGCAGAGCGAAATTCACGACCAAATCGGGTTTAGAGCAATGCACACTGGTATCGAAAAAGACGGCGCGATTGGACGGAGAATAATTTTCTGGGCAATCCGAAAAAAGAGCTTTCGTTCATATATTCGAGGTACGGTACAGGCCACTCAAGCTTATAAAACTTGAGTGGAAGAATTGCGCGCGAGGCGAATCGATCAGTCGACACTCACGGCTCCCAGAAAAAAGCAGCTCATCCCCGAAATTCTATCATGCCTGTAACGATGAATAGAGAACCTCTTTTAGACGGTGTCGCGCTTGCCCTCCTTGGCCTCCTTCTGTATGATCGAAAGTTACGTTAGCGATATCCATATTGCATGCCCGGTATCCCATTCATCGAGACAAGCCTACGACCGACTGGTCTTGTAGGCTCCGGGAGGATATAAAGAGGGATTGACGCACCAGAGCCCTCATAGTGCCGTGAAGAGCATGTCTGTGGTTCCGTCGGAACTTGGGATCAGTACCCTTCAAAGAGGGGTATCTGTGGGTCCTCGGCTTCTTGATGCTATATTGCGCCGGATAAAGGTCAGCGAATGGATGTTCTCATTCAATTCCGCATGTATCGCCTTTCAGGTCTATTGCGACCGATGTTCGTTCTAGTAAAATGCGACGCATTGCGATCGGTTTCGGGGTCATAAAAGTAAAGGTGATGCATACCCGTTCTTGTGGGCCTTCTTGCTCTGGTTGTGCTGGGACGAGTTCTTTGACTCTGTAAAGCGCGAATCGTAAGTTCCAGTGTTCTTTTAGAGGGCGAAGAGACTCTAGCAAGGGTGATACATACTCGCCATTTCGACTGATCTTGATCCTACTCTATCGGCGGGCGGAGAGTATCTCGACGACGTCGAATTGCAAGAGGGATGGCTTACACGCTTGAGGGCTCGCTAAGCTATTTCGTAGGGTTTGGCGATTTGTGTGCCCCAATTATGGCCGGTGCGGGATTTGCCGAGACATATTGAATGTGACGTTACCAGTCTCAACTGCGGGCCCTTACCCTTTGCGTATGTCGTACCTCATTTTAGCTTTCAAGGGTCCTCCAACTTGAGACAGAAAGGTATTTTCCAAGACTAATGCTTGTGGTGATACCAGAAGACTTGGGATTGAGAAAGAGAATCATGCAAAATATTCCAATCTAAATGCTATGCTAACCAAAAATGCATATACAAAATACGAGGTACACCTTGGGGAATATGTTGTTCTATGAGGGAAAAGCAAGACCGCCTAGCAAATCGTTTCACGGCTTCGTAACCACAGGCAGGACTTTCTTTGCCTGCAAGGCCGCGGCATCGGCAGCTCTCTTGAGTCTAACAGAACGAAGCTGGCGCAGATAACGGTATAGCAGAATGAATATGAGTTCAACCCTAGATATAGGTCAGCAACAGGTTTTAGCAAGACCATAGAGGCAATGCGAGAGGCTCACCTTTCTTTAATCATCATCAACAAGCCTTGAACGAGAAGACCTTTGGTGAGCTGGGGCATCAAACCCTTATAAAGGCCCAACGGTCCTTCATTGGCGATGATGTATTGCATGACCTCGATGAAGCTCTTGAATTGCTTGCCATTCCTAGCTGGCGGGGGTTTGGATTGTAACCCGACTTTGGCAACAATGAGAGGTTGCGTAATGATGGTCGCGATTGCCTTTGATGCAGCACCGAGAACTTTGAAAATGCATTAGAAACATATGCCGCCTCAATTTGTGGATCAATAGACATACCAAATGATTCCCAAAGTTTGAGATTCTTCTGGTTCGGGAACATTGCTGCTCTTAGACGCTGATAGGCAGCGTATGTAATGGATGGGTTAATCACCAACACCAGACTTGCTTGCAGTCCTCGCCAAAGTCCTGTCCAGCCATCTTCGCCATTGATCACCTCCTTGGCTGTAGAGACCATGCCCTTATTTTCTCCCGCCAGCTGTGTCTGCTGTCGGGTAGTAATGACACCCAAAGGAGTGGTGAAGACCTGCGCGACGCCACCAGCGAGAGCGCCTAGGGAGAGTTCAATCGCGGTGTTCGGTGGAATAGGCACACGTTTTGAAGAGAAATAGATGCTGCGAATGATTGAATACCAATAGAAATATGCAAAGTTCATAGCTGCTGTTCCGATGAGTGACCCATTCATGCCGGAATAGAGTCCTTGTACGCCCTCCCGTTCAACAATTTTCAAAATCGCATCAAGGGTTGACTCGTAGTGAGGATCCGCATTGCCGTCTACAGAAGTGGAGACTTGTTTTGCTTGAACTTGGATGCGGGTTTTCACACTGCAAATATTTTGAATCGAGTCAGCGCTACCAGAACTGCATAGAGTAAAACATGGTGCTCAACAAGGCGCCTCATACATATCTAAAGGATACGCTGCTGCATTTGCCAAAACTGCGCCGGCAGCGCCAGCAAGCGCGAAACCCCATGGCGGAAGGGGAGCTTCTTTGGATTGCCCTGCCATATCGTCTGTACAAAATTCCCTACTGTAGACGCTGTAAAAAAGGTTTTCCAAGCTCCAAAGACACCGCACTCAGGGGCCAGGATATAGGTGCGCGGAAATGGGCTTTTCTTCGGTCAAATTAGTGTTGTAACTCGAGAATAGGCTTAATTGCGCTATCGACGCTCAGACCAAAACTCGCGTGGCCATCATCCAACCGTTCAAAACGATAAGGTTAGCTCTGGTCTCGAGGTGCGTGAAGTTGCAACCCAGAATGACTTCCCCGCTAGCCCAGGGTGATGATATACAGTATCGGAACGGAGACAAAAAGCTGATTTGAGACTGAGTATGTTAAGAAAATCTGTCAAATACCCTGCTCCCAGAGGGCAGGGTGACCGATGCCCCTCCGCGCTTCATAAGAGCGAAGCGTAACAAAGATACTCGTACTCCAAGCAGAGCCGGGGCCGGTGACCGCCTGCAGTAGTTCGCTGGGTCCAATCTGCCTACGGCTCCCGCGGCTCGCTGGTTCGCCACGTGCGTTGGACCGAGGTACGTTAAGCGGGCCGGAAGCGGAGAGGGTAAGCTTCCCAATCGGTATTGGTCCGGTGGCTTCGATGCTCGCTACACAAACTATACTTGTCATGTTCAAGGTAATCTGTTAAGAAGTAAAAGTACAGCTTAGGTATATACCGGATTCAAGCACTCCGAAGGGCTCCCGAGCGGTGAAGGGGAATTCTGTCTGGGATATCAAGCCGAAATGTGACATTAGCTAATAGATTGAGTGTCAACAGACGACTTCCCCAGACCACGTATCGGAGTAACTGTGGCTTTTGAGGAGAAAGCTTGGCTTCGTTCATGTCTCGTAATTAGACCAAGTATCCTTTTTTTCTTCTGATTTCCCACAAGATCTGGCCGTTACATGTGCACGTGAGAACATGCTCCGCTTTATAGATACAGGATGACTAGTCGCGAAAGATTGACAGAGCTTGAAACGCGTGCCTCTGTAAGAGATCCAAGTAAAAATTGTATTCTTTGGTAAGGCGATGTAGCTTATGATTGTTCATACTTATAGGACACGGAGTCGTTGATCGCAATTGCTTCGACTCGAGATGATGCTCTCAACGCGGCAATTAAGGCGGCTGAGCTTTATATGCAGGCTATGAAGCAATTGCCTGCTGGAGAGAAGAAGGCGCGCCTCAAACAAAAGTGCAATGGCCTGTTGGATCAGGCTGAGAAGATTAAATCCTGCGCAGACTGGCAGGGCCAAATGAACAGTGCAGCAACTGTGGCCAAGCTTGATGCTCCTTCGTCAACACGAGTATTGGCCACCAAGGAGAAGCGAATCCTTTTGGAAGACTCAAAGCTGAATGGCTTCATTTTCCCTCCATGGAATGCTTCCCCAGATCCTCATGAGTTTATACTTAAAGAAGGCGAACCTTTATATACGTAAGTGTTCCTGTGGTCTCGCCCCGGCATATCAATGGTAGATTATTCGTGAGCGGCCGCTGACCACTTCTGCAGGGACATTCCTGAGCTAGGCTTATCCGATTCTCAGCGTGATGCTTTTGACGGTTGGAAAAGACCGGCAGAGGCATTACCCCCAAAGCATCTGTTCAAACACTCAGATGAAACAAGTGCTCAACATGAACCGACAATGAAAGCCGATAATATAGTCGATTTGGTACAAGATATCACGACTGACTGTTCAGTTGTGGCGAGTCTTTGCGCAGGTACTGCACGTGCCGAGAGAGGTCACGCAAAGGTTAGCCACAGGAATGACTTGAACGGCCATTACGATGGATACTGACTAAATTCTTCAAATCAGATCATATCTTCTATTCTGTTTCCCTATGATATGCGGGAGATGAGGCCTGCAATCTCTCCAAATGGCAAATATATCTTTCGTTTACATTTCAACGGTTGTTCTCGAAAAGTCGTCATAGATGACCGATTACCCACCTCTCGGACGTCTAGAGTATTGTATGTCATTGATCGTCGTAATCCTTGTCTCCTATGGCCTGCATTGATCGAGAAGGCGTATCTCAAAGTCAGGGGAGGATATGACTTTCCAGGCAGCAACTCGGGCACCGACATATGGGTTCTCACCGGCTGGATTCCTGAGCAGGTCTTCCTTCAGAGGTAAGTGAATATTAAAACCATTTGTTCTTCCGTATGAAGAGCCTAAACCAGATGGCTAAGTAATTGGTTTTTCAGTGAGGAAGTCGTTCCCAATCGATTATGGAACCGTATGTTGCAATCCTTTAAATATGGCGACGTCTTGATCACGATGGGTACTGGAAAGCTTTCAAGAAGAGAGGAGAAAAGCCTCGGCCTCTCTGGACAACATGATTACGCGGTCCTTGATTTGAAAGAAGTAGGAAATCGGCGTCTCTTTCTCGTCAAAAATCCTTGGTCCGAGGGCACCACTTGGAAGGGACGGGTTCCGGAATCAGAGGATCCCAAGTTCGAACCCGACGACGATGAATCCTCTACCTGGACCAGCCATCTTCGAGACGCTCTCCCTGAAGGCGAGCTCGCGCCCGGAACATTCTGGATCGACCTCAACAATGTCATGCAGACTTTTGAATCGATATATCTCAATTGGAACCCTGGTCTATTTCTCCACCGGGAAGACTTTCACTTTTCCTGGGACCTTTCCACTTTGCGAAGTGTCCCAGGCTGCTTCAACGCAAATCCTCAATATAGCATCACCAGTCGCGCCGGAGGAGTCGTGTGGGTCTTACTCGATCGTCACTTCAAAACAGGAGAGTCAAAAGCAACATCATCAGCCGCCCCAACGGCAACTGCTACTACGGACGACACGCACAGCACTGGCAAAGGCAACGCTCAAGGGTTCATCAGCCTATACGCATTCCACCGTAACACCGGGCAGCGCGTCGTCCTCAGCGACGGAGCCGACCAACGCGGACCCTACGTCGACTCTCCCCAGACGCTCATGCGGCTCGAGATGCCGCCGCAATCAAGCTACACCCTTGTCGTCTCCGAACAAGACCTCCCACCATCCCTCTTCAACTTCACCATCTCCGCCTTCTCGCGCACCCGCATCTCCATGACTCCAGCCGCGGAGAAATACCCATTCACCTCAACCCACCAATCATCCTGGACCGCCACCAGCGCCGGCGGCAACGCCGACTGCTCGCTGTACCCCACCAATCCCCAATTCAGCATCACCCTGCCCTCCCGAACTGCAATCTCTCTACTCCTCGAGACCCCAAACACAGACATACCCGTGCACATCAAGCTCGTCTGGGCCGGCGGCAACCGCCTCACATCGCTCACAAGCCGCGACATTCTCGGCGACTCGGTGGAATACCGACGCGGCTGCGCACTCGCAGAACTCCCACCCGTCGAAGCAGGCACATATACCATCATCTGCTCCACATTCTCCCCTGGCCAACTCGCGCCATTCACTCTCCGCATCGGAACCAACGTCGCGTGCCGCGTCCAGCCTATCCCGCCCGAATGGGCCGGGCGCTTGCGCATCACCCTCCCTCCTGCCCGTTTCCCATCCCAAGTCAATTCCGTATATGCTCTGCTTACACCCCAGCGCTTGACCCGCCTCCGTGTCATTGCGCGGTACCCGCCTAATGCCGCCGCCGCGGCCGCTCCCGCCACCCGAGCGCGTACACCCGTGCGTGTCCGGCTCGAGTCAGGCCGTGGACCAAATAGCCGCTGCCTGGCCGAGAGCAATGCGGGCGAATTTGCAGATACGTTGATGGGCATTCGCACCCCCGACGTAGATGTCTTGCCGGACATGCAGTGGCGTGGTGGCGTCTGGCTTGTCGTAGAGCGACTGGGCGGACCAGCGTCGCTGGAGGACAGGATGGATGTGGAAATACTCACTGAGAGTGTGGTTTCGGTGGGCGAATGGCTACTAGGCGATTGAGCGCTATATAGTACTATTCTGTTTTCTTATTTTATAGAGTTTTCCCGCATTGTATTGTATTTTATTATATGTTCATTTCAGCGTCTTATTCTAGTATTCTATAGGTCTTTCATGAGTTATTTCTGTGAAGTAAACCGGGTGAAGATGTTGGTACTTGATCACAACGTCAGTGGACACCCTTAGCAAGCCCTTTGTGAATACAGAGTCAATAGTATTGTTTCCAGCAGTCAAAGTATAAAAAATTAAAAGTGGAATTTGAATTTGAAAAAGGAGTATTATATAGCTGTATAAAAGACACGAAGCAGCAAATAGTGTTGGATTGATATATCTCATCAAGGATCAAATAAATAAAAGCGTCCATTAAATGCAGCCACAATCACCCTACCAAAAAGAAAAATGAAACCAGCACATAAACGCCTTCCTTCGCCATTGGTTTTTTAAAATCCGGTGTGCTTGACCCCACGAGTGATTTCGGGTTTCAGGGTACCTCGTCTCATGACGAGCAACAAGAATAGAAGCAAATGTGACAGTGAACATGAGAAGAAAGAATTCAAATTAAAAAGAAAAGAATGGGGAAGAGTCGGGAAACAAAAAAAAAAAATAGAAAAAAAGAAGAAAAGAGGGAGAAAAGTTTAAGTATGAATAACACAGTGAAAAAGGACAGGGGGAAGACATCTATGATGCTCGCAGTCATGGCCCACCGACGACCTTGCCTGCGTCCACAATAATTTGTTCGTCGAGACGTTTCTCGGTATCGCCGTACTCGAGACGCTTATATGTGGTGACGCGCGCTTCATTCATGTCGATTTCGAAGAACCGCACCCGTCGGTGGTATCCGTCGTAGCCGCCGTAACCGCCGAAACCTGCACCGCCGCCGTAGCACATCCACAATTGGGGAGCGCCTTCTGGAGACTTGTCAAGGGAGCAGTAGTCGTTGACGTGGTCACTACCAGCAACGAGTTAGTAATATGTCACGGATTATATTGGATTGAATATAAAGTGAGAAAAGGGAGGGAATTGACGTACTGTCCACAGCTGACAAGGAGGACACCTTCCTCGACCAGTGCGTCTTTGAAGCCTGAATTGAAGCCTGGAGCTGTTGGCGGCTCCTTGAAGCTGCCGACAATGTAGTTGTTGGTGTTTCTGTATTCGGGAAGTGGAATATGGATGAATGCAAGATCCATATGCACATGCGTGTATTGCTTGTGAGCATGCTTTAAGCCTTGGGCGGTTTCCTTGAACCAGTCAATCTGATTCTTCTTCAACCAGTCGTATCCTCTGAAGTTCTTTTCGTCAGGGGAATAACCATGGGTATCAAGGAGGTAGAGAGTTAGAGCAGAATGCTGCGACGTCCCGCGGGCAAGAATTTCGACATAGTAATTTCCCACCCCGTCCACGGTTGCCGGACCAGGCTCGGAAAGCGAGTAGGGGAGGGACTCAATCAGAGACATTAATGCGGCGCGATTCAAAGAGCCTTCGTCATCATGATTGCCAAAGATGGCAGCATATGGGATCTTGCGCTTTATGAAGAGTTCAGCGAACTTGAAAACAGCCTGTGTTGGTACAATAGTCAGTATTGCGCTGTTTAGAACCGACAGTAGCAGAGATGCAAGAGGTAAAAGGACATACACTTTGTGCATCAGGCGCAGTATCGCCATTGACCTGATCGCCCGAGAGAACAACCAGGTCTGGCTTCTCGTCGTCCAAGACTTTTCCAATAAAGTCCAGTGTCCGCGTATCGGCGTCGCATTTGCCGCCATTCCATCCAGCTGGCTCAGGATCACGGCAGAGTCCAATGCCAGTAGCTAGATGTAAATCTGCCGCCTGCATGATCTTGAATTTGCCATCCTTGTTAATGCGTGGAATCGGCTTGGGGACGTCGCTCGGGTTACCGCGACGAATGCTGATCCGAGATTCTTGTATCTCGGCCGAAGTATCAAGCAAGAGAGGATGATCCTTGATTTCCCATCCAGGCCGCGGCTCGACAGCATCGGCACCGAAAAGCACATCGACAGCTGTGACGGCTTTTTGCGAGTCGCCCATGTGGGGTTTGGTAGATCGCTTCAGCCAGATTCCAGCTGGTCTTGCTTCCCATCGCTCGTTGCCTTCGCCTTTTTCGCCATTTGCAGGGTCCAGGCGCCCAATCTTCATATCGAGCACGACACGGTCGTCATCATCCAGCTCTTCCTCCTTCTTTCTCTGCACGTGCACATAGGCTCTGGATAGCCAGCTCTTGTTCAGGTAGAGGTCCTTTTCGATGCGATGCCATTTGTCGGGGTCGAGTCGGCAGCTGGAAATAGGATTGATAGAATTGCAAGTCTTTACAGTCACATCGACTATGACGAGACCGGGGTGGTGAGCGGGGAGGTGGTTGTGGATCGACGAGGGAAGGACACGGTATCGGTTGTCAACGAAGATGAGCAGAAGCACTGTGATCATGCACAGCACTCCAAGTTGGATGGCCGTGCGAACCTGATTGATGAATTTAGCTGCTATAAGCTCGAGAGATCATATGTATAACAGAGAAAGAGCACTCACCACCCTCCGCGTCATGTTGGGCACGAGAATAAACGCGGGGACAAGCAAGGTTGCACAGTATAGAGAAACAGCGATATATTTGGGCGTTGGCGGATTTGCCCCGTGAATCTGGGGGAGATAACTTTAGCTAAGGGACGGAAAGGGAAAGGGTCTAGTCGTACCGAAACTTGGGTGGTGGCGTTTACTGCGCGGTGGCTTCAGGTACCGAATACACTCGGCGTCAGGCCATTTCTTTTCTCCTTCTGGACCCTGAAATTTGAGAGACCAGCACATTTACACCATTATGAAACCTACAGGACTGTCGATTTGGAGAGCTCTCCGCGCGCAGGCTTTTGACTTTCCAGTCTGCCACAGTTGTCGCAGATGGATCGCGACAGGTCGATTAAGAGTCACTGGTACGGAATTGCAGTTAGCCCTCACGTTGACTTTTATGAAATGCTAATTCTGCAGAAAATGACACTGTCCTCCTCCGACGCAAGGATGACCTTAACGCCGGCCCAATCTTTACTGGACCCTTGACGCGAGGCAAGAAGGTTCAATCGCATACGGGCAATATCGGGCATGATGAGATCATTGGCAAGGAGATCAGGGATGTCGTCAGAACAAGCCGGGGTAAGTAATGCACGGGGAGGGATCCAAACTGTTTTTGCACCGGCCATTGAGGCTATTTGGGATAGCGGTTGACAATTCTACGTGTTCCAGGCAAAGAATATCGTATATACCAGCCGACATTGGCCGAATACGTGACCCTCACTCCTCGCATAGTAACTCCTGTTAGTATTCCCATAATCAATGGCTCCATCGAATGGGTGGGCTTACGATTGGGCTAATGGGTGACTGCTGCTAGATTTACCCCGCAGACGCAAACCTAATAGTATCATTATTAGACATACACGTTACTCCGCCAGAACCTGGAACCGAAGACGAGGCCGGGCCCTTGGAGATTCTTGAAGCAGGAACCGGTCATGGTGCTTTAACCCTTCACTTGGCTCGAGCGATTAGTGCCGCGAATGGCCGTTCGCCGAAAATTCCACCGCTTTCAGCTCAAGCTATCAACAAAGTCGTGTCCAAGGACCATGTCCAAGATCCGATTGAAGATGCGGACGCAAGCAATGACGCTCTAGAAGGAACTTCATCTGAAGAAGTAGCCAGAGCATCCCCCGAGGAAGAGGCATATGAGCAATGGAAGCGCGCCCGAAGCGCAATAATCCATACGGTTGACGCATCTGCCGAGCGCTCAGCTCATGCAGAACGGATAGTTCGCGGCTTCCGACACGGCATATACGCTGGGAACGTTGACTACCACGTAGGCGACGCTTCGCAATGGATAAAGGAACAATTTCAAACACGGCATGCAAGCTCTGGAGAGGAGCCGGGCAAGGCAGAGCCGTTCCTCTCGCACGTAATACTTGATCTACCTGGCACGCACCACCATCTGGACACCGTATCCCAAGCGCTGAGAGTGAACGGTGCGCTTGCGGTATTCAATCCGAGCATTACACAGATTACCTCTTGCGTGCAAAAGATCCGGCAACAAAGATTGCCTCTTGTGCTAGAGCAGGTCGTCGAGCTTGGTGCTGGCTCTACGGGAGGCCGGGAATGGGACGTTCGGGCCGTTCGACCCCGGGTCCTCGATCGAATGCAAGCGCAACCCGCCAGCGACTCAAGTGACGGCGAATCTACCGCTAATGGTCAATCGCCAAATGAAGCGCAAGAAACGGAGAAACCGCAAACTACCGATTCAAGGGAAGACGGGTGGGAAATGGTATGCCGGCCAAAAGTCGGCGCCAGAGTAGTGGGAGGAGGATTCCTTGCCATTTGGAAGCGCATGAAGCCGACACTGACGGGAGAGTAATTGCAATAATTCCGCCTCGTTCCTATGAGCGCCGTACAGAGATTAGACTCCTAGGTCTGCAACACAGTATATAATGCATCGAGCGAACAAGACGCAAAACCCCCACTCTAAGATTCTGCGAATGCTTTCAACTCTTTTTAGAGGTATTATAGATATGAGCACCATGTATACAAACACAATCTGAGAATAGACACGCCAATATCAAATCAAAAAAAAAAAAAAAAAAAAAAAAAAAAAAAAAAAAAAAAAAAAGATATCCAACTCTGAATTTATTGGTCCCAAACAAATCAACTAGAGCTTCGCCTTTGCCTGTGCGCTCTTCAGCACGGGCTCCATTTTAGTCGCTTTCATGACGTCCCCCTTGACCTTCAATTTGCCTGACATGAAGAGTTTCTGGGCATTGACCTTGCCGGCCACAAGTTTACCAAAATCTTCTTCGGATAACGAGAGGGTCACTAGACACGCCCAGATCGTCAGCACCTGCGTTCACATGAGACCGTAGCACAGCACTCCACCAGCTCAGCGCATGAATTCAAGGGGTTTATGTACCATCAGTCTTCTTCCCGTCAGGTGCCAGACCCTTTCCGACTGCTCCGCTCTGCTTCAAGTCGATATACCAGCTGTCTTCGGCGCCCGATTTATTCTTTAACGTAAAGGTAAAGACAGCGTTTCCCTTTTTGATGGCATCCTTTCGCTCCGCATCGTTTGAACTCAGCGAGCTTTTGATCAGGTCAAAAGCTGCAGACGAGGGGAAAGCGTCTGTGTAATATCAGCATTTGTTCATATGAAGGCTAGTAAATCGAAGAAAGGCTCACCGTTCTTTAATGACATGGCGGGCTTACGAGAGACAAGAGATCTATTTTATTCTAATATCTCAAGGAGTGTGTCAAAATTGGAGAGAAGATTGTGAGGGTTTTCAAAGCATCGAGATTCAAAGGAAACTCGATATTTCAAATGCAGCCAGTCTCGTGCATCTTATAGTCGGCAAATGTCCTATGCCGGCTAACTTTACTGTAGATGTGTTACCCTGAGAAGGTTATTTGCGGGGGGGACCTGGGGCTGAATCCGGAGAATTGGCACGTGAAGGTCCGAGGATGCCGCACTTAGTGTGAGCCCAGTAACTCTCCCAGACGATGACGCAGGGCAGTTTCGGCTGCCGAGCGATGTACGAAGTACTCTGTACCGATCTCAATCGAATATCGCAAGTTTGCAAGTTCACAAGTATATCATATAATGCAATATGCTACCACTCCCCCAACCAAGCTATGCCTCTCATTAGCATCAAAATAGTGTAAGTTTCACGACGATGTAAACCTCCGAGAATACCCAGCTCTGTGCACGCTCAGGGCCGAGTCTACTATAGACGTCCAACGACAATACTATCCTCTACCCAATTCGGCAAAAGGTCAACACCATGACGCAGCCCTGCCACGAACACAATACGACTCGACACGTCTTCTTGCGCCGTGGTTTCGTCTCAATCTTGTATCGTAGACCGTAAGACGAAAATCCAACGGTTTCCTAGATGGGTAAAGTAATTGAAATGGCAGAGTACATGACGCAATTAGCTACACGAACTTGACACGAAGACACGTCTCCCCAGGACCGCGTCTGCCAGCTGTCTACAGCGTCTGGGAAGTGTAGACGTTTGACGAAGTTTGAATTACTGCTTTGGGAAAAGAAAGGAGCAATGGGACTGGTTGGACGGGTGGCATGGTGGGATATTCACTATCTATGATTGTGGAGAACGGATATTATACTGTCCGGTATCCGGCTCCGAGCTGTGTTTTATGGATAAGAGATTTGGCAATGCGATATCTCTAAGACCTTGCTGCTTTACAACGCATTTTATTACAGTTAGTTATAGCTTCCTGCCTACTCATGACAGGGAGAATAACTCTTCGATCAATATCACCATACCCAAGCGCGTTGGCGCTCAGAAATATACGGGTTACTCCTCGCTTAACCTTGCCGCTTCACATGCTTCCGAGCTTCTGAGCACCAGGCGCCAGCTTTCACTACACTATAGCCAAACTCCCACCTGGAAGCTATACATTCTATAACTAAACATGATATCTCCAGTTATGCTTGTCCCGCACTGCTTACTACCAGTTCCCCCTTGACACCCCCACTGGACTCAAGCGCGAAATGCCTCGGCTTTTATCCCGCTGCGGCCCCTTAACCCCGGATGTTCCCCCCATTCGGATCTCCGATACGCTTCTATTACCCCAGACTTTGCTTCCTCATTGTCAGCAGGTCTCCTATTTCATGTTTTTAGAGGGATTGCCTAACGTTGTTGCTGATACGTGCTATCCACGACATTGTCCTGCTCTGCTTTCGGATGAGCTCTGAGCTCATAGCTTAATCACTTCTTGCTCTACTCAAATATTGTACACAGGTCATTAGGTTGGTCCTTTAGGCTTCTTCTCGCTGTCAACATTCAAGGATATTCCGGCAAACACCTTTGTTGACATTATTTGGCCCTTTCTACGCCGCATACTCGTTCTTCGTAGCTCTACAAACACTACGTCTGCGCATTACACCTGGCGACTGGCGACCGGAACAACTCTTATTACACTGTCCACAACATCAGGAACATCATCAGCAAGTGGTCTAAAGAACAGAACAGACAAATATGGCAGATTCAAAGGCTCCTCGCCCCAGCAATGCCACGCCCAGCGGCAGTGAGGAAGCATTTCTCCAGAATATAAAAAACGTCGAAACAGTCGAAGGAACGCATACTCTTGAGGACGGCACAGTGCTGTATACCAAGACATGGAAGGTTCGTTGTTTATTGTCCGTTGTCCTTTGTCCGTTGTCCATTTTATTACATTCTTCTTCTTCCTTGTTTTTTCCTCATTTTTTCTATTTTATTTTTTTACTTTTCTTTGTTTTTTTAATTTTTCCCGTCATTTATTTTACTTTATTTCTGTCATTTTCTCGTTTTCCTGCTATTTCCTTTCTATCTTTCTCCCATCTTTAAGATAATCTATTTCTTTCATTCTTTCATTCCCACCTTTTTTTACTTTATCCTCTTTCTGTCTTTCCCACGTTTTATATTTATTGCTATTCTATTTCTTACTGTCATCAATCCCCCTTCCCGTTCCATTCTCCTACTTCATCTACCCGACTCCAAACTCCAATACCACTGAACTCCTTTTACACCGTGGAAGCAGATCCACTGCGTTGCACTATGTGGTATTGTCTTGGAAGGGGGAATCCAGCTGACATGTGATTGCGATACAATATACCTCTCCGCCTCTCTACCGAAATACGCTCTGCCTTTACCCTTTGACCTTTCCTACCTTTCCCTTTCGCTTCCGCCTTTGCAGGTTCGCCGGTTCGCATGTTCGCCCAAACACCTAAAACTCCAAACCCTACGGAGTACTGTCCTTTACCTGCCTCGCTTGTAAACAAACTTTATTCCGCAGCCCAGCGCGTAGGCGAAGGGAATAAATCCTGGAACATGGATTTTGTTTACAGAGCGAGTAGGACAAGTAGGACAAGGACAGCCTCTATGCGAAATGCCAAAGACGAAAGCGAAAGGTGAGACTGCGTTAAGCTCAAGGGCAGAGTGACTACTTCGGTAGTGAAACGGGGGGTATATCTATCGCGATGCCACACCAATATAGGTCCCAACAAGTAGTCATGATGATAATATGACTACTGAGGAAAAGAACGATAAGGCAGCTGAGAGGAGAGATGATAAGACAACTGTAACGAGAGACGAAAAGAAAAGAGTGAAGAGATTGGCAAAATTGATATTCTTGCATGGGTTTAGTGATCACTGTAAGTTAATCTTTCAGTCTTCGATAAATGTTGTTCTATGATACCTTCTCGTCTCAATCTAATTCTGATTCTGGTTCTTATTCTAATATTCTGAATCATTTCTAGGTAATGCATATTACACCTTCTTCCCGAGCCTCGCGGCGCGAGGCATTGAAGTTTTTGCATTTGATCAGCGGTATGTATATAACACCAGACACCTTTTTAATCCTTTCTTAGAAAAAAAATGCCACCAAAATATAAAAACAATATAAATATAAAAAAAAATTAAAGAGGGGAGAAAAAAAATACAGAATTTGTATGCTAACATTCATGCAGAGGCTGGGGCCGATCTGTCCGGACCCCCTCAGACCGAGGCGCCAGCGGACCAACGTCCCAAGTGCTCGCAGACCTGCGCTCCATTTTATCCTCGCACATCCCCAGCACCACGGCCTCCACCTCCACTGCCGCCACCAGCACGAGCAGCAGCAACAGCAACAGCAGCAGCAACGTCCCCATTTTCCTCATGGGCCACTCCATGGGCGCAGGGGAGATCCTGTCGTACGCCGCACGGGGGGACGCACAGCAGAAAGAGCACATACGGGGATACCTCGCCGAGGCGCCACTTTTCGCGTTCCCGCGGGAGACGGAGCCCTGGAAACTGACCGTCGCTGCGGGGCGGCTCATGTCGAAGATGACGCCCGGGAAGCAGCTGGTGCGGAAACTGGAGCCGGCACTGATGAGTCGGGATCCGGTGGTATGTTCGAATTTTGCAAAAGATCCGCTTTGCCACGACACGGGCACGCTTGAGGGACTGGCGGGCATGTTGCAGCGCACGGCGGATCTGCGGAGCGGCCGCTGGAGCGTCCCCGCGGGGATAAGTCTCTGGGTGGGTCATGGGACGGAGGATAAGGTGACGAGCTTTGAGGCGGCGCAGGCGTGGGTTCAGAGCGCGCAGGCGGTGGATAAGACGTTTCGAGTGTATAGGGGGTGGTATCATAAGTGTGAGTATTATTTTTATCCCGTTTTTGTTTAAACGCCTTTTTCCCCCCTCCTTTTAGTTTTCTTTCATTCTATTACGCGGGTTTGATGATCGAGGTGTTCGCGGGGAGAGATTGGCAGAGTTGGGTATGACCGTATGAGGATCCAAGCTGACGGTAACAGTACATGCGGAGCCAGGAGAAGATCATAAGATATTTGCCAAGGATGTAGCGGACTGGATTCTTGCGCGGTGTAATACCCGGAGCCCCCGAGACAGTGTGGATCAAGTCGCACCTCCGATTGATATCCCGACAGCCAAGCTGTAGATTGAGGACTGACTGATTGAATTGATAATGGATCTTCTGTCTGCCTTATTTCTACAAAAGACAGCAAAGCAAATCAAGACATTTCGTCTCGTATATTGTCGTGGATGTAACTCTCAAGTCCCGCGTGATACCGTCGAAAGTGGATTTTCAGAAGGGATTGTTTAGGGAGAGGAATGGCCAAGCCGGTCTTGGCGTATAGCGTGCTGTCCGAGAGGGAGACTGAGATATAGCCAAGGATTTTAGAGAAGGAAAGAAAGAAAGAAAGGGAACAAGACAAATTAGTGAAGAAAATAAGAGACATGGAGGAGATCGAGGGAGAGGGAGAGAGAAACCGGCTCAATCTCATTCCTCCGTATCTTCCCTCTGCGCCATGTAGCCATATAATCTCCACAACAAAGCCTGCGAGTTAACAGCACCGTTTCTGCTCCCGTCTTTAATCAGGGCATACTCTGATGAGTACACGGGCGGCCGAACCTGTCGCAAATGCTGGACATTGTCTTCTCCGAGCAGCGCAACGAGATTATATACGGGGAGCTTTTTATTGGTTCCGATGGATAATATGGAGAAAAAGGACACTGGAGGATCGATTGTGATTGTGGCTCTTTGAGGCTCTCCTTTTTCTTCGACGGATTCTTGCATGTCTTGCGGTGCGCCGTCATTTGCGACTGTCGTCTCCTGATTCGACGAAAGAGGACCAAGCCACAATAGACAGGCGCCGTCTGACAGTCCTATGTTGATAGAAGATTCATCGCAATCCAGGGACAAAAGGGGTGACAAAGGAGTCACGTTGTTTCCTGCTTCCTGCGACTGCGCCAGATTCTCCAATCTGCGCATAACAACTTGGCGTAAAAGCACCGTGACAAATTCATCCATGTCGTTCCTCCACACGATATCCTTCATTGACGATCTCAGCATTTCTCGTTGTCGATGGGGGATGATTTGTTGCCATCTGCGGCCCTTGGCGTGCGTGAGTACGCGCAATAGGTCTTGTCGTGCGAGCACATATGTCCCTAATCCACGCTTTTCTTGCACATTCTCATCTTTGCCATCTTTTACACCCTCGCTCTCTGTTTCCCCGTTTGCTGGTTTCACCGCTCCCGCTTGCTGCTGGCTGCTGCCCCGAGATCCCACCGTTTCGATATTCTCGGGAAGGTACCACGGGGTGCCAGTTGTCGGATGCGCAATGAGTCCGTAATTGATCAAAAAGAACCGCGGTAACCGTGTGGCTGTGACGCTGCACATGCGTATGGGGGTGGATAATGCTATTGCTGTAATTTCACATTACATTTAGCACAAGCTGAGATAATAAGGACCCGCCAAAACCACATATTCGCAGATATATCAAGACAGTACAAATGAACGAAACACGACATACCGTATGGATTCTGAGCAAGTTTTTGTTGAAAAGGCGTCCTATCGTGCTTATTATTCTCCGGTCGCGGTTTCGGCGCGCGATACTTGCGAGTTGCCTCTTGCGCAACTGGATCTAGAATCGGCGGTAACGGCAGCTTTTGATCCTGCGTTTGATAATTCTCGTTCGCTTGTGTGGTTCGCTTTTGTTGGGAGGTATTGATCTGTCCAGGAGTCGCGGATGTCGCAGCCGTCGTAGATTCCGCAGCCGTCGTAGCATTAATAGTCGCAGTTGTAGTGGATGACGCAGCACTGGTACATCTCGATTGGACGAATCTAGAATCATAGCGAGCCATACAGCGCTTGGAAACATGGGTTGTAAGAGCCGAACATGATCTGCTGCTGCTTGATATGCGGCGCGGCCATTGTGGTGAGGATGCACGAATAACGCAACGATATGGTGTTGTAGGACCTCTCATCACCGGCGGAAAAACTTCAAGTCGAAAAGATATCAGCTATAAAAAATTGGGTACAGCGCGGTGATACATAAAATTAGGTAAATTAGGTAATGAAGACAGTGGAGATTGGTCAATTAAGACTGAGATTATATATAACGACTCTGCAAAGCGTGGGACCTGAAGCGGATAAACAAAATCTGGGGAACAAGTCATGCTAAAGGTCGGAGGGTCGGAGGTTTGCAGGCCTCGCTTACAAGAAAGCTGCTGCTGCTGTCGCTACTTTAGTTGTGAGTTTTGCTTGGCAGGGGTCCAATCCTCAACTAATCTTCACGTCCTTCAATGGGATGAGTGCTGTTAAATTTGAATTGGTCATGATCTTGGATTAATTAATGGAGAACCAGACAATATTAATAGAAATCTATATAATGCATCAAAATCTGTGGGTGCGAGTGGTATTAAGAATAACTGGAGAAGCGCAGCCAAAAGACGTCGCAACATGAGCGCCTTCAAAACTTTCGATAATGGCTCTGAGGCTCGAGTAGAAACCGAGTATGGCCGTGGCGGCAGCACCCAGAGCGAAAATCAAGTTGAACAACTTGACTGGCGATTGCTTCGCTATTCCCCGTCGCCAACGGCGCCAGCCCGAGTCACGTCGTGTCACTGTTCGTGTGACTGGATCGAACCCTTCGCCCTCTTGCATGGCATCCTTTTTGATCTCGAACCCAAGCATGAGGATAGGCGGAAAGGTGTACGTGAATTGCTGAATGCAAAGCGCTGCAATCAGACTGGAAATGTTGCTGAATTGAGGAACGGCGGTGGCGATGACAAAGGCGAGGAACCAATAAAGTGGAATCAAGAAGATCCAGAGTATCTGGCCCACGTGAGAGTCAATGTCCGGACCCTTGAACCCTTCTTGCACAAAGGTCTGCCAGAGGAGCTTGATGGCAATGTTACTGCACAGGGCTCCGTAGATGACACATTGTACAATGGCAAGCACGTTGCCGACGCTTTGCCATGCGTATGGCGAGAGACCCTGGTACACGGGGTTGATGGTGAATTGTCCCTGGTACGAATATGTAAAGAGTCCAAACAAGAGGTAGCAGCAGTAGATCAAGCCCTGGGCGCAAATCATGCCTTTCCAAAAGTCCCATGGGCGTTTCATTTCCGACATGAACTCGCAGAAAATCATGGCGCCCCCATAGGCGTAGACCGACTGCATCAGGCCAACAAGCTCAGCCTGAAAGCCAACTTCTGGCGGGGAGCCTGCATGGGTCACGACTGGTCCCTCCGGCACACCATTGTTCGCCAAGGCGGCCTCGAAGTTGGGTGGGCTATTCGCCGCGACGCCCATGACCAGAAAGGCAATGATGAGGTTGACCCAGATACAGCTGTGAGCAACCCAGCTGAATTTCTTCAACGATCGGATTTGCCCTAAGAGGCTGCCTGCCGCTGCCCACACAACGCAGCAAATGACGAAGCAGAGGCTTCCTCTGGTCACTTGTGACAAGGACTGCGCATTACCGAGGATAACGATTCCGACATTGAAAAGCAACTGAATCGACTGCAGAACATTGCTGCAATGCCGTGCCCATCTCCCGTAGATTCGAAAGACCAGATCGCCAAAATTCTTGACGGGGTATTTGTAAGAATCTAAATTGAGAAACATGCGCCATAACTGATAGCCGGAGCTGGTGATGACATGTCAGATTCGATACTTTCAAAGAGCCAAAAGCGATCTGTCCGCGCTGAGCGTGAACAGCCTATAATCGAATGAACTAGAGGAGATTGACATACTAGCCAGCAAATGCCCCAAACACTGTATATAAGACGACACCGGGACCGTAGCCCATCTTGGACATTGCCCATCTTAATAAATTAGTTTCTAATTCGTATTTCTTCGGAGGTTAGGTGACTTACGGAACGGACCACGGCCCCAAAATGTCTGTGGTGATTAGATAGAAAACAGTGCCCCAGGTGGCGGCCCGGCGGGCTCTCGCAATATGATACCAGTCCTCGTCACTGACCAGGGACTGTGAGCTCAAGGTCGAAGAGGGACTGATTTTAGGATCCGGCTTCGGCTCTGCTGATTTCTCGGCCGAGTTTTCTGCCTTTGGCTGAGAGTTCTTGTCATGCATGGGCCCAAAGCGTCGCCAAAATGCACTGAGCCGCCTGGTCGTGATATTCGCCTCGGATTGCTGAGCTTCAAAAGTTCGTGTCAACGAGGCATAGTAAAGATATTCCTCAAACTGCACACTTGAATCGTGAGGATCGCCAGGGGCTTGAGATGTTAAAGAAGTGCCCGCTGGCGTCCCAATAGGATGCGCCATGATCAATTTGATAACCGTTTTCTGGATTGCATCGCTCTCCTTGCGGCGTCTGAAAATTTTGAATATGAAGTTCGGTGGCAATTGAGGGGAGTTTATGCAGCCCAGCGGTTCATTTCTTTGGATGAGGGAGCAGTAGTAGCTTGAGTATGTGGACGTAGATGGCCTCGCAGACACGCCATGGCATGAAGCCAGGAGATATATCCACAAAAGTCGTCAGGAATTCTTAGCTTATGAGAAATTAAGATGTAGGCTTGGGCAGCAGAGAGTGAACCCATGAGAAGGGTTACCGCTTTAGCTGAGAGTGATACATTCAGTAATAGCAATGCGTACTAGAGAAGGGGACTAGTTAGTTAGCTCTATAGGTCACTTTTCGGGCGGGGAGGGATTTCGGTGCTGGGGGGGAGGAGGAAGAAGGAGAACGGGTATGCTCCACAGCGGGCAAAACTCCGCGTGTTCCCGGCATAAACTCTGTTCTAATCGTCGTGGACCTTCCCAATTCTGATCATGCTAAACCCACCAAAGAATCCTTTCCCTTTCCCCTCGTTCCTTTTCCCCCCTATCTGCGTTGTCTTTCATTGTCTTGTATTGCGTCCAACCTGCGACATGACATATTATTCAACGTGTACAGAGTGACTGTGTCGTAACTTATTGGTCACGTACCACGCAATTGGTTCGATCCCGAGTCCCGAGGGGTCCACTTTTTCCAATTCAATCCAAATATTGTGAAAGGCGCAGCTATAAACGCCATTCATTTGCTGGGGCGGATAGGGCGGGAGATTACTGTACATTGCGATTTGGAGGTTGGCGTGGTGCCCGCGAGGAAGGGCGATGGCGTATCGTAGTGGACGGTGCAGAGTGCTAGTCATACGGCCGTAACTGGATTCATGCTGGGGCGAAAAATAAAAGGGCAAGGCACAACGCCTAGAACCCTGCGACAGCAAATTCTCCTACAGAGGTTAGAGGAGAAGGGCAGCAGCAGAAGAAGAAGACAGAAGTAGAGGTAAACGCGTTCAAAAAGCCACCAAGCGGATTTGGCCATTTACAATTGTACTTATTCTACGCCCCCCTTAAGCCATGATCGGACTAGTCGTCATAACCACCAACTTGATTCAACTCGCAGAAATTCTCGCAGGAATTCACCTCTACTCTAGCTAGCAAAGCTTATCTACAAGATCCCATCCTCCGGGATCCCGATTGCTTGGGTTGACTTGCCGCCAGTCTTATGTCCAGGCCCAATGCATTATCCGATGACGGTGCCAAACTCAATTCCCTATTCCGGCACCGTTGGGCACATGTCACTTAGGAGGCAAGTCCGCGTCTCACAATGAGCAGCAACAGCAGTAGCAGCAACATCTCACTCGACTCTCTCTGGTGTCGACGAGATAACATCATTATTTTCCGTTTTCCCCCTTTCCCACCTAGTCCTGATTTTTTCCGACCCGTCTCCCGACGTCTCCCGTGTCAAGTGTTGCACAAACGACAGGTCAATCTGATTCACGCGAAAGCATGTTGATCCAATGACGATGACCGCCGGCATCAGCATTTGGACGCACCCCTTTGATAGGCGCCAGAATGTATCTCTTTGGGGAGACGCGCCAGGGCTGACCCGCTTGTTGCCCCTGGAAAAAAAATATTTTTAGATGTTGGGATCAGGCCAAATTCTCCAAGGGAGCATTGATAACCCTCAGTTGGGCTGCACGTTTTGTGTTGGCGAGCGGGTTTGAGGATTCGAATATTGTCGAATCTTTGCCAAGTCCGTCCGGCAGTTGCGTTTCTTATCAGGCCAGAGAGGCTCTAGCGGCACGTAGAATAATAGGCAAGAGGTGCCGACGAAGAACGCTCAGTCCTTCATTTCGACGTCGGTGTTCTCCTTTGGCTGCTCAACGCTGTCCGCAAGAAGTTCCCTGGCTTTTGCCCACAGCTCTGCTTCCATCTCTTTGCCAACCTCATCTCGCCTGCTGTTGAGCCAACCGACGTCCAGATTTCCCAATCCACCGGCAGCAATGCCTCCTTTATCAGCCGCAGCTTGAGCCTGGGTATTCGAAGACGTAGCTCCCGCCAAGGCAGGCAGACCGGGACCCGCTTGATCGGGCGAGACAATGTTGGCTTCCTCGAGCGCGTAGATCTGACGCCGTAAACGAACAGTGATAGAGGATAAAAGGGAGAAATAGCGTGCAGTGGCAGAGTTGAAAGCTGCCTTGTGCGCGTCAAGGGGTTGTGACTGGTCGGAGGATTCGGCGGATTCGGGCGGAGAAGTAGTCAAGGCTTGCACAGCGAGACCAGCAGAATGGAGCAACGCAGAGACATCCTGTCAGACCCGTATTAAGTCAGAGCTTGTAGATGCATGATTTTATCGTTAGACATACTTTTTCAATGTCATTGAGCTGCTTGATGCGGTCTGCGGCTGTAAATGTCACGGAAGCAGACTGAGCTCCTTCGGGGTCGGACATGATCACAGAAAATGATTGTATTTCAGAGACCAAATGGTCGGAGATAGAAAAGGAGAAAATGAGAGCTACAGATTTGGCGACACGTCTGGGGCAATTGAGCGACGCGTGAAGTTGATCAAGTGGTGTTGTGTGGGGATAGTAGTAACTCATAACTAGAGTAATGGCATGCGAACGTGAACATTTTGGTGTTGCGGCTCCGGTGATCGTCACACTTGTGCGCTAGTGCGAGATGGGAATGCGAACGGATGCTAATTACTCGTAACTCGTTCTTTTATATACAGGCGACTTAGCATACATATATCAAATATCCATCAACATTTTTCGGCATCGTTGCAGCGTTCCTTGGGCCACATTGAAGGCCGGAACAGCTATATACAAGGAACGAGACTCATCGAGTCACGTCAAACTTGTGCGACAATCGTCCAATCGAATTCATTGGACTGGTGACCGCAAACAATGTCTGGCCAAGTGCCAGGCGGCGCGGTTCCGCCAGGGCCACGGAGTGCAAGTCATGGCCCTCCCAGCGCTGGCATGGCGATGCCCCCCCAACAGACGCCGCCGCAGCCCGTCAATCCTCCTACGGCCTCTGGAGGTTCGACTGGCACGGCAGGCGGTGGTAGCATTTCACAGCAAAACCTAAATAGCATAGTAAGTAATGAATTGTTGAAATTTGAAAATTTGACACTGTCATCTTGTTCAAGCCTGCCCCTGTTTGTATTTATTTGCAGATTGTTCGAGTAAATTATTGTATTTGTTGCATACCAGCTTCTGTTGTATCTGTGCATATCTTCATCTTTTTGATGGATGGAATCCGTCGTCGGAATTGAGCAAGTCCTGGGTTCATCGTGGAAACCTGTAAATTTGATATCAGCATTTCGTCTCTGGTTTTGGAGCTAAACCGGCAATGTCTCGGGTCTCTGTGGAAATGCCGTTTTATCAAAGCTACCAGGCTGGGTCGCTGGACTTGCTCTTGAGAGTCGCGCCAGATCGGGTTGGAGGCTACTTCGAGCATGTGCATCGCTGTGACAGCAGCGCTCATGAGTGTTCAGAAGTTGGATTTTCTGGATCATCTCGCTTCTACAATTTGCTCAGGTGCCAGGATTGATGCCATTGGATTGTGCCTACCATATTCTGGCGGGTCTCAAATTCACTGTGCGGCTACAGTACTTTCTCTTCTCAGGAGCACTGGCCCGCTCATCACATCAAATCGACACACGTTGCAAGCCGCGTTCACCAGCCGCGTTTGGCAAGCCACAAGGAACTAGACACTGGGTAACGTTCTTTCTGTTTTTGTATTGCATCTTGAACTTTGAAGGATCATCTCTAGATGGCAGCCTTCAGCGTCTACGATGGCCACTCCAAGCTCGACTTCCAAGATGGACCCCCAACAGATGGACAAGAAGACGAATGCTTTGGTATTATCTCTGCAGGGACTTGTTTGCTCTGCTTCTCAGAGATGTTTAGCGATGTCATCCTCGTTGTTTATCTCTTTTGTTGCTGTTTTTGTTCTACAGGCTGTGTTTGCTTCATTTCCGCTTGCCATTTTTATTCCTTTGGACAAACTATTTTCTTTATCCTCGGCGTCAAGCCTTTGATATTTCATCTAATTTCCTCAGCTCATCTTTGTCGCCTTCTGCTTGAAGTCGTATCAATGGCCTCAGCTGACCTCTAACCTTTTCCATAGGTCATAGAATACTTGTCAAAGAAAGGCTACAGCCGCACTGAGGCCATGCTCAGAATGGAGTCGGCAAACCAAGATTCAGATGGTCGTCCCATTTACTCAAGAGTCGAAGATAGTGGCGGCGAGAAATATCTCCGAGCTTTTGGTAAGTTGAGCCCAGTCATTTCTCATGTCGAATCAAATCATACCAGGGTCCAGATTACTAGGACGCACGGGTTGGGAGATACTTTTGCCTTGTTTGAGACGCAATGTATAGTTTCTTAATACTAACGTTGTTCGATAGGTCTTACGAAAACTTGGATTGATGACAATCTGGAGATATACAAGGTATGGCATAGCTCAGGAGTTCGAATTCTGTTTCACATTTCTCACAAATTCGGCAGCCCGAACTGAAGCGCCTTCTCTGGCCCCTCTTCGTTTATTCGTTCCTCAATCTTGCCGGTGATTTTTATCCCAAGGATTGCGAGCGATTCTTTGTCGCCTTCAAGGACATGTTCGCGCGTGAGCATGCCGACGACCTTAGAGCGTTGTCGGCGATTCGCCTCCCAGAACACGTCCAGAGCAACGAAATTGCCAAAATCTATCGGGGCAACAAATATCGGCTTACCCTCAGCTCCATTGCATACTATAACCTAGTCCAGTTCCTGGAGTCCAAAGAAAAGGACGGAGGAGCTGTAATTGTGCACCTTCTCCAGAATCATTTCAATATCGTTTCGGTAGATCGGAGTGTTACTGGAGATGGCCGCGGTAGCCTTGCGAGCGTGCTGCGAAAGGCCCAGGAGGAAGGCGACATGCCAGCAGAGGACGAAGGCATCCCAGGACATAACCCAGGATCAGCCAATACCGACAGAAATGCCCCCGCAGTGCTTCCTAGGCTCAAGCTAGGGCAGATGCCGATGGAGCAGGAACTCATGCAAGACGTGCAAGCCGAACTGGAGGAGGAAGACGTAAAGAATCCCCCGGCGGAGGGACAGAACACACTCGTGCAAGAGTTTGAGAAGCAAATCAAACGCGAGGAAAGCGAAGAAGCTCCCACGCGAGATGACATTCCTTACCCGCCGTCCGTTGCCCGCGACGTCGCCATGGAGGTCCAAAGGATCAAGGAACACCGAGATCGATTCCGGATTGATGGTCGCACTGGCGGCGTCGGCACAGGTGTCAGCGTGACCATGTTTACTTTCCACAATACCCACGACAGGTTCGTTTTATCTCATCTACATCCCACAGCCCTTCCCCACTCAAGCCTCATCACGCCCTCTCCAAACCTCACAAACTAACCAATCTCACTTCTGCCCTGTAGCATCAACTGTCTCGACTTTTCCCAAGACAATACCCTCGTCGCAGCGGGCATGGAAGAATCCTACATTCGCGTCTGGAACCTCGAAGGCAAACCCATCACGTCCAATCTGCCCTCCTCTTCAAAGCACGGCGGCATGTCGCATCAGCAACAGCCATCCTCTTCTCGCCGACTCATCGGCCACTCCGGGCCCGTCTACGCCGTCTCTTTCTCGCCCTGTATCGCCAATCCGGACCCGAACGGGCCCTCAACCGCAGCACGGTATCTCCTCTCCTGCTCCGCCGACAAGACAATCCGGCTCTGGTCACTCGACACCTGGACCAATCTCGTAGTCTATAAAGGCCACGACCACCCCGTATGGGATCTCAAATGGGGCCCCTTCGGACACTACTTTTTGACCGGGGCGCACGACAAGACCGCTCGCCTCTGGAGCACGGATCACATTTCCTGTCTGCGCATCTTTGTCGGCCACGACCAGGACGTCGACACCGTCGCCTTCCATCCCAACTCGGCCTACGTCTTCACCGGAAGCTCCGACAAGACTGTGCGCATGTGGGCCGTCACCACCGGAAACCCGGTCCGCCTCTTCACCGGCCACGTCGGCAACCTGACCGCCCTCGCGTGCAGCCCTAACGGCAAGACTCTCGCCTCCGCCGACGACGCGGGCGCTATCATCATCTGGGACCTCGCCACCGGCCGCCGCGTCAAGCGCATGCGCGGCCACGGCAAGGGCGGCATCTGGAGCCTCAGCTGGAGCGTCGAGTCCACCATTCTGGTCTCTGGCGGCGCTGACTGCACCGTTCGCGTCTGGGACGTGACTACTCCGACCGACGGCGCCCAAACTAGTACCACTACTGCTGCTTCTGCCATTGTTGCCGGCCCCGGCGGAACTGGAACTGGAACTGGAACTGATGCGGCTTCTTCTTCCTCAAATGCCCCCGGATCCGCCACCGCCGCTTCGTCCACTCAGGCCGGCGGCGGCGCCGGCGGCGGCAAGTCCTCGGGTGAACCATCAGCTGCCGACAAACCCGATGGACAGCAAGCAGGAGCAGGTATTACTTCGGAAAAGGCATCTTCTGGTGCACCTGGCGGCGCTTCTACGTCTTCTTCTACTTCCGCTGCCGCTGCAGGTGGTGGTAGTGGTGCTGCAGGAGGCACCAGCTCAGCAACCACTGGAGCAGGCGGCGCCGGTCCCTCCGCGCCAGGCGCGAAGAAGAAGTCTGGCAAGGAAGTCGTCATTACGCCGGACCAGATCAGTGCGTTCCCGACGAAAAAGTCGCCCGTCTATCGCGTCCAGTTTACTAGACAGAATCTGGTCATTGCTGGCGGAGCTTACATGCCTTAGTGTCTGTCTTCGTTGCTTGTCTTCGATGCGTGTCTTCGATGCTCGGCTTGGTTGTGGTACGTTGTTTCACACCTATTCAAGTCGCGATGTGGTCGCAGGGGGGGGGGGGGAAGGTGAAAGACGTGAAAAGCTTTGAAGAGAAAAAAATATGAAATGTTTCTAGGGGTTTCTACGGTACTTAATTTTTTCATTCGTCGTTACAACTGCTGGGTTTAATTTTTCAGACAAAGTTCATGTCATTTACCCCCGTTTTTAGATTCACTTGGTGAATGCGAATTAAATCAATTGAATTGAATTGAATTGAATTGAAATTGAAATTGAAATGTCAATTGTTTCTTGAGTAGAATGGTATGACTATATAGTGAAGATTTTGTCACATTGGACTGAAATACACAGAGTAGAGGCGTGATGTCGTTCGTTTCTAGGTATACATGTAGGTATCGGTCTAATACCAACAGGAATGAGGTGAGATGTGATGCGTGAGATATGATGACATGAGATGTGACAGAAAAGAAAGAAAGTCAAAGGTGTATAAGGATAAGAAACGACGAGAGAGATCCGTAGGACTTGAGGAAGAAGAATAAGAATGCCGAAGGGCAGAAATGGAGGCAAAGGTAAGAGGTTGAGAAAGAAAGAAAAGGACAGGGGATGAGTAAAAGAGAGAATCAATCACTCATTCTCTTCGCCCCTCCTTTTCAAAATCTTATCAACAATGCCCAATTCGAGCGCCTCGTCCGCGCCCATGAAGAAATCTCGCTCCATCAATTTTTCAATCTCGTCCAGGGTATGCGGCTTGGTCAAGTGTCTCTGATAAATCTTATTCAACTGGTTCCGGACCCGCAGGATTTCCTTGGCGTGAATGGCAATGTCTGATGCCTGTCCAAAGTATCCGCCAGATGGCTGGTGCACCATGATGCTGCTGTGTGGCAGGCAGAATCGTTTGCCTGGTGTACCGCCGCAGAGCAGGAGTGAGCCCATGGATGCGGCTTGGCCGACGCAGATTGTTGACACGGGCGAGGATATGTATGACATGGTGTCGTATATGGCGAGACCTGGTGGACGGAATTAAGCAGCGAGGTCAGCATCTCTAAGGGCGAAAAAGGAAGGACTGAGAGAGTTGCAAAGGATGGCCGTAAGAAGAAAAGCATATTTACTGACCTGCTGTGACTGAGCCCCCGGGAGTGTTAATGTATAAGTGGATGGGTTTCTCGGGGTTATCTGCCTCGAGAAAGAGTAGTTGGGCGACTATGGATGCTGAAAGAGTCTCGTCGACAGGGCCGTTGAGAGATACTATTCGTTCCTAGAGAGTGAGAGTCAGATTTCTGGGGTGATGTAGAAAGCTGCGGGCCGTATAGTAAAATGGTATTGTAACATACCTTGAGTAATCTGGAGAAAATGTCGTCTTCCACGGGTAGAGTCAAAATTAGCATACTTCTTTCCATGACATTGTCGGAGCATTGAAAGGAAGCAACAATGTGGTATATGGCATTAACGCGGAGCGGCAGTATAGGATGCATGGACACAAGGTTTCAGGCGAAAGAATTCGACCAATGTTGTATCCATAATTTCCTTTCCGCCTTCTATAGCCTTGAGGCTAAATGAAAAGCGGTTATAAGAAGAGCGCGGCGGGGGTATTCAGAACGACGGCGAAGGGGATCGCTAAGAGAGTAGCCAAGCTTACATGTGTGCCAGCCACCTCCCTACAAAGTCAGCTTCATTCAAACCAATCTCAGAAGGAAAAATAACATGAAAATATCAGCCAAGCGAATATATGGACACGCTGTACGGGCATCGTAATCCAATGCAAGCATGGCCCGTCACTTTGCACAGCGCCCAAGCGCGGCAAAGCCACGACGTTTTGCTCTCCGTGAACCAAATAAAATCAATTGCATACCACTGTCTCAGTCACAAATGGTGTCGGTGTCCAACCTCGCGGGTATACTCGTGAAGCGGGCGGCGGCGGGGGCGGCCATGACGGATTTCTGCCGGCGTCGTAGGATCGTGTAGTGGAACTCGAGAAACATCGTGTAGCTAGAGATGGAGAGGATGATCGAAGACCTAATCGCGAAGCATTGGTCACGGCGGACCCGCAGAGAGGTGCGAGAGATAGTGTCTTCATATTATTATGGAACCCTTCCTAAGACTAGCGGAGGAAGAAGAAGAAGAAGATTTGAATGAGAAGTTGCAATAGTTAATGTGTGGATGGCTTGTGCTGCGGGTTCCTGGCGGTGATGTATGAGCTTTAAGGTTCGATGGGTCCGTGCCCTGGGGCCATATCCGTCCCCATCCAGTCTCGGTTGCGGCTGACACTTTTGGCAGCAGGCACAGTCCCAATAACATACTCTTCGGTTATGGCTTCTTTTGAGAGCCAAAAAGGAGCCACCAGGTGGAGGCCTACACAGGTTATTGTTCTAATCTTCTTTTTTCAGCCCTGGGAAGAGTGAGATTCAGTGGAAGGGCCCATGTGTCTCATATACGGCAGGCTCACGTAATGCACTAAATCGAGCCACATAATGGAGGGCACTAGATTGCAAACCCTCTATCAGGGAGACTTGTCTGAAGGACGAAATAAGACGTTTGTAGAAAAGCTACCTAATACAGAAAAGGAAAATCGCACGCGGAAGGCTACGCCGGAAAATAGAGGGAGAAAGAGAGAAGAAATAAACAGCGAAAAGAAACCGTAAAACCCAGAGAAAGGAAAGAGGAAAGGGAAAAAGAACTGACGAGATTCATTGCTGCGGAATAGACCCCCGATGTCTTGACAAAAAGAAACATCAAAGGAAAACCCAAACACCCTCCGGCCGGCTCCCTACAAATAACAGTAAATGAGAAATAACAACGTCAGATCCCACAACGTCCTCTTGTCTTCTGGATCCCTCCAAAGAATCACCTGCCACGGCCTGGTGACGACAACGTGACACACACATATGCCGATCCTCCGTGGCAGCAACAACGTCGGCGGCGAGAAGGAGAGCAAGGGACGTGAGTATGTGCAAATGTAAGGTGACGAGGAGTAAATGTCGAGACGTGTGAGGACTTAGTTAAAAGGTGAATAGTGGGAGAGAGAGGAGGAAGAAGAAGAAAAGGAAGAAGAAGAAGAAGAAGCAGAAGAAAGGAAAAAAGGGGGAACAATGACTTGAGTAAAAGACGGAAGAAAACAATGTTTCTAATATCTTAAACAGCTTCCATCGCCATCACGTCCTCCTTTCCCGCTGGGGCCCGAAGTCTGCCGTAACCGCTTTCTTTTCTCTCCTTTCCTTGACCATAAACTCCGATAATAACGCCAGGTGATCACTAGGGAAATGATAGTTAGGGAAGCCCGGTACCTTTCGTAGGTACTCTTTGTCAACCTCGCCGAGCAGGCCAGTGACCTGCAAGGCGTTTGTCGAGTACCAAATGTAGTCGACAACTTCTGTGAATCCGGGTGTATAATTTGTAAAGCTCAATTCGCCAACATTGGAGTAACTCGACTTTAGGTTGAATGGATGTGCCATACCCTCACGCGTGAAGTTACCGTATCCTCGGTTTGCCAGATCCGGGTGAGATTTGGATAGCTGGCCATGAGCGAGCAAATCATAGGCTCCCGAATCAGTGGTCGAATTGTAATCTCCACTTACAATGAGAGGGATTTGTACGCCGGTAGAGTATTGCGCTGACGGTGCAAGCTCTTGAGGTGGTTCAGGCTCCGATTGTTTGCCTTCTTCGCTGTCATCTGAAAGTTTGAACGCCGCCTTATCAATGACAGGAGGCCACTTGGCGTATTTTTCGGATAACTTGGCCACTTGTTCCAAGAGAATTGCTACTTGCACCAGCTTTACGTCATTGTACGCGGGATCCCAATGCATATGGGCATTCACGACAATGAATCTCGTTCCAGTAGCACGGTTCTCTAGAAAGACGACTACAGCAATGTTGTCACGGGGCATGACTCGATTGAAGATGTCATGCTCACCTTTCATATCTGGCCGGTTGATTGCAGTGTTGGCAATGTCGATGATTTGTTTGTCCAACAAGAGATACCTGGAATGGGTAAATTAGAAACAGAAAGGGAATAAATCTTTAGGGCATGGTTGAGCTCATGCTTACTTGCTGGATTTAAAGAAGGTAGCGCAACCGTCAACCAGCTTCGCTTCCTTCTCTGCCATTGTTCGCGCTCTCGATTTTGGCCAGAACACCCCCCTGTAGTCATTGTATGCCAACTGCGGTCGGAAAAATTCGTTGTAATTGTCCATGTCAACCTCTTGCAAACAGAGAATATCCGCATCTGGTTCGCGGATTTCCTGAAGGATCAAGTCTTTTCGGTACTCCCATGAGAGCGCCAGTGATGGTGTGTAACCGAACTGCGTGTGTGTGGCGTACCGGTCGCACAGCGTGTTATAGCTCAGAACAGTCAACTTCTCTTGAGGCGGCCCAGTAGCCGGCGGAGGCGTGTCATCCAGGACAATCCAGTCTCTCTGCTGCGGAGGTAGTGAGACTGTGCTTTGTCAGTTTCGTGTTAATGCATTTGAAGGCAATAAAAATATCTCCCTAGCACTGGATATGCGCAGATCATTTGGACTTACCTGGAGCGCTCTCTCGTAGATGAGTAACGAGAGCCTTAGTCCCATTCTGAACGAGTTGATCCTTGAGCGAATCCTCGAGCGGGTTTCCTTCAATGCCCAAGAACTCGAGTTGGTAGAGGTAGCCCAGCTCGTACGGAAGCGAGTGCAGATTATTGTCAAACAACAACAGGTTTTTCAGAGACGAAAGCATTCCAATCTCAGCCGGCAGCTCGCTGAGTTGGTTGTTCGACAGATCCAGGTGTGTCAGATGCCGTAAACGCCCAATAGCAGCTGGAAGATGTGTCAACTTGTTGAAGTTGAGATATAATTTATCGAGAAAAGTGTAATTAAAGAGAGGCTCCGAAAGCGCGCGAAGCCCCTGGCCTCCGAAATCCAACGACATCCATCGTTGACGTTTCTTATTGTCCTCGCCTGTGGCCCGGTTACGCTCCTCATTGTCTCCTTCCTTTCGCACCCCATTCGTGGCCGTTGTGGTTATTCCCTTGTTGATATGCGCATTAGTGCGAGCGTAATGGTGGGGAGAACTCGCTTGTCTTGATTCAGCAGCCATTTGCAACTGATGAGCCCAATGCTCGCTCAGCGGCTTCGTCAAAGCGGCCGTACCCGACGTCGGGGTCCCGTTTGGAAGGTGCGTAGAACTAAAATGAGGCGTCGCTGTTGACAGGGTCCCCGAGAAGGCATGCTGGTGCGCGAGGTTGCCGGCGTGCGTGCTATGCGCGGTGTGGTCCTGCTGTGGTTGATGATGGTGTTGAGTCTGATGGTGCGCATGGTGATTTTGATGTTGAAATTTCTGCGCCAGGTTCATCTGCATGGCAAAACGCTGCTGACTTGGCCCACCATTCATCAGGTGCTGGCCCTGCTGATGGCTTTGACTGAACATGGCGTAGAGATTGTGGGCAGGAGACTGGGCACCGGGCGAGCGTGTAGGAGATGGAGTGTCGTTAGAGAAGCCTACTCGCCCGGCATGCACGGGAGAGCCGTTTCGAGGAAGATGGCGTTGGTGGTGAGTCTGCTGCGCACCGTGAGGGAAGAAGAACTGTCCAGCTGTAGGCTGCTGGAAGCGGTAGGTACCATCTGCCATCTACTGATGCAGACGGGGAACCTGTAGAATACCCTAGAAGACTGATCGATGTGGAGGTGGATGAGGTGTGAGATACGCGATCAGGGGGCGGTCTCAGGTTGATGCAGAAAGGAATCGGAGTCGTAATCTTCTTCGTTTGAACATGGGATAGTGACGGGCTGGCTTGCATCAACGCAGTCCGCGGGGACAGGAAGCAACAAGGCAGTCCTGCCCGTCCTCTTGGCACCGTCAGTCCGTAGGACCCTGCTACTGCCGCCGCGGTTTCTAGTGTTTAATCGTGCGTACAAGCTTTGCAGATCGAACTAAATGCCAGCTCTCAGTCGTCTGGCAAATAATTCTACTGCAGCTATACGAGACTGGGGTTCAGAGATGCGCTCGATGCCACTGCTTGGTGCGACAATGGTCCTGTCTCAATGCGGTCAGCTCAGTTACCTTGAATCAACCAAGTCCGTCTGGAGAACAGAGTGTAATCATTCAGCCTATCCATTGCATCTGCCAGTGAGCAGAAACGGGATCAAGGCGGGCAGGACGAGGCCACGACAAGACCTACGGTCGGTTGCTTTAGACTCACAATGGCACCGGTCGGATTCGAACAGCTTGGGATTCTCAGCGCGGGACCAGCTTCGATCCAGCTGTATCGCGGTACTGCTTAAACTTTGAGGGCAGATCTTGTTGAGGTCACTCAAGTCTTCGTAGTCGTAATTGATGATTTCCTTCTAGAAAGTCGATTGTCTTCTATCCTATCTCTCTCTCCTTCACTCTCGCGGGACGTGACCCTCTTGCTTGGACCAACTCGCGGGATCGCTAGAGTCACGTGCTTTAAGTCACGTGATGCGCTGGTTTCTGACAGCAAAGACCTCGCATTATACATTCATAGCAAAAGGGTTTCTAAAGAAAGGGTCTCAAAAGGATCTCTTCTCGCAGATCTGGATTCTAGACCGTTTTATTTTATCATTCTTGTGGAGTCGCAAACCTGCAGCTGGTGTAGCAAAGCTAGCAGATCAAGATCGGCTGAGCATCGAATGGTTTAAAGACACAGACGATCAGTCCACTGAAGTAGCATGCTTCAACTTTGTTTTAGGTGCAACTATAAGACACATGGTTGTCTACACATCCATATGTTTGAATCAATGTGCAAGTCACTCATATGAGCCGTCTGGATGTGGAGTATCTGTTTCCCAAATTGTTGAATCTGATACGCATTAGACTTACCTAGGTAGTTACTTCAAACTCTCTTTTGAGGTTTAGATGCCCTGGCACGTGACCATCAGCCTGATAACAGAACTTGCACAGATAGTCGCTAACGACAACTGAAGGAAGCACTTTCGCGATGTTGGAGCGAGCGAGGAGCGAGGGAGGGAGCTGGGCCTGCTGGATGGCTGGTCTGGACTCTACATGGATCACACATGGGATACGCATGGACTGTCTAGGTTTGTTCCTGGGGTCAATTCAGCGCGGACTCAATGCAATCAATGAGTACTTGTCCGTTCACATTTAGTTGCATCTGCTCCGTAGTCAGTGGGGTCATAACCTCTCTTTGAAAGCCCCCTCGATCATATCCATTCGTGCCGTTCTATTTCTCCCGCCATCCAGGGGTCCTCTTTGGCGAGGAAGCCACGACGTTAACCTCTTCGGCCGCCACCCGCGTTTCTATTTTTGCATGCCACAAATTCTCCCCTCCTTCAGGCTGGCCCTGGTCTTGAGGGAATTGAATCACACATCTGTCGCGCGCCAATGTTTGAGAGCAGATAGGACGAGGAGCAAATCCCCAACCGTGCGCGAGCACGGCTTGCCAAGGAACGACCCTCCATCTTGGTACCTGAGGAGGCCAAGCACGGCGGGCCGCCCCGCTTCTTGCGACCACAATGAACACTTTTGCGATTCGCCATTGCCGCCGTTACTTGAGCGATCAAACCCTTCCATATCCGCTTCCTTGTGACCTACCTGAATTGCACCGCCAGAATTTGCGAACTGTCCTTCTGACGACCGTATTTGGCGCCCCGATCTGCTCGCCGGCCCTCGAGGCGAAGCCACCCCGCAAGGTGCTGGATGTTTGTTGCGGCACTGGCTTGTGGTCGTCGGCCTGTCATGACTACTTCAGCCAAAAGGGATATTCTGACATTTCGTTTACCGGTCTCGATATTGCTCCAGTGGCGCCAGATCTGACTGCACAAGGCATCAATTGGCGTTTCGTCCAACATGACCTCCGTAATGGACCTTTGCCATTCGCGGACAACGAATTTGATCTCGTTTTCGTCAAAGACTTAAGTTTAGTAGCACCTTCTCCGGCCCCTATCCAAAAGCTCTTCGAGGAATATGTGCGTGTGCTCAAGGTTGGAGGGGTCTTGGAATGCTGGGAGGCCGATCACACTGTTCGAGCGATTCTCCCTAATCCGCCTCCAGCGCCTGGTGTCTCTGCAGGTGATCAGAACCAGGCAGACGCGACATCAACAATTACTACGTTTTCTGGAACACCCTTCATTGTGGCCCAAAACCAATTCTTGCGCGACTACAATGCTTGGATCACAAAGGCATTTGATAAACGGACGCTGACACTGGTTCCTTGCACGATTGTTGGTCCCATGTTTGTTAATGAGTCTGATGTACTCAAGGAAATAGGAAGTCGAAGAATAGCCATTCCATTTGGAGAAATCAATTGGGAACGGGAAGGTGCTGCAGGCCTGCGTGGGAAAACCGGAGACGCTAGTAAGCGTCAAAGCCCCTCCGACATGGCATCTTATTCAAGTTCCAAGATTATTTCTACCAGTAATCGGACCCTAAATTCCAACCAGCTGGCTGTGAGACAAACAGCTCTTGTGAGCTTCATACAGATGATTGAAAGTCTGGAGCCAATCCTCAAGGACGTCAGCGGCAAAAGCCAAGACGAATGGAATCGATGGTGGGCAGCAATGATGGCAGATCTCTCAAAAGGAACCTCTACGAGCGAATGCTTGGAGGTTGGAGCCTGGTGGGCTCAAAAGATTTGACGACAGTGCTTATGGTCTTTCCTCTTTTGCATGCTTTGCTCTGATTTCCAAGCATTTCATATTTGAGGCTTGTCATAGCGATGGCGTAGCGTTCGGTAACGTTTCAAGTAATACCTATATTTGTCTTGTCAGTGTTATTGTGTCCCTTTTTTGAGCTATAGAAAATAGATTCTGGCTGGAATAAGTTCAAAAATAGAATCCCTACATGGTCTCAATTTCTAATTCTCATTATTAGCAACCCTTCACGTGACCTCGCGCACTTTAACGTTACCTTTTTTCACAAATTCTGCTCGCTGGATTCCTCTCTTTATCTCTTCTTCATTTGTTAGGCCTGCGCGAGCAGCAAATGCTTTGTGCAAGCGTGGTCGAAAGTAGTCGTAGCCCAGCGGATACTCCCGGCCCAAGTACAGTAAGTCTGGCGTGAGGCAGTCAGGACTTTGGATCTGGATATCAATAAAAGTTCCAAGAGATTACCTTTATATATACGAATAACTTGATGTCGCAAGCTAATTTGAGTCATTTTGATTTTTCAATGCATTGCGTTGGAGAATGAACTCTACAGATTCTGTGGGGTTGAAGATGACTTGTCGAGCCTTGGCTGAGCTGAGGACCCTGAGCTCGCGTCCCGCCGTACAAATGACGAAATCAAAGGAAATAAACAGCCAGTGGATATCTGCTTTATTGACTGTGCGCAAACAATCATGAGTATACCGAGTAATCCTGCCTCTTTACAAACCTTCTCGTTGCATCTTGATTATCTTGACTAACACAAATGCAAGGGACTTCCGCTTTCACGCGCAGAATATCTCCCCCGAGCTCGCGGGTACTATTGTCAGCCCGTATATTTGGACCTACCTGTGGCGACCGAGCCCAAATCTCCACGAGCTGCAGCAGAACTTCCAACGCGAGCTCATCTCATGAATTCGAACCGATGACATCGACTTTAAAGCCTGGTTGGCTCGCTGACCTCCGCACAAGAATAGGAAAATGCATACTGTTCGGTCTCAAGGCAGAACAAGTGACGGAAGCATCTGCTCTTCTTCAAGACTTAGCACGAGACTGGAGGGAGCTGGTGGCTGGCAGCGAAGGCTTCCTGACGGCCAAATCCAGGAGAGGTATTTTCAGGCAGAGGGTAGCGTGGGGTGAAATGGTATGCTCTGAGAAGCAACTGGAACTTTGCCGACAATGTGCTAATGCCGGGTTTTGGTTGTTGTTATAGGATGTAATGGTAAGATATCTGCTTGATGCCCCATGATTTTCCTTACTCATTATGGTCAAGAGCTAAATTCTGTCGTTGCAAGGGTATTTCTCCGCCTCGAATACTATGATTTTGTATTGCTGAGCTTCGCTGTATTCATACGGATCGACTAACACAATTTGTGACAGGGCATGTCAATAACACCGCCTACAATCGCTATGCCGAATCAGCACGGATGAACTGGCTCTTAAATTTTGGTACACATTTTGATCCAGCGCATAATATACAGTGGGCTGAGCTGCAGTCATCGAGGGGCATTGGGCTCATCATGCGAAGTATTCGCACTGATTACAAATTTGTATGTTCCGCCCAGACCACCTAAGTTGGTTTTTGTTATGCTGTTAATCTCGGAGGATACCATAAACTGTGTTCGGAGATTCTGTCTCAAGACCACAATGTTTGGGCGATTGATTTCCTGGGGTGTCCCAAAACTGACTTATATCATTTCCCAAGCCGATGACATACCCTGATAGGGTAACAGTATATCATAAACTCCGTTCTCTTCCAACCTCGCGTGATGACAGCTTTATCCTAGATGTCATGATCTTGTCAGAGAGGCATCAACGCGTAGCTGCAAGATGCGTTGAAGACGTGGTTGTCTACGATTATAGGCAGCAAAATAAGGTCCCGCTTCCGCCATTTGTGCACGCTCAATTCGAAGAGGCGTTTATGCTGCAAGAAGAGGCAAAGTGGGATTGCAGTGACCACGCAAGAGATCTCGCTGAAAGGGTGCGAAGTTTAGAGAGGCAGAGTTGGGATCGAGCAGATGCCAAGGAGGATCTTGGTAGTGCTTCACCTTGACTATCGACTCAGCTTTGACGCATGTAAATATCGTGACTCGTATATACCTTCATGTCGAAAATTTCACACGAAAATCATGCTAATCATGAAGCTATGAATTTAGTGTTATGAATTTATCCAGCGTTGATATAAATATCGTCAAATGGAATGTGAATCCCAAAATACTTGTCAAGTGATTTTTTTATATTTATTTTTCACATTATTTTTATTTTAATGTTCATTCCATTGCCGAATCAAGATCATGGTGAGGTGCAAAGATCTACAGGTATTTGAAATTAAAAACCGTCTTTTGAGAATAGTATTGGTTTTCATAATAATTAGTGAAAAAATCTATAGAGCCTTGACATTCTCGAAATCTGCATCAATATATCAACCAACACGATACTACGCCAACTGGACAAAATTGGCATTTGTGGATTGCTTGATCCACCAAAAACATTCCACCTCGATAGAGGACGACCTTCAATCAACAAGTTATAAGACAAACATGAAGACATGGGTTTCACATGCGGTCAAACAGAGGGCCAAGATTGCTTGCCATTTTTGGTGCTGTTCCCGGTCGCCCGGCCCAATTACTTGGTACACAAGTCGCGGGGCGCATCCGCTTCCCGGGCTATCCGTATGAGCATCTGGCTTACCCTTGTGCCTCTTTTCGCTCTTCTAACTCTGGCCCAGGCTAACTTTGAAATGATAAAAGTGATCAATTAGAGCAGGTTCTAAATCATTGTCCCACAGAAGAACCCCTCGGGGCTACCTCCGGTCCATGGGGAAACTGCATACTCGTATGGAAATATCTCTGTGCTCAGAAATACCACTTCATTGAGTAATATTTGGACTCTTTGGAAAGGTGCATCAGCAGCTTGCGCAGCTGGACGGATGATCGACAAACCCAGACGGCAAAAGGCGGGCACACTACCCGCCAGCTAAGGCGACCGGTTAGGGTCAGCTTTATGTCTGAGACTCTGGGCAGGTACGCTGATTTTTGCACCGCTTGATTTACCGCCAGCTAAGAGGTTAATGCAGTGACTAGGGAGCTCGTTGGCGGAGAAGAACCTGGTTCATCAAATGACTGACAAACACGGCATATTTGTTCGCTACAAGACCTTCAAGAGCTCCGTAGGCAATTACATCGTCTTGAGCACAAGAATACTCTGCATCCAAAGGCACTGACGACCTGTTGTTGTGTGCAGATGGAAGCACATATTGGGCTGCAGATAATGTGAGAACAAAAAAACCCAGTTCATTCTTGCGAGGCAATAGCATGATCGATTGAATGGAAAATATCATCCTTGACTATGCATGCAGCGACCTGGGGTAGCGCATGAGTAATGGAATGACTCTGACCTTTTCTCACCACAAAGTTCTTGTGGTTGATCTCATCCACCCCCGCTTGTGAAGCCAAACATATCCTGTAGTCAAGATACCAATACAGCAGAGCAAATGCAATATGATTAGGAAGATCTAATTTCTAGACAACAACTCGTAAGATCAAACTTTTGAGTCCTTGATCCCTCGTTTGCAGTCTCCTTGAAAGCGCAGATCATCACCTAAACATGTGTTGGTCTGCGTTTAATTAATTTTTCCGACCGGACTTGACCCGAGGAAAAAACACACACACCTTGTCCAGCAATACCAACTTCATTGCTGAGTCAGCATCTCCGCCCATCTACAAGTTTTACGGCTTTCCCCACGACCAAACATTATTTCCCCCCTCTTACCAAGCATTACCACACAGATCCTAGGAGGTCCGTTGATATTTAGGGAATTTTGAAACCCAGACAAGTCCAGCCAGTACTCTCGGGGATTGATTTCGTCCAGTTTGACTAGTCTTTGGTGTAACTAGTCTGGCTGGCCCCGGGATCGATCTGGCGGGATTCGCGGAGTGCTCATGCCGCGAGGCTTCACTGCAAAGAAACAGAGTGCGAATAGTCAAACCGGCCGCCAGGAGTCTCTCTCTTCTGCCTCTGGAAGGAGAGTTAGCAAGCAAAAGTCGAATGGCCATCTGAACGCGAGCCCAAATGGCACCTCGCCGCTCCCTTCTCCTCCCGTGCCGAGCACGGCTCTGGCGCAGAACATCTCTGCGCAGCACGCGTCGGACCGGGATGGGAATGGGCGAGCGGCGGGAACCATGGCGGCGAGCAACGGAAGACCTGCTGCAGGACGGACATATTCGGATGGACAGGTCAACTCGGACGTGTATCAGAATGGCCCCGGCGCCAATGGTTTGGATGAGCAGAGTCACCGTCGAATCGATGTCAACGCAAGCAAGGCAGCAACCGGTTACGAAACGAGCTTTCTCTATCGTGTGTCGACAATACTGAGGTCCTGCCCGCTTGGAGACACTATTGCCATCTTGATTATTCTCCTTCAGCTTCCGCCTACCTTCCTCACCATTACCCACTTTCTCTTTACGACCCTGACATTTGTCCCGCCTTCTGGAGTCTCAATCTCGTCAATTCCTTCACTCAAAGAGATTTTCCAGGGCTCCGGTGGGACGCCATCACTCGCCACGACCGTTATCGCCGATGTTGTCTTCCTCATCTTCTGGCTCTTTCTCTGGGCTCCTGCTCAGAACGTGGCTTTGGATCTTGCGCAGGTCGTCATGGCAATATCACTGGGTGGAGGATACACGGGCAACAGCGGAGGCTCGAATAGTGCAATCATGTGTTTTGCCATAATCGGTGCCTCTCATTTGCTCCGTCGCAAATCGTTGCGTCAGTATGGGCTCAGCTTTATTTGGTCGATCGCGTCTGGAAGTGAAATCTTGCCTCTGAGAGCGTTTCCTGCACCGGTGGAACCCCCCGACACAACAAAGACGACAAATGGCTGGATTCGTAGCATCTTGGCCGTCCATATCCTGACCCAGGGCGTGGTTCGAATGGTTCGACGTTGGATCTCTCGACGGGAAATGCATCACCATCATAATAATCAACAACCAAGCGTACCAGCATCCAAGAAACGAGGCGATCCAGAGGCGGCCGTTGCCTCACAAGCACAATCAACAAACTCAACGTCGACCGATTCTGGGCCAGATGCGCCGACCGCTCCAAGTCTTGATGGGCAATCGGTCGGACCGGCGGCAGTGACAAAGGATCCCAAGGAGAAAATTTCGAGCGGAAAGAAAAAGCGAAAACAGGCAACACATGTGAGAAGTCAGCAGCCGTTTTGGGCGGCTCTGGCGAGTACAAAAGTTATTGTTATGAAAGAGTATGAACAGTCGCAGGCTGCAGCGGAGGCGGCAGGTTCCAAAGCTACCGATGTGAATAATCTTGGTAGTGCACCGTTTGATGAGGAAGGCGGGCGTGTCTGGGTGACACAGGTTGGATCTACAGAAATATATTTCCACACAAGCGCTTTCCCTCCGGGAGAGCAAAGTGCAATCGATTACAAGGATGGATGCCAAAAGTCGGGCAGTCGGGTGGATAAGTCCAAGCCATTTTACGTGCGGCTGAATGGGGCAGATTGGACGTCGACGAAGATTACCAAGTGTGAGGCAGGCAAGGACGGATTGGAGGATCAATGGGTAGGAGAAATTTTTGGGTTGACAGCGTTGACGAGCTATTGCTGCGAATTTGTTCGGAGTGAGGATGACGTTGTGATATTCTCATCCAGTATCACGACGCATCCTCCTTCGCTGGAGCAGGGTATGCAGTTTACTCCCATCCGCAGCGCTCGAACAACCCCACTTATGCCTGCCTTAGCATCCACGGCTACGCCTCCTCCTCCACATCAAACGCTTCGTCCTTCGTCTCCGACTACGACGCTACGTAATTCCATTTCTGCCGCGGAATCGAAGCTGATCGAGGTGCGCTCGCGCACGAAACGCGTTCGGAAGGAACACAAGACTGCTCTTACGGCGCTTAAAAAGGAAGTCGATAATTTTGGTTCTCGCCTCAGCTCCGCAGGAAGTGGTGACGATCGCCAACGCCAGCGTGTTCTACAAATCACCCAGCATATTCGCCAGGCCGAAGAGTCGGCCTCTAACATGGGGCCCGAAATCGAGGAGATGGGAAATATACCGGAGGACGACATCCAGGAATGGCGCGCGACAAAGAAGAGCATTGCAAAGGAAAAGGATGCTTCGGAAGCATTACGGGAGGAGTTCAACGAGACCAAGGAGCAAGCAGATCGCAAAGTGTCCTCTGTGCAGTCTGAAGCAAGCTCTTCAAATCAGAAACGCGAGCGCCTCCTGGCACGTCAGGCCAAACTCAACGAACAGCACAACCGGATGGTCTCTGTCAATGCTCAAGCCCAGGAGGAAAAGGACCGCCGAGCTAGTGAGCTTGCGACCAAGGATGCCGAGCGCCAACAAACAGAAGTCAGCTATCTCGAACAACTGGCTCTGTTTGGCCGCCAGACGCAGGAGATCAACTCCAAGAGTCAACAGGCATGGCAACGCATTCATCGGCTCGAGCTGGCTTATTCGCACCAACAAGCCCAGCTCCAGCAAAAGATGATGGCAGCGCAGGCAGCTAACCCCGCAGTGGCTGCGGCAGTCTCTGAGGCTGCAGGTGCCACGCTTGGCCCTGGAGCTGCTACCAGCATGGCTGGCCCCATTGCCCCCGGTGGCCCTTTGGCTGGCTCTAATCTCACTGCCGCCTCAGCCATGCCCGCGCAACAGCCTGGTTACGCTTTTCCCTTTTCTGCTTTTGGTCCACCCGGTCAGCACGCTTCTGGGGTTGTTCCTCCAGCGGCCGGCGCCGCCGCTGCGCCCAAGCTTGAAATTCCTTCCTTTACTGCTGCCGCTCCCTTTTCCCGCGACGCTCGAGAGAGCATTGGAAATGGCAATGGCAATGGCAATGGCACCGGCGCCACCGTCAACAAGGCCGGCCGCGCTCGATCTGGATCCACAAAGAGCAACTTCACCGACTTTTCCGACACTGCCGAGAATAGTTTTCTTCCAGGACAAGCCTATCGCTTGTCTGGAGAAAGCCAAGCACCTCTCCCCGTTTCCGCCACCGAGTTTCTTGACCGCGAGAGAATGGTGAAAAAGAGCAGCAGCCCCAGCAATCGAGGCAGTAGTGCCAGTGGAAGCGTCGGCGGAGGCAGCCAGCGAGATCCGTCTAGTCCTTTTGTCAGACATTCCAGCCCTGCCGCCAACAAAACCACCACTCCCACTACCACCACCACTACCACTTCTGGACCCGGTGTCATTGGCAGTGGCAGTCCTGCTTGGCGGTGACGAAATAGTACTTCACTTTCATTTTTCTTCACTCGCGCGTTGGACCGATACTCGGAGCAAGCAGGCTTCATGGCAGATAGATGGTGATTGCTGCGGACTGTGAAATCATTTTGGCGTAGCAACTAGTGGAGTGCAGGGGGTTGTTGTCACGCAAAGTTTAGAAAAGAAAAAGTTGTCTTGTCTGTAAGGTAGCGGAATGAGCGAATAGCGGAATTAGTTGAAATGCAAGATTTGCAGTCATCCTTGCTTTGATGATTGCATCTATCATTCTTTTGACTCATTTTCTGTGCTGTGTGCATCGTATATATTGACTACTCACATTTTCCCATCCATCTCCGTCATCGTAGATGTACATGCGCACGCTGGTTTGGTTGGTATGTGCAGTGTCCTCTATCATTTTGCATGCCCAGATTACTAAGGTATCTTGTGCTATTCGGTAGATACATATATATGCAGCGAGATATGATACAGTAACTAAGGTAGCTAGGTAGGTATGATACAAAATAGAATGCGTATATGTACAAAATGACTCTGCGTCCTAAATGTCCTGTACTATGTGCTATGTACTCTATGCTGTGCTCCATGCTTAGCGCTCAGCGCTCTAGGTTCAGCGTTCCGCGCTCTAGTTAAAAAAAAATCCAACTCGATCTAAAATATGTACTTTTCTCTGATTCTAATCGTTTAAAAGGTCAGGTAGTAAGTAAGTAGTCTATATCGAAAATCCACCAGGAGTGTAATAGTCTAATGTAAATCTCCACCGACTCTGCCGAATTTGCGATCGACGTAGACCAGCGCCGTGTCGGTTTCGGTTTCGGTCTCGGTGGGCGTATCCGATGACGGGGAGGATGATGTAGAAGCTGACGAGGAAGTGGAAGACGAAGGAACCGAATCCCGATCAATGACGCCCACAACCTTGCCCATGACGATAACGTGCGAGCCGACGCGCACGCCGGTTTCTGCGCCCGGGCCGGCACCCGCGGTGGGAGGCGAGCGCGGCGATATGTCCGACGGAATGGCAGATGAAGTGTTGGCAGACAAGACACCAACGCCTCTGAAGGGGTCGAATAATTCGCATCGCAAGACGTGCATGACGCCTGGTCCTGTAACGAGCGGTAGGCCCTCAGTAGTCTTGTTGGCGCTATCGCTATTGCTACCGGTAGGGCGCCGAGGGGAGAGGTAGTCGTTGCGGAGGGATCGCAGGATGCCTACGGACGGGCCTGCGTGACTAGCTTGTGACTCTGACGACTGCGTCTGCGTCTGCGTCTGCGCCTGACTGTGTGGCTCCGACTTCGTCTGCGCCAAAGACCGAAACGCACCGACTGCATCACCCTTTGTAAACCTCCCTGCTACATCCGCGCCCTGCTGATTCGCTGCGAGAACGTGGACTAGAAACTCCCCCGAGGCAGCCAGCGCAGCGTAGGTCCGGCTGGGCAAGAGGACGTTGAAAGCGATGATGGGAAACGGGTCGAGGGTCAGACTGGTGAAGGACGAGACGGTCATGCCGCGGAATCGGTGCTCAAGCTGTGCTTGCGCTTGCGCTTGCTCTTGTTCTAGAATTTGTGGTGAGTCCTGCGGGTCCTGTGATGACTGAGGTTGCGTCGTGGTAATGAGCACGACGGGATGCGGAATCTTGCGGAAAAGATGCCGTGTGCGTGTTGATAGCGGGTTGGGTTCGCTGTCTGTAGCTGCGGCGAGGGTCGCAGCGTTGTGACGCGATTGCTGCGTCGTCTGGGAAGACGGTGAGGTCGATGATGAGTATGATGAGGATGACGATGCCGCTGCTGCTCCAGCCGGAGCAGCGTTGATTGACGAAAAAGAAGAATAAGCTCTACTCGAGAGAGATATCTGATGATTCCTTTTCTGACATATAGACCTAGCCCCAAGAGCATTACTTCTCATCTCGTCTCTCGTCCATTGGAAAAACGCCCTGTAGAATTGCTGTGCTGCGGTCGCGATCGTAGTAGCATATTTCCTTTCAGCGCGTGATCTTCTCATCGCGTGGTGCAGGCCACGGCCTGATCGAGTCGCGAGTATCATTGTTCAAGTTATCCCGGGGGAAATAATATCCGATAGCTCTCCAGTGAAGCGTGCCTCGACTTTGAATTCTTCGAGGAACAAGGTTCTTATCGTAGTTGAATAAAAAATTAAAAAGCAGGACGCTTTTAAGAAGAGAAGTTAACGCTCGACTGCTCAGCAGAATCGATATAAAATCGCAATTGAAAGACGTAAAAGCGAGGCTGCGTTCGTGATAATTGGGTAAGATAGAGACCCTGAACGAAACACGTAGTATAGGACGTACGGAAATGTCAATTCGAATCGAGTGTGAGAAGTGGGGGAGGAACTAAGAGTGCTGTATTTACGTTTTACCACTTTTTTTCCCCTTGTCCTCCGGTGTCGCGCAATTCCACCAAGAGGGTCTTCGGCTGCGCTTGTTGCGGGATGTATTTTCGCGGCTGCGCTTGTCCAAGTTGTCCCTGCGAGAGACACAAGAAGCAAACCCAATTTCGCCGAGCCTGCGAGCCGTCCTGTCGCCTTTTGACTTCTACCTTCAGTATATCCACCGTTTCATACTTGCAGCTGTCCACGCAATTGACGAGACCAATTCCGCCTGTCTTTTCCTGTAGCGGCATACCGACGGAGCTACACTCGAGGGGTTGAATTTTCCCTGCGCGAAATCCCCGTACGAACGCTGTCGAATTTCGGCCATCTCTCTCGAGTTTCGTTCGTCCCAAGATACTACATACGAGTCCTCCAGTAACAACCAATCCCATTTTTACACTACTTTGACGAACGAATCGAGTGGTTCCGAAAACCCTTTCAAACCCACTAAGAACAAAATGGCATCACCTGCACTCCCTTCTCTCGCCCTGCGGCGCACAACTACCACGATCCTGCCGCGATCAGCAATTACAACATCCTCATCCTCATCAACATCATCAACATCGCCATTCTCGCCCATCTGCCAACAATGCAGACATGCGTCGCTGATTCGCCGTCCTAAACGACCATATACCTTCACCCAGCTCGTGACGCTGACAGACGGATCTACGTTCCTGCAGCGCACGACTTCTCCGCAGCCCGTGTACAAGACGACCAAAGACACGCGAAACAACCCGCTGTGGAACCCGTCGTCGCAGAAACTGCTCAATGTGGAAGAAGACGAGGCCGGCCGACTACGTGCGTTCCGACGACGATTCGGACGCGGATGGGACGCCGAGGCGGTTGATGAGGCTGCGGGCGAGGAAGTGCGTGAGGGCGAGGAACACCTTGCCAAGGGGACTGAGGAAGAAGAGGACAGTCTCCTGGATTTGATTAGTGGATATGGATTGCAACAGGAACAACAGGGCCAGGCAAAGGGCGAGAGGGTGACGAAGGGCAAGGGCAAGAAATGAAGTGGTTGCCATGATACTCGTTAGAGGATCGATGAGGAGAAGTGTAATCATACTTGATAGGAGAGAGATGCGGAAGAGATTAAAGGGTGACCAATTATGGAGAGCGGGGTCAAAACTGGAGGGAGCATGAAGGAGACAAAGAAAACGACTGTTGCATAGAGCGCTCGAGTTGAGCGTGCACAACACGTGGCTGAGAAGATAGACTGGGCTTGTCCACTGGCGGATATCATTTTGATTCATGTAAAATCATTTCATTTTCTATCTCGCAATCTGTATTTTTACTACTTTAGATCTCTCTTCAATGTCTCGCACCGACATATCATCAGTTGTAAAATCACAATCACATATCGAATCATCTCGTTAATTTCGCGATGCTATACAGTGACTCAGCACGATGAAGGAAAATAGAGCCTTGAGATTAGCAACTATAATCTAGCTACAGTGGATATCGTCTCATCCTCTATGAACACGCACGAGATGAGTCGAGTAGCTGTTGCGGATCGGTGGGAAGGAACAGAAACGACATGGAAGGGAGCTTAGAGTATAGATACCTGGCAATGGCAATAACAGTATGTAAATGACAAGGCTTGAACTGTCCGATAAGCTTCGAACAACCACTAATTTAACTCACGCCCCTTGAGACGGCTGCACTACTCCTCCTGCTCAGCCGTTGCAATCGCTGCAGCTGAAGCTCCGCTTTCCGTCTCCGCCGTCTGCGGTCTCGAAGACTCCGAGGTCGTCTCCGTTGGTGCTGCGGCTGCTGATGCAGATGGAACCGGAGTTACCGCTGCAACAGCAGGAGGTCTGAACGAATGAGCCTCATCTTCCTCAGCATCCAGCTGCATGAGGAAGGTTTCCCAAATCTCAATAAGCTGTTTTGGTCACATTTGTCAGTAACACATAGGAATCGGGAATAATCGGGATAGGTGGACGTGGATCCATAAAAGGGACACAAGTCGGGGGACAGGGGCAAAAGAGCAGTGGCATACCTCTTTCTGCGCCTCCACCGCGCTTTCAAGATAAGTCTCTACGCCAGACTTAAAATCCTCCACCTTTTCTCTCTCAAACCTTTCCAGCTCATTGCGCATCAATCGACCCATGTCCTCAAAAAGGAGTCTCGCTTGGTGCACTTTGCGCTCGGCGTCACTAACATCGGCACTAAGTTGGTTCAGGCGGTCCTGTTGCGTCTTGCCCTGCCGTAAGATCTTATCCTGAGCAGCTTTACGCTTTTGAAGCTCCGTTTCGGCAGCGCGCCAAGAGTGGAAAGACTTTTGTCGCTGTGAGAAAGCCGTCTTTATGCTGCCAATCAGGCGAATATATTCATCCACGGTGATTCCCAGGGTCAAAACATCCTGCTGAGCTTGACGCTCGTGGAGTTCACGAATGCGTATCTGGAGGTCGGACAAACCTTCCAGCGGACCGGACAAGGAAGGAGAAAGTTCAACAGCAGAAAGGGCGTGCAAAGAGGCAGAAAAGTCGCCGGCGGCTTCGGCAAGGCTCTTGCGCTGACCAACAACGGTATCCAGAGCTTTATCTAGCGCTTTGAGCTGATTTTCGAGGGCGTCCAAGTAAACTCTTCTGTCGTGGAACCACTGGTATCGGACGTTAGCCAGACGATTGTGACAAAATTGATCGTACGTTACGTACATCATCATGCTCGATGAATTTGCCTCCTCCGCCCATAGAGAAGCCAATTGAACTGAACATGCCTTTGCTTTCAGGAAGAGCAGGATCTTTCCGCTCCTTGTGCTTGACATCCACGTTGAACGCATCGCTTTCAAGGAACAACTTCAAGTCACCATCATGTTGCAGAATTGGATGTGCGGCAGCTTTATTCAGCATGCGCTCCAAGGCAGCTCGACGAGATTCGACAAAATTGGTCTCGAATCGACCGACAGCTTGCTTCTCCGGAGGCGGCGGCACAACGACTCCTGGGTTGTTATTGTGAAGCGAATTGTAGAGCCACAGAAAGTCTCTGTATCGCCGAGAGACTGTGAATTCAGGTTGCTTGTAGGCCTTGGAAGTCGTCTTGAATAAACCATCGTTAGTCTGAAAATACCACCTGTATTTCTGTGCGTTATCGTGAACACACCTTTGTCTTTACTTGGTAAACAATATGTGAGCTGGTCAAATCTCCAACCTTATGCGGATCTCCGACCGTAATTTGGAATGTTGGATTGGCCGCCTGCTCAACGCTCACACTTGGCTGCGTCTGCCTCTTTGGCCCCTCTGCTTGAGGAGGCTGCACTGGCGGAGGCATCCTCGCCCTCAAAGGAGGCTCATCCTCGTCATCGTCCAAGTTTACAGAATCCATCAAGCTTCGATTAATTGATCCCGAGGATGTGGACGCCGCCATCCGCGCTTCCGAGACAAACGATTGTTCCTTTTGCGGAGGCGCTGGGGGCACCTCGGGCTGTGATGCGCTTGGAAAGTCATCTCCTAAAGGCCCAAGAGGACCAAGGGAATCGTCGACCGCTTCCAGAGTCTTTGCTTGAGCGCCGACTCTGCGAGGAGCTCGTGAGATACGGGAGGCTGCTGATCTACTTGAAGCAGATGGGCCAGGGTTCTGTTTTCGCTCGGGCTGCTGAGGGGACTCTATGATAATTAAGGGTGAGTACATCTCGTTCTAGCATGACTTGTGGGAACAAGTGCCTGGCGTCGACTCCGTACCTGGATCCTTCGACTCGGTCTCTTCTTCCTGGTCAGGCCTATGGATCGAGCCAGAGGCTGAGGGAACATCTATTACATCTTCATCAGCGTTGGTCTGGTAGCCAAGAAACTTCTGCAGTTTGAATTGAGGAACGTTGCGTAGTCCAAGCATTGGCTTCATTCCTGTTCAAGTGAGCCTGGAGGGATAGCGTGCGAGCCAAGGCAGTAAGCAGCGTAAATGTAACTGCTGTATTTAAAAACTGCGCTCTGCAAGCTCCAGATCCAGGATGCACAGTATGTGCATGCTCCCCCTCGTCAGTGGGCTGCAAAAGGCGACAAGTTCAAGCCAAAGCCTGGCCTGGGCCAAGACTCAGAGCCGAAAAGTGCACCGCTACAGGACGGCATCGCACAGATGGAAACAGGAAGTTGGGTGCTGGTGAGAATGACTGAGCAAATGAAACGTACCACCCCAGGGAGAGGCACCTTCTTCCTCGAGATTCATTGTTGACAATGGTGGTGATAAGCCGGACATGTTGCGTAATGAGGCCGAAGCTGCGACCTAGAGGCCGGGTGTTGCTAATGTTCGGAATGTCGAACTCGAAATGAAATAGAATTCAGGCTACCATATGTGAAAGTGCGAAAAAAAAGAAACTAGAATTGAAATTAAAGGCGAACTGAAAGTAGAAGAATTGCGTATCTGAGGATTCTGGAGCTGTTGTTGCTCGGTGCCTGAGACCTTGGTCGACGTTATGGTCGGTGGTTCGAGCGGCAATCTCCGTTGCAGCCAAAGCATGAGGGATTCCCAGTCAACGGTCGCCTTCGGCCCGCCTTAATGCGGTTGCATTACACCTCCCATGTTGCCATGTGAATGGCCGATCCTTTAACTATGCCTTTGCAATTGAATCACTTAGGGGTGGCATGCAAAGAAAAAAAAAATTACTACACTTGGCACGTGAAACTATTCATGAAGGCAATGCAATGGGGCACAAAAAAGCTAAATTGTTTGTGAAGTCTAAATTTTCGGTATTATGCTTGCAACGGAGCAATCAAAATCGAATTGATTACTTCGTCTTCTTCACTTGAGCCCATGCATCAAATGCATCTTCCCGACTTCTATGTAGCAAATTCCTTATTCACCGACGCAAAAAAGCAATGGCGATGTAAAGAGGGAAAGTCACCAGCTCCGTCAATGGTCAAACTTCTGCGTAAAGCAACAAAAAGAGATTAAAAGAGATTGAAATGGTCGAGGGTGCAAAAGATTGACAACCAAAGGCACAGAGCGAGGCATCAATGCCAGTAAGTGAACCAACGCCAGTGCAATGAGCATGCAATGCAAAAGATTTCGTCAAATCGAACCAAATCGCTAACCTGCTATAATGAAGAAATGTCCCAGATACCTGTTTCGAAGCGCATTAGATCTTTGCGCGCAGACCGATGCGACCATCTTCCGTTGACCTTGAAAAATAAAAAAACTCCGAGCACAATAGATTTCTTCGTGAGAAACTTTAATTGTACCTTCCAAATCGATACCAGAGCGAAAAAAGCGGAGTTGTCCTAGCACCTGAGCACCTGAGAATCCGCCAAAAAAAAAAGTTCAAAGAGCAGAAAGCTCAAATAGAGCCCGAATATCTTCCAACCGAGACAAGTAAAGCCAACGCCAATGTGAGCGAGACTCGAAGCTTTGCACCAATGCAACGAAAAAAGAGGCTTTCATCGAATCATTCCCCAAGGCTCTAGTTTGCTGCCGCTACTAGAATCACCGCCCTTTTTCCGGAAGCAGTTCCAGAAGCGCAACGTTTCGTCGCCAGCACCCGTCACAATGACTTGGCCGTCGGGGCTCATGGCAAGGTATAGGACACGATACGTATGGCCAGTGAGACTTGCAACTTGCGTCATGCTTGGATATTTCCACACCACAATTTGGTTCTGACTATAGCCATGGGTGCTGACGAGCTCGTTACTATTTTTCGACCAGGCAAGATTGCAGACTTGTGAGCCAGTGTCGACTTCTTGGACCATCTGTCCCGTCATGGTATTCCAAAACTTGATGCGTCGATCCGCAGTGCCTCCACCAGAGGCGAGAAGACCATGTTGATGTGGAGACCAAGCAATGGCCTTGACAGCGGCGGTATGCTCGCTAAATTTGTACAAGGGTTGCTCAGAAAGCTTATCCCAAACCATGAGCTTATTGTCATTCCCACCGCTTGCAAGCTGTCCGTCTTCAGTGTTCCATTTCAACCCGCACACTTCCTGCTTGTGGCCAACCAATTTTCTGAGATGCTGAGTGGGCGACCGCACATCTCGATGATAGATGGTACGATCCCTGGACCCTGAAGTCAGGATGTGCTCATTCCAGGCGAGCGCGCCCACACGTGCGGAATGGCCAGTCATGGTTCGCAGTCGCCTGCAGCGTTCAGCGTCCCAGATCTGCACAAGACCATTATTGGTGCCGATGGATATATGGGAGCCCTGGTTTTACATTAGCGCCTTTACAACCAAAATCTCATGACTGAGACTTACCCGCTGGATCCAGCTAACGCTAGTGACCGTATCACCTTGCAATTCACAAAGCTTCGTTACTCGTCCAGACTGAGCATTCCACATATACACACAGCTTCCCAGACCAACCCCAAGAACATTACTGCTTCCCCAATCGACCAAGTTGAGATAAAAGTCATCCGCCAAATCAGGCGCGTCCAGAACCTTATACGGAACTTTACTGACAGCCCGGGGCTGCTTGCGAGGACTAAGAAGCATCCGTTGGTTTTCTAAGCGAACGGGCGAGAGGCTATACAATTCGGAACGGGTATTCAAATTGGGCCCATGTCGACTCTGAGGTGTCCGGGTAGGCGTAGGATGGCCGGATAAGTTATGGTGACGAGGTGACATGTATGAAAAGAGGTTTTTATGTGGAGTGGAGGGCGTTAAAGTCGGAGGTATGGATGATGAGTACTGAGTTGGAGGTGTCCGTGAGCGAGATGGGTCGTTAATAGTCGTGGCATGAGATGACGATGGAAGGGTAGGATCTGGTGAGAGGGTTGGTGGTGTGGGCTGGGGCACCGTCGATTCAAATAACTCGGAGCGCAGCAGTGTCGAGAATGTCCGATTTGCTTCCTCAGCTAAGTAGAATGTCAGGCATAGATCGATTAGGGTCATACGTTAATGGCGTTGAAATGTGGACGTACTTTTTTGAAAGTGAAGCTCGCCTTGAGGTGCCCTTTTCTGTTTTCGAGACGGCGTTGACGGGGAGCCATCGTCATGGAGTAGGCTGAAGCTTGCTTGAAGATCCTGACCTTCACGATTTGGAATGAATCTGCGGAGACACATCTCGTTAGCATTTCTTGTTGAATGGACAAGAGGCGAAAAATAAATTCCCTGCGGCTCCAGATGTGGTGGATTTCCATTGAAGCGAGATTCAACTAAATGATGCATCCAGGAAGTGCTGGCTAAGAAAAGAAATGACATGCAAGAGCGACCAAGCTGCTACTAACCTATCTCCATACACTCGCTGTCTCTTGCGACTGGGGCTTGCCGTCGGCGTGACGTCTCTTTGTTTCCCAGTGTCCTCAAAATCCTTGAGCGCTTTGGTGAGCGCATCCGCATCTATAGCTTCAGAGCCACGCGGATTTGCTCTCGAAGATCTTCTATTATGGCTGCTCTGCTTATTCGATGCTAAAGGTGGAGTCTTCAGCCCAGAGGGGGACATCACTCGCGGGGAGCGCAGAGGGTTTTCATAAGGATCGGAAGCTGTGCCATTTCGTCCTGAACGGGTATTCCTGTCACGCATCGTGCACCCCTCGTCTTTGCCCCTCAAAAAATAGACGTTCCTGGCTGCTGATTCAAGGAGTTGGGGCCGACAAAAGCGGGGCGCGTAACCTCTGCGCCTTGGAGCGCTCGCGGATCGATAGAAGTGTCCAGATTCTAATAGGCGGGGAATGAACTTTTATTTGATGTCATACATCGATTGCTTGAAATTTTTCGATAATCGGTAAGGCGATAAAGAACGTATGATTCAGCAGCACCGACTTGTGCGATAAAAGTCCTTGACAAGTGAAGTTGTGGATGTTGGTGATGAAGTTGCGAAGGAAAGACGTCGGTTCCGCTGCAAGATTCCCAGCCTCCCAACGACGTCGCCTGTCCAGAGCAAATTCAGCGCCGATCAGCTCAGCTCTCAATTAACAATGCAAATTTGTTGTGATAGCGATCTCTTTGAAGGGTCGGAGCGGGACATGCGATATGAACGAGTGAGGTAGAGAGCAATCGAGAGTGATGTTATTGCTGGGATGATGAATAGTGTACGGCTTTGAGACTGTCAATCAAGGGGATCGACGTTAGACGTGAGGGATTGTTCAAGAGCGGCAAAGTACCAGTACCTGAAAATTGGCGTATGCAAACGGCGGTGATGAAGTCTCCGGAAGTAGCCAGGTTCCTAAAGGGGAAAGGTAATGAAGGCAATCACCTGGGCAGCGATACCACAGCAACAATCAAACTCTCCCAGAGATGTGAGACAGCCCCGGGATACACAATATCTAACAGCAACGACAAGAATACGCCCAAAAAGATCGCACCTTTTCGATTATTTCATAACATTTTCGAAGAAAGCAACGATCGGTCATGGATCAATCGAGGGAATAAGAAATGGTGCCTTGAGCGACTGCTCCCCTCTTCTCTGCTCTTGTGTGTTATGGACGACGGAACCCCTTGCGACACGCACATGGCGTTTCGGGGTTTAGCGCCGACACTTCGTCGACCCGTGCGAGATTTAGGGGTACCTTGATATATTAGCAATATTCGAGTAAAACAAAGTAGCGACAAAGTACATCACTTCTTAAGTGGCTTTAGCGCGACACGAGATGGACGTGCATTCGACCGTTTGTATAAGCTTTTTGGCAGCTTCATTGACGCGTTCTGTTTCAGCAATCCAGATAGGGATCTTGTTTACATTAAGTTCCGTGTACAATATACCCTGTCAGAGCTATAAGGATTCAAAGGATTTCGCTCGGGCATATTTAGTACCGCGTCCACGAAATCTTTCAATGACATGCTAGCCTCGCGATATGTGTATGACTCCGGCACTCCTAACCAGCAAACGCAAATAAGATGGTGATCATGCATGGGTAAATTTACGACGGTACCAGGCTGCTCTGGCACAGCAATTGCAGGGAGATGATGGTATTTAAACATCCTGCAGTTTCGGACCAAAAGGCAGCTACTGTGGTCTAAATTCTTCCACGCTCTTGTCCTCGGAAACCCAAAGTATGGACTGAAACTGGGCGCAGCCACAGCAAAAAAAAAAGCAAAGAGAATTCATTCATGCCCACCGTCATATGAAGAAGAAGCTGTAATAATGCCTTATGTAACTTGAATATCGTCAGAGCAAATCCTTTCCAGTCAAGGCCTTAGGATGGTTTCACGTGACATAGGATGGAGCGCGAGGAGCTTGGGCCATCCCGCAAGAGACCTGGTTATGGACACGAGATACGATGTGACATTATCTCCCTTCCGCCACGAAAGGACGTCAAGTGGTCACCAAAACACTGCATCCCCTCCTTGCAAAGTCTCATGCGCAAGCAATCCCTGTCCATTCTATTCTCTTACACATCACGTTACTTTTGTGTGAGAGCAGTGCCTTCTGTTTCGTTTCCCAGAGCTCCTTTTTCTTCTAGAGCTTCACTCGCATATAATATGGCGTCACCAGCAGCGGCCAATGATTTTTTGTCTTTTGTGAACGCTTCTCCCACTCGTATGTTCTCTCGTCGCAGGAGTATGGAGTACATAAGCTGCTACTAATAAGTACATAGCTTTCCATGCTGTGCATTCAGCGAAGGAGCGCCTCGCTGAAGCCGGCTTCAAGCAGATCAAGGTTCGTCGTTATGCATCTCAGCTGGAGCCATTTGCGGGTTTGACTTGCGATGAATGATAGGAGCGTGACTCGTGGGCGCACACTCTTCATGCAGGAGGAAAGTACTACTTGACGAGAAATGGCACCTCGATTGTGGCCTTCGCCATTGGCAAGAAATGGAAGGTGAGTAACTAGCCACGAGTACGTTGGCTCAAAGAGATCTAACACTGTAAAAGCCCGGTAACCCTATCGCGATGATCGGTGCCCATACGGATTCTCCTGCGCTTCGTATCAAACCTATCAGCAAGAAGCAGGGCGAAGGCTTCCTCCAGGTCGGCGTCGAGACCTACGGCGGTGGAATCTGGCATACTTGTTAGTAGCGCGTTGACAGTATTGCAAGGATAATATTTCACTAACCCTCCAATAGGGTTCGATCGCGACTTGAGCATCGCTGGACGGGCAATGGTTCGAACCGAGGATGGTCACTTCGAGCAGCGACTAATCAAAGTCGATCGTCCAAGTATGAAACCTAGATGGTTTTGAAATCACCCCTTGCTAATCTGAGCCAGTCCTCCGAATCCCCACCTTGGCCATCCATCTTGACAGACAGGAAACTTTCTCCTTCAATAAGGAGACACAACTGTTCCCTATCGCTGGTCTAGTCTCGGCCGAGCTGAACAGACAAGGAAAAACGCCAGAGAGCGTCAAGGCTGAGGCTGAGAAAAAGACTGAAGAGACATCCAAGGATGACTCCAAGGATAAACCGTTCCAACCCTTGAAGGCTATCACCGAGCGACACCATCCTTATGTTGTCGAGCTTATTGCAGGCGAGGCTGGGGTTAAGCCGGAGGACGTGGTCGATTTTGAAATGGTTCTTTACGATACCCAGAAATCCTGCATTGGAGGCATCAATAACGAGCTCATTTTCTCCGCCCGCCTAGACAATCTGATGATGTCGTATTGCAGCACATCAGGCATAATCGAATCTCTCAAGTCCGTGTCAGCGCTCGATGAGGACCCTACAATTCGTCTCATCTCGCTCTTCGACCACGAAGAGATCGGCAGCCAGACCGCACAGGGTGCCGACTCGAACCTATTACCCTCAGTTATCCGTCGCCTCTCTGTCCTACCTTCATCGCTGGAAACCGAGTCAGATAAGTCCTATGACAAGGTCGAGCGTGAAAGCTCTGAAAGCGCGACTGCGTATGAACAGACGCTCTCGACATCCTTCCTCATCTCAGCAGACATGGCGCACTCTGTGCATCCCAATTACTCGGGCAAGTACGAATCGGATCACCGACCAGAAATGAACCAGGGTACGGTCATCAAGATCAATGCCAACGCTCGCTATGCTACCAACTCCCCAGGAATCGTCTTGCTGCAAGAAGTGGCTCGGCGGGCCCCAGCCCAGGGGGAATCCAGCGCAGGCGTGCCCCTGCAAATGTTTGTCGTGCGCAACGACTCCTCTTGTGGAAGCACCATTGGACCGATGCTCTCCGCAGCCATGGGCGTGCGTACATTGGATCTAGGTAACCCGCAGCTCAGCATGCACAGTATCCGTGAGACCGGCGGTGTGCACGATGTAGAGCACGCAGTTCGCCTATTCTCTAGCTTCTTTGCCCACTATGGAGAATTGGAGAGTAAAATTCTTGTTGATTAAGTCATTGGTGTTAGGGACTTTTCCCATTTGCTTTCTTGGGGTGGGGGGAGGGGGCGTAGGTTCATTGAGGAGCAACCGCAGTCTTCTATCACCATCATTAGATGTTGATAGTTCAATATATGTTGGATCAAAGCGTTGGTGTACGTTGAGTAGGTGTATATAGTTTGGTGATATCTAAAGAATATATCTCAATTCTATTTGCAGCAGCCACGTAACTCGCAATTCATGTATAGCTTTTACTTTGTCTTTCCACATACGACGTCTTACTCTCCACTGAGCTGAATTCCGTGGTCCCCCGTACTGGACATTCACCACGTTCTCCCAATCAGTCTCTATGAACCGCCGGACTTTTGGTGAATCTCCTTGTCAGCTTCCAATTCGCCCAACCCACACTCTCCTTTGCCTAATTCGGACTTCCTCAATTATCGTCGAACGTCTACCATTTGGAACTGCGTCCAGCAGATCCCGAGGGAGACGCGACGACGTGTTAGAGACGTGAAATCCTGACATCATTTCTCCTTCTTATCATCCCTTATCGTCCGACCGCCTTCTATAGCGTGTTTCCCCGTGGTGTTGCATGTGATTATTCCGCGTTTTTGCCTATTCCGGTAGAAATGAAACTTTCGTCGGACGTCTATGCGCTTGCAGCATGTCAAAAGTCGCGTCTTAGATCTTGGGGATACGCGACGTGTCAAGGTCTGACATCATATAATTTCTCCCAGAAGTTCTACTTTAAAGATGCACGTGATCATGTCAGTTTGGCAAAGCAGATAGGGCGAACCTGCAAATTGAAGCTTAACCTGAGCTTCGAGACTGTTATTGCCGGCAAAAGTTTAATATATGTGAGGGGCTTGGCAAAGGTGAGGTCATTTGACTCCATTATGCAGTGTAACAGTAGCCCTATAGAGAGGCACAGTGCAGTGAGTTCATCAATCCTTGCTAGTAGCGCTGCGTGATCACGTCCAATTCTTTAACGTCAAGATGTTAGCTAAAACTATGATATTGGTCCTCAACTCTTGGTGGATGTTGTTTACTCCTTCATCGGTATCCGGCCAACCTCGGCTCGTTTCCCAATTCGTTCGTCCCGCTCGTCCGTCGTTGCAGCTTTGGATGTGTAACGGTACTTCTATGGCTACTGAAGACTAGGGAGTTACGAGGTGCCCAGTACTCATGTTGTCCTGTGAAGAAAGGGCCCCTCGAACCGCGGCTCGGCTTCTGCCGCGTGGAGAATCCCCGACGGTCCAGGTAAACTCTGGGGTAATAGTCACTGCTCACTATAGCCAGGGTGGAATAACAACCTCCTACGCACTTAACACATGTACAAGACTATAAATCGCAGTGTCCCCGCAGGTATCCGTCATAGGCGCCTGAATATTCCGTCGATATACTCTCCCTCTGTTGCGCAAAGCATATAAAGGCCTCCAGAAACATCCCCCTACACCGGCGAACCTGTCCTCCGCTCGCCCGCAACCTCCGCATCTTGCGCGCAACACTGCCTGACGCAAGCTATATAGGTCACGCCCTTTATAGCTGATACAGCTACTCTGCACATTGCTACTGGACTTTTTGTCTAATCAAGAATCTTCCCAAAACTTTTCCATTGGTGGGACCAGAGAAACAAAACAAACCTTCACCCCCCGAGTTCATTGTCAAGATGTCAACCGCAACGAATCCCGGTAGCTCTCCCGGAACACCAGAGCCCCATCTGCACATTCCCAGCAAAGAGGAAGTCAAAGAAGAAGTGGTAGTTGCAACGAAACATACATTCTCCGGCTTGCGCGCTCTGGCAGCTGGCGGCGTCGGAGGCGTATGCGCCGTTGTCGTCGGACATCCTTTTGATCTGGTCAAAGTGCGATTACAAACTGCGGAGAAGGGAGTCTATTCTGGCACAATGGACGTAGTGAGGAAGACGTTTGCAAGAGAAGGAATCAGGAGAGTGAGTTCATCATATTGCGCATTGATCAATCAATGTCCAAGACCTATTGTATTAACATTTTCATCCAGGGTCTCTACGCAGGCGTATCCGCGCCTCTCGTCGGCGTCACGCCAATGTGTAAGCTTTCTTCATACTCCCGTCCTTTTGTCTCTCCGCTACTCTTCACTGACCCAACTTCTTTCAAAACAGTCGCCGTTAGTTTCTGGGGCTACGACGTGGGCAAAGGACTCGTGCGCCAAGTGTCCGCCGTACACGACGACAAGCTCAGCATCGCGCAGACCTCCGCGGCCGGCTTTTTCAGCGCTATCCCTCAAACCGCCATCACTGCTCCCTTTGAGCGCGTCAAGGTCCTTCTCCAGATCCAGGGCCAGAAACAGCTCGCGCCGGGCGAGAAGCCCAAATACGCCAACGGGTTTGACGTCGTCCGCCAACTCTACCGCACCGGCGGCATCCGCAGCGTCTTTCGCGGCAGCGCAATGACACTTGCCCGCGACGGGCCCGGCTCGGCCGCGTATTTCGCTACATACGAGTACATCAAGCGCAAACTCACCCCCGCAGGGTCCGAAGGCCAGCTCAGTCTCACGGCGATTATGACTGCCGGTGGCGCCGCCGGCGTCGCCATGTGGATTCCCGTGTTTCCCGTAGATACTGTCAAATCGAGACTCCAGAGCGCAGAGGGAAACCCGACGATTGCAGGGACGATAAGAGAGCTGTTTGCCCGCGGTGGAGTCCGGGCGTTTTTCCCCGGTTTGGCACCTGCTTTGGCCAGAGCAGTGCCTGCCAATGCGGCGACTTTGTGAGTATCCGTCCTTTTTTCCTTCCCTTTTGTCCCCCCCCCTCTTTTATCCCTCTATCCCACCGCTCCATTACCTATCTTTCCCATCGTTCTCTTCCCTATATCCCATCTCCTTTCCCATTACCTTCTGCTTCTGTGCAAGAAGTCAAGAAGGGGACCAAAGTTGTTATTCCCCGTGCCAGGGCATCGACTGTGCCCGGGGGCAGTAATTGTTGAGAATCTACAACATGGAATATCAGGATTCAGCTAACACATGTCTTTCCTCGATCTTTCTAGCCTCGGCGTCGAACTCGCACACAAGGCTATGCGCAAAATGTTCGATTCATAGATCTGATCTAGATCTAGATCCCTACCTAGTTCCCCGTATCTACCTATCCTACCTAACCTACGAATATCCGAGCTGGCGCTGAAGCTGAAGGTCAGATGAGATGGCCTTGGGTCCTGGGCTCTTAATCCTGGGTCCTGGTCCTGTATCTTGTATCTCGGGTGCTTCGTCCGCGGACCCGAGACCCCAAGAAATCGAGACTGGCGTGGACCATTTAATGGCATTCACCTTCCACCCAGTGAGTCAGTGACCCATCTGTATAGGTATCAAGGTATCAGGTACTTTGATCGATTCGATTCGATTCCAATTCTACAGTGTGGAAATATTGCGAATATTTTGACCTGGGCGTTTTCGTTTCGTTTTGGTGTTTTTAATTTTTATTTTGCTTCATACATCATACATCATACATCGTGCATCATGCATCATACAGCGTACATCATACATCATACGCCATCCCAAAAAAGGAAAGAAGGAAAGCAAGGGAGGAAAAAAGAAAGAAAGAAAGAAAAGAGGGCGAAAGTGTATAATGTATATTATGAAGTACGATATATGAAGTATCAAATATGGTGTATAAAGTATGATGTATACTGTATAGTGTTGGTCCATGGTGTATGGCGTTGGGGTGCATCTCGTCTTCTAGATATACGCTTACATATAACTCGTGAACAAATGATAAAAATATATATATGATTTCTGTAAAAGGTGTAAGGTAACGCTCCTGAGGTACCGGCTTGTGGAAGTTGGAATATGCGAGTGTAAAATACGTGTAATATGAAAAAAAAAAAGAAAGGGGAAAAATTAAAGGGAGAAAAAAAGAAAAAAGAGAAGATAACAGAGAGGAAAAAGAAAGAAAAAAAAAGAGAAAAGCGGATGAATAACAGGAAAGAGAAAGTAGATGGAAAGAAGGGAAAGGAGGGGGGAAAAAAGGAAAAGAAAAGGGGAAATAAATAAGAAATAAAAAAAGTAAAAAAAGTAAAAAAAGTTAACATATAAGTCACGGAGACAATAAAATCCGTAAATTATATGGAATATATTTCGCTGTAGACCCATTAAAGACCCGCAGAATATGTGGGAAGTAAAGCTATAAAATACGGAAACAACCAGAGCCACTAATCCATGAATTTACCACCGCAGTATATACATATATCGCATGTAGAATGCAGGACCGTAATGAGCGACGGAACGTCCTCTCTCTGCCCCTGGACTCCTTCTGGACCTCGCTGTGCAGATTGAGCTTGTTCAGAATTGTCTGCTTGATCTGCAGGGCGTGCGAGTTGCGGATCAATAACTACCGTATGAGTAAAAGCCTGGTCAGACTGAGAGGCGGCACGAGTAAGGTAGTCGTCTCGCAAGTACCGCGTTTGGCATATGCTGCATGATTTGGAAATACCCGGTGCTTGAATCGTAAGGAGGGTAAGAGCGCAGCGGACTTTATTTTGTGTATGTTGTCATTAGCTCTGCTGGGGCAAAATAAGAGAAGGAAGCAATTAAGCAGAACTCACCAAAAATGTGCCCTCCCTCGCAACGACCGTAGTGTGGATCCTCCCATGGAATACCCTTGCCGCACATATCGCATGTTTCAAAGATACTTCTTGCTCCGGGACTTTGGTCGAAAAGGGCTACATCAATCGTGCGTCCTTTGAACCTAACGCTGCCCTCACCTAATCCTGGGTCAAGCCGTTCCGTATTCTGAGTAGCCGAGAACCTCGAGCCTGTCTGACCACCAATTTCCTGAAGATGGCTACACTGGGAAATTTCATGGTCGAGACTGACGCCATGCGTTGCTGAAAGCCATTGGAATGCATCTTTGCAAAGTTGGATCAGTTGCGGTGTTGTATACCGGCAGGAATATAGACCCGCGCAGGATGCAGCATAGAGTAGCTTGGAGCTAAGTCTGTCGACATGTAATCCAGAGGCATCATCTCTTGAAATAATCAGGATAGTAGATATCAGCTCCGATAGAATAGCTTGAGATTGAGCATCATCGAGCGTTGAAGTGTTCGTAGCTATTGACCCAAGTGACGCAGATTGTGTTTGGAACCGCTCCCGGATCCATGAGGCGACCATATTGAGCAGATTCGAATATCTTTGGGCCGTGATAGCTCGGGTGTACAGCAATTTGTTCGCAATCGCTCCTTGTGTCATGAGAGGTGATGAAGAGTGGCTGGGGATTATAGTCACGGCAGGCTCACTTTGCGCCGCAGTGCGGCTGAGTTCGTCCAAGTATTGTTTGACTTCGTTTACGTTGTGTATAAATGAGCTCTGAGGCTCCACGCTCTCCGCGCCGTAAAGTTCGAGATGGCGAGATGCTTGAAGAGCGAACGCTTCGGCGCTGTATTCGATGCCTGGTATGGATTTGAGACAAGTGAGGAGCGTGCGGGGATGAGGGTAGAGGACGTACAGTTCAAGGAAGATATTTTTGGAGTGATGACCTGAAGAAAAGACTGCTGCAACACCTCTTCCCACGACCCGAATACTGCAGTGGACTTTTCCAAGGACGCAATCTCGTACTCGACCATGTCGCCAGGGTGGGTTGAGAGCAAAGTGGCTATGCTGTCTTCTCCAGGGGAAGACGATAGGCCCCATACTTTGACAACGGAAAGTCCGCCAAGATCATGTCGGGTATCAAACTTCGCTCGACAGTCTGCAATTCTTCTCTGCCATGGGGACTTCGGTAGCGGTTGGACAGATGTCTCAATCTGCTCGTTTGACTTTCTGGACGTCACATGTCTAATCGATTCGGCATGACCCAAGAACGTCGAAAAACTGATTATGAGGTCGCCGGTCGCTGGATCAATTTGTATAGCAAGCCCTATCAGATCAGCAAAAATGATGTTTGGATTGGGCTCTATAGAAATCACCTGTAATCTCGTCCCAACAAGGCTGTAGAGTCTTTTGACCGGACAATTCTAGATGCGAATATTTCAATATATGGTAAGTAAAGACGGACACCCCTGGGATGTCCTCGATGAGGAGTTCATTTTCTGGCCCTTCGTGTGTGTTGTAGCCCAAGCCCGTCATATCTGCTGGAATCGATATGATGGAAAGGAGATGTCCGAAGGACGCAACGAGATACAGATATCCGTCATGCACCTGGATTATCCTTTAGAAAGAATTTATATCATGGAGCAGAAGCAGTTTCGGTTACATACCTTGTCGTACCATGCTAGGGGGCCACTGTTTTCTGTCACCCACGCTTGGTTAGGTTGAAAGCAAAATTCCGAGCTATTTATCTTCAGATCCATCCTATTATTTTGTCCATCTTGGGAGGTTACGGAGACCTTTCTCAACCGCAATGTGTTCCCACATATATATGCCAATATGGCATCTTCCGTCTTGAGAGAAATTACCCAAGGACTCCAAGCTATTTGGCTTATAATTGATCTAGAAATCATAGCGGCTTTCAGTAGTGAGAATTCTGATTCTTCTTCTTTCAATGTTTGAGCTCGCACGTCCCCTAGCGCTTCAGTGCTCCACTGCCCGCCAGTGCAGCGCGAGGACGGAGGAATGATGCGGAGAATCACCATTTCATTGTTGTCGTTCGCAACAGCAAACAAAGATGTACCCCATGTGGCTCCGAGAGCATTTATTTCTCCGTTTTTCTTCAAAAAGCAAGGCTTGCTCCAAGCAAACGACATAATTCGCCTCCGTAGCTTATTGAGATTATGTAGCTCTCTGGGTACGTCATGTCCATTTTGCCCTTGATCAAAATGGCCCAGGACAGCATCATTTAAAATCATCACTCGATTGAAATGTTCTGCTTTTCTCGATCGTGCAGCACCATCCCAGATAGAGAGCAAATGATTCGTCGTGAGCACAGCAAGTACAGGCCGCCGGTGCAGCCCAATGCCTGGGCTGGACCATTTCAAGGTCGATACTGCGCCTATGCCTTGCTCTTCTCCAATAGAAAAGACTTTAAAAGGGGCAGGCGCTCTAGCTGGAATTTCATCTTCTGAGAAGAGGTTGGCACGGAAAATCAATGAGTCCCATTGCGCATCTGACCCTTCTCGCGTTTCATGTGGCCTCGTAGTGGCAGTCTCCCGCCTTGAAGGGTCAGGCCGAGTCTGACCTATAGTCCCAGATCCATATCGTGGTAACTGCATAAATAATTTATTAGTTATTTCAGGTCAAACAATCATGCGGGTTCAAATCAACCAGTAATTGAATGTATTCGCCTGCTGCGATAGCTAGTTCACCGTCCTTGGACCAATCAACAGAATCGACGTCAGTCGGCGTAAATGGTAAATGGATATTGAGAAGCATAATTGGGATAGTCTAGGCTCGTGCACTTCAGCATGGCCACCAATTTGAGAAGCCACACGTATCACGGATGAAATTATACATTAGCATGATTTTAGTTTGTGGGGTTGTTTTGGCATGCAGTATTCTGCCGCGTCTCACCGCCTTCAATCATATGAGCGCACGGACTCAACACACCGTTGCACTGTAGATAGAGTCGATTGGATAGATATATTATAGTTGAGGGCCTCTTCTAACATCTAATATCACAGGCAGGGCGCCGAACTACGTGTTATAATATATCTAGTCTGTATAGAGATCTAATAATCTCCCTGCAATAGGATTCCACTCATCGTCCCAACGCCTATGACCCTCCCGAAGAGCGCCATCTTTGAGAATGCTTAGTTGGGTGCCATCTGCCCCAAGGAGAGTGACAAAGAGATCAGTGAGCTGGCCCACACTTCTGAATCCTTTTCCGTTTATACCATCATGTACTAGCTCGGGCCAAGCCTCGAATTTGTCCCATCCGACAACAGGGAGACCTGCGCCAAACATATCAAGGACTTTCATCGGCAGATCAACTCCAGATGAAGAAGTGTGCAGAGAAACTCCGAGATCTGCCGCAGCCAGCAACGAGGCATAATCCTCAATCGTCAACCATGCGGTGAGAATGGTGACATTAAGCAACTTCCCTTCACGTTTGAGGGTATCAATCCGCGAGAGATAGTATTCCTTTTGAGGACCTTTTCCGGTGATAACGGCCAAGATGTTCGGCAATTTTGTCGCTCTTGTAGTGCTACGAGCTGCATAATCCACCAGTGCATCAAGTAAGAGCGAAAAGTCCTCGTCTGGCGTCCAGGAGGTTGAGCTTATAATGAGCTTTGTCGCACCGTTCCGGATTGAGTCGGCATAAGGGGCAGTGACGCCCAGACTCGAAAGAACCGTAGAGCGCCGGTTCACGGAAAGGGGTTGAAAATGTCCAGCAGGCCTATCGTGAAGGACCAGAACAGGTGATGTCACTCCGTGATCTTGCGTAAGAACATCCGACAAGGCCTTTGTGACAGTAAGATGGGCAGTAGCATTACGGCCGAAAAAGAACTCGTAGATTTTCGATATTTTTACAAGGGGATGAGCAGGGCCAAGCTTAAGGCTGAGAATTGAGTAGCCAAAGTTATGCCAATCAATGATGAGCTTAGTGTTTCGAAGGAAACACATAGCCTTGGCAATGGCAAGAGTAGGCAATGAAGGTGGATTCTGATGGTCGATCGTATTAGTTTTACTATTCCCCGAGTTGATAGCATGACCACGCATGAACAGGCTGCAATCCGACAAAACGCACCTGAAGAAGCAGCCACTTTGCAGGCTTGGTTCGGTAGCCCAGAATAAACCAGAGGTAGCAAATTTGCCAAATGACTTTTAAAGGCGCAAACAGAAGGAATAAGAGCTTGTTGCTCGTTTGAAACCGCCTCGGAGGCGGTGGAATAGGCGTGATAGCAATTGAAGAGTTGGTCAGAAGGCCAGGATGTGGATCGGACTCTATTTTACATGTTAGATGTTTTCATTGATTATCCATTGCGAGATCGTTTACCTCGATATCCGATTATCTCTGCAAAGCCGCCATTTTTTGCTATACTGAGGGCATGATATTGCATGCGTGGGCTCTGGCCAATATCCCCGAGGACAAGAATCTGCACTCTGGCTTTGAGTTTATTATTGGATTGTTCATCTTCTTTGCGCTCATTAGAGGCAACATTGTGTTTTTCAACAGCAGGATCATATTGTGATGGCAAGGTCAGAAGAAAAAGAGTGAAAAACGTAGAGCCAATTACGGCTCCCGTAAGTAATATGTCAATCATGACGATCTAAGGAGAACATGACAACAAAAAAGCACTTTTAACAAAGGATATGAATTAATCATGCGGTAAAGTGACCATGTGGCCGATAACGAATGACGTTGGAATAGGGCCAGAAGGGTTCCCCAAAGAGCCCAAATAGCGGAGAGACCCTGCATTTCCACGCTCTTAGTACTGGTACTTACAAAGAAACACATCACTCGCGACTCTTAAGGTAGCGGTACTTTTACTTCACACAGTCCGCCTCCTTTTCGATGTTGCGCGATCCCATGCAACATATCATTTCGAACTCCTCTCTTCTTGTCTAGAATACCTCGTTCAATCAATTCTTTCCATATTCTTGGATCTTTTCTTTTTTTTTTGCCCCCATAGGTCGGACGCTGGTCGCCCAGCATGGGAGCCTCTCTAACAAGCTCCTCTGCCAATCGGTCGAGGATCACAGAGTACCTGCTGCAACGTGTCGAGCCATGGCCGCTGTTGCACAGCATTCTGGTTGAAAAGGACTCTCGCCGGATCTTCTATTTCATGCTGTACGATTGATCGCTTTCTAGAAGCTGTGTTCTTATGCTAATATTCTCAAATCGCAGGCTCAATTTCGGATTCATGCTTGTCCAAACGTTCTACGGCCTCGCGACGGGTTCCCTGGGCCTTCTCAGTGACAGTATACACATGTTTTTCGACTGCTTAGCATTAGTTCTCGGTCTCTGCGCGTCGGTCATGAGCAAATGGCCCCCGAGCATGCGTTTTCCATATGGTTTTGGCAAGATGGACGCATTATCCGGCTTCGCAAACGGTATCTTTCTCATGTATGAGGTCAAGCATTCAAATATCAAGAGGAATAGGATCTAATAAGGTGTAATAGGCTTATAAGTATCGAGATTGTCTACGAAGCCATCGAGCGACTGGTTGAAGGAAGCAAAATCCAGCGGATAGGCGAGTTGCTGACTATCAGCGTCCTGGGATTAATCGTCAATCTGGTCGGCATATTCGCATTCGAACATGGGCATCACCACCACGGTCACGGCCATTCCCACGGGCATAGTCATGGGCATAGTCATGGACACGCACACGCACACGACCATGGGCATTCTCATAGTCATAGCCACAGTCACAGCCATAGCGACCACGACCACCATCACCATCACCACCACGGAGAACATTCTTGCGGATCTGGGTTGGATATTTCGCCTTCCCATGGCCACGGACACGACCACGGACACAGTCACGGCCACGGCCATAACCACCACGGCAGCGAAAATATGCACGGAATTTTCCTTCACATCCTCGCAGACACTCTCGGCTCTGTCGCTGTCGTCATATCAACGCTGCTCGTCCATTTCTACAATTGGTCTGGCTTCGATCCTATCGCATCTTGCTTCATTGCAGTTCTCATCTTCGCCTCCGCCGTTCCTCTTGTGAGTAGCTGCGCCAGCGCTCTCCTTCTAACCGTACCACAGGACGCGGAATACGGGCTGCGCGAGACGCTTTCAGATATCAGCGGCTTAAGAGGTGTCGTTGGATATAGTGTCCCCAAGTTTTGGCTCGAGGAGCGAGTTACGGCCGATCCTGATGCTCATGGGCATTCCCATGGCTCTCCTGAGAAAGACCATGATCATAGCTCGCCGAGAATTCTCGGTGTCATGCATGTGATAGCCGCCCGTACTGCAGATACTGAGGACGTGCGGGAGCGCGTTACCCAATTTCTCGCTGAACGGCACATGGAGGTTGTGGTGCAGGTAGAGAAGACAGGCGACAGTAGATGCTGGTGTGGCGGCGGGCTCAAGACTGGCTGATAATCGTGTGACGAGAGGATCGTCTTTGAACGTCGAAATGGTTTCGCAAGCCCGAAGACGCGAGCTGGACTCTAGGGCCCTTGCTTATATTTGACGGATGCTTTGTTTCTTTCCGCATGCCGTTTATTTTCGGAACTTTTTCCTGCATATGCTCGTTAATTTCCTACAAGTTTACATGCATCTATTGACGCGCAAAAGAAGGCGTTGACGGCGGGAAAACTTTGATTTTTTCGGACGGTTTATTGATGACATCGCTGGCAACATTGCAATTTCTTTTTCAAATATGCAAAGAATCGTTTGTTTTCTTTTATACAATACACTTGGACGCTCTGTATTTAGGTCTTGCATCCAATGACGATGGTCGATCACTCAGTACGATTGAAGGCATATAAGAGTGGAATATATGTGTAATGTCATAACAACAATGCAAACATGCTGTCTAGCTAAGGGTGCTCTTTTCTTTCAGTTTCAATGGGATATGTCTATGCAGATCGGCGCTGTTCTTGAGCCACACAACACTGAGTAACTTAAGCCTCACATTCCGAATTAGGTGAGATTGGGGGGCGGCAATGAGAAAGGGTAGTGTAATCTATCTGCTACCAGGCTACGAAAACCCCGGGTCGGGACCTTTCTATAACCGAAAACCCGCTTAGAATGTTGCCGCCGCCTCGCCCGTCCACCGGCTGCTGCCTACTGGAGTATACAAGTACCCCGCTAAAAACGTCTCAAAATAGAATAACGTCAACCTCAGCTCAGCCTCATTCCCTCCCCTGCTCCTCTTGGGCTGCCATTTATCTCCTGACTTGTATTCATCCACACTGCCATCACGCTGCGTTTCCATCAAATATTTAATAAACTGATTTTGCATACTCATCAAAAAAGCATCCTCCTGGGATATATTCTCTCAATTTTAAATGTTCTGAACCTTGAGGCTCAGGACTGAAACAATCACAGTGCTACTATAAATTCGAGCCGTCCGAAAGGGACGACCAAAACGAAATTATCCCACTTTTTGAAGTACAGACATTCTGTAATTCATCATGAGCGGTGTTTTTCACTTTGCCCGTCGCGGGCTCGAATCCGCTTCAGGCTCCATTGATCCTGCCCGCAACGACGTCCTCACCTACAAGATGCCCGGCTGGGGTGTTGCTGTTCTCATTGTGACGGTTGTTGTGTACCTTTACCTTTTCCTACAGGTATCTTTCTACCGTCTCCTTGTCTCCTTGTAAAAGAGTAATTACTATTGGAATCCGAACCTAATATCTTTAATATCAGGCTCAATATACACTTGGTTCAGTTGTGACCACTCTCGCCATTGTTGAATCAACGGCCGAACCTGTGGATGAACCGGACTCGGTCTACCGCGACGAGCCCGATGCCCCCCTCATGGATGTCAAGGAAAGCCTTTCAAACAAGGACGCCCTTGCACAGGCTGAGCTGCAGCACAAGCCCGCTCCTATCACCATTCGCTATTCCACCGCTCTTCGCCACCTTCGCGCCAAGGCAGGCAAATGGTCAATTTTCCGGGGAATGGTGGCCTTTACGTTCGCGGGACTTGTCACTAGCTGGCTCAAACACGTCTACTTCTTTCTTTTGTCCTGGTTCCCCTTGGTCAATGGACTTCTCAGAGTGCCTTTGGCAATGGCAACAGCGGCCCTCCTTTTCACCACCTGGACGCATATTGTCATTTCTATGCCTTCGAAGAAACCATGGTTCAAGCGTCTTGCCGAGCTGAACAGGCACGACTGGGTCAAGATCGCCCCAGCTACCTTCACCTATGGCATTGCAGTCCAAGCCGTCGCTTTCGTTCCTGCCATGCTCGCCTCCATTCTCGAACCCTCGTTGTGTTCATCTGACGATGAAAACGCAAAGTTCCAGCCTATGGACTTTGTGCTCAAGTGTGCTGCTATCCCGCTTACTTGGCTTATTTGCGCTATTTTGATTAGCATTCCCGCCGAGGTCATTCTTGTCCGTATGCAGGCATCGATGCTTCCTGCTGAGCATGAGCCCATCGTTCCCTTTGACCGCACATTTGGCGGTCGCGTCGTGCCCAAGTCTGAAGGCGGCTCAGGCGTGCTAGGAATGCTGGACGCTTGGAGAAGCTTTGACCGTGCTGCTCGTCTACGGCTGCTGAAACTTTACGCCATTCTTGGTGCTGCCATTATTGGCGGGACACTGATTTTCTTGGGTATTTTCATTGCTGAGCTTCGTCTCATTACAGGTGATGTCTTTTACAAGGTGATCGCTCTGATGAATGACGATTCATGCAAGCCCAACAACGGCTTTTAAGCAAAGTCTAGCGCTTCGCTACTAGTATATGGAATAAGCTCAGTAGAATCGGTTATCGACTCCCGGAACATTAGCAATATCGACACATTAAAACCCTGCATTCTGATGAATTCTTTTTTTTCTTCCCTGTGAAATATATCTACACTACTTATACTCCACTCTTTTGAATAAATATGCTCACCTTTCTCTGCTCACTTTTCGTATCCATAATCAAGTCCCTTGGTGTCCAACGATCCACGTTGCCGCCGGGTAACTCCGTGGCCCCGACTTTGGATCGTCACTTTCAACGTAATTGACGTATCCTGCTCGACGTAGATATCCGCTTCCCTCTGTGTTCATCGAGTCTACCCAACTCGTTCGTTCACCGCCCAGGGGACTTAAAGCTCGAACCCCACCATAAGTTTAATTGAAACCAGTCCCCGCCAACGCAACCTCTGAGCTTCAACACCGACACTCATTTTGGTTCCTTACTAATTCAGCGACGGCAGCGAACTCGACAACTGACTTAAGAAGACTTGATACAACGCACTGCCCGAGAAAAGCCCAAACAGATATTAGCAAATCATGGCGGCTACCTCAGCAGCGGCTGGGCTTCTGGGCCGGCAACTCAAACAGATGCACTCGGACAACGACATTCCCGGAATCAGCTGCGGCCTGGTCGATAACAATGTGTTTGAATGGGAGGTCATGTTGATGATTTCGGATGAGTGCAAGTTCTACGGCGGTCAGTGTGCCCTTTCCGTTCTTCATTCTTTTCCTCGCGTCCATTCTGCCACTCTCTTAGCTCTCCTTGCTATTCCTACTTGCTTGAACATGGTTTATGCCGCAAGCTGGTTACCGCCATATCCCGCTGGCTGCAAGGTGCCGTCCCGACATATAGAGGAGAATTGAAAAGGCTAACGTTTGGCATGTCCGAGCAATAGGTGGTTTCTTTCGCGCCCGCCTCTCTTTCCCCGCCGAATACCCTATTATGCCACCGAAAATGAAGTTTGAAACGCCCATTTTTCACCCAAACAGTACGTTACTTCTTCCTCCTCTTCCTTCAATAGTCCTTGGCTGCAACGCCTTATATTCCCCGCGTCGAAAGAAAGGCAGAAAGAAAGTGATTCAGAATAAAACTAATCAAGGTTCTTCAAAAGTCTACGAAAACGGCGAAGTGTGCATTAGCATCCTGCATCCCCCAGAGGAAGATAAATTCGGCTATGAATCCGCCGCGGAACGCTGGTCACCCGTGCAGACGCCCGAAACGATTCTGCTCAGCGTCATCAGTATGCTGAGTAGCCCCAATGACGAGAGCCCTGCGAACCTCGATGCCGCGCGGCTGTGGCGAGAAAACCCGGCCGAATTCAAGAAGCGTGTGCGCAAGTGCGTCCGCGATAGTCTGGAGATGTAATTACCCTGCATTATTTCTCTCTACTCGCCCATCCGCCTTTTTTTTTCCCCCTAATCCTCTTCTCAGCTCATCTCTGGAGTGGAGAGGAATACATGGGCTCGGAATGTCTTTTCCGACGACTTCCTATGTCTAAGCCATCTTGATACATTTCTTTCTTTCTCTGATTATTTTTGCCAATTTGGCGTTTCTGCCACTTGCATATTATTAGGATGTTAGGACGCGATTTACTCTTAAGGTTTAGGGGGGAGTCTGCTTGAAACTTTTTTCCTTTTCTTGATTGATTGATCTTGCCCAGCGTTGGCAGCAGCGAGAGCGAGATCAGGGTTCAAACTCCCCTTTGGCGAAATCTCGAGGCGTCAATTTTGTTTTGCGAGACTTTTGTTTTCCGAGGTGAAGACGTTTTTCATCATCTACGTACATGGCCTCAAATACGTTTGAATAGCTTGGAATAGGAAAGCTAAATAGGGACAAGATACAATACATATTCATGTTACACTTTTACGACTATGCATTGTGCAAACTCTATGCGCTTCAAACTTCTATTTTAATACCTAGATACAAAAGACGAACTGTATCAGGGAAAATGTAAAATGTATATAGTATAGTACACTAGCCGAAAATTATTTTCCAAAACCTTTCTACTATAGCATATTTATTATTAAATTATAGATATTCTTCTGTTCGGTCTAGACAGAATTTATTTGCCGACGTTGGTGTAGCGGAGGTAACTATTTTGTCCAGATTAGCCATTGAAACATATGTCAAGCCACAAGACAGGAAAGAGGAGGGTATCAGGGAGCGTCCTCGAGGAGAAACAGAAGTGGATTCAATGGAAACTTACGGCTTGAGCTCGCGGACCTCGCCGAACTTGGCCTTGGCGTCAGCGTTGGACACGCTGGGGGGAATGATAACGTCGTCGCCGGGGCTGTTGATGAATTGTTAGCCTATTTTCATTATTGAGGAGGAAATGGGAATCTCCAAGCCTTATAACGGCGGGTATTCCTTCCACCTCGGCGGCGAGCAAAGTGCCACAAGACCGGTGCAGAATGGGTCTAACTTACAGCCAGTCAATAGGGGTAACAACACCCTCCTTGTCGCCAGTCTGGAGCGAGTCAATGACACGGAGAACCTCGGCGGAGTTACGGCCGGTCGAGGCAGGATAGGTCATGGTCAGACGAATCTTCTTGGAGGGGTCAATGACGAAAACAGAGCGGATAGTCAAGGGCAGAGGGTTGGCGGCCAAGTTCTCAATGTCCTGCTGGGTGATCATGTCGTAGAGGAAAGAGACGGAGCGGTCGGCGTCGGCGATGATGGGGAAGTCAAGGTTCGAGCCGGTCACTTCGTCAATGTCCTTTTGCCAGGTCTCGTGGGAGCCGAGGTCGTCGGCAGACTGCACTCGGAGGTCAGCAATTCTGACGCCGGAAAGGGAATTGAATGGTTCAGGGATGGAAAATGCGAGAGGAGATGATTAAGAGAGCAGCGTAGAAGGCGGAAAGAGACGTACAAGACCAATGAGCTTAACATTGCGCTCCGTGAACTCGTCGGCGAGCTTGGCAAAGGCGCCAAGCTCAGTGGTGCACACGGGAGTAAAGTCCTTGGGGTGGGAGAAGAGGACCGCCCACTTGTCGCCGATGAACTCGTGGAAGTCAATCTGGCCCTTGGTGGTGGTGGCCTTGAAGTTGGGCGCTGTCGTGTGAATTCCAGATTAGCACCGGCCCTTCAATGATATCATAATTTTATATGAAGCTATATGGTGGGATTTGTGGGAAAGTCTTCGGTTTCAAAGTGCTCTCAGGGTTATAAAAACTCAACTGAGGAAGCTGGAATAATATAATGTCAACAGGAATACTCACCGGTGGAGCCAAGGCGGAGACGGGGCTGCTCCTTGGGAATTGAGGCCAGACCACGGTAGAAAGTCTGTGCGACTTGAGGACGAGCGAAGAAGGTGCTGGGACGCACAGCGGGGCGGAAAGATGCCACGAAGGCAGCGGCAAACTTGCTGGCCATCTTGATGTCGGGGTATCGAAATCAATTGAGGCTGATACAAGTAGAAGATTGACGAGATGGTAATAGAATAATGTACGACTTGAAGCTTCAAGGTGTTTCCCGATAACAAAGCAATGATAGTGAACGGATGACGTAAGCAGCTATGACGTGCTAAACCAATCAAGATGATCTCAGGCATTCAAACTTCGCAGGGTAATGCATAGTATCCCTGTATTGTTTACCTCTGATTCATTGCGATCGATGCAGCAGTTCAACTTCTCACGGTTATTCATTGATACAGGAAGTTTGTGATGATTTATTTGAGGAATTTTCCTATGATATGATGCTCTCAATGAGGAACAGCTATTCCATGCGTTTTCATCAGAATCGAACATTTTTAACTGTTTACCAGCGCAACAGCGTCATCGAACGAGTTTTGTACTGACATATTCAACATTTTAACCTATAGGATAGCAAAGATATGACGCCAATTGCTTAGGCTCAGAAAATAAAGTCCTATAGGTCTCGCCCCGGGATTTCCTGTTTTAACCACAGAGCACATGTTCAAGGCAATCTGGTTTATATATGGCAGAGGGATTCAGATCATCTTGATGAAAGCCAAATGAGAGGCCGTCTGGGAAAAGAGGCGCTTGAGACAAAGATTTTCAATACGTCGGACTTATGATACATAAGAATATTCGACGTCTCGCATTCGGGCTCAATCCGTTTTTAAGAAGCGTCCTAGGTTCCCGGGGCAGCTGGATCTGAAACCTTCAATTTATACAGCGGTCGAGAAGTATAAAGGCGGAAGACAGATGATAAAATTTTCTGTTTTTTATTATTCTCTTTTTTTTGGGATTTAGCACTTGTGGCAAGCCCCTTTTTGCAAATTATGACGGAGTGCTTTCAGGCAAGCGTCTCACGAAATCATGACTGATTTACTGGTTTGGTAGGCTGCAATTGCGGCCTCCAACACTGCATAGTCGCACAGATATCATCTCTCATCAAATCATTATTTGTCCAATTCATGCCCTTATTTCCCACTGTGCTTTTTGCATCTCTTTGTTTATGCAAATTTCTGCTTTTCGTAGAGCTGTGCATGACCATTTATTGTTCGTTTTTGCTCGCAGATGCCTGTTTGCTTTTACTCGTCTGTTCCTTCCTATCCTTATCTCTTTCCCTTCAGCATCGCACGAACTGTTCGTCGAACCACGAAACCTATTCTTTCCCCGTTAGCCCACAATGGCGTTCACATTTCCTCTTCACTTGGACCAATATGTCTGGGCGCTCCCAATTAGGTCATGTTTCTTCGTTGCCCACGATGAGAACAATTGGACGAAGCCTGCCGACTTCCCACAACACTCATCTCTCCTTCCCTCCAGCTTTCCCTTCCTCAAGCATCATACCCCAAACGCCGTGCTTCTCAAATCGTATACTCCTTCCGTACATTTGCCTTCCTTCTTTCTCATTACATCAAATCTTTTCAATAATTTTTAGACAACAATGTCGAATCCAAACCCTGGTGGAGCGCCGGGGATTGAACAGCCTTCTCCCTCCCGCAGAGGAAAGGACATCCAACCTCCGAGCCGCAGCTCGAGTCTCCGCTTTTCCGCAGGGTCGGCGGGGTCTCCTGGTAAACCAAAGCCGTTGATGCCGAATTCTGCTGATACGCATGAACACGTTGAAGATCAAACTCAGATTGCTACCTCGCACGCGAGGGAGCCTCCTATTATTGACTCGGAGACTAATGCTGATACCTCCGCTCTGGACGAGTTTCTGCATCAGTCTTCCCAGACCGCGGCCCTGAAGAAGAAAATTCATGAAGAGAAGCAGGCCATTGCCGAGCAGCTCGCAGCTCGATTCTCTCGAACTTCTCTTGATAACGACGCCAGCGGTCCCTCCACTGAGAACAAAGATGTCACAAAGAGAGTAGTTGACCCAGAGCATGCTCATCATGAATTGCCCTTCAGCATTGAAGCTGAAGCGGCAGATGCTGCATCAAGCCTGCTCGCTCTTGCGCATGCTAGACCTCAAACTCCTGAAGACACTCTTCATCCTGACCAAGATGCAGTCATACGCTGGTCTCGCCCCGGAGCTCACCATGCCGAGCGCGACGATGATCTAGCCATCAATGCCGAAAACGAGGATGAAGATGAGTTTGGGCCATTGTCCTCAACCCACGCTCACACTTCCCCAGCTGCGCGTTTATTGAAGCGTACCGAATCAGGGCGCAATCGTCGTGACGGACGGTATTTTCCTTCGCCGATTCCCAGACGCCATAACCCGGCTCCTTCGACCGCCTCGAGTGTTTACCCTCCAGTCTTCAACAGGACCGAAGTCGCGCCGATCTTTGCATACCTCGATCATCCTTCTGGAAATAACCTCGCCGGTGAACTCAGCAGTGCCAATCTCCAAGGCCTCGCTGTTCTCGCAGAAGACCCAGACCCCATCGGCTCTCATGAGACGCTTGGAGGCCCTAGAGACTCAGATACCTCAAGCAGCTTCCACGGCACGTCTGGCAATTTGGATCCAGCGTATGAGCTGCAACCCTCGAATCCTTTTATCGATGCTGCTCCCGGCTTGGATCCCTTTCAAGGTTCTCTTCAGAATACCACGAGCGGAAACCTGTTCACCGCGTACCGGGCCGCCCAGGCTGAAGGACGCGTTGTGGGTGAACTCACTTCTGAGACTGAATCTCAATCCCCATCTGACGCCAATTCTGCTCACTCCAGTCAGATTCATCATGAATCTCAAGACCTAGTCAATTTTCCCCATGCCGCTTTGGCCGTCCAGGCCTTTCCCGCGCCTGACTCCGACCTGGAGCCCTTCCCCGCTTTTGAAGATGAGGAGCCCCAGCCTTCCCTTCCCCCACTCAATCCCGTCTCACCTCTCATTGATCCTCTGCAGATGCACCCCGTCACTCCTGAAGATCTTGAGCACCTCCCTGCGTCATACTGGGAATCCATTGCTCGTGAGGCCCAAGAGGACCTTGACAAAGAAGCAGCGGAGAAGCAGGAGGACGAAGAAATAGAACCCACTACTGCAGAGCCCGGCGGCGCGTTCAAGAAGTCAGGAAATCCTGGCAAGAAAGGCCTCAGGAAGCGTGTCACCTTTAAGGAGGACGAGCTACGCGAATATGCGAGCCGCAGGAATAAGAAGGGAAACCTCTTTGAGGAGCTCAAAGTCTGGGTCAATCGCCAGATTATGAAAGCCAAGACTCGAAAGTCGTGGACCGGTCTGGTGAGCTCCAAGCGCGCGAGAAGAAACATTGCGTTTAATGAGTTTTGAATGTCGACGACTGTGGAAGCTGAGTGAGAAGGTGATGGATGACGATACGACAAGAATTTGACGACGGGGAGAAGTGAAGATACAGTCAGAAGAAAGAATTTGTTGATGAGGGAGCGATTATCCGACGTTGAGGGGATGTTGAGGGGATGTTGAGGAGATGCTGATGATGAAGTGGTTGAGATGAGAATCAAAGGCAACCTTTGACAAGTTGTTGAAGACACATTTCAAGGAGATGTGAAGGTGCTTTGAGAGTGAAAAGTGGTGTGAAGGTGGTTTGAGACTCCACAGAGATTTGAAAGTCATTCGAGACAGTTCGAAGCACGGTCTTTGCATGTTGATCATTCAAAAAACCGGGCAGATCTGATTATCGCTGATGGATCACGGGATTCTAGATGAATCTCGACTGTTGGCTAGGTGCCCTGACAGCTCCATACGATTTGGAAACATTCTTTTTCATCTCACATTTGTATCTGGGATGGGACTACGAAAGCGAAACAACACTTGAGGTCTGGAAAGAAAAGCGCTTTGTTTTTCATGCTTTATGTTTATTGCTCGAAGGCTCTCTACTTCTCTGCGAGTTGCGCAATTTGTGCCGTTTTCCCTTTTTTTCTCTTTGCTTTTTTACTGATACGTTGCTCTTTGTATGTTGCTCGTACATACCGCATTGCCGCAGTAACTTACTTTGAGCCGTCGTTGCAATACCGCTTAGTTTCGAGGAATAAATTTGCTTTTTACAATTTCCACGGCTCAATGTTCTATGAAGTGATAGAATTACGAATAAATCGAACAGTCGTTGAAATCTCATCAAAAATCACGCCTCTACGTCGTTGGAGCTGCTCGACTACGCCATGCAGAACCCTTGATTTGACCAGGATATGTTTGTCCATACGGCAAATACGAGTAGGAAGCTGAGAAGCGGAAAGAAGAAAAGATAGAAGTCGATGGAATTGTGAAATGTTACCCTAAAAATAGTATAAAACAGGAGATGAAGACTACCATTTTTTAAAAGAGAACCTGAGGTGACGCCGTAGTGAGATTCACCAGAGTAATAAAAAAAACCAGATCTCACTTGAGAAATAGAGAAAGAGAAAGGCCTAATGAAAAGGGGAAAGAAAAGAATGGCAAAGGAAAAGTTGGAAAAATACACAGTCGGGAAGATGAGAATGAACCGCTCGAGAAAAAGAAATGGTTGAAAAAAAGGGACGATGAAAATGATGATGAAAAGGCAGTGAGAGACCAATTTCACCTTCACCTGTCAGTCTTGCTCTTCTTCTTTGGTCGCGCTGTTTCTTCTTCTTCCTCTTCGGCATCAGAGGCGTCCTCGGCATCGTCCATCTCGGCATCACTTCCGCTGCCGCTACTTTCATGGGCAGAGTCGTATTCTTCCGCAACGTCAGACTCGGAGGAGGCGTGGAAGTCTTCGTCGACACTCTCCTCGTCTTCGTCGGCGCTGCCACGGTCGGCGCGGGCACCAACGACGTCTTCGTCGCTGGAGAGCATGTCTTCTTCCTTGAGAGCAGCTGCGATGAGTGCACTCGACTGTAGATGAATTTGTGTTAGCAGGCTGATATTTGCAGATTATAACAGAGAAAAAAGGGGAAAGAACATACGTCATCGGCCATTTCATTCTTTGTTCGTAGACCCTTGGCCTTGAAAAATTCCTCGAGAGGTTGCTGCTCCTCACTGTAGAAGGGGGGAAGGATGTTAGTCCTGAGAAAGGAATATGTGGGCAATTCGAGGAGGCAGGAATCACATACCGATTGATGTTGCTGAACTGGTGCTCACCAGCGCCGCCCTTGAGGGTGACGGTGATGTCGAATGTGCGACTGGCGGAGATGGCACCGCCGACACGGGACATGGTGATGCTGGCAATGTTCTCAAAAGAAATGTACGTTGCTGGCTTAGGGACGAACATGAAACTCTTGTCAAGACAGAACAGGTGTCCTTCGTTGGCCTTGATCGAGCACTTGACTCCAGATTGCTGGTGGTGGCTGAAGAGAGGGTCAGCATGGATTTAGTTTGCGAAGAGCAAAAGCACTTGAACGCACCTGACAAAGTCCTTGGAAGGTGTGACGACCTTCTTGCCGGACAAGCCGCGGAAGACTTGGGCGATGACCGCATGGATGGGACTCTCGTAGTGCGGCTGAAGCTTGCCGCTGTAATTTTTTTCGAGCAGCTCCCTTGTGAAAGAAGTCAGAAAATTTGTATTTTAGACGAAATCGAAGGCCGCGAAACTCACTCGGTCATGTTCAGGTCGATAGTAACCTCCTCCTCACGCTTGAACTGCATGACAAGGAAGGGATATCTCGTCTGACCTTGTCGCAGGGGCGGATCCAGGCCAATGGTAATAAGGGTGTGGAGATCGTCGGGCTTCGGGAGAAGGAGGAACTTTTTGATGTTTTCGTATTGGATCTTGTAGTCGTATGTCTTTCCACGGAGACGGAACGAGTTTTCGTACATGTCAATATCGAAACGTCCTCTATAAAAACATTTATCGCATCAGTATTCGGTCCAAATTCAAGGATTGGCTCGTTCAAAACTGACCTGGGTGTGAGATGGAGAACATCCAAGAAAGTGGCAAAGGTATCACCAGCAACCTCGCCAATCTCGGCCTTCTCCATCAAAGTATCGTAGAAGAGATTTGCGGCATTCTGCTCTTCCTCTTCCTCTTCACCAGCAACCTCGCCATCTTCACCGTCCTTCTCCTTCTTTGTCATTGTCGTGCCGGGGATATAGAATCGCATCTCTACCAACTCGTCGACGCCTGCGCCAGCCTTACTGCCCCGCCCTCGGGCGCCTCCCAAGTGGCCATTCGTACCGGAGTCGGAAGGATTCGAGAATTCGACCGCCACCTCATTCTTGCCAGCTAAATTAGTGTTGGAGATTTCCGAGTAGGGAATCTCAAAAGCAGGACGGTTCTGAACGTTGAATGTCAATTCGGCCTTGCCGAATTCTCCCTTGCCCCAATTCCATCCACGTAGGGCATGCTCCTTATTTTCGAGATTGACACTGTACCAGTGTTTGAATGTCTTGCTCAGCCGCTCAAAGTCCTACAAAGGTTTCCCTTTATGTGAGTCTTAATGCGGCGCAAAGAAACTATACAAGTGTTCGGGCACTCACCTCTTGCTGAAAACCGTCAAGCTGAATGACACCTGCTGTTCGAGACAGCACTTTAAGCTCATATCCTCTGGCCGCGCGACTCCACTGGGCCGAGCCGATGTTGCTTGCATCAAGCGTAAAAGTATCGCCGCCACCAGAGGGCCTCCAGCCCATGCCGGCGTCGTTGAACCGACATTTGCCGGCCTGCTTGGAGAGATCCAGGTAGATTGCTTCAAAGCTCTCCCTGTGAAAGACATTACATTAATAAGGCGATTGCTGCAGTATGTGATCTGAAAAAATACTCACATTATGAAAGAGTGGCGGAGTGAGTTGAAGGTGAGAGCAAGATGTTCAGGAACTGGATGAAGGACAAGCTCTTGAATGTTCCTAGTTGGGTAATCAATCCATTTGCGCGTAAGAGACACGGTCCTCCAATAAGACCATTTGCGCAACGCGTCGCGTTCAGTCACGTGAAGGTCATCTCACATAGAATCAATAGAGATACGGAGTACCAATATAATTTCACCTGAATCAAAAATAATCTTATCTTGCCTCTCAAATACTATATAATTAGAATCTCATTGTCATAATTCAGTTCTTTGACTTTAGAGGACATTGATAGACATAAATGGGCTGTGTTGCCGGCCGCTTAGTCATCCATTCCTTCATGGTGCGCGACTGCGACAACAACAATATGACTTCACACGCATCACAATAGAGCTCGAACATCAATAAACGCCTATTGTTGGAAGGAGATATATTGGAAATTCTTCAATGATCTCAATTACAAGATAAAGCTCATTCTGAAGATTTATCCATCCTCTTGCCCTCTCATAGGCACTTCTCCTTCACAACCAACCGACCTCAGCCTCGCCGTCTGAAGCTCTCAGCCTTGCAGCTACTGAGCTACTAGCTAGAGCCCCTGACCTCACCAACTCCTCTTCAACCTCTCCGCAACACATAAATCCTCATCAAACTCCATTGAATCCTATAACCTAATCGCATCATGACCGACTACGCCAAACTCAAGGTCGACGAGCTGCGCTCGCTCCTCAAAGAGCGCTCTCTCGCCCACAACGGCAACAAGGCTGAGCTCGTTGCGCGTCTCAAGGAAAGCGACACCACTGCCACCGGCGCGACCTCGAACGAACCATCTACAACAGCCGCGGCCGCGTCAGGACTTGCGCCTCCTCCCGAGGACGAAATCGACTGGGAAGACGACGCCGGCGGCGCAGATACTGCTTCGAAGCCCGCAACCAGCGAACCTGCCGCTGCGGCCGTCGCAGCTGGAGGCGTCGGCACCGTAGCCAATCCCACAGCTGTACCCAACCAACAAGTCGACATTGACCCGTCAACGACACACGACTTGACAGTCAAATCGCCCGGCGAACCCAAGCCGGAGGTTACATCTCCCACCCAGCAACCCACTGCCGATGCGGGCAAGCCTGAATCCGCCGAACAACCCAGCGCTGAACCTACTGAAACGCCCGCCGCCCCGGCAGTCGATTTCACTACCGGCCTCGCCAAGACAGACTTGGAAGCCGAGCTGGAAAAGCGGAAGAAGCGAGCTAGTCGGTTCGGCATCCAAGAGAGCGACGAAGACGCGCTGAAAGCAATAGAGCGAGCGAAGCGCTTTGGCACAGGCACCGCGGACGAGCACGCTGTCAAGGGCCTCGATGAGGCGCTCCCCGAGCGAAGAGGCAGGAAGCGCAGTCACGAAGGTGGTGACCTTGAGCAGCGCGGCGGCCGCAAGCGACGCGGTCGTGGAGGCCGCGCCGGCGGTGGTGGTGGTTCTGGCGGAAGAAGGAACGGAACTGGAGCTGGACCTGGCGCTGGCGCTGGCGCTGGCGCTGGGCCAAAGGCGGGACCGAAGATTTCAGAAGAAGATAGGAAGAGGGCAGAAGAGCGGAAGAAGAGATTTGCCACGACGACAGCTTAGGTTCCTTGGTCCTTTTTTTCCCCCTCCCTTCTCTTTCCTGTCAATTTTCAAATCTCTGTCTTTCTCTTCCCCGTCAATTTACAAATCTCTGTTTATCTCTTCTCCATCAATTTCCACTTCTCTCTCTCTCTCTCTCTCTCTCTCTCTCTCTTTTTCGCCTCTCACTTTCTACTGTCCCATTTTGTTGTTGTTGTTTTTTTTTCCCATGGATTTCTCTGATCCTTCACGATCCACATCTTCTTGTCTTTCTGTACTCCTTATCTCTCTTTTCTTCTGCTCCCGACCCAGATCACTTTTTGACTACTCCATATCTCGCAAGAGGCCCACTTTAAGCTCCAAAACATGATACTCTCGAGTAAAGTAGTAGTAGAAGAAGAAGAAGAAGAAGAAGAAGAAAGGCCGTCAGAATACTAGTTCCAGTCTCAGGAAATTTTTTGGATTCGGGAATACACAAAGTATTTCTCCTTTCTCCCTGGATATCTGGATCGACACACTTGAATTGTACTACACACCCCCATGGCCCGGCCCTGGATTAAACCAACGAAGTGTCATTCGGGTTACTTATTCACCGTAATCCCTCCCAGCGTTGTCAAACCAACAAAAAAGGGGGGGGGGGAAGGAAAAGGAAAAGCTGTATTCAATATTCTTATGTTCATACTATATTCAATCAATCCAATTGATCTTTCATATTTCAAAATCATCCATATATTAGAGTGGATGTGGTTGAGGGGAAAATCAATCTGCTTCAACAAAGACGACATGTGCGTTAAATTATTCCGTCAAAAAGTCATAAATTTAGCTTCGATCTTTCAGAGGAAAAGAAACTGAGAACTATCAAGCGAATTTTCACATGCTCAGAGAGAACCCTCAATTTAGGTTTCCAATCTACTATATGAATTCATTATCACTGGTATATATATTTCCAAGTATCCGCCGTAAAGGGGATCAGGGGGGACAGAAAAAGAAGAAAAAAATAGAAAAAATAACATGGTCCAGCATGCTGAAGCTCCATTTGACAACGTCACAACGTCAATATTGTTGTTGCTCATGGGCTGTATTACTATCCGCCATTAATAGTTCCCGTCCGGCGTGTCCAAGAAATATTCAATTTCTTATATTGGAAAGAAGGTATATCCGAGAAAAGGCACAAAAAGCCTGGAAGACAAAAAATAAACAATAGAAGAAGAAGAGAAAGGGGAAAAAACGGAGAGAGAAGAAGGAACAAAACAAATCGCTTGCAATGCTGTCGTGAGATTCCCAAAATCTAATAATGGTGTCGTAATCGTAATCGTAAAATTTGAATCCAGATTCGTAAAAGTGATCTTGTGCCTTGGCGCGACTTGCAACCAAAATCACAACTGCTGCCGCAGAGAATAGCTGCCAGAAAGGGATATCGTTGAATTTTCGTATGTTCGATTCGTATCGGTTCGGAATTTGTACAAATGTATTATCGAGTTTGGACTCTAAAAGGACGTAATTAAAGCGAGACTGTACGACGCCGTGGCGTCAACGGTTTCTGCGCGTAGCAGATAAACAATTTAAAATTGGTTCCCTCCTCTTCGCATTCTTTCAAGAGTTCCCTATTGTTGAATAGCGTCCCAGACATGTCCACGTCGCGCGAGATACACGTCTCATAGCAGCGACTATACCACCAGCGTCCGACTTTGGCTACCATTTTTGCAATCCCAACGTCACCTTCTTGGGAATGGTCTCGGAGCATATCATCCAGGGAATAATTGGCGCTGTCAAATGAGCCAGCTCGCGAGTCAGCGACTTTGCCTGCTACAGGAACACCGAGCAGACATCGATTGAGATTCTCAAAGCCTCGCCGACCTAGCATTTTCTGGATGCTGTCGGACGCAGACTTGAGAGACAAGTTTGGATCGGCGGCCTGCATTCGTACTTTGAGCGTGCGTACTGCTCGGCGAGCTAGGGATCCCATGTTCATCATATCAATGTCGAACCCACTAAATTCAAGGTAACCACCTGGTCGAAGAACACGCTTGGCTTCGGAAATGGCGTGGCGAAAGGCGGCCTCAGAGTTGGCGGTTGGAAACCGAATGACAACAGCTGTGAAAAAGCCCCGAGGAAATGGAAATGGGTTGGCGATATCGGAATGGTAGATTTGGCGATGGTTGTGCGGTGGTGATTGTAGGTCCGATCCATGCTTTGCGTTAGACGCGCTGGTACTGATTGTGGTTGGGCTGAGATTGTAGACGGTTGCGTTAGGGTACGTCAATGCGCAGTAGAATGACCAGTCGTCGTTTCCCAGCCCGTCTAGAATGAGAAGACGATCTTGATTGTTCTGCTTCAGGTCTGCATGGGCTGGACTGAAGAGCACGCGACCGAATGAAAGCCACCTGCTCGTCATCAATGCACCAAATCTCAAATTTGCAAGGTGTTCAAGCTTCATTGGTTCATCTTTAGCCTTTCTCGCAAACTCAGTATCGTGCTTGCTAGCCTTTGCCAGGGTGTCGGCACCTCCGTTAGATCCGGATTTGGAGTGGATGGATTTGGAGCTGCTTCGGCTGCGTACAGACACCTCTGAGGGATCGTTTAATGGATCGATATAACTGTTGTTGCGCTCACCATAGCCCGAAAATAGATCAGTAAAGGACATGGGCGACGAACGCTTTGAATCCAGAGGTGCTCCCTGATCAGGAGCAGGCCCGAGAGAAGTCTCTCCTTTTCTTTGAGTATTGTCTGCTTTTGATCTAGAGAAGAAAGCGGATTGGGTCTCGTCGCCTAAGAGACACTGTGCAGATCTCTTCCTCTGAAATGAAGATTTGGATTTACCGTGTCTGCGCCTATTCGACGCCAGGACATGGTCAATCAGATCATCGTATTCTCCCCAAATCTCATCTTCGGTAGGCGGCTCGTGAGGAAGTGGAGTAACAGCGGTGGTCGCTGCCCAACTTGCACCTGAACTGCTAGAGTAAGACACTTCAGAGTCTTTCCGACGCGGAAAGCCAAAGAAATCTGGGGCAGGTAGGGGATTTGGGGACGGAGAGGTGGTGAGTGCTAGCTGGCTTTGCGTCGCGGACGAGGCAGGTTTGTTGGGGCTACATGCGGCGGGCAATACGGTGGGCTTGCCTTCAACTTCGCCATGCGATTGACCCTTCCGGGAGCTTCCAGGTCGGTGCATTTTCAACTGCGCAGGGGTAGCAGGCCGTGGATTGGCCCTAGCAAAAGGTCGCGAAAATGACTGTGCCGGGAGTGTCCGCTTTCGATCCCGCTTGGAGACCACAGCTGGGATCCGTCCAATTTGCGGGAGGCGACTTGGTCGCGTTCCTATGTCACCAGCAGACGGCGCTTCTTTAGGCAGGAGAGAGGGTTGCAAGGTTCGAAATTGTTCCGATGTCGGTCGATGCAGCTGAGAGGGGTCTCTCGCAGATGAACCTGGAGTTTGCGGGAACGCAGAGGCTGGAAGGTCTTGGTCCGAGGCTGCTTTGCTCTTATACCAGTGCGATTTCTGGCCCGATTCGCTATGCCCATCAGTGTCTGAGAGTATCTCCACCTCATGCATTATATCTTCAAGATCTTCAGTTTCATCTACTTCAACAGCGTCGAACATGGCGTAGTGAGCAATCGGCCGAGAAGCTAGGTCACGCGCATCTCCCATAGATTCTTCGTCTGTATCTCTTTCTGCGGGCGAAAGATGGGCCCTTTGGAAAAAGCTCCATTTCCGACGCAGTCGTGGCGCTGGCGATGGTTTCAATGGTCGGAGAAACAGGCCTTCCTTTCCTTCTGGAAACAAAATAGTGGATGGCAAATTCTTATCTTCTCGTGGCAATGGCCATTTATTAGAGTTAGAGCTGCCTGGAGAAGATGGAGATTGAGAGAAGATATGATTTTTTGCCATACCGCCATGCTCTGGACTGGTGCCATTTGCAAGTCTCGGCTCTGTGGATGATCCACAAACGGTAAAATCCGGAATGCCAGGTGTCTCTGGTGAGATAAGAGAAGGTTCAGTATCTATACTCATGCTCCGCTGTGAAGGCACCAGTCCAGGCGTGACGGCCTTATGAGACAGCAATGAGGGCCTTCTACAGACTGTAGGAGCTTCATGAAAAACAGCGGATTGTTTCGATATATCAGAAACACTTCGCTGTGAAACAGCACCAAAGCCATCAGCCACTGAGCTTCGTCCACTGTGCCTCAGATGACCAGGCTCCTTTCTTTCAAGAAGCTCGCTGCCACCTCCTCCACCCGTTATGACAACAGGCGAGAGTCTCTCAAGGAAAAATTCGTCCAGAGGTAGATCTTTTGTGCTGTTCATACTTGACTTACGACTTGATGTGCTACGAACGACACTGCTAGTATTGCTCTCGGCACTTGTTGAGCGAGTCCAGCTACCGCTGCCGCTTGTTGTGCTTCCACTTCGACCTCGCATCGAGTACTTTTTGTAACCTTCATGGCCTGTTCCTGCAACTGGACCTTTCTTTGGGGCCTTTATTGCGTTTGCTGGTCTCTCAGAAACTTTGGAATCACTCTGCGTTCTTGGCCGTAGGCCAAAAAATCCGAACCTTGATATTGGTTTGTTGCTTGAATCCGTGGATGTAGATCTTCCTCTGTCGGAAATCTGATGCTCATTAGAAGCTGAAGAAGTGAATTTTTGAGTGGGAGGATGCGTTGGTGCATTTATCGGCCGATTTGCACGCGTAGACATTATGGTTGTTGATGGTGCCGCCTTCGGCTGACTAGATGAGATATCGGAAATACTCACTGACGCCGAATCGCGCCTAAATATGGAACTCAAGCTAAGTGAGCTTGAAGAAGAGCTCCTACGATGATGGTTCGAAGACTGGAGCTTTGGTAAATTGCTCTGAATGATAGGTGAGTCCTGCTGCAGGTCAAGCAGCTGGGTTGTCCCGTCCCGACTCGGCCTCGAAGGGCGTGCGCCCGCCATCAGCGACGCCGACCGCGGTAAGGGGATGCTTTTTGCTAGACCATTCGGGTTTTGAATATTTCCAATTTCACCGTCGGGTATTTCGCTTCGCTGTTTCATGTATTTAATGGAAGATTTGCGCGGTGGTGGGCTCAAAGACGGCGGAAGAGCGTGCTGCTTCTTGCCTTTGTCGCTGCGGTCACCAGCCTTTATGGTGGATCCGGAAGAGGATGAGGTCAAGGATTCGCGCAATGATGCAAGGCCTTGTGGATCTAGAAGTGTATTGTCTCGTTCAGGCATGAGTTCCACCTTTCTTCTGGTCACTGGCGGTCTACTCCGTGGAGGACTGGCCCTTGTTCTAGTGGTTGAGCCTTTGAGCGGCATGATTATGCTTGGGGAATAGGATGAAATTGACGTTGGCGTCGAAGTCCGACTGAAAGGTCCTGGTGAATCGGAATACCTCGTGGAAGGGCTTGCAGAGAGAGCATGTATTGAGGACGCTGGGGGTGGAGCCGGCGAACCAAACCTTGTAGTATTATTCAAATCCCAGAAATAAGATGGCTGAGAAGTTGCATTGGCGTCAGGACTCAATGAAAGCAGCGTCTCAGTCGTCGTCGAGGGAGGCTGTGGTTCGGAAGATGACGTCGAAGTGATGTCTGCAACTGGCGAAAACGTTCGAGCGGGACGAAGTAGGGAGTCAGAGCGTGTTGGATACATTGGACTTGTAGTGAGATTTTTTGGCGTTGCATTCCGTCTGTCCGTTCTTGCTACTGCTTGATTCACCATCGATGGCTTTCGCCGCAAGCCCTTCGATGGGGCGTTGCGGTCCATGGTGTCGGACTCAGAAACCCCGCCAGCATTTCCCCTGCTCTCTGGCTTAAGAATGCCGAGACCAAATCGTGAAGAGGCTGCAGAGGTCGATGCATTTCCTGATGAAACGATAGGGTTTGTTTCCCTTTTCACAGGAGTAGTTGACGCCAAAGAATCTCTGCTCAAGTATGCAGGCTTCAGCATCGAGACTCTTCGAATCTGCTTCTCATGGGATGGTTTCCTTGCATTTGGTATCGCGATGTGGCTGGCGGTGGGCACGGAGACTTGTGTTCCAGGTTTAGAGGACGAAGAGATGGCAGAGTCTGCCATACCAGCATTGGGTGTGGTCTTGATTCTGAGCATTGGGTGTGGCCTCGTTACTTTTGAACGTGAATCAAAATCCGAAGGGAGGGCGGCCATTTTGGATGATCGCATAGTATCAGAAAAGGCTCTCAGTGGTGAATAAGTTGATATATTGTGCTTGCTTCTTGACCACTTGTATGGAGGAAATATTCATCAAAACATCCTCAACTTGTGCAAAGGGCATGCCGCCAAGCGTTGAACGGAAGTCGCAAACTCTAGACTCGCTCAAATGCAGTTTAGAGAAGTCGTTCCCTAGGTATTGAACGGGCTACCTGTCCAGGAAAATTGAGATTCTTTTGACTGGCAAAGCTTCCGATCCAGAAACTGTCACGGAGGTCATGTAGATATGTCGTTTATACTGATATCCAGTGATGTGTGGCGAATTTGTCGTGGAAAATGGAAATTACAATACCAGGGTCCTCTTCTAGATTATCGAGAAAGAAATCGGCCAGCGATATTTTGATCCAAAGAAAAATAAAAATTTGCGTAGGATTCAGGTTTAAGGAGCGCTCGAAAAGTGTTTGTGGAACAAGAGACGGTTTAAACCGAATGTCTTAGGGGTCGCGGGTCGAAGGTCAGAGGTGGGGGTGTGACGGTGTGTACCAGAAAAAGAACCAAAGCCACTGTTCTTCCGAGCACCCAGAATTCGAGATTGAAGAATCTCCAATGATGATTCGTCTTTCCACAGCTTTGGCCTCGAGGGAGTCTAAAAAGATACTAAAGCGAATTGACTCCCAAAGATTATCTAGTTGCCATAGCTAAATCACAGCTTCAAATAGCAGAGAGAGGGACAGAATTGGCTCAAAGGTCACAGAAGCAAGTCCCTCAGCTTTGGCCGGGGCAGGTCCAGCTTCTGCACGATGGCGGTACCTCGCATCCGGTTGGATACAAATTGAGAAAATAGCGAAATGGCCAAGGAGGCAAAGGGATGACCTGAGCGGCGAGAGAAAGCGTCGAGAAGCCTCCGCCAGCAGCCCGTTCTATATGATTTGACTGCAGCATACCCAGTCAAATTGGGCATCCAGCAAAAAGTGAACCCATTCGCGGGCTTCCACGCACTATGCACAGCACCATGAGGTGGCCTGTGCGGCAGTGTTGCTTCGCCTGGATAGAAGTGTGGACAGGGTCTCTTCAGCCGTCATTGAACGGCTAGAGGCTCTTGCCACCCACTCATTCGTCGGTCGACCGTTGGCCTGTCTTTTCGAGACTGAGAACGTGCCATAGGGACAGGGGTGGCATAAATCGAGGCGAACAAGAGATGGCCGTGGCGGCTGCAGGCGTGGACTGCCCGACTGAGAGGCTGCGCTTGGCCATCATAAGACGAGGCCGAGCAGGAGCTACTGAATTATTTTCGGGTCAACTTGCAGCGCGACCACGCGTCAGTCACCCCTCCTCTATAGATGCCGGTTGCATTATCGCGCAGATGAAGCATCATTGCAGGCGTGACTCCCTCTTGACTATCCATAGAAAGAAATTCTTTGCTTAACATTGCACTGCATCGGTTTCCTTCCGATTATGGACCGGCTTGATCTGCGCATGGTGCCACTGCGGTAGAAATGATGCGTTGGTTGCCACAAAAACGTTGCAACGGCCGCAAATATGTACCCTCAATGCGCAGACGGGCATAATGCGGTGACACAGCCTTTCGGACGCGAGGCGATGCCCATCGGTCAGAGCTTCACCCGCATAGGTTTTGACGTCGCAACGGGACCCTCGGGCAGTCTTGCCATTCTTCCCTAGCGAGTCCGTCCTAGTTGCTGTGGGGTTGGTTGACAGGCTCGCCTCACCTGGATACACCGAATCATCTTCTCACATGGATCCTGGTCATCAAATTGGTGTTGGTCATCGTTGGTGGACTCGTCGAGCGTAGAAACCCCACGAACGAATTTGCATATACGTCCATATCACTATTCACGGTGCCTTTCTTTCATCTGGTGGGGCTGTCCACCAATCGGCTCTCACAAGATTTCATTCATGATTCCATGCGCCATATCTCCGGCACCTTGGCAAACAACGACAAAGCCAGATGCTGCTTTCCTTTTCTTGTACAGTGAATCGCATGTTCAGCCGGATCCGCATTTTTTGCCGCAAGACGAAGATCCTTTCTGTGTGTGTAAAGCTGAATTATCCAGGTCCCTCTGCACAGCAGAGGCTATTGCCCTCATCGCTATTTGGTTTGGCTTGCCAACGTCAGCTTGCCACCACTGTGCACTGCTGACTTGTTGCTTTTCGTGGAGGACGGGGTCCTCAATCATTGACTTGCATAGATGAGGCGATACAAAACATAATTTGGGATTCTAGTCTCCACCGTCAAAGAATGGACGGGTTTCCCGTTTCGATGAATGTGATTAAGCCATAATTTCCCTCGATCCCTGTCATCATTAGTGCGACACTCTTTGTCCACGGACGCTAAATCGTAGAAATAAGACAGCACCATCAAGGAGCAAAAAGTAAACAGGGATTTGTGAGACCTTTGATCGGGGAAGGTGTGGTCCATCGCCAGCCACGAGACAGCTCGACAGGGAACTCTGGATGATGATTGGCAAGAGCGGTTTCTGGTTCTCGGTGCCGTTGAAGGTAACGTGACGCTGTGATGGTGTGGTCAAAGGTCGTCCTGGTGTTCTCTACCTTTGGCCTGCGACGGACAGTCGACTACCTCCCTCTAGGTACGGCCCGCTCTGGAAACTGAAAAGATCTGAAGAGGCGTATATTAGCGCAGAATCTTTTGGATTGGCCTCAAATAGATTAGGCCGTCCTTGCAAATCAGTTGAAGAAATAACAGAGCTATATTGGCCGATGAATCAAAGGCGAATCTTTTGAAGATGTTTTGCTGAATATAAGTAGATGTGATGGAGGAAGATATCTAAGCGCCCGATTTATTTGCAGCCCTTACACAACCCCAGCGGACCAATGTCAAATTGTATGAATGAACTAACGATATTGCTAATATATTCCAGTCATACACAACGATTTGTTCAAATTGGGGAACGAAGGCAGGGTCATCTCACCGCTAAAAGACCGGCGGAATTTACATTATTTCTCATGACACATGAGTATCTCTTCTATTCCCAGGAAATACCATTTTGCCAAAGTACTGTTCCATTAATTTAATTTTTAGTGGCTGCAATTGAAGGGTACTCCAAAAAAACCATAGATTACTCAAATTAGTTTTTGCAAGAAGGGTCGGAGATCTGTAAACATTCCGCAGCGCCAGCAACGAGCTGCAATTTTACTTAATTTTGAACAAGGCTTTGCCATTTATCAATCTTTCCCCTTCCTCTTTTTTGGATCCTTAATTATCTTTTGTGTTTGACTCCGGTAACTCTATGACGAAAGGGCTCGATAAGCTATTTTCCATTGCCGGCGGTGTATTGACAGCGCATCTTTCCTGGAAAGGATTTTGCACATGCTCTACTCTTATCGGTGACGAGGATTGAACGTAAGAAATTTCTGGCTTAAAGTAGATCGTATCTGTGATCTCCCAATCCATAGCCTCTTGTCCAGGAAATAGAGCATGAATGTTGGACATCAAAGTTTCCAACGAACCATGAAGAATAAAACACTGGGAGAGAATGTGTCTGATCAGGTAGAGATGTTTTAGATTTTCACGTGGACAATCGCTCCTTGGAGGCAGACACGATTCTCGAAAAAGAGAATAGAGCGGCTGAGCAACGGTCTCATTATCTGCTCTGGAGAGTGTTGAAAAATTAGACCGGTAGTTGTTCCGTTGGTCGGCTATTACATGTTGTCCCCCTCTCCTTCGTCTGGAGTTGGTTCGAGGTCGCCTGTGATTATAATTGCCAGCATTTTGAGGGTAGTGCAAAAGACTGTTCTCGTGATGCAAGTCTGTTGGACTACCGCCATTTTCAGTCCTCCCAGTCGCAAAGGTGGGCCTCCGGTCGCCAGTAATTCTTCGTGACATGTCTTAGACCTGAAATAAGCTTTAGTCTCAGATAATCCTCGGACAATCTCATTCTTGACCATGACTCCTATCTTGTGACTCTGATTTGGCTTCCTTATAAGAAAGTGAATCATATAGCCCTCAGCTCGTTTGCTCTTTCTCGAAAATGGAAGAAGCGGATTCCATATAAATCTCATTGATTCTCGACAAGGTTTTCCGCCTTTTTCAAAAATTCAAGCCGATGTGTCTTTAGAACATTGCGGACACATCCAGAGGCTTAAGAAAACATAACATGGAAGAATTCGAGAGTGATCTGACACTGTGGCGCACATAAAAGATTAAGAACAAGCACAAGGGCGCAAGAGGCACAAACTGCCCACTGTCTCGATTGATTTGATTTCGGCAGGATCCTGGGCTATGTTTGTTCCTAAGATGTCTATTGGCACCAACAACGGCTACAACCCTAATGTTTCGAGCGACATGGAGAACTCGCTGCCAACAATACCGTCGCTGAACATTTCCTCAAGTACATCAACGACTTGTTGTTGTCCGACACTATTCTGGATAGTTCGAAGCAAATCGCTGTTTCCTATGATGAAGGCTGCCACGGCTTCTTTGACCGAGCCTTCGACCGCGTCTTTCGAAGATCCTGAGCTCCGCGCGACTGCTGCAGCACCTCTGTAGTACGTCTGAGCATTCTTGACAAGAGTCGGACCGTTGCGAATAGCGACAGCGTAGTGGCTGGGTGCATCCCCCAAGCGACGTCGTAATAACTCGACGTCTCCCCGAGCAATATGGATTTTCGCAGCATTCTCGGCAGAAGGGAGTTTTGATGCGGCAGTGAATGATGTCAGAGCCGTGGTAAGGTGCTGCCATCTAACAGCACTCAGTCTGTCAAGGGCTTGCGAATCTAGCGCGTTCGGAGTGGCGATCAGAGATTCTTGTACCGCGACGTTGAAAGTGACGAGAGCGTCCGCTTTCTCGCAAAGGCCTTCAGGATCTTGCGACAGATCAAGTCCATCAGGGAAGGCAGAACGTACTTCTCTCTCATACGTTTCAACATCAACACGTCCTGTCCGAAAGCCTGCCTCTGCCAGAGCGCACATGAGGTTGGCACGGGTCAGAGCGACCTCAGCCACGCGGTCAGTGCTGGTGGCGTAATCTGACACTTTGGTCTGGAATAGATTCGTGGCATACTCTTCTATCCAGGAGAGATTGTTTTCGATTGCCCCAGAAGCTACCAGTCCGCACAGCGCGGTCAGTGTTTCTAATTGAGCGATGGCGGTGTCGAGGATAGTCTCTGTGGTCACCGGCTCCTCGATGAAAAACCATTGCTGCTGTTCTGGGCTTTCGGGACCGGACTCGGCCTCCTCTGGCTGTGCACTGCTGGAAGGAGCCTCGACATTCTCACCCTGAGCATCGGCCTCCTGCCCCTCGGCGATCTGCATCTGTTTTTGGGATTCTGCGAGCTGAAACTCCTGAAGAGTCAAACATCGCTGAAAAAGCTCAATGGCTTCTTCAAGGGCCTTGCCGGCCTCTGTACGAGCCTCTGCGGATTGCTGCGCACTTTCTGTGAGAGATTCTGCCAAGCTTGTGAGGACCTGTGCAGTGTTGCTAGAGCCCAGCGGGGACTAGTTAGACTAGATAAAAGTAGACACTTAAATATTGGTGTTTGGGAGACGTACAATAATACATCAGCGTTATCCTGTTTCAATTTAAGAGCATATTGATGTGAATCCAAAGCAATGCGTAGAAGCTCAATGGTGGGCGTCGGTATTTGAGCAGCTAGGGTAGGGTGTTGGGTAATTTGATATTGCACTCGTGCCCTTTGAAAATCAGCTTCGTCAACCTCTGACAACATTTCTTGTGCGTTTCTAATAAGCTTGCAACATACTTGTTATAGGCATTATCAAACGAATCAGGAAAGCTTCGAAGGGCAGTGTCATAATTGTCTATCGCTCGAATAAAAAATCGAGTCGATTTTGCAGCATCACCAGCTCTCCATTTTTCGCCGGCCTCTTCGAATTCGACCCCAGCTGTTCCTCGTGAGTAAGCGTCGCATGCGAATAACGTCACGGGTGCAATTCAACTGCAGCAAATACCTTCTAAGAATTCATCGGCCGTCTCTGGACCTTGCTATTACCAGACATTAAACGTCATGATCATTTCTTTCTTCGGAGCTACAATACTATTCATACCTTGACGGCCCTGGGTTTGGCGCCCTTCTTTTTCGTCTCCTTGACGAATTGCTTGGGTTTGGGCATGATGACAAGGGCTGAGATAAAATACTATGGCGAAGTTTGAGATTACCTCAGAAAGTGTGATTGTGAACGAATGAAATGGACTACTGCGAGCCTATTTCTCAGATACGTCACTGAAGAGATCTACAGAGAGTACCTAAGGTAGGTCGGTGGTGTGAAATGGACGTATGTGATTTCCGCTTTTATCGGTACTCCAATCGACGATGATGCTAACTACCGGTGATGAGAGTTTCTTTTTCTTTTTCGATTTGGGTTGTGCACTGTTCACTCTGCATGTCTCGGCAAAAGCACGAGCGGGGATCTTCCCAACTCACGGGCATGGCTGATCAGTGTGACCTCTTGAGCTTGGCGTCATCTACTCCATCAACAAGCTTTGATCCCGTTTCACCTTGTCCAAGGATGTTTCTTTCACTGTTGATGCTACTACGAGTACCCTGTCAGATGGACGTCAAGCTCACATTTGAAAGCATTAGTTACCCTGATACGATAGCAGTCACATGGGGTCTAGAAGTCTAACCAGTATCATACTTGTGGGATAGGACTTCTTCATTTCGTCCCCATGCTCTCGAGAGGGGAAAAGGAAGCACAGTGGAAGAATTCCTCGTTACGCACATTAGCGTGGGACTGTTTGAACGCCTTTCGGTCCTTCTTCTTCGCAGACTCGTTCGTTGTGTTCTTCTTCCCGCGCTCGGAAACTGTCGAAATTCGGATAGAGGGGTGGGGCCAGCGAGGGGTTCAAAGGCGGATCTAGGAGTGTCATGCTGATGATTGGCCCTCCCACGGCACATCCCACTTGGCTTTTCCTTGGATTCTTTTCCTTTCTGATGTTAGTGTCCTGCGCCATCCGAACCCCCTTGGCACCAATTATCACTCCATCGAAATCTCTTGGCGACAGTATCCTCTTGCTGAGATTGTTCCTCAAATCTCCGGGCCACGACTGTCGCTGGGAAGCGTCTTTTCTTCTCATCAACCTCCAGATGAGTATACTGGACTGACAATACGTGCGCACGTTAAGGGAGCGCACTTCTTGCAAAAGGAACATATAGTCTCCCCGCGGTTGGATCTCTGCCACACGCGGCCCCCGGTCTCCAATTTTATATCTCGTCTCAATCTCTGCGCAACTACCAGAATAGCCAATCTCAAGTCAAATCTCGCCTTTGTCCCCCATAAACGACCCTTATTTCTTGGCAATCCGACATCCACCACCTTGTTGCATCACCTCTACGACTTGGCGCATTGAATACCTTCGTTCTCGACATGAACGGAGCAACCTCTCAGCCATGGTCGGTAACCGGCTTCGACCCGGTGACCTCGGCACCAGATGAGGATTTTACTAATTTCCTCGACTTTGGTGACATGCAATTGGGATTTCAAACTTACGATGGTTTCGACCCCGGAAATCAAAATGCTCAGCCTGATGCCGGCAATGCGATGGATACCACCGCCGACGGTGCCATATCCCAGCAACCTGGCGATATGCACCAAATGCAATCCGACCATGGCAAAGTGCAGCAGCAGCAGCCGCCAAACCTTGATCAAGCGCTCGGCGAACCGTTCCAAAATAACAATCCTCAGACAAAAAATATGCCGCAACACTCGCAAATTCAGGACCCTCGATTCAGCATGAACCCGATTGTGCCTCCCACGCCGAATAGCATGGAGCTTCACGGCGCTGCCGAACGATATTTCAACCAAATGGATCCTCATGCGCAAGCGACAATTGACCAGTACTGCCAGATGGAAGATCCGGTATGTTTCCTTGAGCCGATATTTGTAACCATTGCGACTCTAGACTGACGCTATCGCTCAGATGGCATTCACTCCCCTGGTTTCGCCCGCAGTCACTCCTCTAGATACCCAGTTTCAGATGCCGGAGTATACGATTCCCGGAAGCTATTTCAGCCCACTCTCCTCTCCCGCACTCGAGGCCCAAAATTATGGGCTCTCTCGTCAAGTTTACAACGTGCACCGCGGCTCCGACGCCTCGGCGACAACTTCGCCTTTGGACCCTAATATAAATTTCACCGGCAACATGGGAACGCCACCTAGCTCGCTGGCCGCGCAGCAACGTGCCGCGCACAACCCACGCAGAAGGCCCTCTAGCTCACGGAACCCCGCCAGAACAGTTCGCCAGTCGCCGATTGTAAAAGCTCAACATCGCCGAAAAGCAACCTCTAGTGCTACTCTGGCTCCCAAGGATCTCAAGGGACCCCGCGAGTCTGAAAAGCCGGAGCACAAAATTCTAAATGTGCCGCACAAGCCCATTTCTGAAAGCTCCGGAGCTGACTCGGTCTCCCCGGAGCCCCTTTCGGAATCTCTCATGGGACCTCCGCCTGTGCCAGGCTCCGGGTCGCGCACGCAATCATTATCCTTTGGGCCGGCGCTGGACTCTGCCGCCGACGAACACAATTCAGCCCCGAGTGCTGTCGCTCCCGCCACGCCGGCATCCTTAATGAGGATGCCCAAATCATCGAACCAGGTCATTGGGAGCGGCGTTATCCAGCCCGACTTTGCTTCTACGGGTACTGAATTCGCACCCTTGCCGGAGCCAGCCAAGGATAATTTCATGCTTCCAGCTGCGGCTACTTCATCGAGCACCGTACAGCCATCTCTCGACCGGATCGATACGAGCGGTAGCAGTGAAAGCCAGCGCACTCCCACATTGTCTGGGAAGCGGACCCCAAAACTGGGACCCCTGAGTGCCGGAACCTCATCTGCACGCTCAAGTCCCCGATTAGATGCCATGGCCTCTCCTAACGGGACTATGCGGCCACTTGCGGCTCGCACCGCAGCCGGCAAGAAGAGGAACAGTTCCTCACAAGTCAGCCCTGCCTTGCGGCCTCGCATCTCGCCCAGCATCAAACCTTTACTCCCTGACGGAGGTAAGTTACTTCTTCTACATTTGGGTTTTTCTTTCCCTTCCTCAATACACGCCCCTCTTGTCTCTCTCTCTCTTTCTCTCAAACAACACTCATGCTAATTCCCTGACTACAGCTTCCGCCGAACAATCCGCCCGTCTCCTGGCGTCCAAATCCAACTATCAGAACATTCTCGAAGGCACTACTCTACCCGGCGTCTCCTACCCGTCAAATCTGTCAACAAATCTCACGTCCAAACGAACGTCGCACAAACTCGCCGAACAAGGCCGCCGCAACCGCATCAATAACGCCTTGCAAGAAATCGCAGCCCTCCTCCCCGCCGCCGCAGCAGGACCAGGATCAGGACCAGGATCAGGATCAAATCCCGCAAAGAAATCGCCATCCTCTGGGGGTTCTGGCGCTGGCGCTGGCGCCGGCACCGAGGCCAGCAATGCAGCCGCCGCCGCCGCCGCCGTCGCAGCAGACGCACAGCAAAGCAGTTCCAACTCCAAGGCCGCCACCGTCGAGCTCGCCATCCAATATATCCGCCAACTCCAGACCGAGCTGGCGAACACCAAGGACCGGCTCAAGACCGCAGAAGACAAACTTCACCAACAAAACGGTGTCGATGCCAGTACGCATCATTCCGACCACTCCAATGATACCAACCCCACCACCACCCAAACTGCTACCAACGATCCAAATCCTCTCCAATTTTCCTCCTCGTGTTCAATATCTTCTGAAACACATACTCCTCCCATCAAAGCGTCGCCCAAACTCTCAGCCCTAAAAGGCGACGCGAAAGCCTCCGGGTCCAGATCTCCGAGAATATCCTCCCCGCTCGCAACACAATCTCAGACACAAATACATACCTCTTCTCATCACCATCACCATCACCATCACGAAGACGATGACAATCAATCTGTCTCGACGCCCTTTTCGGCCGCTTCCTCGTCCCTTTCTCCCGTGTCCTTGTCAAGATAACAGAAAAAAAGTGTCTCTAACACGCACGAATCCTACCGGAAATTTGGGTTGGGGAGTGGTTGTTTTCTACAAGCCCGTCGTCTGTATACTCTAATACAGAGGCTCTTTTTTTTTGGTCCTTCTTTCTAGTGAAGGTTTCATTATTTTCTTTTAATTATTTACAAACCCCGAGGAAAACGCAGAGATAACGGGAGATGAAGAGAGACAATAAAACCAGCATGGGACTGTTAAGGAGTTTTTAGGGGAATCTGTATCTGTCAGGGAACGAAACGAATGAGGGTGGGTGGCCGGTTTTCTTTGATATTTTTCAAGCTAAAATTTTCTCTTATTATATTTTTATTTTTGTTACTAGCCTTTTCTTCGGATGATGCGTCCATCTACTTTTAAACTCTTCATGTTTCTTTTTTTTTTCCCCTTCGCTTCACTCTTCCTTCCCTTTCTTGCTGCATCTCAAGCAACTCTACTATTGTATTTAAGACATGCCTGGAAAGCATCCCCCACCTATGGCATGCAATATGGACACCGTAATCCAATATGAAGAAAGAGACAAAACAAGGTTTCAAAAGATTAAAAACGTCGTACGTGACTCGAAAGGGAACCATGTAATATTAGCATGTGATAGTATGGTGTTACACAAAGGTAAGACGCGCGCTGGATGTGACCCAATGCGCGCTGAATATATTTTTGCTTTATTCGATCGAAATAGTGTTCAAAGCGACAAGCATGAGATCTAATGGAAAAAGAGCACATGTGAAATCGAAACAAAGAAAAAAGGTGTTTGTGCCATTCTAGCTGACACCTTTAGGATGCTGCAAGTCAGTCTTGTATTGTGAGTCAGGTGAAGAGCAAGAAAGGGCGCCGACGCACGACACACCAGCGCCTTGAGCACCTCAAGAGTCTTCAAATTGTCGTTCGGATACGACATGGCAATCTGAAATATTTTGCTTTGAACAAACGTGGATCAGTGCTGCAAGGGATCGCTCATCATTAATATTCGCAGAACCGTGGCTGCCACCACTGATCAGTCATTGAAATTGTTGCGACGACCTTGGCCGGCAGCGACTCAGTCTGGCAAGGCCCTTGGGTTAAATCCATGTATCAAAGGTAGCATATACCTGTCGAGCTATTCGCCTGTCAGCATACATCCACAATACACGTTTCTAAGACTACGGGAAAAGCACGCCCGGTTCCAATCGTTGAGAAGAGTGTCCCTTCTCTATCCTGGACCAAGGGGTTATGCCTGGATAAATTTGCTCGGCTCGTTGTTGAACAGCGAGTCAATATGCTACATTCGAATTACGGAGGACTGGTTGGCATAGCGGTATCGCACGTCTGTCGGACCAGGCAAGGTGGCATTAGCGGGAAAGGCGGAGGCGAAGGCGAAGACGAGACGCGGAGCATACAAGGTAGGTGAAGGTTGACGTGGTTGTGCAGAGGAAGGGATCAGGTCGAACTGGCAGGCAAAATTGATCCACAGGTGGTTTCGAAGGCAGTGCTGGATATGACAATCGGTGTGAAATTCTGTTGCACGCGAACCAGGCCAAGGCATTAGGTGAAGAGGTGGACATTTCTGGGCGACTGAAGTCGACATGGATAAAATAGCGACGAGTCGTTTCTGGATGCAGAAAAGAGATACGAAGAGCAATTGTAGTAGTACATTTTGATTTTTGGCGCAACGAAAAGAAAGAGCTGTAGCATCATTCTGAGATTACGGATGTCGCAAAGAAGCAGGCAGTCGCATCCTGGATGCTACCCACAAAGGAGCGGGCAACAAAGCGTACATGGAAGCCGAGAGCGAATACTGACGAACTGTCGACAAGACACCAGTGATGGGACAAAATACAATCGAGAAGCTGAATAGTAGTGGTACTGCCTTTCGCCAAATAAATCCGTCCAATGCCGCCGAGCTCCGACTCAAGAGCAAACCGAAACTTTTTTCTGTTATTAAAAAAAAGTTGGTCGAAGGGAAAGAAAAGAAAAAGCTGCCGATTAAGATCCGTTACTGCACGTATCGACCGCACTGGGTTAGATCAAAGGCGGGAGGAAAAATCAAAAAAAGAGAAGAAAGAAGAAAGAAGGGAAAACGGTGCATCAACAGGATACACGGGAAGAGCAAATTAGAAAAAGACTCAGTCGGGTCCGAGGTTAGACGACGAGCAAGTTCCAACTTCCTTCCTTGAAGTCTCCTGCGCTACACAGAGCAACAGAACGGCTTTTAGTCACCTAGAGAACATGCTCGCGCGAGCAAGAGCTCAGGTTAGTAATATCGCAAGATTTACCTACGAGAGTACCGATCGTCGGCGCGGTCATCATAGGTCCGGCTGGCGTACGGCTCACGAGGCTCACGAGCGGCAGGAGGCTCGGCGTAAGAACCTGAACGGGCAGCACTGTCACGCTCATAGCCACCACGACGGTCCTCGCCACGGCCGCCGTAGCGGTCCTCACGGCCAGAAGCATAGCGGTCGACGCCACGAGGAGCATAATCCTCACGAGGCTCACGGCGTCCATAGTAACGGTCACCTTCCTCGTAGCGCGATCCGCGGTAGCTGTACGGGTCGTCGCGGCGTCCGTAACCACTGTAGCCACCATATCCGCCTCCATATCCGCCACGACGATCCTCGTAACGGCCGCCAAAACGGCGGGGGGGCCGATCCTCTAAGTGGCCCATTAGATTAATTTTATCCTTTGAAAAGTCGAACAAGTGAAACAAGACAATGTCTTACCGCGCTTGGGTGGACCAAAGTATTTTCCGGGAGTAGGAGTCCGCGGCCGAGCACGACGAGCCTTTTCAATGCTAAGCGTACGTCCCTCAATGACTTCGCCTTGCAATCCCTCCTTGGCAGCGTCGGCCTGCTCAGCAGTGACCATTTTGACGAAGCCGAAGCCGCGAGACTCCTTAGTGTGCGGGTCGAGCATAATGGCACACTTTTCAACGTCACCGTACTTCTCAAAGAGACGGGCAACTTCGGCCTCGGAGAGGCGAGGGTGAATGCCGGTCACGAACAAGTTGGAGCCAGGGTTGCGCGCAGAATCATCGCGCTCCTGCTGGTTGCGGCTGTCCGGGGGAGGACCTCTGCAGGACTGTTAGCAGCCGTGAACTAGGCCAGAAGTCACAAACTAATGTTTGGGAGACGTACCTGCTGTCCATGCGGCCATTGGGCGAAGCACTGCGGTCACGACGAGGGCTGTCACCACGGCGGGCGGGACGAGGAGAGAGGCTCCTGTCGCGCTCGTAGCGAGGCTCATCTGGAGAGAAAAATAGAACGATTAGCTGTGGGCTGAGACGGTCTAATTTGGACCAGAAATAAGGTAGAAGAAATGCGGGAACGGAAGGAAGAGCCTCTCCCCGCTTAGAGCAAGGGTTTCCATCGAAGGTAAAGTATGCCACAGCGCTTGACAAATGCCATCATGCCGAGCTCTGGTACTTTCCAGAATTACTGCTCCAGATTGTGCAATCTTTGTTGTGAGAAGCGAGAGGAGCAAGAAAGCTGAAAGACCAGAACTAGGATGTCTGCCTTCCTTCCTTCCGTCCGACCGTTGTGCCATAGACAAGTTCAAGTGTGGTATTGCAACTAACCTTCGTAGCCGCGAGGCTCGTTTTCGTACTCCATCGTGATTGATGATAAAACTGGTTGATGAAAGGGGTCGACAAAAGTCGCAGTTTACGGCGCGACGGTGGCGAGATGGTTCAGCTGTTGATGAAGCTGAACTCAAAATCAAACGGGTATCAAGCTACAAGATTCCGACAGAGGAATCGCCGAAGCTTTGATGACTTTAAAAGGTAATTGAAAGAGGGAAAGTGGTAGAGGAAAGAGAAGAAGTAGAGGAAGGAGGAAGAAGAAGATCGCAACGGGAAGAGTTCACGTTGCACGCGAGCTGCGTTCAGGCGAAATCGAAACAAAGCCCGGCGTTAAGCCCGTGTTTGTGTGAACAGGGCTAGAGGAGAAAGAATTCAAAGAAATGACAAAGAACAGGGAATCAAGACCACCAAGTCTTTCCAATCAAGAGATAAGAAAGGGAAGGTCTAAAAAAATCTGTGGAAATGAAATCAGAGAGAGGGAATGAGGCGATGATTGATGATGGCGTTGCCTTAGCTCTCTCACAACTCTTCTCACTTTGGCGACAGAGTTTCTTTTGCTTGTTGCTTCTCGTCGGGGGGATTCTCTGGCCATCCCTGCTCTGCTCCAAATGGGGAAATATACGCGAACACGTGGTCAAGGTCAACGATCATCCTATCGAAGGACATTGTAAACATCAACACTTCCATGAATTCAAGTAAACTCAAACAGAAACGAAACATGAATAGCATTGAACCATGTCTGCTTCGCATTGCCGAGCCAAGAATTCTCTCCAATATGCTTAATCGGAATTAAATTGTGGTATAACTAAATCATGTCTGCCGTAAACTGATATATTACCTTTGATGCGATCAATATGCACAAGAACAATCAGAAAGCAAAGGGTTATCCGCAGAAGAAGGAGGAAAAGAGCAGACACGAGAAGAAAATTATGCGTACGATGAAGACAAAAGCATAAGAAGAAAGACGAATAAACAACGTTCAACGCTCAATGGTCCCAAGATTCCCAAATGAAGCCTCACTGTTATCGCCATTCCAAAGCATTCCGAACTGGAAAATAGAAGTAAAGGATTTCGCCCACAAACGCCATGCTTGCCATGTCCCGAATGCCTGTGTAAATTAGTCTGTCCTCTCGAAAAGCACTATCACTGAGCTAAACAACGCAGCTCATCGATATCCTCGCCACCGACGTTTTCGTAAATTCTTCCGCGGAACAATGGCAGTCTGAGCAGTGCCTTTGACTGACGCAGTTGCGCCATCTGCTGGCACAGATTCCGGTATGTCTGCCATTTCTTCATCTACCAGCCCTCGAAGCTCCTCATCGTCAATTTCGCTCAACTCTTCACTCATGCCCCGCGCCACATCCCGACCTGTCCAGCGCTCTTCGTGAATGGTAGTGCCAAGAGGATCAAACGGCTCTAAATACCAAGGGATGCCTCCCGCATTCAAAGGAGCCATCAGCTCCTCCTCTGAGCTAGTCGCGGGCGTAGGAGGCTCGATAGGCCGCGTGGCCTGGTGAGGGATTGTCTCAGGCTGACGAGGCAGCCCATTGACAGGCTCATGCGATTTCTGTGCCGTTTGTGTCGGAGGAGGCGACTGAGGAGCTCCGTTAGGTTGCACAATCTCGCGAGTGCCCGATTTCTCGCCATTTTCCTCAGCTGCAGCTTCGATACGGTTGTGAAACTGTGCAGAAGGTACTGTAGCATCGTCTTCTTCTCCAGGTGCATCTTCGTCATATATTCCAGAATGGTTTTGCTCAGCGGCTTCAACGGATGTAGGACAAGCTGGCGCATCGGCCATCACTTGGTCAGTATTGGTTTCTTGCGTTGTGAGAGCTTTCTCCACCAAGGTTCCCTCATCGGCCTCGTCGTCGCTACCAGCGTCGCCCGCAGAAGTGGCTGAAGTTTCTCCTCGAATGATGACACAGTTCTCGAGCAAAGAACCTAACTCTTGCAAGGTCTTTTCCGCTGACTTTGCCCCAAGGTCGGCTTCCTTGCCAATAGCCTCTTCAAGCGGTCCTCGGATGGCTCTAACAATCCTTTTAGCCACTCTTTGTTTGTCCTTAGCCTCAGACTTGGGGTCAACAATGGCGCTCTGGCCAGCGGTCTCAGACTGCTCGTGAGCAAATTGACCGGGAGAATAGGCCCACAAGGCTGCACTCAAGACACTGCAAAGATCGGCGGCGAATCGAAAAACCGATGTGTAACTTCGATCGTCAAGCTTTGACTGGATACCTGAAAAGCCCTGTCGAAAAACGCCTTTCCCATCCAAGCTGATTGCTTGTTAGCAAAGATCTTTCATTAGTGTCTTGTACCAACTTACCTGACCGCTTTGTCAAATATTGGCCAAAGAAGGGGTATCAATGGGAAATATATCGTGTCAACAACATCTCGTAACATCTCCGCATCCTTTAACTTTTCGCGTTCTCGCTTCTTTACCTCGTCGCAAAGAAGACGGAGTTTTTCCACGTCCTGTAGTAACATTTCTGCAAAATCAATCCTCCGTTGAAGCTTCGGTCTTCCGGCTGTGCCCATGCCAGCAAAGTTGCGCCTCGTAATCTCCATGGAGGAAAATGTTTCCATCTGGAGCTGTAGACGCTTCAAGAGAGCCGCACCTCTCCGAGCCTCTCGTTTGAGTGTCCAGTATTTGCATGCTTCTGCGGCATATTCTTTTCGTTTTCGAATGCCGAAACGCTGCAGAGAGCTCTCCACAGCATTGAATACCACCGAAGGGACGACAGGGGCACCAGAAGGGAGTTTCCAGATAGATTTTGGAGGTTGGTTGCGCTTTCGCTTATTTCCAGCGGAGTCGGCCTGTGACGGATCAAGAAGAGCAAGGTCGTCGGCAGGTGGTAAGGCTGACTGGCTCTGCGAAGGAAGGAGAGCAAGTGCCGATTGTTGACTGTCCGCCCAGAGTCGCCCACGCATCGTGTGTCGGTAAAAGTCTTGCGCATCCGCGGTCGCGGCGTCAACATCGTTCTCTTTCCGCCAATCTGGCGGCACGTGCTTGTCGCAATAGGCCTTGAATACGGTTGGATCCATACTTGCTGGACCAGCATGAGCCGTCTTCATTCGTAAAAACAGCCTCGCTCGTCTTGCGCAAGTGACGTGGAATGCAATGAAGCAATTCTTATTGCTGCACTGAATGCACGCGCCCATTCGCTGCCGGCAAATGTAGCAAGTCTAACACGGCGACATTTAGCTTTGTACAAGTGCTTGAAGAAATCGAATAGACTCACTAGTTTCCATCGCGGTTTTGGAACCTTCTCTACGTCCATTACCGGCTCCATAAAGGTAGTATTCCCCAGAGAAACTTCTGGAATCCAGATGGCACAAAGTATGTGAGACCACCGAGACGTATTTGTCTGCTTAAAGGCACCGTCCATATTTGGACAGAAAATGCATGTCTAATAGCTTTCAATCAGCCAAGTGATATTTTAGGCCACTAAAGCCGTTCAACTTACAGGAGTACCACGTCCGATCAATTGGCATTTTCGGCAGAGCCATTGGCCTTCGGGAATGAAAGGCACACCATAGCATTCTTGATGAACTGCCAGATCGCACCCATCGCAGAAGACGATTGCATTTGTGTTTTCGCAGTCTCCATCATCGCAAACTGCGCATTTGCTGTCTTGCTCCTCGCCCATTCCTGATGGTTCACCGTTTATAGCGACTGTAAGACTCGATCGTGGCCGATGTGTTTGCGGAGGTTTTGGATTTGGTTTTGGTATTCCTTCAGGATGTTAGAATCGCAAAAGTCCCAACGTAAAAATGGGAAATAAAGGACCCACGTTTTTCCAAGGCATGCCATTCCTTCTCAATCTTTGTCATTGTGACTTCAAAGATGGCAGGTTTGATGGCCTCGACCTGCTCGGTCTTTCTATATGCATTGTATGCCTCCAACCACTTGTCATCTTGCTCGTCCATGTCGTATTCAACTTTTCCCACACTCCCACCTCCTAGAACGGCGGTAGGTTCACCATCGCTTCTGTAGCCCACACCAACGTCGAGATCCTCATCGACTGCGCCTTCAGCAACTCGAATAAGCCGCTTGTCTGGTCGCATAAAAAGGTCACTCTCTTGGTATCCCACATTCGCCATGGCTCGATCAACGTAGTTTTGCTGCCCTGAGCCCTTTTGTTCAAGAGGCATAAATATGTCGGCGACCCGAAAGGAAGGTTTTGGAAGGGTTAAACGCTCGCGGGGATTTGGTCCGGGCGGAGGAATATATTTGGGGCCGTTGGGAGTGCCTAGACCATCTAAAAGAGAACCATGGCGACGAGGAGGTCGACCTGGTCGCCGTTTAATGGGCGATGCTGTTGCGCTCGCTTTCTCTGTCGGGGTTCCCGGAGCCTCGCCATTAGTTAGAGATGCCGTACTCGCCTCGCCGCCAACGACAGTCGGCGCTGGCGAGATCAGGGTCATATCGCTGGTTTGTCGGCTTAAGCCTTTGAAGCCGTCAAGGCTACCACCATCAGCTCTTTCTGGAGTCGCAACGTCCGCAGTAGTATCCGTGGGCTCGACCCCGTCTATTTCATCGGCACCGAATACAGGCAGCTTTGCATCAATGTCAAGATCTTGGTGAAACTCCTCCCAGCCCCGTTCCTCTCGAGGTTTATAGCCATCGCCGTGGGCGACGGCGGCGGCGGCGGCAGCGGCGGCCGAACTATATCTCGGACGAACTGTCGCCGTTCTTTCTCTTCGTGGGCGTGATGGTGTCCCACTAGAGACACTTCCTCGGCCTGTCCGCGGTCGAACTGCACTAAACTTACTTCCTCCTGGCCCTGAGCCCCCAACGACAGTCTCGGTTCCGTCGACCTCGACATACCTTCCACCACCACCAGGTCCTCCAGGGATGTATTTCCTCTTCTTTATTGGGACTTCGATCGTTGCGCTTGCGTCTTTCTGGGCGGGTGCAGCGTTGAGTCGGGGCCGGCCCCGCGCTCGGGGTCGCGAGTTTGAAGCTCGCCTTTGAGGTGCAGGTAGCGGCGCCATGGCGAGCCAAAGGGTCGCAGTTTTCTCAGAACGTCGACAAAAGGAATTGCTGTAAAAGGTGATGTACCATCTGAAGTTCCACTTGCCGTGTCTAATTTCTGGGAGAACCTCCTTCACCGGACGTAATGCGAAACCGCACAGTCGCCCCTGGCGGACATGTGGAAGTAGCTTAGCCTCAACTTTGCTAGCTTCGTAAGAACTCCAAGAGAAGTAAAATGATTACTGTCTCAAGAGAAAGGCCTCTTCAGTGCAGAATATCGTCGCAGGAGAATTGAAAGACCCAAAGACTAATAAGTTGAGCGTGCCCCAGGCGCAACGCGATGGACGGCGCGAGGTTGATGCGGATCGTCTCGATTAGGTAAGGTTTGAGATGGGCACAGACTATCGTGGAGATTACGCTAGCCTTATATGGAAGTAAGCTTGGGGTCACTCAAAGGGGCGTTGACAAGTTGAAGCTCCATTTTCATTTTGTACAGACAGTCTATCAATGATATATGTTACGATGGATAGGTAAATAGAATGATTTCCACATCACCACCATCTCTCACAAAATACATGGCGAGGGTCCATGCCTGGAGCTGTTCCAAGCACCTCGACAAACTTATCAGTCATCCCTGGCGGACCACAGACATAGCAAATCACTCCCGACCTTTCACTTACATCCCCTAGCGCTGTCAAGATATCCTCTTCCGTTATTCGTCTGTGGTGAATACAGACAGACTCTTCAATCTGCGCATTGACTTCATGATTACCAGTGAGGTAAAGTGCGAGCCGTCGTTTGGAGTCGTCCGATGGAAAGATGTTCTGTAGACGTGACAAAAAGCAGATGCGCTCGTTCAGAATGCCTCTTGTGCTATAAAGAAACGATACTCTCTCTGGCATATCTTGAGTTTGAGCCAAGTGCGCAGCGATGGACACTAGAGGGCTGTCGCTATATTTAGCCCCAATTATCTTTGCCAATGATTCATGTATATTATGCGATCGTCATGCAAAACCTACTTTATGCCTACACCACCAGCAATGAAGACCAAATTTTTAATCTGGTCAATTTCGATGCCTGGAGGTGGCCATATAAAACTCCCGCCTACTCGCACATTCAACACGCTGCCAAGAATCTCTGATGGTGACCTCCACAGCCAGGCAGCAGGAGGATTCCTGGGCGAGCGCTGTACTGCCAATTCGAGGAAGCCTTTAGTAGAAGCAGACTTTGACTGTGCATCGTCAGGCGTGGAGGTAATGGTGAAGCCTCCGGCCTTTGGGACATCTGGGACGTGCACATCGAGCCATTGGCCGGGGAGAAACTGAATACGAAAACATTGATCAATTAGATCACGCGCCCTAAATAGAGCAAAGAAAAAGATTCCAGTTTCAAAGGACTATAATACTCTTATATTCTCTCCTCGAGGTATCTGCAGCCGGAGAAGCTTAATGGACTCATTGATTTGATCAATCCTGTTCAGAATGACGGGATGAAGTTGCTTGGCTCGTGGTTGGTCGGCCGTACGTTCCTCATGGCTGAGCGATAAAGAATGCGCGACCATGGCTGTCCAGGGGAGCGACGGGCGTCTCAGGAGCGGTAATTGGTTATATGGTCTTTTCAGAACTCTCAGCATTGGTCTGGAACAGATGCTGCAAAAGGGTACCTCTGTATGCCTCTGTATGAAGCAGGGACGAGGGGGAGAGCATCGCGCCGTTCGTTTAAAAGATGGTGGTACATTTCAGGTACCGCGGCGAGCGTTTCCACTGTTCAAAGGACCCAGGAGTGCTCTGAAATAGAGAGCTCTGATGCAACCAATATGAAAAAATATAATTCCTACCTCCAGTCATTGAATTGTCACAAAGAAATAATGATATAGTAATAATAATATCAAGGGATTCATGCTCGTACCTGCCAGCTGTACTTGTGGTGTCGCTCCTTGTGATGAAGCATACCTAGCTTCAGGGACCGCAAGTCACTGATAAGTCGAGGATGATAAGACTGCTCGTCGCTCGTAGGAACTGAACGGGAAGAGTAAAGCCAAGCTGGCTGGACCCTTGAAATGTCGGGCCGTGCCTTTCGACCGGGCGAAGCCAGCAGAGTCAAATGATTGGGTAGAGAAGTCAGAGGAGCATGGGAATGAGTCTCTGCAGATCAATGGTTAGTGGATGGTCTCTTTCTCCATGTCCACCGCTCACTCACCTCCTGATAGGACATCTTCCCCCCTGCAAGGATGTGATGGCTTCCACGCCCAACCAATCTCGTGCGCAGATTGCCTTTAAGTTGATGCATCTTTAAGCGCCCAACTGCTTGCCCCGTGTTCCCGCTATGCCTTTCACTCTACTCTATCACAGCACTCTCCCCTGTCGTTTCCAGTGCTTGTGTTGCCCTTTTGTCCCTCTTCCCGTTCCCCCGCCATTCAACTGCCGTATAGCAATGGATTTTCCCTCCCGTGATAGTCTCTTTTCTTCCCATGCATAATGCATAGACCACTTGCGTGGCTGCAAGAGCGGCGCATTCCCATTGTCCGTTTACCTTTCTGCTCGCTCACATCCCACTGCACACTCCAACCCATGTCAGCTGCAATGAGCATCTCTTCAGCACAGTCCTTCTCAGCGCTTGTAACATGCCTTCGACCCTGATTGGTGTCCCTCTTTCTGTCACCCATGGCGGTCATTTCTATAGAGGGCTCTCGAGGCCGCCTCTTTTACGGCTGCTTGTCCCGCCACGCTCGACTTAGCTTCTTCTTCAACCATCAGTTTCATCTGTCTAAGCTGTCGACGTTGTTCTTGTTGTTGCTGGTTATCTGAGAGTTGCCCTTTGAACGTCTTGACTCGTTATTATCGAGCTTGTCAAAACGGTCAGCAATCCATTCGAAACAATATCGTCACAAGGCTCGCAATAGTCTCCTCCGCTGGACGTCGAGGAGAACGGATCCTTTTTTTTTGAGCAGCACTCGCTCAGACGCACTTCAGGAAAACCCTTCTTTACTCCAGACCGGTAGTTTTACCTTGGTGTAAGAGCAAGGAGAGAAAAACAAAATGTTCAACTCAACCTCGAGCTTTTTCATCTCCAAAAAATGGCGGCTGCCCAAGGTCATGCTCGGGTTCTTGGCTGGAGAATTCCCGCTCACCGTTGCAGCCATGGCAATGTTCAGTATTGCCTCGCCGAACTTGTATCGCACTGCACTCTGGCTCGATGGCGCGCAGAACGGCTTCAACAGTAATCCCAATGAGCTTCTCTACGCTGCTGCCAACTACAGGCACATGACCGCACCGCTGCCTTGGAGAGATTTGTATGCAATCTACTTTTCGTTTTACTACTCAAAATGAATAAATCAAGCTAACTTCCGTCCCCGCGAACAGCACAACGAGCTACAACGTCGTCATCTCCGTCCTGACCATGTTCATCCTTTTGGCCAAATGCACGCTGTATCTTGTGCACTGGTTCCCTCCGATTCTTTCTGCCGTCATCCACGCACCCTTGGCTGCTCTTTGGGCAGTGAGCATCCACAACCAGGCCGCATCAGACATGAGCGACCCCAAGCACCCGCAACCCGGCGCACCGTGGTACTTGACCAAGAGCTGCACCGTTGCATTCTACCCGAACAATGTGAAATACTGCAGACAAGCCAAGGGCTGTTTCGCTCTGACCTGTTTATACATGTATGTTTTCCTTTTCTGTTTTTCTTTTCCCCTCTCCCTGCTTCAGACCCGCAACCTCTCAAACTAACTCGTCCATCGTTTCTAGGGCATATATGCTTGCTCACACCATCTTCGGAATCTACTCAATGATCCCAAGCCAGCAACAGCGTCTGAACCGCCAGGCATCCATCGACTCGGACCTTGAAGACGAAGACTACCAGAAGCAGCACTCGCCTAACAGCATGAGCTCGCAGACCAAAATCTTCGGCAAGTCAGCAGACGGAATGGAAGGCCAAACGCGTTTCGAGCTGCGCGAGGTTCCTCTTGCTGCAAAGAATAACCCCATGACTCCACGGACTCTGGCATTCAATACTCTGGGCGGAAGCGGAGACTTGCCTTTGCGGGGCCATGGTAATTGAGCTGAGCTAGAGCAATGCCATTGGTGGCCGTTTCACCAGATGGTGGGATAACTTGAGGACGAGCCGTTATAAATTGCGAGGAAGAGCGCCGCGTCTCGATGTCGATGTTCGTTCTTCTTCATCGTTTCCGGCCTGAGTACTTTCCGGCCTGGGTGACTTACTCTCTCCTCTCCGTCCTACATCCCATGGCAAGCACAAAGACTACCCGATTACATTCCTTTTTTTTTGTTTATACTTCTGGTTATATCCTGGATACCTCTACTTGTTTTACTTCTTACATACCGTACCTATGCACGCCACTTCAGACTTCTAAAACCTGCTAGATCTAGTTTCATTCCTTTAATATATTTTTTTGGTCATTTCACATCACCAACCAGGCACATTAGTTGCAATACGTCCATACATACATGTGTCCATAATTTCGTATATTGGTCCCTTCACGTCATCTTGCTACACAAAGTGTATTTCGTAACATTGACGTTTGAGTCAAAAGAATTAACAAAGCCAAATACCATCTGGTCCTATAGAAACTTAGTACTCCGTTCAAAATCCATTGCATATATCCCAATGCGTCTCCCCAGAGTTCCCGTAATGTAAGCCTAAAACGCCAGCAGCCAACAGCAACACCCGATATCCAAAAGTTCAAACGTCCAAACATCCAAATCAAAGCGAACCTTCCCCCATGCAAACAAACATCCATCATATACTCTCCATCTCTACTAACTTAATTATGGTCCAATTCAGTCTGCATATCCACAATCTCATCAACAAGCCTTCTTCTCCTCTTCTTGCGCGCCTCATTATCTTCATGGTTCTCAGGGCCGTCATGATCCATGGAAGGCCCTTCAGATTTAATCGCTGCATCCCCGTCCCCGTCTTTCTCTCCCGAGGTTGTGCTCCACACTCTATCCGCAGCGGTACTCAAATCGTGTACCACGCCTTCAAGCTCGCCGAGCAGATTTGTAATCTCGTTGCGCTGCGCGGTGATTTCGTCGACGAGTCGCGCGTTCCGGGACTGAGTGGTTTGCAAGCGCGCGTTAAGGCGAGACTGAGACCGCGCGAGGTGTGGTGCGAGATGGGCGAGATACAGCGCCTGAGGGGGGAGAGTGTGTGGTCTGTTTGTGATAAATGTATTTGTTTAGTCCATGAGGTCAACAGATTTGGTAGAAAGATGTGGGGAGGAAGAAGGAGTATAGAGGTTTGGTGAAATGATGTGAAAGTAAAGACGGAGCGCAGGGGAAGCAAAAAATGGTAAAAAAAAAAGAAAGGAAAAGGAGATGGAACGGAGTGATCAGGGCAAGGTGAAATAAAGGAATAACAAAACTTACGGAACAGGAACCTCCGCACCAGCAGGCGCTCTGGCCTTCCTCTTCTGCGCATCGGCAACTAATCGATCGAGTTCATTGAGCGAGGGCACAACATTGCGCTCGAGCTGGATCGCTTCAAACTCAGACTATTCATTACCATATATTAGCCATAACTAACACCCACCAGTCTTCTCGTTCCTCAAATTGGATAACTAACCCTCGCCAGTTCTTCAAACCGCTGGCTCATCATTCTCCACATGCCCCGCAATTCATTCGGCACGTGTTTGGCAGGCGTTGGAAAACACGCTGAAAAATTATCAAACGAGCACATTTTCAGCGTATGCGACAGGGCGCCATTGAAAATGTTATGCAGAGCCATTGCGCGAGGACCTGGGGCCTCGGCAACAGGTGGTGCGGGCGGCGGAGATGGGGAGGCGGATGCTCTTTGAGAACGTGGATTCTGTATCTGCGCTGACTCTGTCGACGACTGCGATTCTTCTGCTGCTGTAGATGTGCGATCTGCTGTTGTTTTGGAAGAATCTGTAGCTCTAGGGTCTGTGGGCTGTGTGGTAGTAGGTTGGGTTGTATCTGTTGTCGTTGGATTCTCTGCGGCGGCTGGTTCGCTGGTTGCTTGAACGTCTGCATCTTGCATAATTTCGTCCTGGTCTCGAGGGGTATTGTTTGTGGAGTTCGTCACTGGGTTCTCTGCTGCGTTGTTCGTTGTGCCGGACTCTCCGTTTTGCGCGCTGGATTCTGGGGCATTTGCTGCGGCGGCAGACCGGCGGGTCCTGCCCGGCATGTTGGATGAATGCCTTGTTATCTTAAATCGAAAATAATCGTCCCTATTTCTTATCGGTATTCTCCCTCCACAAGTATGCGAATCTTCTTGTCGTGTCGACTAAGGATCGGCTGAATTGTTAGATTGAAGAATGCGCGAGCGTTTGGTTGTTTACCTGGAACTGCGGGATGTATGTAAACGCGGATCGGCAGTCGGAGGTCGCGCAAGCTGCGATTAGTGATTATGTAATCAGGGTTTACCGCCTTCCAACGCATCACAGTTGACGATATGAGAGACAAAGGCAGAAAACAATTGACTTGCTTTTCATGTTGGTGTCTTTTTCTTGTTCTTTAGATGAGAGAAAGATTCCATTCTTATACTGATATGATAGTTGGATTATAAAAGTCAGACTTAAATTAAACATGACTCCATCTGAAAAGCAAATCTGCTTTGTGATCTGATCAAAAAAATACCACCAGAGTAATAATTGTCAAAGAAAATATCAATGAGAGAATAAATAAATATTTACGAAGCAGATAATATGTTATCTCAGCCCGAACCCCATGAACAAATTTCTGAAAAAATGGACAATAGCAACCCTGCAGACTATAGAGTGTTTCTCGATTGACGCCAAGGGACCCTCTTTCCCAGAGACGCCGAGATTGTGTAATTAAATAGAGGAAAAACATGTTTACATGACCTACCCAAGTATTAGCAAGATGATGTTTCAGATCAAGTCAGATACGTACAGAGCAATTATCGTCCAGCAAGATTGGCCCATCAGATTCCGCACCCATTTCACCCGCTTCATGTCTTTGACGCAGCCTTGCTGCTAGTTGTGCTAGCATTCCCCTCTGTTCTCCCCAATCCACGTCAGCCAAACCATTCAAGCCACTCCGAAAATGCGACTCCAACTCGATCCAGACTAACCGTAATGTAAGCATCTCGCACGCCACCTTGGCGCTCAACATCGTTTTGACTCGTAATCTGGTAGCTGTCTGCCATACGCTTTCGACTGGTCAAACCTTGGGTGGTCTGCTCGGATTCCTCTCGCGACGAGCGCATCCGTCCAGCGCGACCACGTCCAAACGCAAGAGTCGAAAAGTTTGATGTGTTACCCCTGGCAACGTTGATGCCGTTTCGAGCATCCTCTTGAGCCTTGAGATCTGGCGAGAATATCTTGATGGTATGATCAATGCCAGAAACCGCCAGCATCGGCTCATATGGATGCCCTGAAAGCATATATTAGCACGGCGGTTCGACATTTGGCAAGCCAATCCAGCTCTTACCTTGCACAACATTGACAACCTCTTCATCGCCCTCGAGAATATTTACCAGGCGCGACGTCTTCCTCTCCCATATAAAAACATGACCAGAATCGCTCCCGCTTACGACGTATTCATCTTGTAAGCCAAAGAAGTTGACATCTTTGACTGTTTTAACATTGCAGTGTCCACGATACTGCCGAATATGTGAAGAGCACGGCACGTCTTCTTCGACTTTTTCCCGCATCTTGCTGCGATCAAAAGCGGATCTCCACATGAACGGGCGCTCATCTTCATCTTCATCGTCATCTTCCTCATCGTCGTCGTCGTCTTCATCATCATCCTCACTGTCCTCATCGTCATCTCCATCCTCGTCGCTACTGTAGAGTTGATCAACCACTTCTTCATGAAGGTCACTCAGCAGAATCATTTCTTCGTCAATATCCTCGTCGTCATCTTCCTCTGGCTCACTAATCTCGGGGCGCGGTGGCGAATACGGCGGTGGAGGTTCATCAGGTTCTGCAGTCGCTCTCGAAGATGATTCAGGTTGACCATCTGAAGCTTGACGACGGGAACTTGAACGGCGACGTCGCACAAGGCCAATGTCCTGGACAACATCCTCATCTTCACTATCACTGATAGCTGCAAGGGCCGTGTCCTGCGCACGCTCTTGCTCCCTAATGCTTGCGGTCGGGACGCCCAGGCCACCAAATGCACGGTCCACAAACGCAAAGTTGATACCTTGACCGACGTTCATAAGTATGCCTCTCCCTACTTTGAATGCCCAGAACCTCATCGCCGCTCGTCGGTCCTGCGCTGATACCGCGGTCCCAGACCCGTCATCATCGATGTTGGCGGGAACTACGGCACGTGAGAGATCTTCCAATGGAATCTTGACCGCATTGAAAAAGGCTTCAACAGCAGCCGTCTCCGATGCAAATGCGATACGGTACTCGTCCCTCTCGAACCTCGAGGCACCAACGTTAGGAATCGACCTGTCTGTTGCAAGCCCAAGCAGGTACGGTTTTAAACTCTCTTCCAAGGCCGCTAGCGGGGCCTCGGGTGTGAGGGGATATCTAGGAAGGTCTTTTCGGGCATTCATTGGACGTTTAAATCCATCGAGAAGATTCTCCGGGCCTCCCTCGAGCCACAAAACAATAGCCCGAATGAAGTCATAGCTAAATTGCTCATTGGGGTATGTGACCTTATGCTCAAATTTCGAGACATGGATATCATGAAATTTTGCCAGTATTTCGGCCGACTCATCCCCCCGACCTCCAAGGACTCGAGCAAGAGTGCCGGCGGCTTGGACAAAGCGTATAGTAGACTCGCGGTTCCTTCGCAAGGTTTGTTGGAAATGGATATCTTCCGGAAGCGGATCAGCTGGATATCTCCAGCGCAAGAGTATTTTCTCCATGCATGGCAGAGCCTTTGACGCCTGATTGAGAGCCGAGGTCAATGAGGCGGTAAATGGTGTCGGCTCAGAATCCGAGTCCGGTGAGATTGAATCCGTTCGAGGGGAGAAGAGATGCTTTCGAAGCTCGACTAAACGCCGAGCAATGCTGGCACTGCGTTTTTGCGGTCCGGACAGGACCGATTCTCGCGCTTCGGTGACGGGATCCATTGGAGTCGCACGTTCTTCAGATTGCTCGATTGGTATATCCTCACTCTGTCCATTTTCGTACCTAACGCGCAGCGCCAGCTCCCCACCTTCTTCATCGACTTCATTTGGTCGTGGCCGCGAACCTGCGCGGACGCCCTCTGCAGAGGATTCGGAGCCTGTCTTTGGCCGTTTGCGCTTTCGATCCTGAGACTCACGCGCGCGACCAACCCCTTTCCCCTTTTCTATTTCACCTGGCGGTGTTTCAGCTTCTCGAGCATCGGGACTCTTGATTAGGTCAAAGCTATAGATCCACTCGCCAGACCAACTGACGATCATCTCATTTGGGTTCGCGTCGCTGATTTTGCATGCTGTAATGTGTCCATTGTCGGTCCGTTTCATCTTTGTTTGTCCGTTTGGGGCGAACCTTCGAACGCACTTAGTTGCCTGTCCCATGAGCTCATCATCCCTCACGGAATCACTTCCCACTGATGCAGGCCGGCCATGCTCGCGGAAAAGATCCCGTCCAAGCATGCGTCTGTCATGCAGGAAGCAGTGCAGATGAGCCCCGCCCAAGGCGATGTAGTGTGGCTGGCTTGCAGAGCACGAGATGGTATTCAAATCGAGATGATAGTCTTTATATGAGATGAGTGGCGGAGGAATGCTGGTGTTGCTGTCCAGATCTCTCGCTGCCCTGGCCGCCATGAAGCCTCTGGAGCCTCGAGGAGGCGGATACGCCGAGGATGGCTGCCTGAGATCCCATTGTCGTACTTCACCATCTTCTGAACAAGTAAGAAAGAGGTAAGGCGAAGACTCGGTAACGATGCGCTTGACTCGATCCGAGTGAGAGCGATAGACTCTTGCGTTGGCATCACCAAAACTCAAGTGGCGGACGCCGCTATGCAAGCCGATACCGCGACTGAAACGCTCCTCTTCTGAAGACGGAATGGTTGATCGAGCTGAATGTTCGATATCGAAAATGCGGACCTCGGTGTCTCCAGCAGCCGTGATCAACGTTCGATCGTTTGAATGAGGCATAAACTTGACCGAAAAGATGTTTGCCGAATGCCCCGTTGACAGTGAAGTATTCAGGGTGAAGGGCGCTGTAGATGACTCTGGCTGATACGAATAAATATTAAGATGTTGATCATCGGAACCTGACGCCAGCAGCTGGCCTGAACGAGACCAGCTTTGTTATAAGGTCAGCTCAGACCTTGGAATAGCAGCAGTATAAATACATTCATTGGGATAGGCGTACCAGAGCGCATTCACACAGCCTGCATGACCGCCAAGTTCATTGACAATGTCCAACTCATCAATCATGGAGGGGTCTCCATATATTCCCGGGATTGCGGAGTATCTTGAGGTGCCGCCAAGCTCCCGCTTGAGGAGGCGGTCCTGTAAAGTGAGTCTCATCTTGATCGCTTTCACCCTCCCCGTAATCGAGTCAACCTTTTAAATGCAGCTTTATGAGTGAAGTCGTTGGCTGCACATGCGGACAAGATCATCCGGTTTGGCTGGCGTTAAAACAGCCAAAGAAGCGGTGACGAGTGTGGCGAGGGAATGAAGTAGCACTCTGGGATTCAGAACAGCTGCACTCGCGTACACAATTTGATAGTGTATTGGAGAATCATGTTCCCTTTCACTCAAGTCCTTGAGCGAAGAGAGTTTGAATAGCAGTTACTCTGGTGGTTGTCGGGCGAAGCTTGGAGTTGGCGGTGGTTCGAGGTAGGTGAGTTAGGTAGCTCGGCCTGTTGGAGGTGGAAGCTATACTATTAGAGATTGGTCGGATATTGGAAACTCAACTGGGACTAGCACTACGAATATTTACAAAATCAAAGAGACAGTCATATCTGAACTATTCCATCGATATTTAATGTCTGTCTTTGTATTAAATCAATTAATTCCGAGAATATTCATGAAATCTACATTAGTAGCTGATTCTTCTTCATCCGGCCACTGACGAAACCAACTCACCGCCCGCCGGCATCTTCCGCAGGTCGTCATTGCTTAGTCAGCTCACCATCACCAGTGACAGCTTTTTTTTTGAACATCCCAACACAACAATTATTCGAAATCAGATTGTAAAGAGCTTGCCAGATACCTAGGTTTCAGCTACAGTTACTGACAGCTTGCAATAATAGCCAATGTTTTGCTCGTTGCATCGCAGATAATAATGTGAAAACTTAATCACCTGTTGCTGCCCGGAGGTCGGAGAAACCTTCGTCATGCGGACCCAGTCGTAACCGACAGCCTTAGCGACCCACGCAGTGTAAACAAACCATCGACAACCACAAACCTCGTTGTTTAGCACCTCTTTGCTGCATTTGCTGCATGTCTTCCTGGTCACGAATTCATGGATCATTTGGATAATGTCTAATATTTGATTTATTTTTTTCTTGTTGATATACCCACAATCATCATGACAGCAGTCTCGACACAAATATCACAAGCCCGTATCGACGCGGTCAAAGACTCCCTCGCAGCAGTGACATCCTGCCCAAAGACCGCATACGAAGAGCTTGAAAGCCTTCTCAATATAACAACGACAAAATCTACCACCGATACACAGACACAGCGCCCTAGATCTCGTGTTGCAACATCAGGCACAGCCTCTTCCCGAAATAAGACTACTCGACCTCTGAATGGTCGAGCGAAAACCGGATCAAAGATAGCTGATCTAGCTGCCGACGACAAGCTGCTGACACCCCGACAACGGCTCGTCCTGGCAACGGAGACAGTAAATATCACTTTAAAGTCTCTGACGGAAGCTATTAGATTGCCTCCATCCTCGTTACAGCAAAATAATCCAAACGCTACCCGTGCGACAAGGGAAAATGCACGTGGATATGAAATGCAATCCAGTTCGCCGTCAACCCCTCGCACACCAATCAGTCGCAGTCTGAATACCTCAACTGCGCCAACAAGGCCTTCTTCATCAGCTTCTGTTAGATCGACCTCAGGTCTCCTCGCCGTCGCCCAGAGCGCTCGTCTGGCCTTCGCGTATCTCAGGACGTCTCAAGCGGATAATGGGTCTGCACCAAATGGTTCACATCTTCAATTGGAACACGGTATGCTCGCACTAATTGGAAAGCTACAGGCTCTTGGGCTGGATGATTTAGCAAGTAAGGAGCTGCGTATTTTGAAACGGCGCCTCCAGCTCTCCCTTGCGAACGAGCCAGGAAAATCGACAGGATCCGCCAAGGACGAAACAAAGGATTCAGTAATATCAAAGACGACCTTGACGGATTTGCTGAATTTCGAAGACGTCAAAGTCACTGGTCAGGTTACTGAGCTCGTTATCGGACTGCAGCTCGCTGTGTTGAAACTCATCGGCTCAAGCAGGCGACCGTCTCTTATAGTGGCGGCTCTGAACATGATCCAGCTATCGCAGACAAACTCTCCGGCGAATCTCATGCTACGATCTATTTCGCTATCTTCCAACGACAAGGTTGCTCGTCAGCTCGAAATGTTGTCCCAGCTTCTGCTCTCACTCTGCCCTAGCATCTGCAGAACTGAAGATGAGAATGCCTCCAATACCAAATTCCATGTTTCCCCAGAGACAGCCCTTCAGATTCAGAGTTTAGCTTTCGAAATTAGACTTCAATGGTGGTCCGTGTCAGGCCATCAAGGCAACTCCCCGAGAGAGATCCTCAACCCATTTCTAAGATGTCTGAGCACTTTTGTTCGAAGATCTTCTGCCGACTCTAAACAAAAGTATGACCTCGTATCGGTCCTCTTCGAGAGGCTTGCTTCACGCCTCGAAAGTCACGATGGTGGCCTGGATGCAGAGGTTTCATCGGAAACCGTAGCACTGCCTCCGATCTTAAGTATCTACAAGGTTCTCAGCTCATTGGCGCAAGGTGCCGTTCTTCTACCAGAAGCCATCAAATGGACACGAGAGATGGTAATGTTAGGAGAAAACGCTCAACTTTCGGATGCACGTAAACGTGCTTCGGCCATACGCCTCACTACACTTCAGCTCTATCAAATTGCAAACGGAGATAATTGGCGGGCCGCTATTGAAGGCCTCTCAAGCGCATTGAAACACGTCGAGAGTTCGCTGAAAGGGGATGCTACTGACATTGATGATATGCTACTTGAAGTTGCCGGTCTAAGGAAAGCTGCCATGGAAGTATTGATGAGACGAGCGCAAAGCCCGGAACGCCGGGAGGCTAGCTTGCCACCATCGGTCCAGGATCTCTGCGAGCATATAGTCTATTCAGTACTTGGGTTCCTACGAAGGTATCTTGGACCCTCTCCTGGGCCAGATGCTAACACAAACGTTATGCAGCGGCATGAACAACGACGGAGACTTGTGGAAAAAACGGCTAGGATGGGTATTGATTCTGCAGTTGCACTCGCAAAGATTGCCATTGCACAGAAACGAGTGGACTGGGATCAATTGGAACCATGTCTGGGTGATTGTTACAGCCTTCTCATGCAGCTCCAAATCAATTCTCGCGATGATGGAAAGGCCTCTGATCCGGAATCAAAAGGGCAGAAGCAGTCCCCATTTGTGAGACTGTCCAATGTTTACTGGGCTCTCCATGCTGAACTACGCGGATCTACACTTTCCGACCATCATTCAAAGTCTATTACAGCATTGCAAAGATCTGTGGATGCTCTCAAAGAGCAGTCCGCTGCCGAGAAGGAATCTGGCCTATGGGGATTGAAACTCGAGCGGCTCGCTGCTGTTTATCAAAGCATTGGCAAATTGGAAAAGTCGTCGGCCCTTTTGGTGAATGTTATTCAAACGAACATTGCCGCAGGTACTTTGCTGCAGGCTGCTTCCGCTGCAGCAACAAAAAATATTTTAGACATCTGGAATGCGAGCGGCCAAGTTGGAAATCTTGGGCGTGCAGTTGTCTCATTGACTAAGCTGGCCATTGACGGAAACGAAGAAGCACTTGGGTTTTTCACAGAAATATGCGTCAGAGCGGAAGAAAAAGGGGTTCTTTTTGAATGGGCGTTGCGCCAAGTTCAGTTAAATCTCGAGTCTACGTCGACCGAGGACGGGGAATGCCGAATCCTGAACACACTTGCAGGTACATTACTTCGAACTTACGATGCGGAGAACTATCCAGTTCGACGAATGCGGGTGATTGCGAACCTGCTTCAAATGGAATCGTTCAGCGAGACCTTTATTGAGAAAGATATGTTGCGAGAAATGCTCTCGGGTTCCTTTTCGACAAATGAATGTGACATGAAGAGTCGCGATGCAGGCTTGGCGCGGTATTCGACACATCTCACGGCACTCGTTAGTATACTTTCGGCGTTCAGGAATGGCGAACTATCTTCGAATCATGTTCAAAAGTGCCTAGATGGCTGGGATTCATTGGTCTATTCAGCTAGCGACTATCAGACTCTTGAGTCAAAAGTGACAGATATTGGTAGCTGGCTTGAACAACTCCAATTTCTCGCTGATTACTTTGGGATGAAAGGCTTGGGAATGCTTCGTTGTCATATGCTTCGGGTCAAGGTCCGCGTCAGAGAATTGCGGGATGCCGAAGGATCAGGTGCAATGGTATCTGATCTTTGCAATCTCGGACTACAGTTTCTACATCTTGGGTATTCTGATAAAGCAGGGTCTACGCTTGCCAAGGCTCAAGCTCATGTCAAAAACGGCTCTTCTGATGCATTTTCATCCATGCGCTGGCACCTTGCATATGCCGAGTATATACTTGAACTCGGAAATGTCGAGAAATGGTAAGATAAAACTTTGCCATTTACCAGTTAGACTAGGGTTACTTACGAGAAATCTTTTTAGTGGCGAAATGCTCGAATCCGCCGGAAGTCTCTTCAGGACTGACGACTCGGAACAGACCATTCCAAAGCCGTCTTCGTTGGAGGAGCGCATTAAATTCAATCGACTAATAGCTGATGCCTCGTTAGTGTGCTCTTTGCAGTGCTTTACGGCGGGTGCTCTTGATGAGGCAATTATTCATGCTAAGCGAAGCTTGAGGCTCAATCATCGGGCATGGGCATGCCTTGAGAACGCCCCGAGTGTGCGGCGAAAAGCTGACGCCTCTCGGAGCAATTCAGGAATGGATGGGCTGTCAGAGGCCATTTCTCAAGTCTCAATGAACGGTACAAACCTAAAGGGAGTGGTCCGTTCGACAACGCACGAAGCATTGAAGGGTCCCAAGTTTTGGACTCTAGTCCCCTCGTTATACAGAGCAATGACCCAACTCGCTCAGTTATACTCCTACCATGGCTTCTTAAATGAGGCCATCTATTACACGGAACAGGCTCAGCATATCGTCGACTCTGTGCAGGCCATCTCGCTTGCTGCTCACAATCAATCTACACTAGGCGAGATGTATCTGCGTGGTGGGCGGTTTGAAACGGGACAAGGTATCCTGGGTAAATCCAAAGGCATGGGGGAATTGGCAGGCAAGAGCAAGGAATTAATACAGTGGCATTGCTCTGTTGGTGCTCTCCATCGATTCCAAGGTAATTTCGAAGGCGAAGTTGAAGCATATAAAAGTGCCCAGGCAATCTTCGATAAACTCACAGATCCTGAATTCGTGAACCAACTTGATGGATCAAGGAACCTCGACACCGATTTAGCAGCGCAAATGGACCAACTCTCTCTTCAAAAGCCCTCTGTTACTAAAAAGCCGGCTATTTCCCGTTCAGCCAGACCTGCTACTCGGAGAGTCAACCAGAGATCAGCGACCGAAGCGAAAAAACTACCATCCGCATCAAAACCTACATTGGAAGACTATTCCATACTTCAGCGACTCAAGGGAGATGTTTTGCGGCGGAAAGCTTTGACAATGCTGGCACATGATAGGATTGAAATGGCCGAAGAATTATTACTGGAAGCGGCTAATCTTCCGAAAGATTTACAAGGGATCGCGAGACACAATATTGCAAAGGCTAAACAATTAGCAAAGAAGGGGCTAGAACAGATGCTTGCGGACCCTGTCTTTTGTGTACTTCCGGATTCCACAATCTCAGTCCCATCTGTGAGCCTCGCCAGAGCTCCTGAAAAGAAAACGACTGAGACAACCCAAACCAAAACTCGAGGAATCGCCACACAAAGATCAGCGAGGACGGCACCCTCCACTCGCCGTGCGAGGTCGAAGGCACCTGTCAGTCAGCAGTTTGCAGATATTCTCAGTCAAGCTTGTGATGCCATTTCCGAAGTTCAGGAATTGGCGATGCAGAGATGCTCTAGCTCTGTTATTCATGAACTGCTCTCAACGTTTCGTAGCACCATAATGCTCCTTTATGCCGCCAGTTGGGGCGCAGGGCAAGCCGCAATTAACCCACTCCTCATTGCTCAATCCATGGGTAAGAGTGCCAAGACGTAACATTTGAACAAAGGAATTGTGCTAACGGATGAATTCCAGAAATCGGGAGAAATATTGCATTATCAAGAGACAAGAAGAGCTTGCTTGCGGAGAAGCAGTCGCTAACAGAAGATGCCTGGAAATGGCCAAAGTCTGAAGGAGTGGTTGAAGATGAGATCGAAGCTCAGAGCAGCTTCACGGACCTTTCGGCTTTCCAGCGAGACTTCATCGACATAATTCCATCTAATTGGACGGCGATATCGATTGCTCTGAACGAAACTCGTGACGAGCTCTATGTTTCCCGACTCCGTGCCGGTGAAACGCCATTCATAATTCGTCTTCCCCTTGATCGGCACAACTCAAGAGATGCGGAGGAGATGGTTTTCAACTTTGACGATGGAAAAGCAGAGCTCGCCGAGATCATTGAGCTGGCCAACTTCAGCACACACAGCGCAAGAGCGATGACAAGCAAAGGAGAAAAAGCGGCTTGGTGGGCTGAGCGAGAAGCGCTTGATTCTCGTCTGCATGAATTACTAATGAATATTGAGAATATCTGGTTAGGCGGCTTCAGGGGTGTCTTCTCCCAGCAAACTCGACATCCTGAGCTGCTTGGACGGTTCCAACAATCGTTTGAGAATTCGCTAAACAAGCACCTACCGTCGAGACTGAAGAAGGGAAAGGCTGCCACAAAAATCACGCTTGATCCTCGCATTTTGGAGCTGTTTGTAGGCCTTCAAAGAACGAACGAAGAGGAAGAAGAATTGGACGAACCTTTGACTGATTTGCTGTACTTTGTGGTGGATATCTTGCAGTTCCACGGTGAACGCAATGCATATGACGAGATTGACTTTGATTCGGTGAGGGATTTCCGTTTGAATAATTTCACTTTTAATGTTTCCTTGACTAATTTATGGCATAGCTTGTGGTCGAAACACAGGATGCGTTGCGGGCTTATCACCGCACTGCTGAAGCCGAGGCGGACAACAATGAGCAGCACACTATTCTTATCCTGGACAAGACGCTTCATTCCATCCCATGGGAATCCTTGCCCTGCCTTTCCGGGCTCTCTGTCTCACGACTCCCATCTCTTGGAAGCTTGCGAGATCGGATTCAGGATGTGAAAAAGCGATCGGCCGCCGAGTCCGAGAAGACGGCCACGGAAGATCTGGAGATCGACGGCTCGAACGGAGCATTCATTCTGAATCCAGGTGGAGACTTAAGTGCAACACAAGCGGCCTTTGAAGCGCCGCTCAACAGGTAAGATTCACGATTCTTTTTGGTTCAAATCTTCCCAATATGGTTTGAATGGCCGCAATATGAAGTGGTGCTAACGCGGCGCGATATTCAGTTTGCGAAACTGGTCGTCCATTGTTAAGCGTGATCCTACGACGACCGAGCTCGAGTCTATCCTTTCCTCCCGCGACATCTTCCTCTACTTTGGCCATGGCAGCGCGTCACAGTACATTAGTCTGCGGTCCGTCAAGAAACTGGACCGCTGCGCCGTGGCCTTCCTCATGGGCTGTTCGAGCGGCAATCTCACCGAAACAGGCGAGTTCGAACCATACGGTACTCCCATCTCTTACATGCAAGCTGGGAGCCCCGCTCTTGTCGCCACGCTGTGGGATGTCACGGATAAGGACATTGATCGTTTCGCCAGTGGCACCTTGGAGCGGTGGGGACTACTCTCTCAAGGGGCATGCCAAATAAAGCCTCACCCTAAACAACCTAAGAGGCGTAGTGGTGGTGTGAGCACGGTTCCGCAGTCATCATCATCATCATCAACATCCTCCCGTCGCGCAATGGGTATGACATCAGCAAAATCCAAAGCTGCTAAAGCTGCGATGGGAGAGAAACCAAAGAAGAAGGAAAGCCTCGTACGTGCCGTTGCGCAGGCGAGGAATGATTGCTATTTGAGATACTTGAACGGTGCGGCGCCGGTGGTATATGGTGTACCGGTATATTTGTCTTGATCTCGTTTCGTCTCAATAACGATTATCAGATGGGACTTGACAAGCGCTTTGATATTACAGGCTTTGTGCCCAATTTTCTTTTTTTTTCTTTGTCTATATGTTCAATACGTAGTATCCACTGCATACTTGGCGAATGGGTTTCTATTTGACATTATTGTTTTCTCATTTTTTTCTTTCTTCTTTGAAGCATGTTCATCGGTCACGCAAAAGGGGGTTATAAGTCTTTAGATTTAGTACGGGTTGCATTATTGCATTATCTTCACTTTAACTTCTTTCTTGTATCTTTTAGAGATTTCTTCTAGGTTACTTTCTCCGTTTAAGATATTTGAAGTGTCACATATTATTTTCTAGAGGACTATAGGATTGGCATATAAGATTAGCAACCTGCTTTAAGTTACCCCTTATCGCATCGTATTTTTGAACGTGTGACTTGTCATGATCGTAATTACAGCTGATGCAAGGAAGAAGACTGCCACGATAATACTATAGGAATATTGGACCCAAAAACATAAGTCTCTCATTGACTAATATTGTCTTTTGCACAAGTGACGCTCCATGGTATCACGTTCGTATAGAACTTAACTGTTCAGATGCTACTACCTCGTTTGATATATATTACATAGTACTATGCAGATACTTTAACTACTATATGTATATATATATATATTCACTCGGGAGATGGATCCTTCATCTCCGTATGTCTTTCATCTGCTCGACCAAGAGCGGCAGCGCTTCATTCGCGCTGTGGCCGCATCGCACACCTGCTTCGCCGCGATTCGTTTGCGCCATTTTATAGTGATTGTCGGTGTTAACCGAATTATCTGCAGAAATCAAGTCCGCAAAAAACACCTCTTCGCCGCGCACGCCGCCCATGTTGAGCACGCCGACAGGCATGCCGCGGTCTGTCGCGCGCTTGACAAGTCGCCAGGCAGAATACGTCGCGAGACTGCTACCCACGACGAGAATGCGGCTGGCGTTATCGATCATGTCTTCGGCCGAGTGTTTCGTTTCAGGACTGATGGATTCGCCGAACATGACGACGGCGGGTTTGAGAATGCCTGCGTGTATTGTAGAGCTGGGTCCGGATCCGGGTCCGCCTGCCGCCGCCGCCGCCGCCGCCGCCGCCGCGGGCCTTGAAGAAGGCGATACAGAAGAATGTGAAGCAGATGAAGAGGAAGAAGAGGAGGAAGAGGTGGAGGAGGAGGAGGAAGGATCAACATCAGAAATGTATCTCGACGGTTCAGAAAACAACGGGTAGGTATCCGTATTCGCTGTCGCACTGCTCGGGGGCACCCACGCGCCGTCCTTATCCACATGGACATTCTTCGACGGATCCGCCAAACAGGTCGGACACGCGGGATACCGAAACGTGCTATAGGGCGCGTCGGGCAAGTCTACGTCGCCGTCTGGATTCGTGCGTAGGCCCTTTTTCCGCCGCTCGTCCGGGTTCTCGGTCAGCAGGGCCCCGCTGGCGAGCATCTCGTTGAGAAAGTCTGCCCAGGCGGGGTTCAGGCGCGCGAGATCGTCCTGGAAAGCTTGCCGCGGCATGTGGGTCTTGCATGTCAGACATACGAGAGAGCGGAGGTAGCCGTGGAGTTCGAGGGTAGGGAGGGTCGGGTGCGCGAGTGGGTGGAAGGAGTCGACGTCTGTGTTGGATGTGGTTGTTAGTGGAATGTTGTGGAGAGATTTCTTGGCCTCTGAGGTGAAGAGTTTGTGGAGGATGGGGGGCCAGTGATTCCGAAAAAAAAAAAAAAAAAAAAAAGAGATCAAGCCATTAGAGGTATTACGCACTCTGTGTAATCACCCCGCTGAGCCATCCCATGTCTCCCAACGTCTTGACTGCCCAGTGCGCGTTATTCGGCCGACTGCGCGATAGGACGGGCCATCCTAGGAAACTCCGCGCCCAGTAACGCTTGCGCGCTTCGTGATTGTGTATGAACTCGTTAAAGTAAATAGGTCGGTAGGTCTTGTTGAGCGTATATGTTCCATTTGGGCCACGATAGTCTGCTAGCCCTGAGGCGACCGAGATGCCGGCTCCCGTGAGGAGAACTGTCTTGTTGTGGCGCGGATCTATGTTCGGGTCGAACGATGATGACGATGCTGCTGCTGAAGAAGATATCGATGGAGGCTCAAAGCTATTGGGCACAGGACTGGATTTGAAAAGCGGGCCCGTAATGGGATTTGGGCGCCATGATTTGGATGCCGGAGCGGAGATGAATTGTGCGAGTGCACTCACTGCGCCGGCAAGAGTATTTGCTGATCGGGGAACAATTAGAGGTGGTGGGAGAGGTCCCGTATAGGGAATTCGCATCAACGGTTTCTGCATGAGTAGAGACGCAGTAAAGACATGGTACGGCTTTATTTTTTATCTCCGCGTGTGTTGATTGCTGTCACGTAGAGCGATTCGAAGTAGTCGCTTATGCTGGGAAACTGAAGGAAAAGTTGGAAAATGCTAGCAGAAATGAAGACTTTAAGAGAGAAGAAACGAATTCAAGAGAAAAAGTGACAGATTTGTGACTGTCCGCGGTGACAAGCATGGCGTTTCTGCCTCATTGTTTCGTCTCTTCGTTCCTGACGCCAAATGGAATGCGTCATGGTTTGGCTAGATCGGGAATGGTATTGACTATCCAGGCCTTATGGTTACCGTACATAACCTTGGCGGAAGGGATTCCGCGCGGGACCGGGGACGCAAGCGGAGAGTGGACGGATTAATTAGCGGCCCGCGGTGAGACGACATCATTGAGCATACCGGTGTATACACGTAAACACCCCGCATAATCCCGGGATTCGATTTCCGACGGGGATATGCCAAATCCGTCCCTTATTGCCGTTTGAATCGGTATATATAAGAAAGCTTTGGAAAGATGCTAGGATGATCTCGTTTCACTTGTAACATGTTTGCATGATCATTGATGAATAAAGCTGGTGGTGCACTGATCGACTTCGTGCTGTTTCACTCGTCATCAATTATTTTATTTGGTTTTCTCAGTCTTGAGCCATCATTATTTCAGCTTCAGAGAATCATAAACTGTTGAGAATTACAATCTTATGCAAGAAAAAATGCCCTCGTCTCAAGAAACTTGCCGTCCTGCATTCCCGGATCAGGAGGAGCCTCGCATCAGCTTTGGCCTTCCGTTCCATGAAACCTGCCGAAAACATGTCGAGGAGACGTTTCACGCGTCAAAAGTATATATCATTGCGTCAAACACCTTAGCCAATAAGACAAATGCTCTCAAAGATCTGAAGACTGCGCTTGATGGAAGGATTGCTGGCGTTCGAGTTGGCATGCGTCCACATACTTTCATGAGCGAGGTACTCGACATTACACATGAAGCTCGCAAAGTGGACGCCGACTTGATCGTCACGCTTGGTGCGGGAAGCTTGTCTGATGCTGCCAAGATTATTGCGCTTGTAAGCCCTTAATTTCCGGTTATTTTTCCATACAAAGACATTTCATCATGACTCGACCATCTAAGTCCGAAATTGCTAACAGCCTCTAAATCAGGCTCTTGGCAATGACGTTGAAACCGAAGAAGATCTCTTGAATCTCCCAAGCACTGCAAACAGAGACGCCAAAGCCAAGCCTCCAAAATGTCCAGTAATTTGCATTCCCACATCCCTTTCTGGTGGCGAGTACAGCGATTTTGCAGGCGTTACTAGGGACAGCGACCATGAAAAAATCCAGTTTATGGAACCTCTTCAGGGACCTCGATTGATCATTCTGGACGCAGATCTAGCGGTCTCAACGCCGCTCAGAATGTGGATTGGTTCTGGAGTTCGTGCTTTGGACCACTGTGTCGAAGCATTGTGTGGTAGTCAACGCGATGAACTTGCCGATGATGGCTGTATCAAAGGTCTGAACGCTGTGGTGCCTGGTTTATTGCTATCAAAACAGAACCCATCAGATGCACATGCACGACATGAATCACAGATAGGCGTGAATTTCGCCATGGTTCCATTACACCGCACTAAATATACTCGCATGTTTGCCGAAATGGGTGGTGCAAGTCATGGCATTGGTCACATGTTGGGTCCGCTTGGTGTCGCTCATGGCGAGACGAGCTGCATCTTGTTGCCGGCTGTATGCAAGTATAATGCGCAACATGACAGTAAGAGAAGCATCGAGAGGCAGAATATCGTTTCACGGGTCCTGTGGGGTATTGATGTCGCAAGAGAGACTTTCGAGAGAAGGGGGCTCAAGGAGAATAACTCAGACCTTGGAGACCTGATCGATGCGATTGTTCGAGAACTTGATATGCCTCGAACTCTGACTGAAGTTGGTATTGGCAGAGACAAGCTTGATCAGCTGGCCGAAAATAGTTTGAGAGATATTTGGGTATGGAATAATCCTGCGCCGTTGAGAACCAAAGAGCAAGTCATGGATATATTGGAGCAGTGTATCTAGCTTAAGTAAGAGATATTTCTAATAATACAAAGAACCCATGTCAGCAAGTTTTGTATAGTGAAGAAGCATCTCTATTTCAAGTACATCTCACCCACGATCCTTCCATCGAGAAGGATTGGATACATCAGCGGCAATGCAAATGTTTTGTGAGTGGCGAATAATAGGAAATCTATAGCCACAATTTAGGCAGAGGAGCAGGGTTGTACATAGCTGTATTATTTATACAATAGCTTTCGAGCCGGCATTATTCGAGGTTTTTGGAATCGTTATCCAAAAGTTCAAATGCAGACAGGCTTGCATTGTTCAGGCGACGGGCAATTGAAAATGCTTTTTCCGCCCTGGAAACTGCCTTCAACAGCCGGGCGAACGTATTCTCTCATCTTTGCCTCGTATTTGGTGATACTAGTGGTTGAAATGCCATCCTCGACAATAATCCTGCATAGTTCTGCCGCATCACGCAACGCAATCGCCGCCCCAGTGCCAGCGGATGGGGACATTGGATGTGCTGCGTCTCCAAGCACAGTGATTCGGCCATTTGATTCCCATGGGGGGATTTCTGGACGGCAACTAAAAATCCTGATGGTAGAAGCTTGAGCATGGTCCTGGAGCTCTAGAATTGCTCGAGCAGCTGGATGCCAGTGACTTGTCACATTGAGGGACAGCTGGGCTACTTCTGCCCCAGAGAGGGATAACAGCTTCTGATCGTCCTCTATGCCATATGGAGCTTTTCGAGAGGCAAGAACCCAATACATATAGTCTGGAGGAAGTAATAGTTCTGCCTTATCCACAGTCCGCTCGAATCTCATCGGTTCGAACAATAGGCTGAGTGGCGTGCTATCCCGTATCATGGTCATTTTCCCAGTGCTAAGTGGCAACGCTCGTTCGACCAATTCTGGCGTCAGAGGCGTTTTTCCGTAGATGGCGGCACCGTCAGTGTCATAAATTTGATACTGAGGAAGATACTGCTTCCGTACAGCTGAACGTACACCATCTGCTCCAACGATCAAGTCGCCCTCCTCAACCGTGCCGTCACGGAAGACCGCCCTCACCCCTCCAGGGATGATCTCGTACCGGTCAAATACTTTGCCAAAAGAGATATGCTCCTCAAGTCCATGGAGTAATGTAGACCGAAACACTGTTCGGTCAACAGAGTAAGGGCCTAGCTTCGAATTTATCTGCGCTTTGGCCATCATATGTGCTCGTGCTGGATCTATGGCAGCCTGGGCTGCATCCAGGTCCACACCATTCACCCTCGCCATGCCGTCTACCATCTTGGCACATGTTTTTTCAAATAATTCCCAAACGTCGACCGGCAGAGCTTGGCGCAGCGCTTCAGCTCCCTGGGGATTCAGGCGAATTCGATATCCTTGTGCTCGAAAGTCCCGCGTATCATCTCGCTCGAATATCTGCACATGTACACCAGCACGCTTGAGGCCCTGAGCTAGAGTCAGGCCGCCCAAACCTCCGCCAATAATTAAGATGCGAGGTCGGGAGGACATTGGAAATGGGATAATCTCGGTAATATTACACAGCAAATGGAAACAAGAAGAGAGGTCAGATTTATTTTAACAAATGACAATTGTGGTTCAATTATAGGTTTGTATAATTTCTTTCATGTGCTGGGCTTTAGTTCGCTATTCATCTTCATGTGTAGGACTTTCTTACATGATTGAATGCTGACGGCTCGTCGAGCCATGATGTCAGAATTTCGGGTCGGAGGTTCTGCAGCGGTCAACACTGATACGATTATTGGCACAATAGTGTTCTTCCGAGACCCCGATAGTCATATTTAATTATTTGTCAATTTAATTTAATCCAATTGAACTAAATCAAATTCTGTGTTGCTTTTCGTTTGCTGCTGTCCGGGGGCTGGTTAGTTGAAGCCACACAGGTTCCCTGATTCCCTGCTCTCAGCATCGGTAGGTTCGGTATCACTACCTCCGATGGGCGAGAGCTAGTGATTAGCGTATTCTGACATAATCATAGGGTTTGGCGTGTTGTTGTTTCTCCATCCAATCAGGCCATCCCATATGTTTCTTGCCAAGTGAATTTCTGCCAAGAGGACTGAGGGACTGCACTTTCGTCTTCTCTCGCGTGTCGAAATGTTCTCTTGTCTGGCTGATGCAATAACTGATTGCGCCATGAGAAGAGCCAATTTTCATGCTCACACAGGTACAACTGATAACTGCAACTACCTTTGTGTCTACTGAAATCTCTCATTCTGATTTGATTGCTGCTGGCGTCTCGTCACCCCCTTGGCTTCCACATGCCGTTCCCACGATGCATAAGCCACGGGGTGACAACTCCCTCCACACGTGTGAGACCTTCGGTGAGGCGACTAAACAGTAGACGATGGCTGCAAGTAACCCCAGGAACACCAACACCGCAAGGGACTCGCGTTGTTTGGTGCCAAACCACTGAGCTCTCCAGTGCAGCCCGGCCCCAGAGATTTCCAGTCACAACGAACCCGCTTCGATCAGCATTCCCACCATTGCGTTCATTCGTCCCTCTGCCTGTCGCCATCATGGGTACACAGAAACGCACACATATCGGCCATTCTCATGGTCATCACCATCACCATGAGAACACCTACCTCATTTCTACCAATAAAAAGGATGCGGGCGTCCGAATAACGCGAGTCGGGTTGTTTGTCAATCTGGGCATGGCTGTGGGAAAAGGTGTTGGAGGTTATTATTTCCACTCGCAAGCGCTTGTAGCCGATGCGATTCACTCCTTAACAGACTTGGTTTCTGATGTCATGACTTTGGCTACTGTCTCCTGGTCGCTGAAGCCTCCGTCTTCCCAATTTCCCAGTGGCTATGGCAAGGTGGAAAGTCTGGGCTCGCTCGGCGTAAGTGGGCTCCTGTTCGTGGGCGGAATCTGGATGGGAATCAATGCATTAGGCGCTCTGGGAGCGCAGCTTTTCCCGGACTTTATGGAGACTTTAGCTCAACTAGGCATCTTTGGTCACTCTCACGGCCATGGCCATGGTCACAGCCATAGCCACACAGACCTTGGACCAAACATCAACGCAGCTTGGCTTGCGGGCGGTTCAATCGTGATCAAGGAGTGGCTTTACAGAGCAAGTAAGTGCTTCAGCACAACCGTGGCCCAGTTATGCTTCAGTGACTGACCATGCACTGCTCTTTAGCCATCAAAATTGCTAGGGAGCGAAAGTCTTCAGTATTAGCTTCGAACGCCGTCCATCACCGCATCGACTCATTGACTGCACTGGTAGCCTTGGTCATGATTGGAGGCTCGCATTTTCTCGAACACGCAGCATGGCTAGATCCGGTCGGGGGCGCGATAATCTCACTCATGGTCATTCGTGCGGGATTCAGCAACAGCAAAGCTGCTCTGATGGAGCTTGCCGACGCAGGAGTCGATGACGAGATGAGAGACTCTGTGAAACGAGCAGCCTTGAAGGCACTCAAGTCTGACTACTTGGCCAACTTTGGTAGCTTGTCTGATGGACAGCAAGTTGAAGTAAGAGATGTGCAGGGCATCAAGTCAGGACAGAATTACTTGATGGATGTTGAGCTGTCTGTTCCAAGCGATTGGACACTCGAGCGCACACACCCCATTGAAGAGGCCGTCCGTTTGCAAATTGGCAGCAAAGTGCGCGGCGTGCGACGCGTCAGAGTACGATTTGTTGCACATGAACGTCAACAATCCGACTTTGTCGACGAATTTATTCGACCGGAGCTCAGCACAAGAGGAAGCCCCGAACCGGAGGAAGACCGTGAAAATCACAATCACGATGACCATCATGAACGTGATCATGGGCAAACACATACGCATCAACTGCCGGACAGTAATGCGCATAAACGACGATAAATGGGTCTTCTTATTTTTCGATTACATTTGATCACATTTGATCCATGTTTGATCAGGGAGATAATTTCCAATGTTCAAATATTTTCATCTCATCAAAAATTTTCAGGAGCGTGGGTCTTAACCGGAGATACTGCTTTAGAAGGCAGAATTCCAATTCATCTTTGACAATTTGATTGTCACCCGATTTGCGAATCTAATGGACCTGATATAAGGGACATCTACTAGAGACCATGGCATACACTGGAATAGAGCGGTTTTACGTGCTCATTCATATGCTCACTGCCTTTGCTTGAAGCATTTCATGTAGCGCATACTATATGTTAAAATAGCAAAACAACCTTTTCCTTTGCTGGGTATTTGCAATCATTTCTATAGTCCTTGTGTGTGTGTGTGTCTCAGCGTGATCGTAGATCTCATGAAGACTGGGAAGACAATGTGTGCACTGTTGGATGACCAAGTCTACCGTAATCAGATAAGATGTGGTTCCTGAATTTGCTCGGGGATGGTGAACCCGTAGGTAAGGGAAGTTACGTCAGTCCTGCCCTCGTACCCGGTTGTGTACTGCGGTGGGTGGGACCGCAATGAGGGATAGTGGGACTGCAACATCACTACGTAAACGTTTTGTACGAGACATTCCTTTCAATTCTTATAGAAAAGGCTCTCTGGAGTTATTACGAAGATTTCAATTCGACTGCTACTTCTCTGTATATTCTAAGCACACCTGGGTTTTCATCATGTCGGCCGAATCTGGTCCTCTGTACCTTGGCTTTGACCTTTCCACGCAACAGCTCAAAGGTAAGTTTGTCGGCATCCACCGCCAAAGCGGTGACGCCATTTCCGTGCCTCAATGGTAAAGGAGGTCATGTTTTACCATGGTGATTAAGCGTTGTCAAACCTACTCCAACTAACTTGCATATCAAGGCATTGTCGTTTCGTCCTCATTGAAAAAGGCGTACGAAGCGCAGGTCGGTTTCGACGCCGACTTTCCCAAATATGGCATCTCCAAGGGAGTTCTAAGCAATGATGCGGCACGAGAAGTATTTGCCCCTGTGGCAATGTGGCTTGAAGCGCTCGATTTGGTGCTAGAACGCCTGAAGGGCCAAGGGCTGGATTTTAGCCGTGTCAAGGGTATCAGTGGCGCTGGTCAGCAACATGGAAGTGTATACTGGAGCGCCCACGCGGAGAAATTGCTTGCAGGGCTGAACAAAGACAAAAATCTGGCAGAACAATTAGCACCTCAGGCGTTCTCGCACCCTAACAGCCCTAATTGGCAGGACGCCAGCACTCAAAAGGAATGCGACGCGTTCGATGAGCTCCTGGGAACTCCAGAGAAGCTTGCTGATCTGACTGGAAGCAAGGCTCACCATGTACGCTTATTACTCCATCCAGCTGTTTCCCAATGTGATTATTGATGCGGCGATTTCATCGAGAGCTCCGCTAATGTTTATAGCGTTTCACCGGCCCCCAAATTTTCCGATTCAACAATCACTACCCCGACGCGTACAGGGCTACTGCTCGAATCTCACTAGTATCGTCATTCCTTGCTTCTCTCTTCCTCGGAAAGGTTGCTCCCTTCGACATCAGCGATGTCACTGGCATGAACCTATGGAACATCAAGGCGGGTGCTTGGAATGAGGATCTGCTGGCCTTGACGGCCGGCAAAGATGGGGCTGAGGAACTGAAAAAGAAGCTCGGAGATGTGCCAGAAGATGGTGGAGGAAGCTGGGGACCTGTGCACAAATACTTCGTGGAGCGCTACGGCTTTAATCCTGCCTGCGTTGTGACGCCTTTCACTGGCGATAACCCGTCGACTATCCTGGCCCTGCCCTTGCGGGCCAACGATGCTATGGTGAGCTTGGGAACTAGCACCACCTTTCTGATGAGTACACCCAAGTATAAGCCTGACCCTGCTTATCACTTTATGAATCACCCAACCACGCCTGGCCTTTACATGTTCATGCTGTGCTACAAGAATGGTGGTCTAGCACGGGAAAAGGTGCGAAACGCAATTAACGAGAAGCATGATCCTCGGGGTGCTTCTACAGGCTCTTGGGAAAAGTATGATCACATTGCCGCAGAGACCCCGGCCTTGGGACAAAAGGGGCCAAATGATGCAATGAAGATGGGTCTTTACTTCCCTAGACCGGAGATTGTGCCTAACGTGGCTGCGGGTGAATGGCACTTCAACTATGATCTTCAGAGCAAGAAGCTTGAGGAGAGCGAGAGCGGATGGAATCACCCTGACGATGACGCTCGGGCAATTATCGAAAGCCAGATGCTTTCGTTGCGACTCCGTTCCGAGGGTCTGGTAGAAGCCGCCGGCGATCTTCCGCCGCAGCCTCGTCGAGTGTATCTCGTTGGCGGCGGCTCCAAGAACCCGACACTCGCGAAGATTGCTGGCGAGATTCTTGGAGGTGCTGAGGGAATCTATCGTCTTGATGTTGGTGATAATGCCTGTGCACTTGGCAGCGCCTACAAGGCCGTTTGGGCAGTTGAACGTAATCCAGGACAAACCTTTGAACAACTCATTGGGTCACGATGGGATGAGGCAAAATTCGTGAAGAAGATTGCCGACGGCTATCGTAAGGAGCTGTTTGAACTTTACGGCCACGCCGTCAAGGGCTTCGACCAGGTGGAGAAGCGAGTTTTGGAGCAGCAAAAGGCGTGAGGTGATTTGTCTGGGCTGCAAGGTATCTCATAATACCCGTTCAGCGGTAATCTAGAGAAGGTTGGGATCATTGGGACGTAAATAATAGCTTTTTGTTTCTTGTACTTCTTTCTTCTTCTTTTTTTTTTTTTTTTTTTTTTTTTTTTTTTTTTTTTTTTTTTTTCCTTTTTTCCTTTTTTCTCCCACTAATGTCGAATCAAGGTGTAATCTGTTCAAATAATGAAAGTATGATGTGTCCTGTACAGGGTCGTCACTCGCGCGGAGACCAATTGAAGATGGTGGGGTTGTTTTGACAATTGTGGGTCGCTTGGCGCACCGTAGAAATAAAAAAGTGACGGGACGGACTTTTGGGCGGAAACACAACCCTTGTCGGCCCAAAGAGACAGAGTTGTCGTGTGTGCGGATGCGATCACTCTCTGTAAAATCAGCAATTACCCTCACAGTAACGTCGGCGTTGGTATATTGAAAACCCCACCACCAGCACCTGCCACGTCTCTCCAGTACTTGACTCAAGTCTTTTCTTTTTGACAATTTTATTGCATTTATACCACTTCCTCAAGGGCCCGTCACCCCGCAAAGTTGACTTGGAAACACCCACGGCCTCGGACAAGTCTGAACCTTGTCGACCAAAGATTAATATTTGTTTGAAACGCACCCCCACCGACTTCATATCGGTCGCCGCCAAAGAAAAATTCCCTGCAACCCGGAGCACCTGAACAAGCAGCTACCACGTCATATTGCGCATGCCGTAACTTTTTCCATTGCTCCCCGGCACAAATCTTTTTGGCAGATGATGGACGCTCAGGTATGCAAAGCAAATTGCTCCCAATTCCACATCATCACCTTTGTTTCCTCGCTCTTCCATCAGGATGAGATCAATGCGCTATGGAGAACGCAGATGAGCTCTTGTGGCAGTGTGAACGAAAAACGAAGGAAGGAGATCGACGCTGCAATCTTTTTACTTTCCCCCAAAAATAACTGTGGCTGACGATGGTGGTCGAGTTTAATAGGTTGAGAATGCCATCGAGATCGGTTTCAACCCGGCTGCGGACCAGAATCTGAAAAGACAAGCCTTCGATTTCTTAGGTCAATTACGCTCCGAATCCTCGGGATGGCAGGTTTGCCTTTCCCTTTTCACCCGCACTCCTCGCTCCTCCGAAGTCGTTCGTCTCGTCTCCCTCGAGCTGGTGAATAATGCTATTCAAATACAACAGCTTGATACACAGAGCCTAGCCTTCGTCAAGGAGAACCTGCTGGATTATTTGCGAAGGATCTATGGGGGTGCCAGCTCGCCGGAGGAGCTTGATTCTGCATCCATTCAGAACAAGCTCACGCAGACATTGACATACTTGTTTATGGCACTTTATGCGTCAGGATGGGAGAGTTTCTTTGACGACTTGCTGAGTCTGACTGGCCTCGCATCGGGCTCCGGAGAAGGCAATGTTGCGGGAACGGGGATTTATCTCCGTGCCCTGCACTCTGTGCACGAGGAGATTGCGGATCAATTAATGCCCAGGACTGCGGACGAGCAAAGGCGATGCAACGAGCTGAAGGACTTGGTTCGAGCAAGAGATGTTAGCAAGATTGCAGAATCATGGCCAGTCATTTTGTCACGGTGGCTAGAGCAGAATGATGTGATTATCGAAATGTGCTTGCGAACCGTTGGCCGATGGGTCAGCTGGATTGATATCGCTCTCGTCGTTCGAGAGCCTTTGCTCAGCCAGCTCTTCCAGATTGCGGGAAGAAACAAAGTAGAGGGTGTGGATCGGGTACGAGATGTGGCCATCGACACTTTCACCGAGATTGTGGCCAAGAAGATGAACCCAAGCGACAAGATCGAAATGATTATCTTTTTGAATCTCGGCGACATTGTGGGCAAACTTATTGCCAGTCCGCCGCTGCATGACCTCCGTGAGACGCCACAATACGACACTGACCTGGCCGAATCAGTCGCCAAGTTGGTCAACAATGCCGCCTTCGACATCGTGAAGACGCTCGATGGCGAGCAGGCTAATGAACTCGCCAGAGGCAAAGCAAACGAGCTCCTGCAAATCTTCGTTCCGTATATTCTGCGCTTCTTCTCAGATGACTTTGACGAGATTTGCTCCGTCATGATTCCGTCTTTGATCGACCTCCTCACCTTTTTCCGCAAAGATGCCAAGGCAAAGGGCGGACTGGACCCGAAATATGCGGGCATGCTTCCACCTATCCTTAATGCCATTATTTCCAAGATGAAGTATGACGAGACCGCGTCTTGGGGTACCGAAGATGATGAGACAGACGAAGCGGAGTTCCAAGAGTTGCGCAAGAGGCTTCAGGTACTTCAGCAAGCTGTCGCTGCAGTGGACGAGGTTCTCTACATTGGTGTGCTGAGCAATGTCATTGGGGATACCTTCATCAGATACAGCCAGAGCCCTTCGCAGCTCAGCTGGAGAGATCTCGACCTTGCCCTGCATGAGATGTTCCTCTTTGGCGAACCCGCCATGAGAAGTGGCGGACTTTACCACAAGGGACAGCCAGCCTCGCTCGCTGCTGAGAGACTGGTACAGATGATGGCGCAGATGGTTGATTCGGGTTTGTTCTCTCCGAACTTCAGAGTCATGAAAAGAATTCTTATAAGCTGAAACTAACTTTTTTTCTCCAGACGTTGCCTCTTTCCCCCATCCCGCCATTCAGCTCCAGTACATGGAGATCTGTGTCCGTTACGCCCACTTTTTCGAATACCATGCTGCTTCGGTTCCCCGTGTCTTGGAGAACTTTGTCCGGTTCGTCCATCACGATCACATCAGGGTGAAGACAAGATCCTGGTACCTTTTCCACCGTTTAGTCAAGCATTTGAGGTCGCAGTTGGGTGATGTGTCCCAGACGGTCGTTCAAGCCATTGGCGATCTTCTAGTCATCCGAGCAGAGTTGCCACCGGAAGGCTCAGGTGACGATAAGTCGTCTAATGAAGATGATTCCGCCGACGCCATCTTCAGCAGTCAACTGTTCCTTTTTGAAGCCGTTGGGTGCATTTCTTCAGTCGCTTCTGTCCCTGTTGAGCAGCGAGTTCTTCACGCAGCCACCGTCCTTAACCCCCTCTTTGCCGACCTTCAGACACACTTGGAACCCGCCAAGAACGGCGATGAGCGAGCAGGGTTGCAGATCCACCACGACATCATGGCTATTGGCACTCTTGCCCGGGGTTTTTCGGACTGGATGCCGGGAAGCACTACCACTACTTCCTCGGCGCCTCCAGAACAACTCTCAGAGGAGTTTGCTCGTGCTGCAGAAGCAATCCTGGTGACGCTGGAATCACTCAAATCTTCTTTGGAAATCCGCACGGCAGCGCGATTTGCCTTTTCTCGGCTCATAGGTGTGCTCGGTGCGCGCATCCTCCCTCAGATCTCACGATGGATTGATGGACTGCTGCTTGACAGCTCCAGCAGGGATGAAATGACGACTTTCCTACGACTTTTGGACCAGATTGTCTATGGATTCAAGGGTGAAATTTACAATGTGCTCGATTCTCTACTTACACCCTTGCTGCAGCGAGTCTTCTCTGGGCTCGCTGAACCCACTAGCGGCACGGATGACGAGGTTCAACTTGTCGAGCTGCGACGCGCATACCTTAACTCCTTGCTCATCATTCTCAACAACGACTTGAGTGCGGTACTCGTCAGCAACGGTAAGGCTAAGCTGTGAAGTTTTATTGTAACGAAATTGAAGCTTACGGAAGTTTTCTTTGCAGCCAATCAGCAGACTTTCGAGACCGTCATCACCACTCTGGAGCACTTTACACGAGATGTGACGGACTTCCCTACGGCCAAGCTTGCGTTTGGCGTCCTTTCGCGCATGTGCACCGTCTGGGGCGGACCAGACCTTGCAATCCCTTCATTCCCTCCAGCCGACCCATCTACTCCCACCGTGACTTCTCCAGCGCCCACTTTCCCTGGGTTCGATCACTTCATGATGACCAAATTTTCTCCCCTCTGCTGGTCTCTCCCCACCAACCCAGCATTCGATCCCAAGGATCCTCAGGGTAGACAGGTTCTCGGCGAGATTGCTCAGTTACAGCGAACAATCCTCTCCAAGACCGGCACCGATTTCTTAGCCTACCTCAGGGAGGTCGAGCTTAGGGGATTGGGTATTGAGGGAGATCCAGCTGAAGAGTATCTGAGGGCCCTCAGCACATTAGACCTCAAGGGTTTCAAACAATTCTTCCAGGTATGTCAATCTGATTACAGCAGATAACGTCATTCGTTCACCGTCAGCTGCTTTTGCCACAAAACGATTTTGGCTGACACCTTTTACTTTTACTTCAGGCCTTTGTCCAACGCACCGGCGCCTAATCCATTTTCACTTTGATAATTTCCTGTACCATCACCATTTACATTTTCCATCTTCTAAATCATCTTCCTCTCATAGACGATGGCTATGGCGGACATGAACGTCAGCGAGGAGATAGACTCGCTCGCACTGACGGCAAGTCGAATAGCATCTTTGATTGCATATTTTTGCCCTATCATTTTATTCATTTTTTTCAAATCCATCTTTTCGACATGTCTTGCATGATGGATTTCACATTGTTTAGCGATTTCCGAGGATTTCCTCCTTGTCCTTTGCTTCTGATTTTTTCGACTTCCCTCCGCGTCTGTCCTCCCACACGGCGTTTATCCTTTGCTTTTTGGTATTTTCCCCGAAACCCCTAGAGTTTTTGCTTTCCAAATGTTTTCTTCTTCAATTCTTACTGTACCCTACCGTATGTTCTACACAAAAGTCTTGTCCCCACTTTTCGTCACTTCATCTACGTCAATCTACGGATCGACGGAAAGCTTTTTTCTTTTTTTTTCCATTGATTTAACATTTGCTTATCTGTTTACTTTACTTTTGTCCTTATTGTCTTCGCTACCTTTGTCCTTGTTGTCTTCGCATTGCATTCCCTCTCGTTGTCATCTTATCTCGCCCTCCTCCTCATCCCTCACCCATCATCCTCATCATCATCGTCATCCTCTTCCCATCGTCGTCATTTTTTCATCATCCATGTCATTGGTACGTCAAGCGTCATGCTTCGCTCGGGCTCTGGTGTACAAAAAAAGGAGAAGATGAATTGAATGAGGCATATCATGTCTCGATTTATTGTCCTTTTCCCCCCTCCTCTTTCCTTCTCGTTTCGCCCTCCATCTCCTTGCTTGTCCCGATTTCCTTTTTCTCGATTTTGCAGTGTTGGGAAGGGGGGAATGGCAGGAGACCTTTTTTACCTTTTTTTTTTGAAGAAGAAGAAGAAGAAGAAGAAGAAGAAGAAGAAGAAGAATAAAACTGCCCTAGGAAATGATGCACACTTATTGGCTACGGGGATGCTGGCTGCGGCTGCTGGTTTCTGGCTGCTGGTTGTTGGTTTCTGGCATTTAGCCATCAAACAAGCTTGAGCCTATGCTCTATGATACGTAGTACTCGCACGCAGCCTTTATTACGTACGCAACGTACGTTGTATGGTCGCTTTTTTTTTTCTTCTCTTCTCTTCTCATCCTCCTTCTCCTTCTTCTCCTTCTCGGAATGTGTATAGTATCTATCGATGTACCTAGGGTTTTTGTAGATACAGTTTTTGGATCGAGATGAACGATAATAAAAAAGAAAGAATTAAATTAAATTATGTCAAATTATATCACTGATGTGGGCACTGAGCAAGAGTATTGCATGGATTGAGAAGAAGAGGATATACGTCATCTGCTCCATGTTCTCTATTTTTTTTTATTTCTCCTCCTTTTCCAACTTTTTTTGGTAAAAAGTTGTTTGTTTATTGCGTAGTAGTGAGCCTGGATTACATAAATCCAAATTGCATCTGAGTCTATACAGATAGTACTATCTACGGAGTAGGTTAAATATGTCATGTAAACTATAGGTAGTAAGAGAGAAAAAGACTTTTTTGGTGCTTCATTTCACGTATACTGTCCTTCTCGTATAACGGAAAGGAAAGGAAAGAATAAAAAGAAAAGAAAAAGGGAAATTAGGCAAAAAGGTATTTCGCAGCATGATTGACATGCTCGTCGGCAAAGCTGGCCATAAAGTAATAGCTGTGGTCGTAGTCAGGCTGGAACCGGACATTGACGCCGTCCTTGTGGCCGGATTGCTCGGCGGACTGGAGGAAGTTTTCGGGCAAGAGCTGGGATTGTTTGTAGAAGTTGTCGCCGGTGCCCTGGAAATAATGAAGCGCATTAGTTATCATATTTCCCCTTCCCTTCCCCCTCCTCTTTCCCCTCTATTATCTTCTTTGCTTTCCCCACTCCCCCACTCAATAAATTGGAGAACTTGGAGAACTTACGACATCAATCAAAATGTCCAAAGGTCCACCAGACCACTTCTTGATCAGTTCGGTAGCGTCGTGCTCCTTCCATTTCTCCTGGGCGGACTCGCCAAAGTAGCCCGTAAATGCCTTTTTGCCCCACGGGCAGTTGATGGGGTTGGAGATGGGCGCGAAGGCGGAGACGGACTTGTATTTGCCGGGGTTCTTGAGGAACTATATTTCCCACCGTATGGTCAGTTAAATACCGGAAGATAGTAAACAGAAATCGAAAACAAATGGATGAGACATGAGATTCAGGGGCTGCGCTATTTAAACTGTGGTAAGAGCAGCGTTTTCAACAACCAAAGGGTACATGGTCTAGTGGTATGATTTTCCCTTAGCATTTCCCCTTCCAAAAAGGGTAATTCGATTGGGAGAGGTCCTGGGTTCAATTCCCAGTGTATCCAGCTTTTTTGCCTCTTTTTCTTAGGATTTTCTGGGCGTCTGGATCTCGTGTTGGGATAGAGAAGCTCGTCATCGGACTGGATGAGTAGAGGCTGAAATTTTTTTTGGTGGTTGGTTATGGGGTGAGGTGAAGTGAGTTAGTGATGAGGGTAGTGATAGCAGAAACATAGGGACATAAGAGAAGAATGCTTCAAGACCACGCACCAATGTCAATGCACCGTGTCCGCCCATGCTGTGTCCTGTAATGCTGACGCGGCTGGAGTCGAGTTGCTCAAATGCTCCAAAGAGAGCCTTGGGCAATTCTTCGTTGATATAAGTGTACATTTTGTAGCCCTTGGACCAGGGCTCGGCGGTGGCGTCCACGTAGAAGCCTGCGCCAGTACCAAAGTCCCATCCGTCATCTTCACCGGCAATCTTCAATCCTCCTATAGAGTAGGCAAAAGGCGTTAGTCATTGTACTTGACTAAAAGGTGGGGGGGAGTGTTGCTGTGTCGCCGATTTGCGAAGATGCATTGGAAGACCTTCAGACAGTCCAAACACAACGCGAGCAAAGGTGCAACAATGTTTGGGAAAACAAGGCACATGGAGTGGTAAAACGTACTCGGACTCGTGTCAGGATAGACCACAGCTATGCCCTTCTGGCTGGCGCCGTGCTGGAAGAAACCCTTCTCGGAACAGTTGTCGCCGGTGCACGTCAAGCCGGAGAGGTAGAATAGCACAGGAACCTTGTGCAGCGAATTCGTTGTAGCTTGCGGAGGCAAGTAGAGATTCAGCGCCATCTCGCAGTCCGTGCTGCTGGCTTGGTGGGTGAGCTTGAGGAGCTTGCCTCCGAACGAGGCAATGGTCGCTTTGGTCTGGAAAGCCATTGTATCGTAGTGAGCTGAATGCACTAAAGAGGGGTATATGTTTTGGGTTGTATGTAGGTTAGTGTTTCCAGGTCCAGCTGGGAAAATCGTAGAGAGGTGAGGATGAAGAGGACAAGAGGATTTCCTTTTATATGAGTCGGGTTATTGGTGTGTGTTTTGGCGGGGGGGGAAATTGACCCCTCGGACAGATAGGGTACAGATAAGTTTGCTCTCTATTGCGGTCGGTAATGACATAACTGAGACAGGTCAAGCTCGCAATGGTTTAAAGGGAGTTTTTGCTGCCCCACACCCCACCTTTCGGGTTCGAGTTCCGCTTTGAGTTGAAGAATGCGAGGCATCAAGTCACCCATGTACTACTGCAATATGCTGTAACGGGCAAAGATCATTGTGCATATGCATATTCTCCATAATTGATTTATGTATATTGATATTTTTATTTACTTTGTTTTTTTGTTTTTTATTTTTTATTTTTTTTTATTTTTATTCTTTTTTGGCGCGCAATTATTCCATGCCGTTTTCTATTAGAAAGTTGATTTCATTAGAATCTTAATCAATGTCTCAGCAGACTTGATAATTTGGCTACGTTTGAAAAAAATAGTCAGGTATTGAATAAAAATTGATTGTGAAAAGAAAAATTTCAAGGATGCGATAAAATGATGACACAGGCAAGATATATCGCAGAGAGAGAGAGAGAGAGAGAGAGAGAGAGAGAAAGAGAGAAATCTGGACAAACCATTATATAAGGTCTATTGGTAATGATACTGCACACGTGGATTGACTGAAATTTTGATTCATGTAAAATAAAACAATATGACCAACTCCAAACTACCGGCACGATCCCAGACTATCGGCAATGCAAATCAACTTCCATGCAACCATCAACTTTTCAAACGGCGATAAAATTACAGAAGCTCCTCGCACGTCCAATCCTCATACCTAGACAAATGTTAACCTAAGCTCTTTCAACAATGCAGTATATCTTTTCACTTACCATCCATCAGGAAGATATCTCCGCACAACCAGAGGAATCTTCTTCTCCCGCAGTTCCTTGATAGCAATCTGCAAAGGATCCGTCTCACCCTCGAGGTCGACCAACACTGGTGCATTCATACTGAGCCGAACAGTTAGCTGAATTCCCCAGACTCTTCCAGTCACCCCTGCCAAACGGGGACCGCGTCTAGCTCTCGTAATATCTCGCATACCTAATTTGCAGAGCTCGCGTGCCAAGCACTCTTGCACGCTCGTATTTGGTCATATAAGGTGTGGTAGTCCGCTGGTCGTCGGGAATTTTCTTTTCGCGGAGACCGACAACTCCAGTCTTCTTCGCCGATGCGCTGGGATCACCGCTCACTACGACCTGCTCGCCGTTCGCTCCCAGGTCACCATTCACTCCGTTCATCTCTTCCTCCCCTTCTCCACGGGCGGCGCGCGCATCGGGATCTTCAACATCGTGAGCGTCGACGGGCTCGTCCTCGTCAAAGTTGTTGCCGTCATCGAAGTAGGGCTCGTAGCCGCTGAAGAATAGGAAAATAGTATCAGTATATGAAAACCGTGATACGCGATAAAACCGGATGAAAGAGAACTATATCCCATCCACGCGCCAGTAAAACAGGACTACTCACTCGTCCGCGGCTCCAGCATCATCACCGTAGTCAGACATAGCTGCTGTCCGATTTGTGGGCAAAATTTAAAGTGAACGGCTGGCGGGAGTATGAAGACGTCTGAGCCCTTCCTCGACCAGACCCTCGAATCGTCCTCGTGTTGCGGCGGAGGCAATTGGCAAAGATGGAGGCAGCGATAGGCGCAAAATCAACGAAATGGCAAAGAGTTTGGTCTGGCACTCTTTCTGTCGGATCGCGCTAATCCTGTTTGGGCTAAGAAGCGCCAAGATTTCGCATCCGCACAGAGCCAGGACATTCAACTTTACCCGCTGACAATTTGTATCACCCGGACGACCATCTTTTCTTATCATGTAGGGTTTTGTTCCCTCTAATTGAGGGTATTGCTCTTCGCTACAGTGGAAGAGCACCTCTTTTGTTTCCATATATTCCGTTGTGAGATTTGTCATGGCACTTGTGGATCTGGCTTCGCCGATCGACACCGCTCTGCCGCGAAAGCGAAGGGCAAGCGACCAAGATGAATTGGTGCCAGTGAAACGGCCTCGCAGCGAGGGACCTACTGCGAAGGGTATGGCTGAATCTTTGCCAGACTTCTAGCAGTATGATATACTGACTGCTGATACAGATATCCCTGCGCCTGAACTGGATCACAATTCGAAATCGGAGCTGGTCTCCGTTATCCAATCTGCATCGCCGAATCCTTCTCCACCTTTGATACCTTCAAAATCCGGAAACTCATCTCCTCGAAAACCGCCGTCAGAACAGAAGACTCATTTCTGCCCTTACGAAAATTGTGGCAAGTCATTCAATAGACCCGCGCGGCTGGCTGAACACATTCGCTCTCATACCAACGAGCGACCCTACAAATGTTCCCATTCTGGATGCGACAAAGACTTCCTTCGAGAGACTCACTTGAACCATCACGTGAAGAGCGCTCATTCGGACGTTCGGGACTACGTCTGCGATTGGCCTGACTGCGGAAAGAAGTTTCTTACAGCGACTCGGCTTCGGCGACATCAGGCGGCCCATGAGGGACGAGAAAAGTACCGTTGCACAGGCTATCCGCCTTGTAACGAGACATTCCGCAAGCATTCGACGCTACATCGTCACATTACTACCACGCATCTTCATCAAAAACCGTTCAAATGCACCAAGCTGAATAGCATCAGTGGCGAGCCCTGTACAGACGGGTTTGACACGGTTGGAAGCCTACGAAAACATGAAGCTCGAGTCCACGGCGGGAAACGGTTTTGGTGTACCGAATGTGACCAAGCGCTGATGTCGGAGGAGGGACTGGCTCCCGAAGAAGGGAACGACCCAAGGTCTGACCATCATCGGGTCGGTTTTGAGACGTATGCACTGTTGCAGGATCACATGCGCGTTGTGCATCCACCTAGCTGTCCTCACTGCACACACATGTGCAGCAGCCAGCGGGAACTTCGACGACATATTGAGATTTATCATTCGTCGGAAGGACTGGATGAGCGAAAAACCCATCTCTGCGAGTACCCGGGCTGCGGGCGCGGCTTCACCAAGAAATTCAATCTGACAGTCCATCTTCGTACTGTCCATGGTGGTGAGCGACGCTACGTGTGTGGGGAGACTGACCTCAGCGCGGCCAAAGGGCTGGAGGCATGGGACGGGCAAGGGGCATGCGGTCGTGCATTCACTTCCAAAGGTAGTCTTGAGGAACATGTACGCACGCAGCACCTGGGATGGGAAAGCCGGAATACCGCAAAGAAGCAAAAGAGGATGAGCGGGACTGGTTTTGCCTCGAGCGCAGCGACGGATCCTGCCGTCTCCACCATCACTAAACTCACGGGAGCCGGTTATGCAACGGATAGCGGCCGAGACATTGCGTGTCTCGAACCGGGGTGTGCTTTCCGATTTGTACGGCAGTATGATTTGGGAGTGCACCTGCGCAACGTCCATGGAGTTTCCGATGAAGATATCAATGATGCGCTAGCTGAAGCAGAAGCACTCTCGGGCGGAGACTTTTGGACGAGTGGAAAGACGTTTGTCGGACTGACGACCCCATGGGACGGGCAAGCGTACTCACCCTTTGTTGATGCCGGAGATTGTGCCGGATTGTCGCCGTCAAATGTCTTGCAAGAATCATCGTACCACGAAGACGATCCATTTCCTGGCTACGAGGTGAATGCGGAAATAGGGGGTGATAACCACCATTTGCCGTTGTCTGCGCTGGAAAGAATGCTTGGTGAGACGGAGCGCCAACTGCGCTCACCATCGCACGACCCCTATATTGACCCGGCGCTTCAGTCTATCTAACCGACGGCAAAACTAAAATAAGTGTAATATATACCCTGTAGACTAGTGGGGCGAACTTGGACCTTAATCTTCCGAAACCTGTCGGCAATTACGAGGCGTCCTGTGTTACTAACAAAAAAATTAATAGAGACTGGAACTTTGATTGTCCATGGAATTTTCCTTTTGCCAGTCATTGGAAATTTCCACCAACTCTTCGGTTTGAGTGAGAGGAGAAATCATGTGAAAGTGCTGGCGATCGACAGGGTTTGTTGATGACATAAGCAGATGACCGGGATGTTTCGTCTGGTCCTGTCCTTGTTGACCGACATGTTCTGTACCAGGACCTCTCGCGATCCAACAAAGTAGTCTGCACTGCGATAACTTACTGAATTGCTCATATAGAAGAAGAGTGACAGTTATGTTAATATGATAGTCATGACAGATGACGATAAAAGGCATCTGCCAGATGATTGGTGGCCGAAAACAGGGAATGACGTGTGGCTGAGCACCGCCCCCAGCCTCCTCCGTCGTCTCGGCAGAGTCTCGTCTCGGGCAGCACGAGGTCCCCTCGTGGGTCTCTCTATTAACTCCATTCCCGCTGCTTGATATGATGACCAGATGAGACGATAGACTATCCCGACACTTAAGACGCAGCTAATTACATGGTTCAATTGCCAGCGGGCCACTCATCGTCGTTCATGGTCAAACATGAATTGATCCCAGTAATGATGCATGGCCAGCCTCGTTGTTAACACTGGCTTTTCCTCGAGCGTCTTCTTCTTCTAACTCCCCCAATCCCACCGCCACCGCCGCCGCCGCCCAGCTTCAAGCTCCCCGTCCCCCAACCTCCCCTCTCAAAGTGACTTGCGCATTGCCATATTCTTTTCTCAAACTCCATGACGACCTTTTGCACCGTTTTCTTGGCTGCATCTTTCGGGTCCTAAATTTTTTTTTTCTGAAGAATTCACCCCCCCAGCTTTCTGCATTGAACTTGATTGAGGCTGGTGCTCGTGTTTACGGGTAGTGAATAGTGCCCGCATTTCGTTTCCAAGCCGTTTACAGACATCTTGTATCATCACATCTTTCCCTGACCACTACCGTCACTTTTTCAATCCTGGTCTGAATCAGGAAAATCCTGGGACTGAATAATTCCCAAAAAGAAAAGCATCTTGTCAACCCATTTGCAGAACGCTCTTCTGCGCCAGAGAATTGAGGATGGGCAAGCTTCGTGATGGCTTATCGACGTTTCGCCGTCGCTCACTGGGCCGGTCAACCAAATCCGCCTACAATGAAACTCACAATATGCCCAGCCTGGATACAATTCGCCGATATGATCCTGAGCACGGCGACCCGGTGCTGGTGAGCCGAAAACCCGTGCCCGAGGTGCGCGTTGCAGAAAGGCCTTCATTGTCGACGGTGCATCCTCTGCCAACGTCAGAGAGGTTATCAGCATCACCACCTTCAACTGGAAACTCTCAACCACATGAGATTCGGCGTAAAGCGGCAAGGCTCTCAAAAGTTGCGCCGTCTCAGCATGACTCGTCAGTTCGTACAAAGTCGATGAGTTCCCACCATGGAGGTTTGTCACCTCCTTATACCGAACATCATTCTACTGGTTACTCGAAAGAGCAGAGTGGACTTGACAATACGTCCAAGGATTCGCTGCAGCCTATTGATAACCTCCCATCCCCAGGAGCAAAGCTTTCCAAGCAGCTACATGAGGGACATGCCTTGTCTACGACTGGCCGCTCAACGACCCGCGAAGACTCCCAACTGCACTCAAGGTCTCCAAACCGAAGGACACCTCCAAAATCGTTACAAGCAGATAGCCCTCCCCGCCGAAAACCTTTGAGTCCAGATGTGCAACCACAAAGATTGACGCTGAGCGGCGAACGTGGAGAAAGCAATCAATCCATGCCAGCCGCCAGAATCGTGGAAAGTAGAAGCCATCCGCTTCCACCACTTCCACCAGCTCTGCAAGACATTCATCCGCAACCTGTGCGCCGTACCTCATCCGGGACGCAGAGTCCTTTGTCATGGAACCCGGTTCCTTCTGGACGGAGGAGCAGTACCGCTGAAAACCTGGAGCGGGCTCCTTTGCCTCCAACACAACTTTCCCCACGTTCAGATAACTACAATTCCCGGCGTCAGTCCTCGAAGAGGCCAGAAGACCACTCATCCACGACAACTTCTTCGTCGTCAGCACCTCGTCTAAGTCTAAACATGCCTTCAATTCCAGACACATCCCTCAATATCCCTCCTCCCTTTATTACAGCGAGCGCACCAAAGCCTGAACAAGCTCCAGCTCTAGCATCAGAAACTCGGCAGATTCAACCCTCTCAACCTCAGTACTCCAAAGCTGACGATGCGGCTTCTCCTACATCTCGTCCATGGCCGCTCCCGGATTTGCCTGCCACGGCGACCATGGTGCCACCGCACATTCGCGACCTACGTGCAAGCAGCGCGCCTTTACCTGAGCAGGAACCATTGTCGTCGTCTGCCACACCACCACCACAACAACAACCTCCTCCTCATCATCATCATAACCATCCTTCTTCCAATCCTACAACGTCGCGCCCTAGTCGCCCCAGTAACCACAAGCGCAAGTCCTCTGGGGGATCGAGCATCCGATCGTTTGCCAGCAAACTTCGGGACCCTCCCTATCCCAGCACCGAGAATTACTCTGCATCTGCACGTCCAAAACATGCCCCAGCACCCGTACGCCCCGCAACTACCGGTGGCCAGACGGGTCAATTTCTCGCCCCCCACGCTCCCCGTCCAAAGAGCCATCAGTCGCCAGACCCTTCGCGCCCTTCATCGCTGTGCATCACCGTCCCGGCCCCTGGGCTCACAGATGTTCATTTCTCATGCTATCATTCTCACCGTCGTATGATGCTGTCCCGCAACCTCTACGCGCCAGTCGCATGCATGACATGCGGGAAAGAAGACGATCTACCCCGATTCAAATGCACATGGTGCTGTTTGAGAATATGCCGGGGCTGTCTGATAGGCCTTGAAAAATGCCCCGGCCGGTCTTTGGCCATGTTCATGACTCGAGTTGGCGAGCGTGGAGCTGGCGCAGGGAAGAGGCATCGCCATACCATTAGCGGTGGATCCGCAGCAGTTGGTGCTGCCAGTAGTGGACACTGGTCCGGCGAAAATGACTTGAGGCGTAGTAGCATCAAGGAAATGCCCGGCAATCCACAAAGGACCAGTATCGGCGGTGGCAGTGGCCTTGCTCCAAGCGGAGCGACTAGCAGCAACAATACCGCGAGTAACAGTCGGCGCAGCAGTCTCGTCGGTAGTCCGGGGTCCAACACTCCAGGTGCTCCTAACGGACAAGCATTGACAGCCAGCAGCATCTCTCTCGGTCCTCCTCCGGCATTGAGGAATTGATGTCCGAACTTGTGTTGATTTGGCGTACTTTTGCAGGAAATTTCCTCTTAAGTCTTCTGCTCTTCATTGTCCACTGTTCCTCCATCTGTTCAATCTCGCTTTATTTCCTTTCCTTTTTATTCTTTCCAACGAAGATATTTCCACTGCATTTTCGTCCGGTCCATACTTTCTCATAAATTTCATCTCATTTTCTATTTGTCAACATCCACTTTTATTTTTTTCCTGCGCGACCCACATTGCTTGTTCTCATCGATAGACTTGAACCTTGCTTGTTCTTAACTTGTTTTTCCTTTTCCCTTTTCTTTTCATTTTCTTTCCTTTGGCCTTTCCCCTTTCCCTTCCTCTTTGCATTTTCATTTTCATTTTCATTTTTTCTTTTCTTCTCTTAGATCTTCTAATCATCTCTGCATTTATTTTCCGAATCTACGCTCTGCTATTTCGTTTCTCTTTTTCCTTTGTATAGAGCACTTGCCTACTTTCATTTCGCTAGCATCATTATCTCCTTGATCTTGGCCTAACGTTTGATACCACACCATACCACACCATATCATACCATACCTCTCATTCAATCTTTCCGTTCGTTTATTGTGCGTCCAATAGATATTTCATATAGGCACATTCATTCCTCCATTCCTCCATTCCTCCATTATTCATTTATTCATTCATTCATTTCTCCATTAGTCATTCGTCCGTTCCTTCATTCATTCATCCATTCATCCAATGATTCCCCAGTCATCTTGACAGTTTCGCATCCTTGCATATACTCTCGCGCATCATTCTTCTGGCGATTATCTTTCTCGTTGGCTCATTTATTCTTCACTTGTTAGCTCGATTTTTAACACTAATTGGCTCATTTATTTTACAATACAATTTACATTGTTGGCTAAAGTAGATAACTATAATACGCAGGACCATCACCGTAATATATTAATGCATCAAGTATTAGCAGAATCAAAATTGTCCGCTCGTTAGATCTTGACGTTGACGTCGACGTCGATGTCCCACGTCCCACGCCCCACGTCCAGTGTATTGTACTCTTTGCACTTCTAGATATACCTTGATGACTTGGTAACTTGATGACTTTGAACAAGCAGGAAATATGTTACCAAAAAAAATCCATAATCCGTTCTCAAGACGCCGAGAGAAGGTACAGAACCGTATAAGAATATACGAGAAGGATGTGAAAAAGAAAATGAAAAACCAGCAAAAAAAAGGGAAAAATGAAAAAAAAAGAGAAGGCGAATGAAAGGGGGAGGAACACAGACCAGAGAAACGAGAGACATTAGGGAAAAAACACGGGCAAGATAAAAAAGACAAAAGAGGGAAACAGGGACAAAAGCCTAAGCCACCACCTCCGCATCGCCCTCCATATTCGGCGCTGAGCCTCTAACAGTATTCATAAAATCAAGATACTTGAACACTTGGGCTCTATTCGCGGCGGGTCCTCTCTTAGTAGTAGTAGTAGAACTAGCTTTGGCAAAGGCTCTGCGTGCTGCAAAGCTGGCGAGGACCTGATCGACTTCGCGCTCTGAAAGCGGGGACTCGCCCGCTTCTAGCGACGTATGAAGGAGGGCATCGCGCAATTCTGCAGCGTCGATTTGACCGCTGTCGTCGTCGTCGAAGGCGGCAAAGGCGTTTTCGAGCTCGAGGGGATCAGAGAGCGGGGAGAGTAAAGAGGTGAGGGTGTTGAGGAATGAAGGGAGGTTGAGAGTAGTGCTGTTGCTGTTGGGTGGGAAAAAGGGCGCGAGGTCGGCGGGGGTGCATGTTTGGCCTGGTGGGTTGTGTGTGGTTAGAATATGCGCTAGGAGAGCAGGGAGAGAAAAAAATAAGAAAGGGAGAGAAGCAAAGGAGGGCAAAGAGGGAGAAAAGAAAAGAAAAAATAAAACAGGGAGAAAGAATGGAGAAAAACGGAGGACGCACCCAAGTTGGTAAGCATATCAATGACATCGTCTCGAGTGACTTGGCCGTCGCCGTCGCGGTCGAGAAGTTGAAAGGCTTCGCGCATTTCGCGGGCTTGGGCGGGATTTGCATTGCCTAGTGATGATGTTGGTGCGCTAGTGTTGCCTTTCTGAGTGCGCACGGGAGGTTGGTTTTGCGGCTTGATAGAGGAAGAGGAAGAAGAAGTTAGCCGGAAAGGCGATGAAGCGAAAGGCGTAGGTGCAGCAGCTGGGGCGGTGGCAGCGGCAAGGGCAGCAGCAGCAGCGGGTGTAGCGCTATTGCTTCCTCGGCGCTCATGCTCACGCTCTCGATCCTGGGAAACGAATGGGCTGCTGGCGAGACGGTCCTGTGTGGCTCCAGTTGTGGCAAAAAGAGAGTGCGTGCTATTACGCCGGTCTTGCGCAATGAATGGGCTATTGCTCGAACGCTCCTGGGAGATTGTTCGTGCATGCCCAAGTGTATTTTCGCGGTCTAGACCCAATCCCATGCTCGCGCTGCTACCGGGTCGGCTGGGTGTGGGAGATGGCGGTGCTGGTGACGGCGCACGAGGGGCCAATGTCTCGCTATTCCGTCGTGTCCCAAATGCAGGTGGAAGCTCTAGAGATTGTGCAGAGCTTGACTTGTCTGGCGACGATGGTTTGCTGGGCGATGAAAGAGGTGATGGTGGCGACGGTTGCTTTGGAGGTGACATGGGCATTGGTGGCGTGCCGAGACCTGCTGTCCAACTGTTTCTGTTGCTGCTTCCCCCGAACTCGACTGCGCTCATCTTGGTCGGAGAGTGTGATGGTGTGGATGGTTTGGGAGGAGATGATGCAACTGTAGGCTTGGTCGGCGAAGAGGGAGGTAACGTAGACGGTCGTAAGGGCGATGGCGAAGCTGGCGAGTTGGCGCGCCGAAACGGCGATGTTCGATGTTGAGACCCATAAGAGAGAGGCGAAGGCCTATACGGTGTTGCGTTTGACTGAAATTGGTCCCTTGTGTGAGCTTTGGCGTTCCTTCCTTTTTGATGGGATTTGGATGGCAACGGGTCGTTCTTGCTTGTTTTGGGAATATGGTTTCACTTACCATGGCTGCAATTGAAGAATACTTGATTAATAGATAATGATAGATGATACTCTAAGAGAAATAATCCGATTGATGTTTTGCTGTCAGTGCCAGAGCTGGTCGATTGGGTCGTGGATATCCCCGACGTCTAATCGCTGACGTCTGTTGACTTGGTCCTAGGTCCTACGGTAGCGGAGAGATGTTTATGGCGGAGACGAGACGCAGAACACAACACATTACCGCTTTCAGCATAGACCACCGGGTATTGCCGTGGCCGACGGCTCATCCAAAAGCAGTTTGGCGTAACAGTTGAGAGTTTCAGAAGTTCCACTTTCCTAATTGGGACGGGAGAGCACCGTTCGGACCCTGGTTTTTGCTAAGAAGGAAACTGCTTAAGTTAATCCACCTAACTTAACCTCATCCCCGTTCTCCAACCTGGTCCTCGTCCAATGTCTCCTTGAGATTGTGCCCTGCACGCTCTCCCGTCGACGCATCCCGCTCCATCATGAATTGATGATTGATACCCTACGTTATTTTATACCCGTTTCAGCGTCTGTCGGCTTATTTTATAGCGCGCATGGTTTGCTAGTTCAGGCTTCTCCTGATCTTACAAAGTTGTCATACAACATATCCGCTTGGTGCTGCCGAGTTCATTAATAGTTTCCGCAGCGCATATTCGCAGCAGATTGATTTATTTTGGCTGTCTTTTTTAAAGCTTTCGCAAGCGTTCCACTTCGATTATTTCTTCGCAATGGCCACCTCGATGCCTTATCGACCCTCTGGCCATTCCGGCCCCATCAATTCGTCAACTTCATTCACCTCTTTCCCCACTTCCAGTTCGCATTCTTCCATGTCTGAATGGCGGCCTCGTACGTCTTCGCGCAATCCATCAACCCGAGGCTCTGGCCGCTCCTCGAAACCTTCCTCCACGCCGTCCTCTGTTTTTGGCAACCACTTTGCAAGGCCCCCCGTTGCTCGGACCCGCAAATTAAGATCTCAATATCCGTTGGATTCTGATGAACCTCACGTCGAGTATATACTTGTGGCATCGTTTCATGTTGATAAGGGTCCCATCATGGAACATCAATATCCTGCTCCCATTAGCGGCGACGAGCACATGCTTGCGGAATTGATGTTGCCGGACCAAGCCCATGTCAGGAAGCAGGACTGGACCATTTTCTTCCTGCATAAAGACAATGGCGGTGAAGATGAAAAAGATGATTATTCTGGGGGTAAGCAAACAGCAGGAGGAGAAGAGGACCATCCCAGTATCGAACAAGATCCTGATGTGACTGAGGAGGAGCGAAAAGAGGAGGAACGCCAAAAGCTAGAGGATGCCATGGGTGGCTCCGAGGGCCCTCCATTAATATATGTTCTGAACTTGGTCAACACCAAGCAAGACCCGACAGTTAAACGGTGAGTGCTGCGGAATAGAAAATGTGGGCAACCTGCACGGACAAACACTGACGGTATTCTAGAGGGGCTGTGGTCAAGGCAATGGCGATCTGTACAAGGCATTCGTTCCTCCACATTTACAAGCCCTTGCTTCTACTTGCGCTTGATGAATATTTCAAGTCACCACGTCTCGAAACGCTTGCTTCCTTATATGATGCTGTCAATTCAATGGATCTCTCATTGATGCCTCGCCTGTCACTGCTTGAACGTATCATCCTTCAAGCGAGCGACAGCAAAGACATGTTTATTGAGAAATTTGAACAAATGATCCAACAACGCATGGCCGGGGAATCGAAATCTCCCCTACCTCCCTCATCACCAGATTCTCCATCCAAGTCGACGACCGATTTGACCCGCATGGTTGGCGGACACCGCTATACGCTTCCTCGCGATACGCACGAATACGAAACCAGGGTCATCTACAATGGGATTCCAATTCCTGTCAAGGTTCCCACCGCGGTGTCTCCAGAAACTGTGGGCGACTTCTCTCTCATCAAACTCATTCAAACTTTTGCGGGGCCACACAGCACGTCGCCACAGCCGTTCATGTTGCATTCTCACCTGACCACGGCTGGCGCCTACACGCATCCGATCATTGTCCTGATGAATGCCATGTTGACGCAGAAACGAGTCATTTTCATCGGTCATAATCGTCCCTCTGGAGAAGTAGCAGAGGCGGTGCTTGCTGCTTGTGCGCTCGCTTCTGGTGGAATTCTCAAAGGATTCACACGACATGCATTCCCATATACGGACTTGACCAAGATTGACGCGCTGCTTAAAGTTCCTGGGTTCATTGCTGGTGTCACGAATCCTGCATTTGCGAACCACCCAGAGTGGTGGGACTTGCTCTGCGATATCCCAACTGGCAGGATGAAGATTAGCAGCAGGATCGCGCCAGCGCCAGTGACAGAAGGGCTTGTTTACTTTAATCAACAAATTTCATTATCGGCAAATAACGTCGGTTCTCCTAGCACCAATAACCCGTCGGATCCGGTTGGAGACCAGGCTTTTATGGATGACGTCCTCAGAAGCATTGCTAATCGATATGGTGAAGCGAACATTCGAGCCCGCTGGCGGGACTGGGTTGTCAGATTTACCCGCATGGCTGCCGTTTTTGAAGAGATTGTGTACGGTGCTAGTGCGTTATACATTGGTGGAGACGTTGCAGATGCGGGCGCTGCGGGTGTGTCGGGCCACGGATATGTCTGGAGCGACGACGCCGCGCGGCAAAGGGAGCTTTCCGGAGCAGTCAGCCGAATCGAAGGGTGGAGAAATACACGAAGCTATTACAGCTTTATTCAAGTATGTGGTCATGGGCCCCATTCGCCTCCGTCTGTGCTTTGTACGTTGACAATGATTTAGGACCTCGCCCAGTTTTACACTTGTTGTCCCATTTCTCAAATCGACTTGCACCACCATCACGACCGGCTTCGAAGTCGGAAACTCACTCATAACGAATCTGCTGCAATTTACTTCGCGTTCAACTCTACGGTTCATAGCTACGCCGAAATTTGTCAGTTGCTGACGCTGGCGCCAGAAAGTCATGCGGGTCTCTTCTATCTATCCCTGGGTCTCTTCCACCCAGAAGGGGAAGTGCGAGTGAAAACTGCAGAGTTGCTGGAGAGAATCATGGAGCATGACGCGGGGCGTCATTTTTGGGCCTCGCTCAGCCGCTTTGCGAAATTGGCATTTCTCCGAATACGCAAGAGCAGAGAAGCCGCGGAAAGGAAGAGGGTCGAGAGTAATCCCGGGTTCGCGATGCGCTCTTGAGCAGTAGGCAAAGCGCGATAGCCACGTCTGAAACGCTCTTGCCGACGGGGTGAGTGCCGTTTGCCAATGCGTTCTGGCCGACTCGCAACATGTCAGACCCTAATTGTAGTGTCCTACAAGTGGAGCCGAGTGAATACTGAGAGCGTAACTGATAGCTAGAACATCAGTTCTGGAACCGCTGGCCAGATGTGGGATCCGTTCGAGACCCATTAGACCAATCTGGCAAGATGCGCGTCCAAACACTTTGGCACTTCCAACGCCGCGTCTCAAGCAGCTGATTAAGATCACGCTGCAGTTCCCTTCTCCGGCCGCTCACATGAGCGTAGTGGTTACCATTGGGCTGATCATATCCCTCCACTCCCCCGTGTGGATACAGCCGCCTCTTTACTCCCAAGATTTATGCTTTCAGGTCCCCAATACTCGGCTTCAAAGGGGCGCAGAGTAGAAGGAGCTTGGTCTGCCACGACAAGATTCATGGCAGATTAGCCACAGAGTATCTCTGCCCGCAGAGGGAAGCTTGAGATTATTGTCAAACTGAACGTCTCAACTGAGACGTCTGACTCTTTCAGGAAGATGAACCCGCAAGCTCGTCGGACCTTTTATCCTCGACTCCACTGGGCACAACAAAATTGGAACGATTCTTATTCCACTTCCCTCCACGAGCTCGACACGGTTTCTTATTCCGCCTTTCCCCTCGCCCTTTATTCTTTTGTTGGAGAATCTCATAGAATTAGCAGAAAGGCAGAGCTCGGTTTTGGTTGTATATATGACTGTGATGTCCTATTTTCATTTCTTCATTTCTTTTTCCGCCCTGCAATTTTTTTTTTCCTTTTCTTTTCTTTTTCTATTTTTTTGGGCTGGAAGAGGTTTATGTATATACACGGCATGGCATGGCATGTCATAGCTGCCAATGGCACAAGACCGGGTCGAGCCCGAGACTCCGCGTGGATAGATGCGAGGATGCGAGCCACGTCTGGACTCACGCGAGAGGAAATGAATGCAATTGCACCGAGATGATCATGCACCATGGATTATGGTAGAATTGATTATAGATTATTTTGATGAATAGATGTTTAGAGGTTCCAAATATATCATGTCTTTTTAAATGGATTACAATGATGACGAATTAATGCAAGTGGAATAAAATTCAGTATTTGGTATTCAGTATTCAGTAGTCGGTATTCAGTATCCGGTATCTCTAATGCTAATTGCTAAAAAAACTACTTGGACAAATTAAGAAAGAAAAAGGGGGTAGGTAAGGGTGGGTATGATAGGATAGATAGGACGAAAAATCGGCAGAGTAATAAAGTAAGTAAGGTAGTAGGTAGTATACAGACCGAAAATAACGGGAGGGGGGGGGAAGAGGAAAAAGCCGCCCAGAACATGTCATCGTTCCCGTGAATGCCATATGTCATGATATAAAAGACTGAGAAAAATAAGACACGATCAAGAGAAGAGGACAAATCCCACCCAGAAGACCTAATGACTTGATATCCCAGACACCCAGATAAAAAGCCGTGTCCTGACGCAATGCGTAACCCGTGGTATTCCCAGAAAAGAAAACAACGCCCACGCTACATGTAGTCTCATGATTCCCAAAAAAAAAAAAAAAAAAAAAAAAGGAAAAAGGTGAGCGAAACATGCAGTCAGACAAATCATGCCCGTGTCCGGATCCCCGACAACGCCGTAGCCTTCTTTTTGCGCTGGTACGAGAGATACATATTTAGACAAGACGACAAAAGGAAAAGGGAACAAGAACGGGGTCGATCAAGTACAATATCACGACCCCGGTTGCGGAAACTCCTTGAGCGGGATTTCCACTGCGGGAAGGGATGAGCGCTGCGAAGTCTGCGATGAAGGGGATAGACTATCGTTCAAGAGGCCGCCCACGTCCTGCAGGGAATGCTCGGTGCGCGTTCGGGCCAATTGCAAATTGGAGATGCCCATTGATGGGGCACGAGATGAGTCGGTTGGTCGAGCTGCTGGAGGGGAGATGGCTCCGCGTGCCATGGCAAGGATGGGAGACGAAGAGCTTGCTGGCCCTGCTCGTGCTCCTGCTCCGCCACTCGAGAGGTGATCCCGACTGTGGCCTGTTCGGGATAGATACGGGGTGAGGCCCCGCCCGCGGGACCGACTTCTTCCGCGACCCGTCTCGGACGGCGGCGTCAGCAGGCCACCAATGTCGTGCAGGAGTGCCCTGGATCCTTGACGCGGCTGCGCGTGGTCCTGCGCAATCGACGTGTTGCGCGGCGACGGGGAGTTTGAAGTAGTCAGGGCAGGTTCAGGTCGTGCAATCACACCGTTGCCGTCTTCGAGCAGTCCGCCAACGTCGAAAAACGACGTTTTGCGGGCATTGGGCGGTCGCGACTGGGTCCCCGGAGAGCGAGGCGGGTCGAGAGCATCCGGGTGCTTGAGATCGGCATCACTGTCCGACGACGCATCGTCGGCGGGGAATTCCCAGTTCTGATCAATGGCCGGCGTGACAGCCTTGGCCGTGGACGCGAGCGGAATGGCCATGGGCGCGGGACGTGGCGATTGCACCGAAGCGCGCAGCTCCGGGTGCAGGCGGATGCCGAGGTCGCGGACCAGATCCTCGTCACTTCCCCAGTGTTGCGTCGTCACCGTGCCGCGACGTGTTGAGGCGCGCTCCATGCTGTCGCTCGTCGAGCCAAACTTGTATTTGATCTTCTTGACGCCACGATCGCGCACAAAGGATCCGAGGACGAGGCCATTGGTGACGCCGGCGGCCGCCAGAATCTCCACCGAGGCCATGACGGTTCGAAACTGCTGCGACGAACGCGTCTGGATGATGGCGGGGATACGGTAGAGCGTGATGGCAACGAGGACGAGGGACAGGCTGAAAAGGAGGACGAGGGACATTTTTCTAACAAAATAAAAAAAAATGAGCATACTTGAGCGAGAGGGAAATGTTTCAACAAGTCGCGTATTCATCGAACATACCTCTTCAATGGCATGGCGGATTTGATGATGAGAGGAATCGGAAAGAAGACGAGCAGCAGGTCGGTGATGACGTCGCAGGCGCCCATGGTAATCAGTTGTGCATATCCCTGTCGGCATCGTGGTCCAGGGTCCGGAATCACCTGCCAATAATGAGAAAAGGGCTGGCATTCGGCGAGAGTCGAGATGACGACGGCGATGAAGGAGATGATGAGAAAGTGTCGGATGATATTGAGGATGATTTCGTAGGAACGCTTCCAAATGGGGGCCGTAAGCCGTTTGAGGAATTCGGATACGGTAAACTTGGCGATCCACAGGCTGTAGACAAAAAAGTCAGACAAGACATTCAACGAAACACCAAAAAAATTGATTGTAGAGCGGGATTGATCAGACGAAACGTACTATGCAGCATACATGATCCGGGAGCACAGGACCAAGCGTGAACCAATGGAGCGATGATAAATGTCCTCGGGCGTGAGACCGGTGGTGACGGCATTGTTGGTGCCCAGACGCAGCATGGCATGGACGAGGCCCATGCGTAGCAATAGCGGGATGATGCTCAAGGCAATGGTCTTGTCCTCGCGAAAGAGCTTCTCGGTGCGGACATAACGACCGGCGATGCGGACGAGTATGATAACCAAGGCAAAGGCAGTGCACCACCAGCTGAAGAGCAGCGTCGGATTATCCTGGAGCGGCGTTCGAGCAGGCGGCGGCGCAGTGGCGAAGCGGCGGGTCAGCATCGTCGGCGGTTGCAAGACGCAGACCGCCACGACAACGGGGTTACGAATGTCGCAGGGCAAATGGGGCTCAGTGATCTCGACAGAATGTATTCGTCACAAGAGAAGTTGAGCGTGCTTGGATCATTGCGATGGCCAACTGTGATAACGTCCAATAGTAAGGTGTGATAAGCAGGATGACTCCGAACAAAGGACAGGTTCGACCCCTCTCCCTCCTCGTCCGTTCAAAGCGACACAGGACGATTAGAGAGAAAATATAAACCCCAGACGCAATGTGAAACGGAGGAGAATTGAGGAGCAATGGTCGAGAGGGAGGATGAGATTCGGCGGTAGTGGAGTGAGCGATCCAGAGTATTAGCGGCGCTATAACGAGACGAAGCCACGAGGGAGGTAATCCGGAGAAAAAGAAGTTGGAGACGAGACGGCGAGAGACCGAGAGAGTTTTGGCTCAGATAGGAAGAGATAGGGGGAGATGAAGGATCGTTTCGGGTCGTGATGGTTGAGAGATTGGGGGAGATAATGAGATAGTTAGCAGTCAGTTAGGTAGGTAGGTAGGTATGGTATGGTATGGGTGGTCGTAGGTGCGGCACAAAAAAAGTAAGACTAGGTGCATAGCAGGTCCCGGGGGGGGGTCTGGGCCTTTGGATGTGGAGAGATATGGCATCCAAGATTGGTACCCAGTGCGTATCCAGTTAGAGTCCAAGGAAAGCGTCAAAGTGGGTTGACCGTTACAAAAGATGAGTAGCGGTTTGAGAAGAGTTGGTGGCAGGAAAGCCAGACAGACAAGACGGGCGGAAGAAGTGCAGAACAAAGCAAAGCAAAGCAAAGCAAAGCTGCTGGGTGCTTTGATCGCAGGGCCGAATTGGCAGCATCATGAGTGGACGGGGCGGCACGATAGGCGGCCCTGGTAGCGTGGCAGGCAAGCAAAGTTCAGCTAAAAACTCTTAAACGGACCGACAGCGAGATAAATTCATTTGGCTTCGGATCGAGCTGAGAGACGGCGCCATTTCCGTTTCGATGGGGCTCTACTACTCAAAAGAGGAAAAGGTCCATATCTGTATCGGAGTACGTCGCTATGATGACCTTTTTTGGTGGAGTTGCGCTTTTTGGACCCTGGAAATGCTAGAAAGGGTGGGGGGTGTGATTTTGCGGTTCCGTCAGGGCCAAGGGGAGGGGAAAAAAAAGAGTAAAGACACATGGTTGGGTGCAGATAATGCGTCGAGTCCCAAGGTGCCGGATGGGGGGAAGGAAGAGTCAACCCTGCACATGTCGATTAAACATCCAATCCTTTATTATCATCTTACTAGGTAGGTATTCGCATTGCATTCTTATTTCGGCACGAGTGCCGCGATCATCTTGTCCCTTTGGCTTGCCCTCCTATCTGGGACCATTGGGTCAATCCATGAACAGGAGATGCCCGAGGCCTTGGAATTGGGGGGGAGTGGGGAAACCAGCTACTACGAATGGTATTCTAGTTGATTTTTTTTTTTTACCGCGGATGCATGTGCCAGGCGAGAGCGAGAGAGAAAAAAAAAAGAGGAGCAAAGTGGGAGGAGGCCGGGGCGCCGAGTGGGGGCAACAACATGGTCAGTGATAAGCATTGATGACCGTACAGACAGTGCAGTACCATAAAGACATGTACATTTCAAATCGTAAAAGACGACTATTGGACCCGTAAAGTAGGTTTGCTGGGGATCACAAAAAGAAATTGGAATTATATATTTATCGCGATCCTTCTTCTGACACGCAAGGAAGAGAGCGCCACCAAAAGGGACAGCCTGACAGGCAACAAGTAGACAGAGATAAGGACGTTTGGGGGCTGCTCTGCCAGCCGCGCGCGGCAGCGAAAAGGGTAAAGGACGAGCGCTGGGAGATGAGAAGTGGTATGATTATGCTGTCAGTGATGGATCCTAGTTCCCCATGTGTGACCCAAGTATCTCACATCTTGGACCTATCATTCATCTTTAATTATCATCAACATCATCTCGACTCATCTTCCTCATCTTCCTCATCTCTCGTCCTTTTTACTATATTCTTCCCTTTCTGCAAAGTCTAAGGAATGAGTTGTGGGAATTTACCGACTTTTCGAGGTTCCTAGGTTCCCAGTCTTCGGTTACGCTACCCAATGGGGATATCCTTCCGAGTGGGGATGAGGCGCAGCTTTCGTTTCCGGGTAATCACCAGAGCCCCCCAGTATGGGAGTAAATTCGGAACTCCAATGGTACCGTTCTCCGGTCATCGTCCCCAAGCCGATCCCTTCCCCGTCATTCAATCGTCAGAGTCCATTTACCGTACTTTTTTACTGGGCCCAGTCATGTCCCACAAAAGAAAATAATCTATTTGAAAAATTAATAACTACCTTATCCACTTCAGAATCTTATATTATTCAATTCCCTCATAACCTCCTTCTATCAACTACAAAATACTTTGTACTGCATTACCTACAGGTATAGACGAAATATCCATCACCCCGTATATCCGTGCTACAACGATAGCCGAGTGATGCATCACCACCCTAGCAGCTGTACGTGATTGCTGCCTCGGCTCAGCGCCAAGCTGAACCGTTCCCGTCGATCCAGACCTCTCCCGCCATCCAATATCCTCACACACACAAAGTATTTGATCTGATGTGTAGCGCCGACAGTGTTGGATTTAGTTGCTTGACATTTCAATGTCAGTCCTCATTTGTGCTCTTATTCTTCTATTCTCTTATTCTCTTGCTCTCTTGTTCTACTCGTCTCTTGCTATTGCTTAACCCCTGCGAGAGGCACCTGTAGCTGTTGTTCACCAGTACAAAGTACCCCTACAACTGTCGTGTGCCCAACTTCCACGTCCGACGCAAGTAGCGCTACACCCTAGTCTCTCCCAGTCCCCATATGGCGCCAACAGCGCTATGCTTCAGCGTTGACCCCTGTAACTGTCTGCTGTACCCGTTTTACCTTAAGGTAACTTACCTAACCTACCTTACCTACCTAAGGTATCCATACCCTCAATGTCATACCTTAGTTGCCTTGGTCTTCACGATTCCTCCTGTTTCAACATACCTGTGAGCTTAAGCTTAGGTACGCACTCCACAACAACTACAGCGCCATTCACCTTTATCATTGTAAGTTATACTACAACGTACATTATACCAACAATATCCCCCGTGAAATATCCCCCGTCAAAGAGATCACATCACATCTCATCTCATCCCATCTCCAAGGTACAATACACTTTTATTCCATAGAATCCATACCCATGTCTATAATTCCCCTTTTCTTCCTCTTCAAAAGCTAAAGTACCGATGATATACTTTCCCCACAACCTACTACACCCTACTTTCTACACTATACAATACACACTATACACTATACACCCTACACCCTACACTCTGCACCCTACACTACACTATACACTGTGCACTGTGCACCTGCAAGCCTTTCGTCCAGTATACTGTCCCGGTACAGCGGAACCACTGTAGTCTGTACCACTGCAAATCCAGGGCTGGCATTCCTGTGCCACTGTGCCACTGTATGACTATAACTTAACTGTACTCCTTAACTGACTGCACTTCTACATCTATATGTCAAGTGAGACATTTGCAGATCGTGCAGATCTTATTCATTTCTACTTTGGTACGAGTACGGTGTAACTCCCTCTTGAGCAAAATTGGGACTCGGACAAAGACGACCTGAATACTCTTACTCTTACTCTCTTTGCGCTCTGCTGTACAGTACCACAAAAACCCGCAGTGCGACTCAAACCCAGCTGGCGGGGAATAACAGCCCAGCTGACGGTAATAACAAAAATGAGGAAACTGACAGAAACTTAATTCGTCCCTTGCCTTGTACTCGTAAATCAGACATACTACTTTTGTACTGTAGCTTTGTACTTACCTACGGAGTAAGGATGATAGGACGACCGACATGGCTGGGAGTACTCCGTAAGTTAACTATACCCTAGGTGCCTATTGTTCACCGATTACCTTTCTTAGGTCCAGGGCCGACGTGAAACCAATCACAAGTTATGGCTGTCTGACTTTGGCGTGTTGGCGTGGGGACATGCACATGGATCCAATACCTTGATAATACTTATAAAAAGAACCCACAAGAAGAGAAAATTAAAGAGAGAGAAATGTCCCAAATAGAACAAAAAGAGAAATAATCATGGATTATTATTGAAAGAGATATGGCTCGATTAAGACAAAAGCGTCAAGGCTTTTCCACTACCTGTCAATACAGAAACTCCATATATACCAGGGTCTCGTCTCCAACAATGCGCCATAAGACAACGCGAAAGGATCAAATACAGCTCAAGCAAACGCCCGAGTTTCCTGCTCGCAGTAAGCCCAGAACTGCTCGGCCACGCCCTTTCCGCCTTCAGACGTGCTGCGCAGCCCCGGAACAATGTCCTGTCGAATCGGACCCAGACGGCCCCACGGGATAATGTATTGGCCGGTATTTTGCAGCGTGAGATCATCTGACAGACCCGCAAAGAGCTCCGTATAGGCTCCGTAGATTGGATGGTATGTAATCAGGATTTCCTTTGAGTTTTGATATACGTTAGACAAATATCTGAAAAGAGAGGTATATATTATAAATAAAAAATAAAACCCCAAAACGAAAAAAGGGAGGCAGGAAAAAAAAAGGTCAAAAGGCATGACAGAGTACGTACTATGATTGTCCTGGTAACAATGTTATGTTCGCGCTGGAGATCCGTTTTGAGGTTTCCGGGATTGAAGCTCTGGAATTACATCATGTCAGTGATATCTCCCCCTCAACGAGCTGCGGTAATAACTAGCTCTGATCCCTTTCTCTCTCATCTCTCAAATATATCCAATATCCAATCTGAATGTCAAGGACTCCGGGTAGAATAACAAGGGCGGAATGCAAGCAGCAGAATGCAAGACAGAACTCACCAAACTAACAATCCCATCCTTTTCATATCTTCTCGCAAACTCGGATCCCAACAGTACATTCCCCGCCTTGCTCTGGCCGTAATCGACCTCTGGCCGATTAAACACCGTTGGCCTGCCTGAAGCATCGTCGAGCACCACTCCACCCTTTGGCGCAAGCACGTCGACGACCAACGAGCCCGCCCAAGTAACGCGTACGGTTCCAGGGGGCGACGACGCTGCAGTTTTCTGAAGAATCGGGACTAATTCCTGCGTGAACAGGAACGGGCCCAGGCAATTCGTGCCCATTTGGACTTCATGGCCCTAGATCCCCATGGTCAATCTCGTTTCATATAACCCGAATATTACCTGCCCATCCAACGGCATATTTGGTTTATTTCAGGGGAAAAAGAAAGAAAACATAGACAAATACCTGCGTCGATTTCCTTCCCACAGGAGGAGTCATCACGCCCGCATTATTCCACAACACATCCAGCCGCTTCTCTTTACTCAAGAACTCCTGCGCGGCAGGCTTGATGGTCGCTAGGTCGCCCAGGTCTACGCTCAGAAACTCCACTCGGCCTTTGGATTGCGGATGCGCGGCCTTGATGCGCTCGATTGCCTTGAGGGCCTTGTCGCGGGTCCGGCCGGCCGCGTAGACGGTGGCATTCTTGGAGTAGAGGATCTTGGTCAGTTCGAAACCGACGCCTGCGTAGCCGCCTGTCACGATGAAGACCTAGACATGTCAGCATTTTTTTTTATCACACACTTTTTTTTTTGTTTTGTTTCGTTGGTGCTGTTGTAGGGAGAGAAAAGGGGAAACATGAGGGGCAAAGGATGTTTAAATAACACGAGCATCATCGAAAATAAAAGATCTGAAACAGACCACACAGGGGCTATAATTGCAACATGATACATGTAACATCTCGAAGCTCACACCTTTCCAGATTGATCACGGAGTTCTTTTTCTGTAAGGACCGGCGCGGGGATCCAGAAACTCTGGCTGAACGAGTTCCCCATGTTGTTTGTGTGTTTGTATATCTCTGGTGTATCCTTGTAAATCTTCAAATCTTGGAATTATCAAATCTTCAGATATTCAAGCTTGTAAAAATAATTCTTCAATTGATACGACTATTTATATAAGAATCATTGTAAGGCTGGCACGTATAGGCTGGCACGTATACGGGATGGAGGAGAGATGAAGCTTGATTGACAGTCTAGGCAGATAGCAAGCGACGTAATCTATATGGGTCGTGATGCGTGCAGTAGGCATCTCGCTATGTAGAGTAAACTTTGTAAGACTAAGTATTAGCGTTGAAATTAGCGACAAACCATACCTTGTTTGCATTTACTAGTAACTTAATATACTAAGAAATCTGAACTACTTTCGGGAAAGTTCTGCCAAAACTTGCTCAAGTGCATTTTTTAGTTATACATACAGTGAGATATAACCATTATCCTTGGCTAGTTCTCAACTACCTTATAACTATTTCTTAACCATTTCCTAACCACCCTTTTACATTTTGCCTTCCCCTACAGTATGTTACTAAAAGGATCACCTTGGGGTACTTTGTTTTCTATGGCAAATACATATAATATAAAGTATTACTATGATACGGGCGCCTTCCATATCCGGCGAAGCCCAATGACAGCATATACTCGTAGCACGTGTAAAATCTATATAGAGCGAAGCGCTTGTAAACATTGAAGCTACCAAGGTTTTGTATGTTTTAAGTTACGTGTGGGTCCAAAGGTCGAAGTACATTGATAAGTCGTGGTATCGCTGCATATTTTTTTACTTCGATGGGAAGCTGTGTTGACGAGGATAAGTACCAGTACTGCAAGTGTGCCTGGCACCAAACCATTGGTTGAGAGGCGGGACGTTCAAAAAGCAACAAAGTCATTACCTCCAGACGCTTATACGTATTGTACGTACCTAGTTATAACTATAATACATTGTATAATATAGGTATTAAAAACGACAAACAATCAAAAGTCAATCACTGACTGTCCAAAATATCCACCGCGAGGTCCACGATCCTCTCAATGCCCTCAGCGCGAATTGCGCTAACTGGGACAGCCCGTAGAAGAGCGCCATCCCTCCATCCATCTTCCTTCCCACTGGGATGTGCTTCTTGACCGCTTGCAACAGCATCGAGATACCTTTGAAGGTTGACGAAATTATCCTGGGTCTCGGACAGATCCGCCTTGGTAGCAACCACAAGCCATGGTTTAGCTGAAATGGGAAGAATATCAGACGCCAGCGGGGAAAGATGGAATGGCGACGTGTAAGATTGAATTGTAGAGTGCTGGGCATCATGATCTGGGTCCAGTTCGAGCTCGAGTTCAGCCTTGGAAATCTCGTCCTGTGTCTCCTCTGCGACAGCCCTCAGTTTCTCATATGCTGCAACCTCTCTCCAAAGGCCCTTGAGTGATTCCACCGCATCTCCAGCACCTAAATCGACGACGAACCCAAGGATTCCCGCACGCTCAATATGCCTGAGAAAGCCTAGGCCTAATCCACGATCTTGATGGGCGCCAGGAATGAGACCAGGGATATCAGCAATTGTAAATTTGGTACGTGGCCCGTCTTTGCCATGGCGTCCTTGAGAATCTCTACCAAATAGCTTTGGCCGGCCCTTGTAATTATCTAGCACAACGGTCCCTATATTGGGCTGTAGGGTGGTAAACGCCCAATTACCGACGCGGGTTCGACTACGACTGAGGGAGCGCAACAGCGTGCTCTTTCCGGCATTGGGCAGACCCACGAGCCCGACGTCGGCAAGGAGCTTCAGTTCCAGCTCCAATTCTAACCGCATGGCTGGCTCCCCTTTCGTTGCATATTTGGGCCGCGGCACCGAGCGGCTGATGAAATGCGGGTTCCCCAAGCCCCCTGCAGCGCCCGCAGCGAGGAGAAGAGGCTGTTCCATGGGTTTGGAAAGGTCCAAAGAAATGGGCGCGGGTAGCTGCATCATGCTGAGATGGGACCGTCGTACACGGGGAAGAGGAGGAAACTCGGTCGTTGCGAAGTCAGAAGGAGCGGAGGCCGGGTGCAATAGCCATTTGTCGCGGCGGAATTCAATGCTTTGAGATTCAAAGTCCGTCAGGGCGGAGCCATGAACTCGCTGTTCGGACTCGGACTCCTCGCCTTCGAGGATGCTAGAGTTCTTTTTTTGTGTCTTCAAGTAAAGTTTTCGACGTTCTTCTTCCTCTGCGAGAGGGTCATATCGAGAAATTTCCCGTACGACTGTGCCCACAGGGACTTGAAGTAATACGTCTTCGCCCCGTTCACCTCCCTTGTTTTTCCCACGCCCGTTTCTGCCGCGTCCTGCTTTAAGGATGCCTCTCCGTGCAAGCTTGTGGAGGCTGGTCTCGCCTTGGACGGCCTGAATGTAGATGTTGCCACCACTGCCTCCATCTCCACCATTGGCCGGACCGTTCGCAATATATTTTTCTCGTAGAAACGACACGCACCCGTGACCGCCGCCGCCAGCGTGGAGTGTAATAGAGCAGCGATCGGTGAATAGAGATCGAGAATAGTCATCCGGAAGTGGGTCGAGCCGGTTTACAAGCGTAGCATCTTCGCCCTTAGGCCCATCTCCTGAGAGAGGGTCGACTCGTCTCGGAAGCACCTTGTGGTAGTCCTCTTCATCAACTTCGGTCGCCTGGGCATCGAGCTTGTTTGTCTGATTAATATGTGCCGAGGAAGAGATATGGCGGAAATTCAGAGAGCAATTGGAAGAATATCCAAGTGTTGAGGCTACATCTGCTTGCTTAGAGGCTCTGCGAGCTGTAAGGCAGGAAATGCCCCGTGATCGTTGCCATGATATAGAGGCAGTCGAAGCAGTTACAAGATGGCGTGACAGTGTAGGCTTGCTCAACGCGGGATAGAGAAAAGGCGTCAACGTCAATGTTAGTACATTTCCAACATGACGTGAACTCCTTGAAGCTGAGGGCGACATTTGCCCTATATTCAGTGATCTTATTCGTCAATTGCTTGGAATTGCTCTAAGTGAAAAACATCATCGTCGAGTAAGATCCCGGAGGGGCAGCCACTGGACCTCCGACATGCAAGTATACTCTACGGTAATCTGCACGATCCATGCCCGAAACGATCTCCCGCCTATTCCTGCTATCTAACATGGCTCTCACAAAGAGACGTCACACATTTAAATCATTCAAACCACGTATGGATAATCAGGGAATTTGCAAGTATTGAATCAAGAACAAATAAATCTTATCAAATTTTCAATAATCAAGAGGTATATATCCTACAAAGAACAATAATCAAAACTCGAGTAAGATGCCGAGCAACGCGATAAACCACGGTATATCCCTATCTGATACCAAACACTCACCAGAATGTTCAAAATCCGCTGCCAAAAACTAAATGACCGAGTGCGAGCTTTTAAAGTGGCATATATCAAACCCCAGATTGAATGGTGTAAAATATATAATAAAAAAAAAGAAGTGAAATCCAAAATGAGACCCCAAGACCCGGAACTTATTCAAAGACCAGAACTAGTAGTAGGCCCTCCAAAAAAGAAGCCATCAAAGAGATCAAACTGTGAACCGTCACTCCAGTCGTGATCCAGATCCATACCCATCCCAAAACCAAAATCAATGCCCGTATTGCCGACTCCATTATCGATAAAATCAAAAGCCTGAAATGAAGGGTCTGCCAATATGCTGTGTCCGTAAACATTTTCCGCTGTTAGGGGTTGACCTTGGCTCTGTGTACCACGCGCTTGTGCTTGCACCTGGGCAAAATGGGCCTGCATGTTCGGGTCCGCTGACGCTGGAACTCTTCGGTGACCTCCTGGGACAGCATTGTACAGCGTGTTTTGCGCAGCAGAAGATGCAGGCACAGCGGCGATCACCTGGGGGGAAGATGATGATGATGCTATGCTTTTAGGATTCCCCAATGGAGATATACTGCCTTCTTGCCTCGGCCACCATCTTGAAGCTGGTGGCGGATTTCTGGCATTTTGGCCCTGTTCGTAGCCTCGACCATGTGCACTGCTCTCTTCCGGGAAAAGATCGCCCAGGTTCATGTCAAATCGAGGAGGCGGTCTCACTGAGCTTTGTACCGCAGGATTATTGGGTGCAACCTTTTGTTGACCATTGCGGTTGCTGTTGTTTTCGATATTGGTATTCAGAGGAGGCGCCATATTTTCGCGTGATTGGTAAGGTGGAGGCTGATACGCTGATGGAACCGTCCGCCGTGAATCTAGGCCGGATGCTTGAGACCCAAATCCAGTCGTCGAGAGACACATCTGAACAGTGGCCTTGCTCATCCGGTCAAAAGCATCGCGGCAGGCTTCTGCAGGTGGGCATTTTTGGGTCAGATCTGTTAGTACTGATGTCGCAGAGAGGATCGTAAAGTCCACTTCATCCATAGTCTGTGTTTGATATTAGGTGAAAAATTTCTGATTTGGCATTATATTGGAACCAACTCACCAATTTACTTCTGACCAGGGCAGAATGCCAAATCGCATAAAGAAACGAAAGACCTATATCACCTCGTCAATGAAACGCCAATCGAAATTTCGCCCGATCACAAACCCACCTGCCATGAAGAGATGATGTGTAGCCAGAAACGTATAGTTGACAAGACGGACGCGATGAAGCTGCCGGTAAATTCTCAAGACCTTTTGCCCAGCTTCCGCTACCTTTAGATATACTCGCTCCTCATCTTCCTTTTCTTCAACGTTGATCATAGATGGGCTAGAAACGTCATCTGTCGGCCCTAGCTCCTCTGCAAGCGTGTGCGGCACGCTGAGGCTATGCCGATACAACATGATCACGGCTTGCCAGTAATTCAATTCCAAGAACTGCACAGGGAATCTGACGCCGATATCTTCCTGCCTTGGCGATGATTCCTTCCATTCGAGCAATCGATGATCAATATCAGCCCTCCATGCTCTGAATGAATTGAATCGGTGAAGCCACGGCGAGACAAGATGTTTTGGCATATATTTATTGTGCTTGTTTACTCCATGTGCGCGTGCAATCTTTGCCTGCTGATATTGCAAGACCTGCAATATTTCTGATTGGAGTAGCCGTAGGCGGATATAGTGATGAGAGACTAGCTTATAACTTGGAACAATAGAATTATTAGGCGGTGAGAGGAAGCCTTCTGGCGTTATATAGTCGTCGTCAAGTAGAGATGGGAATTCCGTGGTGATAACCAAATCCGTAATGCCAAATGGGCGACCTACGCACGTGCTAACGAGACGATCAAATGAATAGACGCACCACCACAACCTCCTTCGCAAGTCGCGTACCCATTCCCTGCGCCCCACTTCCTTTGCATCGACTTTTGGCGCGTGCGGAGGCATAGCAGAGGCCTCGTTCAGACCCTCCTGTTTGATCCGCTGACCGAGTTCAGCCGCAGCCGCAGCCTCGATTTCCACGCCATCTTCATAATGGAGACCTAAATCGACGGCTAAGCGCACGGCAACACCGCTAATGTACCATAGTCCCGGTGCCACAGGGCGCAGAAGTGCGAAGCTGGCCAGCAATAGAACGGCCTGTAGCTCCTCCAAACCACCACCAAAGCCGTCCGGCCGGTCAGCAGCCGGAGATGAACCTAGAAACGACTCCAAATGAACGATGGCAGACGCATGATACTCTTCAGGCTGATGCTGCTGACTGGAAAGCGGGTTTTTGCCATCGCCTGGCCCCGGCGAAGACTTAGCTTGAGAGCTAGAAGTTGAAGGGTCAGGAGACTCTTCCCGATCAGACGAGCCCCAGATGATGGCAGCGCCGATGGCGAAGACTATGTTCAAAATATACAATTCCCTTGGCGTTCGTAGCTTTTCATCGATAGAATATGCCCGATTGAAGAGACTCATGAACTCTCCCCGATGCAAGATGGGTATCTGAGGATTTGCATGCTCGAAATAAAGTGAAACCAACTTCACGCCAAGATCCTTATCGGGAAACGGGGCAGGTTTTATTGTTGGCTTCGTATGCAGACCAAAAAATGAGTCTCGCATGGTTGGACCTCCCGATGCAGCTGTGCTGGGTCGAATGCTGCCTCTTTCTGACGATGCCCCCGTGACTGAGCTTTTCACAGCGGCGAAAACAACACGTGCAAATGAAATCCCAGACGTAGACCCCAGATATCGCGGATCTGATGCGCCTTGGACGGAAACCATGCCAATATTCGATACTAATTTATTTAATTTGTCGGCGTCATTTTGCGGCCTGCGCCAACCATCTTCCGGCAATTCACGCCCCGCGGCCGGACCAATAGCTCTTCGGGCAGCCCCGTCTGTGTTTGTCGGTTTCTCTTCAGACAGCGCAGAGGTTCCATTCAGCCCAGCCCCCTGCGCGTTGTCGGATTCAAAAGCCTGCGCCGGTGCATAGGGGATGCCATTATTTTGTAGGAGAGTCTCAAGATATGAAACGCGGGTTTCGAGGAAGTAGACGTAGCTGCACTCCGGTAAACTCCCGTTAGCATAAAAACCTCAAAATATTCGGAAAGGTTGTAGTGGGGGAATGACCAGCGACAAAACAGACACTCACCTTCTCGGAATTTCCCTCTTTGTAATTGGATCATACCCCACACACTTTACTCCAGCTTTTTCGCACGATGCGCAGGCTGGCAGCCGCTGATCACATCTATTCTTTCGCAGACGGCATCGATTGCAGGCGGAGACATTGCGAAAAGACGAGGATATCGACGAAGCCGCAGAGGCCGGTGGAGAGGGTTGAGTAAATGGACCGCCTTCTATTGGTGAAGGTTCATCGGAAAGTTCGCGGGGCCGCTTGACGCCTGCAACAGGTGCGGTCCTCGCCGTAATGGTAGAGGCAGGAGATGAGGTGTTACTCATGGAGACAGCTACCGCAGCATAGCTCGTCGCTCTTATTTCTCCTCTTCCTCCTAGCGATCGTCGCGAACGTGGTCGGCGTTGAGCGTTTCAGAATAATTCCGCGTGAGATTGTTTATAGTCCAGATTCGCCAGCAATCTTCTGCATCTCAATGTAGCGGAGCGCACACAAAGACAGCTGCCCAAACTTTCCTGCGGAGTGTCCTCCGCGAAAGCCGTCAAGGACCAGTTTGCAATATAGGTGCTTGTTTCCCAAGGCACTGATTGCAGTAGCTTTGGTGAGAGACGGTGTGTGATTTCAAATCCGAGGCTTGGCGATATAGTACTAACTCGAATGGCAATCTAGCAATTCAATTGACCTCAGACTTTGGCAGAGTCAAACTAAAAAATTGGGTTAGGACCGGTGTCTAATTGGAAAAAAAAAGTGCCTTACCGCCGAACGGCACCCGGGTCCAAAATGTGTATCGTGCTGCGTCGGACGAGGACAGGAACACGGAGAGCCGAGAGAAGCAGCAATTACTCCACTAATTAGGCGGCAAAGAAACCGGTCCACTGGGAATAGCGATACCGATTCGCGATAATCTTTAGATGAAAAGTCTCAAAGAAAGCTTCCAGTGGACTTGCGCTCTGGTTGGTAAAGGGTGACCGTCGGAAAAAGGATGGATTCGCCTTGTTGGTTCGTAAAGTGTATCCACTTAGCTGTACATAATCTTCTTCAGTCCTCCACTTCCTGCACCCGTTGCGGAGATCCTCTTATCTCTCCCGGAGTAAGCCCGCTAGGCGCGCAGGCCGTGCCGGCGAGCGAATGGATTAAAGCCTTAAGGTGTGCGAATCGAGTAATAGCAATTCCACACTGATAAGTTAACCAACCCCAACCCACGGTTATGTTAGCGAATCCCACGTCGTGACCAGGTTACAGCTGCCTCAGTTCCGTATTCGGGAGTCTCATAACCGATTGGGTGCCCAGTGACGACGATCCATAAGATTGAGATAATATCCCATGCTCTAGGAGTCCAATAATGAGAGGAAAACTTTTTTCCCATCACCAGCAGCGTAAGAAATATTTGGGGAAGAAATTTGATGGTCGATAGGTCTAGGCTGAACCCTCTTTGGTCAGCCAGATACCGTTGGACATGGGTGATCTCTGAGCCACTAATTTCGAAACCCTCAATCATTCATCTGGTAGGTTCACTCAGTGAAAACTTCAAGATACAAAGCTGAATCCATATTACTGACCCCTCTTGTTACCTTGCATACAACAAGATAATCTGAACCCAGTGATTGAAATTGGTAAATGATTCGTCTGTAAAGTCATCCAACGTCACAGTACTTGACAGGGTAGAGCTGGCAGATTCGGCTACAGTTCCAATGCAAGAAACCGCAGCCTGAGAAGTTTATTGGTCAGGGTCAGATGCAAGATTCTCCACAAGAAGCTGTCATAGCATAACAGGGGTGCAGACGGGGTGGCTGCTCTATATGGAGCATCGTCCGTCATACCGGATACATCAATATGGCTGACAGTATTGAGGGTTTACGATAATGCAGTAAGGTGGGTGCCAAAATTCCTCACTCCCACCGGGAGGAAGACCAATTGGGATGGATGACAAGCATCCATCGCAAGCCAAAAAGGCTGAAACAGCGGAGCTGAAAAGCGAGACGAAATACTATGGGGGAGCTCAGCTTGAAGGTCAGACTCGGCCTTGATCGGCGTCGGCACGTGGCGATGCTTCGTCATCCTTCTCACAACAGGGTTCGGCAAGAATAAATTTCACCAGTATGTTGCCGCGCTATCATAATACGAAAACATGATTCGATCAAGGAGGAAGGAGCAATGGAAGTATTCTTGAAGATATACGCTGGTTGAGCAGAAGTAATTGCTTGCATCCCCCCAATATTTCGCCTCTAAGATTATCTGGAAATGTGAAAAGTTCCCCTTCCGCCCGAGGTATGTTATGCAAATAAAGAGATGACCGCCAAATCGAACAGAGCCCAAAAAATGGGTATTTGTGCATGATATAAGAAAACTGTTAAACCAAAATAACTGTGCCCAACGCATGGTAAACCAAAGGAAAATAAAATGAACGCTCTCCTAGATAGCTATGCGAATCGACTCCCCACAGAAGCCCGAGGAGTAATCAACGGCAATGGCAATTATAGGAGAAACTAAAAGACTCCAAAACGACCGACAAAAAAAAATGCAGGACCGATACCGCCCTTCTATGAGAAAACCCGACGCCCCATGTCAAACCAGTACTTCGGTCCAATCGACCCGGTATATCTTATTAGACTCGGTATATATGAGCAAATATGCATCTACCCGTTCCCATAAAAAAAGGAAGAGAGCAAGAGTCCGACATATGTTCCGACTCGAATCCACACCAGAAAGGGGAATAATGAGGTAAAAGGAAAAATAAAAACAAAAAAGAAGACTCTCTATATCATTGCCTCATGGCTCAGTTCCGAGATTTTGAACCAGTATTGACAGCGTCAACCACGATCTTACTGCGAGGAGAGGAATGCTCTCCCGTGAAGACTTCAGCAGGAGCGAGCGGCGTTGTCTCAGCAATCGGGAATGTAGCTTCAACTGGCTCGGGCTCGCAGTAAGGCTCAAGATAAGGTTCGCCCAAGTCCGCTTCCTCGTCGATGGAATCCTCAGGCACGTTGTCGAGCCGGCCTGGACCCTCCTCCATCCAGAGGCTCTCAAAAGCGCCAATGATACCGACTATGCCACTGGCCCACCAAGCAAGACCGGCATATCCAAGCCGGAGTCCAACAGCATGGACGAGGCCAGAAATGGTCGGACCAAAAGCTCGAGCGAGACTGGCAGTAGAGGCCGCGATACCATTGATCACTCCGAGGACCATGAGTGACGGTGCTGAATTAGTAAGAAGAATCGCATTTGCGGGATAAGCCAATACGCCAGCAGTGATCTTCCAAACCAGGCACATGCCAACGCCAACCATTTGTAATGGCTTTGGCAAAAGCACAATGTAGGGAACCATAATGTAAAGCAATGGATATGTCATGGCAACGAAACGGAAGGTGTTCAAGCTTCCAAACCTCCGAACAATAAGAGGAAAGAGGAAAATCTGGGCGAACATTGAGTAAAGACCCTGCAGTGACATGATGAACCCGATGGTCTTGGTGGGAAGTCCGAAGCCTCCAGTGAATTTGAAGGGGAGAGAAATGCTCTCATGTGACTGAGGCGTACTCAAAAACACCGGCATTAGTTGGTCGAAGGACATGGTGTGGCTGCAGTGTATTAGCCAAAATGATCACAATAGTGAGAATCAAGTCCACTCACTATGCTAGAATACCATATCCGATGATATTAAGAACGACCTGCTTAGTGAAGGCTTCTCGAACAGAGGGCTGGGATCGACGGCGCTTCTCATCCAGGGGCTGGGGCGGAGGATCGGAGGAGGAACCTTGGGAACAGGCAATGCGTGGTGAACCCTCCGTGGTCCGGTATCCAGGTGGCTGCTCATCCTCGAGCAGAGAACGGGATTCTTCGAGATTCGCGTCGCCACCCTTGCCGAACAATGGTTCATCGGGTTTGCTTGAGAATTTACTTAGGATCCATCTTCCAACCTCTAATCCGACATCGCGATGGTGCTTCTTTTCTTCATGCGTCTCCTCCAGAAAAAGAATTCCGATAATCACTCCGCAGGCAAGAACCACAGCGCACACAAGATTGGGTAGGAGATAGGGGAAGCGGTCGAAAATTGTGCCTCGAGGAAATAGGTATGGGTAGCTCGTGCAGGGATCGGCCAATGCACCACCGAGAGCGGGCCCGAGGATTGATCTGGATTACTTGTTAATGCATAACTTAAAGTCAAAAGAGAGAGGGACACCTACCCAAGGCACCAGACAAAGGGCATAATGGAGTAAGCCCGCGCTGATCACACTGTCAGGAGCTGAGAGATTTTGGAGACTTGGAAGTTATTAACTCACGTTGATGTTCCTTCTCTGTAATCATCTCGGCAACAGTAGTCTGCAGAACACCAATATTCCTAAAAAAGAGAAACAGTCACATCAGATTTTGATCAGAACATTCTTGCAGAGAACCGCATACCCATTCAGCAGTCCTCCTAGAGCTCGAGCCAGTAAGGCAACAGGCAGACTAGGCGCAAATCCAAAGATGAGCATGCTCAAGCCCGTACCAGCCAGGCCCGTGAGAAGAATGGGCTTCCGGCCTACACGGTCACTCAGGCGGCCCCAAACAACACCCGTGGAGAACTCGGCGAAGGCAAAAGCAGAAGTCACCATGCCGGCATAGATGGCAATCTGTCGGTCATCCTTGGTGATCTTGAAGGAGAGAATCATATAATAAATGTATGGAAAGATGGACATGAACGCAATAGGCTCGCAAATACGGCATAATGCTGGGATGTTGTTAGCATTCGACTACATCGTACTCCTCTTTTTGCCTCCATCTGTCAGCGGAGCATGAGAGACCTTACCTAAGATGAAAAGTTGTTGAGTAGGAAAGGGAGCCACCTTCCTCCCAAAGCGAGTACTCCGCTGCCCAGAGTATGAGGCTGAAGGGGAAGGCATCTTGAGCATGGAAGCAAAGGACCTGAAACTGAGGTAGGATTGCAGAGACAGAAAGATCCTTCAGCAATGGCGGGGCGAAGGAGGGGTAAAATAGGAATTTGGCAGAAAGCAAGCTTCTAATGCCCCCACCAACGCTTCCTGAGCGGGAAGGTTGGCCCTTGGCGCAAATGGTCTCACGTCCGGATGTCAAATGGACGGCCGGTGGCGTAGGGCACAGAAAGGCGAAATTCCGAAGCCGGGGCAATTAAGGCAGCATGCATATGCAGCTGCGGTAGCTCGATCAAGCGGACTTGCGTGGCATGCAGAGTAGAGAGGATCGAGGGAGGGGCGCAAGAGATGAAAGAGTTGCCGTTGCAGCACCAGATATTACATGGTCCACGTCTGGGGGGTTACGGCCAGGCCTATTCATACTTCTGAACGGATGAGGTGCTCGACCCCCTCCCTCACCGCTGTGACTGCGTAAAACGAGGGCGGGCCATGAAAGGTATGAAAATTGGGGGAAAGAACAAAAAAAATCTCATCATCTCTCCCCTTGCGCATCGTCTAGCAAGAACAACGAAACCCCATTCGCAGACAAGTCAAGCGGCCGCGAGGCGGTCCTACCCAACAGACGCCGCCAGAAGGGAATTAAAATGGAGACAGATAATTATCAACCGTGTCTCTCATCGACCATGGATGAAGATGGCCCGAAAGGCCCTTGGCCCCGGGCCCTGGGCCGCGGGGCGCTTGAGAACCTTGGGTCGCTCATTTTAGGGCGACCGGGAGATGCAGCGGGTTGCATCTAGGATGCAGTACGGAGTAATAATGTCAATAATCATGTCATCGCAAGCATATGAAAATTGAACAGCTCTTACGGGGGTAGAGGGGGGGGTATGTGTGTTTTAGTTTCCATGTCAAAAAAGAGAAAAGTCGCAAAAAAGAAGCTAGAGCGAGTGTGCTTGCAGAAACAAGTGACAGGGGACATGTCATTGTTCATTCATCTGAGGCGAGACGGAGCGTCCCAGCATCGATTGCCCCGGCCCGTATCAGGTTTAGAGCGAGGAACGCTTCAGACCAGCGGTTTCCGGCACTGCGGTCCGGTTTTGGTCTGCTGCTTCGCCCTCAAAGTCGTTGCATTGTGAACAAGGGCCTTCCCCTCTTAGAGGAAGCTATTGAGGCCCAAGGCCCGAACGCCCTCCCCGGGAACCTCTTAGCAATTCTCTAGGCGAAAAGCACTTCTGATCTCACAGGCGTTCCCATACCAGGGGAACAAAAATCAGAAATGAGATGTGGAAAACGACTCCGACAAAAGTGACCTCTGATCATTTTAGGTTATGCGTACCAAGCTTTTAGCTTTCCATGACTTCTCAGTGAAAGTCTCCTCTCCTGCTAAGAAGAGGAAGTAAAAAGGAAAGTATTACGGTATATCCCAGGATCCATATCATCTGAAACCTAGAATTGGTAAACTAGCAGCGTATTTTAACGAGACTCAAAGGTGGAGAAACTCAATGGACGTCGGGAACTGCTTCCACGCGATTATCCTTCTTGGTGACCCATAGAAAAGTAAGCTAGGATCATTCCTGATGTTTCTTGTCGTGTTATTCTTTCCCTCTGGTTGGTTAACCTACTTCTGATTCGCGGGTGCCGTCTTAACGCCTTCCCCCAAGCACAACCCATCTTTGGGCGACCGGCCGTCTGGGTGGGCCAGCGCCAACTCGGGGAAGTCGTCTAGAGCGCACCCGTGTTGTCGAAATCGCAGGATTCATCTAAACTGATTAAAGACCAAAAGGAAAAAGTGGTCCCGCCCAGGACACCGCCTCATCCCACCGCCATCCAACGGTCGCGGGATCAAATAAGCGTTATCGTTGCACCAAGACGCTGACAGGATGACCGCCTTCGTCTATTATTCTCGGCGGGGTGGGGATCGACAGACAGTTGCGATTGGAAATCTTTGAACCGCCCGCGGGGGGTCCCCGTCATGCGACTGAACAAGCTGACGGTAAGAGAAAGGAAACAACCGAATAGGTCGTAAAGGATTCAGGATGAGAAGGACCGGGAAATACCCAATTTGCAAGTAGCGGTGAAGTGGGCTAACTTGGGAACTATGACGCTGCTACTGCGACCATATACCAATAGACGGGTTACAGTACGTTGTGGTACTTGTCATTGTCACGATTTGCACTGCTGCTGCTGCTGTTTTCTAGCCGTGCTCCAAGGGCTCACAAAGGTGTCGAAGAAGTGGTAAGAAAGGCAGTAGAAAGGTGGATGGCGACAATCTAAAGAGACTCCGAAGATTCAATGCTGAGTGCTGAAACCAGAGACGGCAGGACGGATATTGTAGTTTGGATTTGCCTACCACTAAAGCCGCGGTCCTACCCTCTCCAGAGTCTCAGTCATATTAAAGCCCCAAATAATAGCCACCGGTGATGAAGCCTCCTTCCAGTAACCCGGTTGCACTATCGATAGCTCCTGCCACAATGGCAGACCATCAGACGGCAGAGGACAGCGAATTACGAGCGTCCAAAGCAAAGAGGGATTACGTGCATGGTCGCGGTACAGCCTGATATTCTTTGATTGGGTGTCCATTCAACTGCGGCCGACTGGCCAAATATGATAACAAGGGCAACAAAAATGCCTTGAGCTTAGAGGCTGTCGAGAACTCTCGTCCCATCTCCATAGGGCAATAAATTTGTGCAACATTTAACCTCTTTTTTGCCTTTGTCTTTGCACGGCCTCAGTCAAGCTCCGGATATGATTCCGTAAGCTCTGGCCTCCGGCGAATCGGTCCGCCATCCGATCGATGGCTGAAAGAGTCAATCTCATCGCTTGCTTCAATTACATCCAATGGGAATGCATTCTCGCATCCCGTAAATGCTCTAAGGGCGCGATGAAGGTGATGCATCATCTCAAGATTCCGGGCCCTGAACGCCCGATTTAGACGAAGCAAAAACCATCATTCATAGGGAGCAAGGGCGAAACAGGCAAGCGTCGTCAGTCAATGTTGCGCTGAAACGTAGTGACACACGGCGCCGGTGTGTGCCAAATTTCTTCGAACCAGAGGCCGCGAAAACGCCGGCCTCTGTCGATCCCCATATGCAACCCCACGAGAGGGCTGAAGCACAAAATCTTGCAACTTTACCCACAATTGCGGCATAATTAGCTTCTCGACCTTGCCCGCTCTGTGTGATCGGATATGTCTTTCCCTGCATTCCGATAGATCTCGGCGTTGACACCAGCAAGCATCAGATGCAGCGGGTAAGAGAGCCCGGCCGTTCTTGCGGCTGGGTAGCATGCAAATCTTCGCTCGTTTGAGGGCTGTCAGAAAAACCTGACTCGTATTGTGGGCAGGATCGCCTCTGGTCTGACGACGTTAGCCGATCGCATAGAGAGATGAGGCGGCACATAACTTACCCAAGGCCAAAGGCGAGGCACAGTACATTGACCCACCTTCTTCACCTCCAAGGAAGAAATATCGTGAGTTCTGCCTCTCATGAAGACTGTCTTCATGCCAACGCACCATAAGAGGTCATGGGAACGAGAAGGTAAACAGCTCATCGCGTATTGGACTCATCATCGTGTAACACGTCTTCAGGGCGGTATGGCCTTGGTTAGGCAGAGAATGCTCCCCATGATGATGATGCTGCATGTGCTTGTTCTAGTGGGCCATCCCACCCTACTAAAGATGAAGGTTTGTTTATTCTTTCTGTCATCGCGGGTTGCATTTGGCAGCGCGTAAGGCGCGTCGGGCAGAGTAAAAGTCTGCTTCGGTGAGCAGAAACCGACTGCGTCGTAGGCATCAGGACGTGGACGTGGGGCCCATTGTCACTATCATTTTGTCAAGTGCCAGCTGCGAGCGGTCAAAGATTACCTGGTCGTGTGACTGACGCCCAAGAGAGATTAAACGGTCAACCAGACATCATGATGCCTTGCCAGTGGGCAAATATCTTACAGTACATCCGGAACGCATCGACGTGGGAAAAGGCGGAGATGGCCCAAAATAGCCAGGAAGACACCAATGAAGCAAATATGATGCCGAGCGCAGGCCAAAAAAAGACTTACATGACATGTATCAGTGTGTCTGTATGTCTGAGCCCAGCCAGCGCACACATCTCCATCGGTCGATGAAGACGAAGGCCTGACAATATCCCGAGAAGGGACCTAAAGGAAAAGCTAAGTCCAAAAGAGTGAGCGAATTAAGCATGTTACGGCAGAATGATCATGAATGCACCTCATCAGACTTTACTAAGGTACGTACTCGAGTGGTCTTTTCAGATTTCCCTCTTCTCATCCGTGCATTCACCGCTGATCGCCAGTCAAGCGGTGTAAGATGTCCCTTTTTGGGTCAATGTATCCTTTGTGTTACCTTGGCAGCGTTGACCCTGCATTATACAGACGTCCAAGGATTCATGACAGACGACAGGCCGAATCTCGGCGTTGTATATGATTTGTGCACAGCACTACATCTTAGATAACAGTGAGAAATGACAATGGTTTATCTTCCTTTCCTTCTTGTCGCCAAATGTGTCTACCCTATGGTTGTTGCTCGGTGATTCTTGCAACTTCAGAGTGTTACTAATTCCAACTTCTATCTGGCTATCATTGGGGGCATGCCAGATGACTTCCACGCTTGGATCTCGGCCTGTCGCTTGTTTTGAGAATGATGATGATGATGATGATGATGCGGAAAGACAAAGACGTCATTCATCCATCCGAGTCCCATTGAACTCACGCTCCGTTGAACCGAGCTGAACTTCTGCCTCTAGCTGATAATTGATGCATTATGTGCCTTGAAGATTACGAAGTAAATGTAAATTCCAAATCAGGATTACATGAGGTGAACGCGCCTAGAGCGGAAGACAAATGCATGCAGATTTACAAAAGTGGCACGCAGTCAAGCACTCCATCCTCAACACATTTATGCACACACATCATCACCTAAAAGCATCCTTCAAGTCTGTTCATTTTAGGCATCCATCCCGCCCCTGCAGATGCCAATGGATGGTGACCATAGCTATCCTATAAGTCTATGCGGGCCAATCGGCGCATGCCTATCCTTTCAACGCGTCGCTGAAGGCCCAACCAATCAGGCATTTTGCACATGATTAGGAATAAATGGTAGTGAATTTACGAAGTACGAAAGTTGTGGTAGCGGATGTGTCATCACTTGCCAACAAAAAATAAAAGTCTACGATACCCAAAAAGGTTGACGAACGACGATGCGAGCAGCAGAGCCACCACGGCGAACCCTGGTCAGTTTCTACAAGTTTTGCACTCTCGATCCCCACAAGTCCTTTTGGTTGTTGCGGATGATCGCTGACCCCGAACGGCACAGGCGGCAGGGGCGGGACCAAGGCCCGCCCCGCAACCCCGGCCAAAAGTAAACTACATACCTATGGGTAGACTCGTCCTATATCGCTACCGAACACTGCAGCTCGGAGCTTACCTGGTTATGTTGTCCCGACCTCACCTCATTTTGGAACCAACAACTATCGGTAACAGCATGTCTGCTGTACGCGCAATGCAATTGCCTTCTGCGCGGTCGCAGCATCTCGTGATTGAGTTGTATGTAGACCGACTTTTCCCTCTCTTTAGCTATCTAATTACAACATTCTATTTATTGGAAAAAACTTCTGACCCTAGTCAATTGCACATGAAGTGCGCGTGTCAAGAGTCTCTGTCCTGCTGGCGTCTATCTTACCATCGAGCCTGGTGATCCTTCTCGATGGACAGGAATCCTCTTTGTTCGAAAAGGTGAGTTGGCTTCAATCAGGCACCTGAATCTGCCCAATCAGCTGATGAATTGTCGCTGTGCACTCTAGGCCCATACGCACCCGCGATCCTTCGCTTTCAAATTTCCTTTCCTTCGGCTTATCCGGCAGCTGCTCCACGCATCACTTTTATTTCGGAGATTTTCCATCCATTGCTTACGCCTCTGACGACTTATACTTATACGACAGGATCTTCGGAAACTGGTACAGTAAGTGCTACAGATGAGGAGCGGTTGCCTCCTGGCGGGTTTAGTCTCCGCCATGGCTTTCCACAGTGGTTTTCAAAGGCGAGAGATACTACCTCGACACTTGACGTGAAAACTACGAGTGCCAATAATAATGTGCTTCAAGAGCCACAAAATGAGCGTCCGGCTGCTGAAGCTCTTGCCACTGAAGAAAATGGTAGCTCTCCCAACTCCCCTAGGGACAAAGGAAGCCTCGGAAAACCCAAGAATGAGAGAGTTAAGCAAAAAGATGTGAATAACCCAATATCAATCGTGCAAGTGCTTCTATACGTGCGTTCGACTTTTGATGATGCAGAAGTTCTGGATTCCGTTCCTCTGGAAGCGGCCGGGAATTCAGGCGCCTGGCATGCATGGCGCTCGCATAGGAGAGCTTTACATTTAAACCTATCCGAAAATGCAACGCCAGATACTGCATCTCCAATCTCAAAGGATAAATATTCTTTGATTCCTCGAAGTAATATAGCCCACAGCAACCGCCGCCCAGGTGAATGGAACTGGGAAGGTGTTTGGGAAGAACGCGTCAAGCGTGGAATCGATGCCTCCATTTCGGAGCCGGTCCTTTATGGTAACGCAGCCGTAGGAAATGACTTAGTAAGTTCTGGAAACTCCGTCGCAAAATTCAGGCTGACAGTGACAAGATACGCTTCTTGCGCGCTGATGACGACATGATCATGACACTGAAGGAGGGCATGAAAGGCAGCATGCGAGCAGCTACAGCATAATATCGTCAGGGGATTTTTGGAACTCTCGTGCCGTTGAATCCTCGTCAAACATGCCATAGGACATTCGCCTTCAATAGTCCGCTGGGATACTATAGTGTCTGTGGACATTGGCTCCTCGGAAGGCAGGTTACAGACAGCAGATAAAACATTCTCATTATCTGTCACCTGTGTGCTGCGAGGAGAATTTTTGTTCGACAGGACTTGTTTACCTCCATTTGTATGAAATCTTTAGCATTTCCTTTTCTGGCTCCACAAGTATCTCTATAAGCGTAATTGCTAAGCTTTCGGAATTGGCACTTGCTCAGGACACCTTATCCCTTCTCGCCCCAAAGTCTCACCAGCTTCCTTGCCTTGTTCATAAGGGCCATTAATTAAAGTTCAGTATTACTTTGGAGACGTTCTTCGAGTCACTAGAGTCGAGGGACTTTCAACCATTCAATCATGAGAGCCTGCTGCGCATATTTTTCGAACTTTTGAATGAAGTCCTTTGCAATGAACAGAACAAGTACAAAACTTGTTAACGCAGGAATGCGCTCTCACATCTTCTTCTAGTCTCCTGACGGGAACGATGTCGCTTTTACTTCGCTGAGGGTTCAACGATATGTCCGAGCCGGTCGTTAAGGCTCCTGGTATCGTACCTCCGTTGTGGGAAGGAACGACGTCGGCTCAGCTCACCTCGCACCTTCCAATATAAGCTTTTCTCTGTTGTTTTGCAAGACTCATTCTCATGTTATGGCTCGCGTCGCTGTTTTGCGGATATTTTCCTCCCCTTCCCATCTTTTCTGCTCTCTTTCGTTGTCTTTCATCGTATTGCGATCTTGGTTTCGATTCTTCTATCAGACATCTCCAGTCTTTGGCAAACTCCTTTCTTGGATCGCTTGGATACCGTCTTTCGAAATCATGGAAAATTTCAGAAGCCCTACTTCCATCTCTATCTCCAGAGTAGAATCGGCGTCATTGTCGTTCTTCGCTCCTCGACCTTTGCGCGTTAGAAAGGATATCAATGCGCGATCAAACAGTTTGGTGCCTGCACCTCTAAGAATTGTGAAGGCTAAGCCTGTCGACCCATCTATCACTTGCGCTCGCGTTCGTGCAATCTCTTCCACTTCCGGTTCCTCTAGTCAAGATTGCCTGGAACTTCTCAGAAACCCCATGGACTGTGGATCCAACTCGTCAAACATTCTATCTACTCAGCACCAGAAGCAAAAAGCTCGCGAAACCAACGTCTGTCTTACTTCTCACCTAGATGAACGGATTGATACTCAAAGCAATTCCTACAAGGATAGCTCATTTGCATCTCCAACGGATCTCCCGCTTATAGTCCGCAAGCAACGGCGTGACATTCAAAACGTCATATCTCAACAGCGAAGAAGCCAACGCGACTTTAGCTCTGACGACTGCAAACGCGTCTTGCGGCTAATCCCTAGCCAGCATTTTCCTTCTTCTCGAAAGTCATCTTATGCCGTCCCTGAATATCCGCCATTGCGCATTTCATCTACAACTTCATACCAAAATCCCGTTTCACCAGTTGATAGCGAGGAATTACTAGTAAGTGAACTCGAGTTTCTTTATGTTATCCAAAGCTTTCTAACGCAATTTTAGGACATAACCAACGCAAAACATGATCCTCCATTGGCAAGAAGATCGCATGGCGCTGAAAGAAGTTGTTCTGAATCCTCCACCATTCATCATCCGCCAAATAAATGCTCCATCCCTGCCGAAAAAAAATATCATAGCCGGTGCCACTCTGAAGTACCTGCATTTGCCAACCATAGCTCTGAGAGAGCAGGAGAGTTACTATCACCATCTTCTCGAATTGTCTCCCACGCGTTCGATAGGATTTCTTCAGCTCAGTCCCAAATTGTTCGTTTTCAAAACGGTTTTGAGCCCATGAGGGAGCACCGGCGGTCAAAATCAGAGCCGGTTCCGACCAAAGGTGTGGTGGAGCCCAAGAAGTCACGCGCAGCCTCTTTACGAGGCTTCCTCTGCCGTTTATTCGGTAGAGGCGCACGTGCAGCTTCGAGGGCGAGGAAACCACCCCCGGAACTGGCCACCGCCGGTGCTGCCAAGTCCTCCTGCTCCCAGCGGGGCGATCGTAAGGTCACCTCGTTTGGGCAGCGGTTCCTCCTGCCGCCCCCGCCCCCTGCCGACCTCACCGCGGCCAACCCAGGGCCCACGATCAGGGTCCCGAAACGGCGATCGAACACGATCGCTGTGACGGGCCCTGCGTCCCTTCCCGCCGCAGCCCCGATCTCGGCGAGGACCCGAGCCGGCACGTTTCCGCAAGGAAGCAACGCTGGACTCTTGAGGGTCCAAGCTGAGTTCCGGGCTGATGGCCGGGAGGAGGAGTTCGTGGATGCCGCCCTGTGGTATCTCGGACTGTAAGTTTCCTTTTCTGGTTGATTGATGCCTCCTAATATTTTTCAAAATGAGTTTCTCACTGTTTGTCTTCTTTTAGGGCCGTCTTGGTCGTTCCAATGCTCAGTTTCATGTGAAACTGACATTGGATCGGCTAGGAGGATGGTGGTCGGCGGGAGGTGTGGAGCGCGGCGACGGGGGAAGTGTCTGTCGGGTGTTGAGTTCCTGTATAGTTAGCCATCAACCTCACCACCAAATGCGAGCAGACAGTCGCCTGGTAGCGCTCAATACCGGGCGACTGTCCGAGTATTATTACCATTCAACCTGTCAAATGATGCCATGCCACAATGTCTGTCGTGAAATAAGCTACCAGATGGAATCCTGGTGAGTCTAAATTGATGTTGTTTTTAATTTCCTTTAGTGGGAGCATCCTAATCCTCGTGAGAAGCTTCTAGTATATATAATGCAGAAATGACCAGCCAAAAATGCAGCAAATTGTACAGTTCCACTGCCTCGCTGACCGTTCAACGTGACGCTCGTAATCAAAAACCACAATGGTGATTAACGAAGGGGGAAATCATGATCTAAGTGAAAAAATATAACGCTCATTAAGGCTATCTCATCAAGTTCACCCCATAATAGCTCTCACATCCCATACCAACAGTCTCTCGTCCCATCCACAACTAGCGCACCATCCTTCTGCGCCGAACAAGCACCAATCTACACCCGTCACAAATTCCGTGTGGCGCGCCATACGCCCCATTTCTCTCGCCGGGCCTTGTACAACTTCGCTGGTTTTGCCCATGGATACACCAGGGCCGCCCACGCCAAGCCCGATTCCATCCGTCCAGACACGGCACGTCATATCGTAACTTGCGCTCAGCAAAACATCTGGAAGGTGGGGACTCCACGCAAGCTTGCGTATGGCATATCCGTGTCCTGGCAACACTGCTAATGGACCTTGACTCGGCATGCGCAAGTCGAAGGTGCGGATTAACCTGTCAACACCCCCTGTCGCGATAATTGTGTCGCGGTATTTGTTCCAGTCGTGTGTAAGGCATTCAGACGGCGGGAAAGTCCCATTTGCAAGACGTGGAACTGTGGGTGGAATGGGAGGGAGTAGTGATCCTGGTCCATCAATCGTGCATGCATATGGGGTGTTTGATACGGCAGGAGCATTGTGGATTGATGTTGCGGAAACGAGATGATTAGTTGTCCCGCTAACCGTGGGCGCGCGGACGTCGAAGACCCGTAGGTGGCTGTCAGATGAGACGCATGAGAGGAGGAACGGTGAATGAGGAGACCAGGAGGCGGAGTAGGTGCAGGAGTTCGTGGGAAGGGTGAGGATTGAGGCCGGGCGCGTGGGGTTCCACTGCCATACGTAAGTATTTGGCTGATTTGAAAGGCAGACTTCAATGGATTTGGACCAGAAAATAAAAAAGCAAGAAACTAGGTTCGCATACAATTTTAACTGTTCCATCCCACGAACTTGAACAGAACGTATCTTTGGAAGTAAGATTCCAGTGCACGGAGAATACCTCGCGCTTGTGCTCGTGCCATGATTGCACAGGGAAATTATCCAGATTAAGGTCAAAGAGCTTGACAGCACCGTCGCCCGATGCAACCACTATTTGATTCTCATGCGCCTCAGACCATGCGGTGTCGAAAAGACAGTCTTGAGTATCGTACCTGGGGACGTTGATCCGAAAAGTTAGATATGCTGCCTATGATACAGACCGGGGAAAAGGGCGAAAGTTATAGATACCATTTTTCTGCGACTATGCCGTTTGGTGTTAGACCGAGTATGTAGAGACGGCCATTTCCAACAAGTCCGAAATTTGCAGCTGCTGACACGGCAATACGCGAGTCAAAGAAGGGGGAATATTTCACGCCGTATCCGTTGAAGCCTTGGGTGCGAAACTCGAGCATTGTGGGAGCTGAGGCAGTAGCCGCCGGCCCTGGTCTGGTAAAAATTCAGCGTCAAATAGATAATTTAGAAATGGCGCAGCTATGTCATGGCTGAGTATATTCTTTGCTTCCCGGTCTGAATTACTGCAAAAATATTGCTGGTGATGTTGTTGCTTCCTTGCCATTTCGCGTTGCCGAGGATGACGGAGATACTCCGGCGATGTCATGTCCCCCGCATTGGGTAAGGCGGTGAGGCGACTTAGGGTTTCTGCCGCTTTGAGCTTATTTAGTCATAGGCTAGGCAGTTAGTTACCTCTCCGCCCTATGGCTTGGAGATTTCAGGCAACAGGCAACGGAGCATAAAACCTTTCGAGCCATGGAGATTGGATGAATCAATGCTTCCACGTCTGTTGATGTTATCCTCATGGATGGGTTTTCTCATCGTAAACGGCGGCGAAGTTCTTCAGATGATGGTTCCTATGAGGAAGCCGTAGAACCAAGCTCTCAAGAGGATTCGACAGAGTTCAAGCTCGCTCTCTTATCTTCCTTGCATCCATATGTCCCACAAGATACATTATTAGATATATTAATTTCATCAGATGGTTCTGTTAAAGCGGCATTAAAGAAATTAACCCCCGATCGAGATGAACCGTCACCGAGGAAGAAAGCTGCCACAGCATCTCCGGCCTTTCAATCATCTCTTTCAAGCTATGTCAAACCAGGAAACGGAAATTCATTTCCTTTAAACCGGGTCTCTTCCCCTCTCACCCGCAAGGGTCGTACTCTGCATTTGTACGATCCACAGGACGTTGCTCAGCATACACCATGCTCGATCATTCATAATTTCCTTCCGCCTGAGACGGCGGAAAGCTTGCTCAAAGAGCTGCTACAAGAGGCAACTACATTTGGGAATTTGCAATTTAAGATATTTGATAGAGTAGTGCAAAGTCCTCATTCGTCCTGCTTTTATGTGCATTCCATGGACGAGCAGAAAATGCAGAAGACAGAATTTCTTTACAACGGAAGCCGCCTTACGGTGCGTATTCTTAGTTTCTGAACCTCCGTCATGTATGATTTATTAACTTATTGCCATAGGACGTCAGAAGGTCAACTCCTCGCATGCGTCATGTGTCGGATCTTGTGCAAGACGCTGTCAATAAGGAGATAGCCAAGCGAATCAAAACCCATTATCCAAGTGGCAAGAAGCTCAAGCACCAGTCGCCCCACGAATGGGTCCCAAATGCTGCCTTTGTCAATTGCTATGAAGGCGGCGGCGAGAGTGTCGGATATCATTCAGATCAACTTACCTATCTCGGCCCGAGAGCAGTCATTGGCAGCCTCAGCCTCGGAGTTGCTCGAGAATTTAGAGTACGGAAAATTGTTCCCCGAGATGATCCAGACGAAAGCAAAGACGGCAGTAGTCTATCCCGTGCAGATGCCGAAGGACAGATTGCCATTCACCTCCCGCACAACTCTCTTCTCGTCATGCATGCAGAAATGCAAGAAGAATGGAAGCACAGTCTTGTTCCAGCTCAAGCTATCGATCCGCACCCCATCTCCGGAAACAGGCGCATCAATGTAACGTATAGGTACTATCGGGATAGCTTTCATCCACGTTACACACCGCGTTGTAATTGCAATGTCCCTACCGTTCTGAGAGTGGTACAACGGAAAAAGGAAAATTATGGGAAATATATGTGGATGTGTCACGGTGGAATGGAACCTGGAAAAGAAGGGTATGTTCCGATAGCCATCAATTCGGTGCATTGCTGATAGCATCTAGGTGTTCATTCTTCCAGTGGGCTGAATTTGACGAGGATGGAGAACCGCCTTGGGTTACAAATCGATCCCGCAGTCAGTCGGAAACACGGGTGCTGCAGTCCGCCACTTGAATCAAATTCTAGTGATCAAAGAATTAACTGATTCTAGATTCTTTGAATTTTGACCAAGGCGGTTTTCATTTCATTTTGCAATTAGACATTTATTGCCGCTAAAAAATTAGATTAAAATATTTACACTTTGAAATCAGCTCTGAGCTTGTCGGCTGGAATTGCTCAGAATCAATCAAGGCTGCCTCGTATCTGTATTTAACGCGTTTCAGTTCCACCAAAAGCTGATACTAAAACTAACGCTTAAACTTCGAACAAAGTGCCACCATCCAACAGGTATGTACAAGCATTCTCCTTCTTCCAATATGCATTCAACATATTTGGCGTCTTTAAACAATGGGAACTTTTCATCTGTCTTCTCCGTACCCATGGCGTCGCTCCAATCGGCTTCCTCTTCGGCCATGGCTGCCGCTACGTCAACCTGACTTGTATTCTGCATATCGACTCCGCCGTCCTCGATGCCTCTGGGATACAATTTATCCGTCTCTATTGGACTGTATAAGCGGATATACTTTCTTCCAACGGCTTGGCATAGGATATTATGGTAAGGGTCCGTATGCAACGGAGATATTGTGCCGGCAGGACCAAACCATGCGTTCAATAACGGCTCATCAAGCTCAGGTATATCTTTGTCCGCAAGCGGCGTTCCAGGCATCGGCGGCGGAGGAATGGTGTAGCAAAAGTCTGGGACGGAGATGTCATTGCGTAGATTTGGAATTTGCGAAAAGAGGTCATGCTGGGCAAGATAACCCATACGATGCTCTTTTTGACTAGTTTGATCCGTCTTTTCATTTCGTAAGGCGCTCTCAACTAGATCTTTACGGACTAGATATTGATCCATAAAGTCTCGGAATGGAATGAGGGCTTGTCCCCAACCTTCATCCGTGTAGGATCGCCCAATCTCGACTGGGACGAGACGTCGGCCTCCAAAAGTTCGTTGAAGGAGATAAGATGGGCTCTTCCACGGCCGTTCATTGAGAGCAGGCCAGTGAGAAAGAGCATCCGTTAGGATTACAGGCGTTGGATTGACAAGATGGGTTTCAAACTGGGTCAGCGACAGCCGCGCTCGAGGGATTTCATTGGTGATTTCAGGAATAGACATTTCCGATATTGGAAAGGTGTCGTCCTCAAGCTTTCGCCGCTTACTGCGTTGATCTTCTGCTGGGTCCTGCTTGACAATCTCGGAATCTGCGAGCGCAGATATAAGTGTTTCAATGAGTTCGCGACGTAGCGGGGCACCAGTCATAATGACGGCCGTATCCAGCGTACGCACGACAGAAGCAAGCCAGTCTTCATCTTGGACAATTTCGACACCGTCATTAGCGATGACAGCGGCTTGACCGTGATTTATGCGGTGATCAAGCTTGGTCTGAGACAGATGCCACTCAATCTCCGAAATGGCTTTAGATATGCTTGCGTCGGTAAACAGTCGCCGCCAGCAGGTCGGCACATCCTTGAATGGGTATGCATGTAGTTTATCGCGAGCAAACTGTATAAGATTATCTGGACGACTCCTCAATAACTGTAAAACGGCCTTTCCACATCCCTGGATGGGATCGTCGGCAAAGATATCTTCGATTATTGAATGAGCTGCCGCGCAGAGCTCTTCGAGGTCGATTACCGCCTGGGCCATTGGCATGTCTGAGATCTGCATGTTGCCATGATCTAGACGATCATCGATGCCGAAATGTGTTTGGTGAAATAGCCTTTTGAGTTTCAGTTTGTCTCAAAAGAATCTTTGAATAATCTGAAACTTATTCACATGACATAAAAAGTTTGGTGGCATCTGAAAAGAGTGACCTTGAAAATTCCTTCAGAAAAAGAGGAGCCGCGAATAATTGGGTCGCTTTTGAGATATATTAGTCACACATTATTACACAGTCACATAAAAAAAAAAGAATTTTTTTTTTTTTTTTTAGCAATCCTCAGGCAGAAATTGTAAAGAAGTGGACTGATGCTAAGAATACATAGCTTATGATTCAGGGTCCTGTCATCCTTCTGAATACTCCCAGTATGAATGGCTACGACTTGTCTCGCTAGACTAAGGTTGCGCTCTTTCCTTTACCGCGCGGTAGAAACGAAGGGTGATCCGCCCCCCCCCAAAGCCATTGATTGATTGATTGCCTACGAGTACCCATCCAATGCCCCACCCTCCACTCGATCCCAGACCATCCGTGAACGTTACCGCTCCAGGCCCTCCTGCTGTATCAGAAAAGGCGACTGCGTGTAAGTTCTTTGCTCCCATACTTTGAGACAAGCGGTATTATTCTTTCTCGTCCTTCTCAAATGCTCTTCTAATTCTTGGTGGCGAGAGCACAGCGAAAGCCGAGCACGTCGACCGTGCCCGAGAACGTCCCGCTACGGCGGCCCAAGCAACAATTAATTCGAGCGCTGCGGCTCGTCGAGCGCCCTCGCGATCAACCTTAGACCCTGGCAACCCCTCGCTCTTGGATCAAGCAATATATATCCTCTCTGTCACTGATCAGCTCGTGACCGTTGACTCGATTCTGTGGGGTTCTAAATCTTCCCGGCATCGACGACCGGCTCTCCGCACTCCCGCGCACCCTGTTCCTACCCAACACCCGGACGAAGCTCAAAACAACGAGAATAAACGCCGTACGACTAAAACAGATTCTTCGATAAGTTTACAGAGCCTGGGTCGCGTTGAAAAAAGTGATCCAAACATATCCGCTGCCATGGACGCCAAACGGACACCTAGCTCTTTTCAGCAGCTGGAGAAGTTGGGAGAGGGTACCTATGCGACAGTGCGTCTTCCCGCTGACCCGCCAGGATGTGTGACGAGATGGAAAGGTTATCGGATCGCTAATATGCATTTGGATAGGTGTTCAAAGGACGAAATCGACAGACGGGAGTGCTAGTTGCACTCAAAGAAATCCATCTTGACAGCGAAGAAGGAACGCCGTCGACTGCTATTCGAGAGATTTCTTTGATGAAAGAGCTCAAGCACGAGAATATCGTCAACCTGCACGATGTCATCCATACGGAAAATAAACTGATGCTGGTCTTCGAATATATGGACAAGGATTTGAAGAAGTACATGGATTCGCGAGGAGATAGAGGGCAACTCGACTACGTGACTATCAAGTCATTCATGCATCAGCTATTACAAGGCATTGCATTCTGCCACGAGAATCGAGTGCTGCACCGCGATCTTAAACCACAGAACCTTTTGATCAATACCAAGGGTCAGTTGAAGCTCGCAGACTTTGGTCTGGCCCGAGCGTTCGGCATCCCCGTGAATACCTTCTCCAATGAAGTAGTCACACTATGGTACCGCGCTCCAGACGTGCTCCTGGGTAGCCGAACGTACAACACCAGCATCGATATCTGGTCGGCTGGGTGCATTATGGCCGAGATGTACACTGGTCGGCCGCTGTTTCCCGGCACCACCAATGAGGACCAGCTGCAGAAGATTTTTCGTTTAATGGGCACTCCATCGGAGCGCTCTTGGCCCGGAATCTCTCAGTTCCCCGAATACAAGCCCAACTTTCACATTTATGCCACCCAGGACCTGCGGCTCATCCTGCCTCAGATTGATCAGATGGGTCTCGACCTACTAAGTCGCATGCTTCAGCTTCGCCCTGAAATGCGTATCAGCGCCAAGGATGCTCTGCAGCACCCTTGGTTTCACGATCTTCCTCAGTTGAGGAGCCGACAACAGGCACAACAACAGGCGCAAGCGCAAGCGCAGCAGCAACAGCAGCCGCCAATGAGCGGTGGTTATGCAGCATCGGGGATGGTGGCCCAAGGCGGTTACTGAATGCAACAGCTAGAGCCATTCTCCTATTAACGGGATGCTAAATTCTCCCCGGATTTCAGCGTAGGCACCTAATTGTGGAGTGGAAATTATGTCAGTCATTGGGACTTTAGAAAAAGGAAGGAAAAAACGAATTCATATAACGTGGAGTGTTATGGGCGCAATGGCTTCCGGGTAATGGAAGCGCGCGCTCTTGGCTCTGACCATGAGAAGACAGGGCTTAGATTCTCATTTCCTTTTGTCCACCTTGTTTCGCATGCATTAATCATTCTTGTTTCCTGCCGTTACATCATCACCATCATGGATATCCATAATTGTCACTGGCCCTCATAAATTGTCTTTTTTGAGCTACATCTGTTACCTTGTCTTGTCTTTACTCGAGTACACTAGCTATGTTCTTTATGTGACATGAAAAAATACTATACGATATATGAAGTATGAATGAAGTCAGAAGTAATCGAAAATCGAGTTAAAGATCGTCGGTACCCTCCTATGAGTATTGAATGTAACTTAACCTCGGCTGTCAAAAGGAAAGCTTGACCAGATTGACGGTTCGAATGAAGATGCAAACCTGTCATATGAAAAAGGTAACTTGCCCACTACGCTGAACGATCGTTTGGTTTAACGATTGACCGGAGTCAGTGAGATGATGTCAGACAAGAAATGCACAAGCTGTGCTCTTGCCCTGTTGGACAAAAGGTTACAGCCGCTCCTCTGATTTCAACACCAGACCCTGGACTACTGCACCATTGACGTGACCATTGAGTGACTGTCAGCAAAATCATGGACAGGGTGACCTGGACATGAGATTCGTCTGCCAACGATCGTACCAACAGCACGAGCCAAGTGGCGCCTGACATGGTTTACTGTGGTGGCCGGTTGGGGCGGGAGACAAGGACCAGGGTTGCGGGGATGGGGAAGGAGCAGCTGTCTGAAGAAGGGGCAGAGCGGAGAGTACAAAGACTATCAGAGCTCGACATCTCTTTGCACAAAAAATCTGGTGAGAAGCTGGCGAGATGGGGTTCTGTTTCATGTTTTACCTTTGTTGCTGACATGGTCCGGCGCAGATCCTGATGATTGTTTTGAATTTTATTGGCTCGAAAGTTGAACGTTCAGGTTTCGGTTCGAGTATTTTCAAGACTTCGGAACACTGCCGGGAAAGGGCATGATAGACATATGGGTAGGGATGCTGAATCGACGGACAGAGGTTCGTCTGCTAGATTGACGCAATGCAGACAAGGATCACAAGAAATAACGAATGGACACATAGTCTTTGCTGGGGGGAAAGCTCTAGGGTTTGCTCGAATCATTATGCGAAAACGAACCCAGGGATTAATTGCTGATGACGACTGCAACAGCTACGGTGGTTCTTTGTGTGAAACCGATTCCATCAGGCCCCGAGGGCTCAAGAGATCGCCGTCGCCGTTCTAAAATGAAGGGAAAAGCATCGTATCTCGGTTTGGTCAAACAATAGCTTATGATTGTGGCAAAGCAGTGCCATCAGTCAGCGAGGACTGAACCAAAAGTTCGTCTCTCTAAGCATGGCGATGATCGACACTCATTTACTACAATCAAAGTTGTGCTTGGGACAGTATTATAGCAAGTCCAATGATCAGTGATGGATGATGTTACTTTTGCACCGCCCCGCCGATCCTGAATTTAACGTCTTTTCATGTCGGAAAAGTAACCCCGAAAGAGGGTCGATGGATGTACTCATACAGCTTCAACTCCGTCGCTGGACCGAGGTGTTCCTCAAAGATTTGACCGAGGAGATGAGTCGTATATCGAGCTCTCATGAGTAGGCCATTGGGAGCGCATAAACAGTACCGCTCGTCCCGGCCGGCACAAGCACCAGCATGGTCATGTGGCAAATGAACGTCCTTAGGCAGGGCCCCATCCGGACGAGGTTCGGAAATCATACCACCCCTCGCGCTCATTCTCTGGCAACGACGATACCGATCGGTATCTCGCTATTGATTTTGTCCTTTGCCCTGGTTCTAACTTTTGGAGTTCTCTCTTCTTCTTAGCAAGCTGGCCTCTGAGAGGTTGGGCAACTATCAGACACTTATGCCTTGCGGCCTGGTCAATAATACTAAGGGTCTCCGACTCGCCGACGGGCACCAAGTACTTCTGTGATCAGCGCTTTTTTCTCACGATAACTCCCACCCCTCGCTCCGGCTTTGACTCAACCCATTTACAAATAAATGCAGTGGTACCTTGCAACTGCATGCGTAATCACCTTTGGTTGCAGGGCGCTTCTATTGATCAGCGCAACGATAACAACAAAAAAATTCCGGACTGCCGGCCAGGCATTGAGGACGACTTTCAAATGAGAATTGCACGTGTGACTGAACTGCCAAGGGAGCGCATAATGGCCGTTCTTGGTCTTGGTACAGCGACTAAAATACAGATCAAACTCGTGCGTGATGAGTTCTCTCGTCCACATTGGATCAGTTGAAAAAGGGTCCAATCCAGTCCAATTATAATGCCTCGACTTAACCATTGGTTTGAGGGGATGGGGGGCCCACGGGCTTTTGTGGCGTCTGGGCGGTGAGCCAAACGTGCGCGACCGGTCCGGGGCCATGGCCTGACCCCTCCAACGGACCCTCGTTCCAAGAGAAAACGCCTCGAGACGATCCCTCAGGGCGAATGGTGACCCCAAAATCTTTAATTCTTTTCGCTAAAAAAGAGAGTTCTGACTACGGAGGTGTTGGCGAAAAAGCAAGAATCAAGGGTTCAAGACTGGAAAGGGGTGCAAATGGCAGCGCGTGGGTTCTTTTTTGAATTGTGTACTAATACATTCGCGGGCTGTTTAGGTGGTCTCTTAGGTCGCCATGTGAAAAGAAGGAGTACAGTGCCATACCTACGGAGTGGTGAGACTGCTCGCATAGTGGTGGAGACTGTTAGTGACTACTCCGCAGTGGGCGACCTAGTGGTTGGACAAGTATAGAAGCTGTGGCGATCTAGACCCTCGCAAACTCGCAAACGCCCGCAATCCGTCGCCTTGGCTGATTCGAATCGAGCGCCCGAGAGCCACTCTCTCCGCAATCTTGGATCTCTGCTAGACTGGCGTCACCATTTCCAATTCATCTTGATGATTTCGAGCAAGATCTGAGGTTGACGCAAGTCGTTGTTGCATGCATTTGAGGTGCTGCCATTCAATCTACTGTGGTATTGCATCAATGTACCAGTACACTTGGTTTTTATTCATTGCGTGTGCTAAGGTAGTTAGTTAATGGGGGAGCATGATTTGCGCTCGTGGCTAATGGTCTAGTCCTCTCTCTCGATTGCTTCGATTACTACTCTGTACGGTACTCGGAAGCAGTGCCGCAGTCCCACAATTCTGGCTCTTCTTCCCTACACTTTTTCTTGGTCTCTCTTACGCGGTGCGCTGTCTTTTTGTTGCAGAGTCTTCTCTAATTCTGTGCGATTGCGGAAACTGGCATCTGTTTCCCTTTTTTTCCGTCTTCGTCCCTATACTTTTCCTGCGCCCTTTTCCCCTTCCCATTCCCCTTTCCCATCAGCCCTGAAGGCGCATTCAATCTTCCGCTTCGAGCATGAAGCTCTGTACCGGTACTCCGGGCCCTTTCTTTCTCCTTCTTCCTCCCCCCTCCACTAGCTTTCTCACTACCCATCGGCTTCACACCCCTTCGATTCGATCCGAGCTTTAGGGGCATTCCCGGCCGTGGCACCGTTCGACTTTTCCCGTTCACTTGACCCCGATCCTGGCGCATCCCAAGTTCCAGCCCTGGACCTAATCAGGCAAATGCGCAACCCTCCTCGAGTTCAGGTCAAGCTGTGACCACCAGCACCAGCCATGAGCCCTCTTTTGCCATGCACATATCAACTTGTCCTTCTCTCGCTCTCCGTGTGCCCACCGCCTTGACCTCTTTGAAACAGAACATCATTGATAAACTCATCATGTCCATTGCACATTTCAGCTCTACTTCGTTATCGATTGAGACTCCCCGTCTAAAGTCCAAGGAAATACACTCCGAATAGCAAAAAGCACGCACACCATATAGACTCATTTTAGGCCTCATACAACATCTTCACATTTTCCGTTTGAGAAAAAAAAAACCTCTTCTATTGCCGATTGCTTTTTTGGGCCTGCGAAACTTTTGTGGCGTGGAATGTGACACACCTGCACGACGCATCAAAGAGTTCCGACATTGTTGACTGTGCGCAAACACCTCCGTTTTCTCCCCCTTCTACTACTTGTACTTCCCAGACTCCCCTTTTTCTTCCTCCCTTTCCGAGCTGCAGACTCCCTTTCGAATTCATTATTCTTATTCTTGGACTACCCATTACATGGATTCCCATGTCTCACCGTGACTGACTTGGCATTCACCATGACAGGTTTCACCTACTCATTCGCCACCGTTTCTTGACAATAAAACCCCCCACCTCAATATTAGCCCCGGAAATACGCCCCAGAAATATTTAACATTGCCTCCTTGGTTGGCACCGATCATGACCACAACAGACCACTTGAATGTGCCTGTTGAGACAGGGCGCCGACGCTCACGGCATTCAATGAATAGCCTGCGCAATGGCATCAGAAACCTCTACCGGATCATGTCCGAGGAGGGTCATTTGTCCGCCAACTGCGACGTCTTTGAGGACGAGCCCGAAGATCGCACAAGAGCTCGATCCCAGCCTCCGCCATATGCCGATGCTTCTCTGGTGAAGGGTCTCCCTGGCCCGGTGGATGTAGATCCTGTTGTCGAAGGAGCAGAATTGCTTCCCTGCTACTCCTGCAGTCTCTCCGCCGAGGCCGTGTTTCCCATGAAGAAAGAATTGCACTCACAGTTCCGAACAGCTGGAAGCCGGCAATGGAACAAGGTTTACGTTGTCCTCCGTGGCACAATGCTCAACGTCCACCGTGTCAAGCACGTTGGCCACCATCCCTTTGGTCATGGCCCGGAACCGGATGCTGAAGACCCTCTACGAGGAGTCGCTGCTGGACAATTAATTCGAAGTTATACCCTCCAACATGCCGAAGTGGGCATCGCCGTTGACTACAAAAAGTAAGGTTTTCCCCCTCTTACTACTAAGCGTTGTTTCTTCATGAACATCATAGAGGACCATGTGGTTAATCTCGTTTATTGATTAGGCTTCCCTCTGTCATTCGAATCCGCGCCGAGACCGACCAGTTCCTGCTGAGCTGCGGAACTGTCGAAATCTTCTTGCACTGGCTCGAGCAACTCAATGCGGCAATTAGCCTTGCTTTGCCATTGGACGAGCGCACTCTGCCCAGCTACCGCACGCTGCCAATGCGCAGACGAGGCAGGCGTTCTGGGAGCCAGCAACAGCAAAAGTCCAACGAAGAGCCTCCAACCACTGTCGCTGTCCAAGAGCGGCTGCTGAACGAAATCTACGAGCGGAGACAACGCGAGCGACGTGCTCAGGGACTCCTAACTACCGACGAGTCGGAGGAGGCCTCTAATTCCCAATCCAGTTCTGGCCGCGAAAGCCCCGCGAATCCCGCCTCCGCCTCTTCCTCCTCCTCCCACCATGAAGATTTTGAAGAGCATCACGAATTGCAACCCACATCAACATCTGAGAGCCAAGCATCCATGACATCCGAAGACGGAAACGAAGCCGTGGATCCCATCGCTGACATGGATTCCCATCTTTCCAACGCTCTTGCCGGCTTGGAGCTTCTGCAGCGCTCCGCCAGTGCCAATGACGCACACGTCTCTTCTGACTTGGCCGACGGGAAATGGCACCCCACTCATCCCGTGAACCGCACCCAACAGCTCAGCTTTGCTCGGCGCTGTATGCCCACTTTGCGTTTCGCCACGCCCCGCCAGAAGGACATTGTCATTCACAAGGGTCAACTCTGCCGCATCAATTGGACAGACCACAAGCTCGAACCATATGTCCCGGAACCACCGGCTTATGCGGAAACGGAAGAAGACGAGCAGCGAGAGACCGCAATTACCGCTACCGCTGCCGCCGTGGCTGCTCTTTCTGCTCAGGACAATCATCCTGCCCGCCCCGCTGGCCCTATTCGGGCTCATACTGCGCCCTCGCACCAGCTCCCGCTCCGCCATGTCCGCGGAAGCATTGACGGAATGCGTGCCCGCTTTGGAAACTCCAAGTCTCGCCACACGAGCATGGAGCATGAGCATGATCAACGAGTGCGTCAGTCCCAGGCGCAGCTCCCCACGCCTCCCTCAAGCGGCCAGAGCACTCCCCGCATCAAAGTCTCGACTGAGGATCGGGCGCATCGATCGTACTTTTTCCTCTTCTAAGCGTTTTCAGTACTCTCCCTTGTGGTACTGGCGTTGAATTTGTTCGTCGTCGGTCTTTTTGCTTTGTCACCATGCCTTATCTAGACTATTTGGCTAAGCCAACCAACCAACAGTACTCCTTTTGTGTTCTTTTCTCTTCTTCTCTTCTACCATCGCGTTCTCTATACGTCCTTTGTTCCGTCTTTCAGTTTAATACCCACTTGGATTCTGATTTTGATTCTTCATCTGTTACGTTGTTCTTTTTTTTTCCCTTCGATTCTCTCGCCCTTCAATTCCCCATCTCTCGTTATTTATTGATATCCTTCTTTGCCCCACTTTGATTTCATGCCTTTTTTTGTTCCCCTTGATCCTTTAGGCCTCCTTCTTGTATTCTCTACTGAGACTCGGTGTCTTCCTGTTCCCCTCGTTTTTCTACCCTCTGTCTCTCTCTCTCTCTTTTATATAAGCGTATTCAACGGTTCAGCGACGGCGCAGTGCGGCGAAAAAGACTTTGGGGTGTACCGGCGAAATGGCGGCGATGTTGTTATCTTAGGGGGTTTCTTGGGTAGCCTTTTTATGGTATTCAGATTTATTCAATTGATATGTCATATCTATCCAACCGGTTATCGTATATACAATGGATATCTCCAATTCCACTTCTCACTTGATGGTTGATGGCAAAACCCATCTATTCACCTCTTCGCATATTTGTTTATCCATTTCGACATCAATTCTACGTATTTGATCTATGTGATGATTTGATACGACTCACTTATTATGTGAGTTTTTGTGATTCTAACCGATAATGGCAAATTTCCCTTGAACGGAGTACGTTCTCAAACAAACAACAAAGTAAAATGGCATAAGAGAGATGGATTTATTTTACAATATCCTACTCCGTTTGAAATTGCAAAGACTTATGAGACGGGAAAAAAAGAAAAAATATACTACTTCGTCTGAAGTTGCGACAATCTGTAATAAAAAAGGCCCTCATAATATGTTTCCTAGCGAAGGGCCTGTGGGTTCGAACCCCATTTGCCCTACTAATATTTGACAAATTGCTATCTTCCTGCAGTACTCTCAAATAAACCCTAAATCAAAAACAATGCGGTCCTATCACCGCTCCTATTATCGCACCAGCTCCAGCTACAGATACAGATACAGCTAGAGCATGCAGTTACCGCCTATCATAACTAGGACTCCTTCTTGGTCTTCGCGGTGGCGGAGTCGGCGATCGCGACGGGGTATACGACGGGGCGCGGCCGCGGCGGGGGCGAGAAGGGGGCGTGGCAGAGCGAGAGTAACTCCTGCGACGATCACGAGCTTGAGATGGTCGGGCAGTAGGAGCGGTACCGTTTCGTCGAGGCGGAGGCGGAGAAACGGATGCAGAGAGGGAGCGAGGTCTTGAAGATCTCGAAGAATATGATGACGCGGATCTTGCACGGCCTCGGGGAGGGGTGGGAGAGCGCCGATCACCGCGATCGCCGCGTCTAGGAGCAGGACTGGGACTGCGGGAGTCGTAGCTGCTGGCCGAGTAGGAGCGGCCTCGGCCCCGGCCCTGGGTTCGGGCGGGAACTCGTGAAGGGGAGGGTGAACGACTGATGCTTGGAGTGCGACTGAGGCTGCGCGAACGGGATGCGCTGCGGTACGAATAGGAATTGCCCCGGCGACGTTGTCGTCGGTCTGATGGAGGTGGAAGAGGGGAACGAGAGAGGCTTGACGAATAGGATTTGCTTCTGCCTCGTCGAGTGCGGCGAGGAGGTGGAGTGCGCGATCTCGAGACGGAAGAAGAAGAGGAGTAGCTGTAGCTTCGGGAGCGAGATCGACCTCGACCTCGATCTCGTCCGCGTCGTGGAGATGGTGATCGCGACATGGTGTAGGATCGTGAGGAGCCGGTGTACGAGGAGTAGCTGGAAACCGAGCGGCCACTGTCGGATTCTGACCCGGAGTCTGCAGGAGGGAGGGCAGGCGGAGGAGCCGGTTTGGGAAGGTTCTTGAGATATTCTCTCATGTCCTCTGTGACAGCACCCAAGCCGACGGCGGTAAAGTAGTTGATGGAGAAGCGAGTGTTGCGCGGGTTGTCGGTGGGGAAAAGGCCGGCGAAACTGGGCCGCAGGAGCTCGTCTCTCAGGACGGCGACCAGCTTCGCCATGCCCATGTTTTCGGCAAGGTCCTGGAAGAGAATCTTGATGAAGATACGGCTGGAAGAGGTGGTGTCATCTTCATTCAGGTGAATGACGGAGAGAACATGCCATCCGATGGCGTCAGAGCCGAGAAGATGGCCAAAGAATCGGGCAATGTTGCGCAGACGGTTTGTCTCATATCGGTGGATGGTTTCGTAGTACTGGGCAAAGGAGGCCTCGAAGAGGTCGGTCCAAAGCCGATTGAGCTTGGCAAATCGCTCGCCGATGAGACCGTAGAATTTGGAATACGTTCGCTCTTGAGAGCAACATTCAATGACCATGGATGGAAGCTCAGACTCTTGGCCAGGAGGAAGATTGACTTTCATAAGCTTGTGACAGCATTCTTCAAAGTCGATACTTGACATGATTGTCAAGTAAATGGTTCGTCGAAGATTCACAAGATCAGTGTTGCTCTGGTCCTTAATCTCCATTGCCTTTTCTTCTTGGTTTTCCTCCTCCTCGGATTCGTCGTCTGTCGTGTATTCATCTTCGCTTCCCGAGGCCTCGCCGAGAATTTCTGCCTTGAGACTCTTGTATGCTTCCTCGTGTTCTTGCCATTCCGGGTCGTACTTGAATACGTTCAGACCGTCCTGAACTTCGATTTCATCCTCAAGTCCAGTTCGGTGTGTAATCTGGTCTTCCTCCTCCACAAGATCAAGATCTTCTCTGACGGCCGGATTGTCCTTGTATCGGTCTTTTCGAACCTGGAACAACACTTCAATCATGTACTGCACTCGTTTGTCAATGTCGGCTTCGTGCAAAATGCTTCGAAATTGGTCGAAAACGGCCAGCGCGATTGGACCGCTCATTTCTTCGAGATGTTGTCCAACTTCTCTCGTCAGACCGACGGCAATTTCAACGCTGTCATCTGTCGGCTTGTGGAGTAATAGAAGTAGAATCTGCGCGGCAAGCATCTCGTGCGCCACCTGCTGGTTCACAAGATGGGCAATGAATGTCGTCGACGACAAACAAACGGCCTTGTCGTTTCTCTTGAATGCTTTTCTGAATTGCACAATGAGACGTTTGAGTAAAAGTTCTCCGACCTGCGGCAACTTTGTATTGACAATGGCGGCCATGGCGGCATAGATGGGCGTGAATGGTAAACTGGCTGCTTGGGCCTTCATGATGCTCCTGCAGAACAGTCCTCTGCCTCGAACCAGGTTCTCGCCAAAGAGCTCAGGAACAATGTACTTGATGTTCGAGACGTTAACCTTGTTGATAAGACCATTGATAGATTTTTTGAGGGCCTCCCACGACATTCGCTGGTACTCTTTGCTATTCTTGTCTGTAACCTGCGCTTGAAGAGCCCGTAACCGTGCGGGTGGGATGTATGTCCCTCCAGAACGCATGTTGACCAGCTTATCGTATTCGGCTTTGGCAGCGGCCTGCTTTTCTTCCTCGGTCAATGGCCGGGGCGCCGCATCTTCCTTCTCGCGTTGTACCAACCTCTCCGCAAGTTGGCGCTCGCGCTCCATCGCGCGACGTGGATCCACATCTGGAAGAGCTGCGCCTGATCGAGATGGACCACGCGGAGGCGACCTTCGACGTCTCGGAGATGGTGATCGGGATGAAGGGGACCGCTTCCGTTTCGCGGCAGAATTCGTTGCTGCCGCATACGATTCTGGAGGCGGCGGCGTCGCGAGGCGAACCGCGGACTGAACAGCAACCGAGTCGCCCATTATCGATGATTCAGTGAGAGATCACTGAAAAGATGAGGGGAAAAGGCGAGAAAGTCTCGCTTTGAAGCCTCAACGGCGTCACGTCCTGAATTTTTGGGAACTTTTGGGGAAGTCAGGACTAGGTTGCTGATTATCTGGGGAAGCTGATGTTGATGTCGTTTGTTCGGCGGCGAGCAAAAGTTTAGCGAAGTATATTATTAAGACTGTAAGCTGCCAGTCATACTGTACATCTGAGTACTAACTATATCCAAGGGGACCAGGGGACACGTCCTCGGATTCAAGGAGCATCTCCGACGGAGCAATTCTCCAAACACTACGGGTAATTCACAGAAACGTCAAGTCAATTTCCTCTACGTTCATTTATCTAACGTTTGATCACGCTCTTTATCGAATAAATACCGAAATGGTACGTTTGCCCCGCAACTCCGTCAGAAGGATCAGGAAGCTTACAAGTATTTCTGGGAATAGCTTGACCGACTTGCTGGCCTGGGCATGCTTATTGTCGCTTCTGTGGTCTTCATCTACTATACGATATGGACACTTCTGATGGTAAGTGGTCCTCACGCCGCTTCCAATTCTTGGGACAATAGCCTGACGCAAGATTCAGCCCTTTGTTGATCCGGGCCACCCTCTTCACGATCTGTTTCCCCCACGGGTTTGGGCGATTAGGATTCCGGTTATTCTCATTCTCCTTGGTTCGGCCGTTGTGGGGTCATTTTTGGGTGTGGTCATGATTCGCAGTAATCGGAAACGGGCGGCAAAGGCGCAGGCGGCGAAGAAGAAGGCGTAGTTTGCGTTTCTTTTCTTGTTTGAACAAGGCAGATCTCCGAAGTCTGAAGGAACATGTGCAGCGAGCCGAGACGCGGAATGGAGCAGATGCTGCCTCGGGTCATATTGAACAAAGCATTGGCTGATCTCCGGACGAGGATGTTCTGCATGGAACATTAAAAAGGCATTGAGTAATAATATTTGACTCGGAGAAAGAGATGCTTAAAAAATTGATTGCATTTCAAGTCTGCCTGAAATTGAGGGAAGGGAAGCACACAAGCATCATGGTCAAAGGACCGTTGTGACTGTCCAATCAATTGTTTGAACACAGCGACCTCGGTCGCCATTATCAAGAACCCAAAAGGCCAACATTTTCCAGACTCAAGTACACCTTGGCGCAGCGTCAAATTGTATGGGGTTCTTACCTCGTAACCTGGCCAGGGAAATGAAGTGTTGGCAGTATGTAGATGTGGGGAACCTAGAACGGGTGGTTGACAAACAATTAAACCGCGGACAGCTGCACAACGAGAGCGGAAACAGCAGAACATACCTCAGGTATCTACCTTGGTGATGCCAGGTCAGGCAGTTAGATTCCTACCTTAACTGATCTACTAACCAAGGTAAGTAATTTAAGGTCGAATGACATAAGCAAGTGACGACCCTTGAGGGGTTAACAGTTAGTCTGCTCAGGCCACTCTAGTTATTGAGTTCTTCGCTGCTACGTACGTAATTGACCGCCAACTTAACCATCTCTCGCGCGTCGGTACCCGCAAGCGGCGTCCCCATGTGTCGCCGCGTTATCAGTCTCAGATCAGCTGTATCATTCGGTCATCAGCCATGATCTTATGCGCAATGGTCATCACTACCGTAGTTAATAGATTCGGGTCTCGAGAAAAGGTGGTCATGTCTTTTAAACATCTCAGGCGCGGCATTTTGTGTCAGTCGGCCAATCAACTGAGAGGTTTGGTTTAACGCTCACTCGTACCTACTTTACTGAAATCAACGATATTATAAGCTTGTCAGTTAGCTTAGCTATAGAATGCCTTATAGGAGCTGCCCCTCACTGTGACCTTCCGGCGCCCTTCAACCATACGATAGATACGTGCCCAAACGCGGCTTGTTTTGAGCGCACAGATACAGAGTGCAGTTACTCTGTACGGTACAGACAAACACGGGTCATCACTGTTATATCCTGGGAACGCTATTGCCTGGTCTGTGCATTTGGTTCCCATTCCTTCCATCTGCCCCTCGCCCTGTTCATCCCACCTCTTGAGGGGCACAACGGATCTCTCGGCGGGTTCCAGTGAATACGACAGGGTACTCTGAATCTCCTGTTCCTGAAAGCAACTCCTGGTAATCAACAAGATAGTTGCAGCATACCACCCACCCCACCCAGAATCATCCAGTTGAGTCAAAAAGTCCCTCCATTCTATCTGAGGGTGAATTTCTCACCTCACGCGTATTCCCAACAGCAATTGTCGTCGGAAAGGAACTACAATATAGTGGGAAGGCTTTGCAGAATCAAATTCGCGGCTCATTGCTCTCGGACCGCTTTCCCCCCTTAACACTCATTTCACTGACCCCCAGCAACACCATAGACTATCTCATTATCTTCCATATTTACGTTGCTTATCTCTTGTTTTCCTTTGGTGTTGACTAGCGACCGGCAACTATCGACGGATCGGTCGACACCTGTCAGTTACCCGGCTCCACCTTGCACCCCGTTCCCCTCAGCCCCACGTTCTCTTTCCGTCATTGACGCTGCCTGAACCTCTGTCGTCGAGGGGCTCCATCACGTAGCCACTTGCCCACAAGCACACGCCTTTGCTTTCATACCTAGCGAACATTGAAGAAACTCAGACCAAGCCTTGTGATTTTACGTTGTCTGAATTACGTGCTCTTGTTTCCTGTTTCTGCCTTCCTTACTATCAAGTTCCAACGGAAC